TTTTAAGTAGTATTTAAGGTTTCTAGATAGCTAAAACTTCTTTTTTTTTAACTAGAAATAGGGAAGTAAAGCAAATTTTTTATTAAAACTATACAAGTTACTGCTTAAGGACTTTTAACTAATTTTTAAAAGTATTGCTAAGTATTTATTAAAACTAAGATTAAGCCCTTAAAGTCTTTAATAATAAAAATTAAAGTATTTAAAATGCCTGCATATATTCTAAATAAATTAAATTATATTTTTCTAGCGTAAAAATAGCTTTTAGGTTATTTTTAGCAACTTTGCTTCTACCCTTTATACCCTTAAAATAACTTTTAAGTTTTAATTTAACTAAATTTTTAGTAGAAAATTTATAGCAGCGCGAGTTATTTATAGCGCAAAAAGAGTAGAAGTACTAATATTAACCTACTTATATAAGCTTAAGGGTAAAGTTTAAATTTTCTTAGAGCTATATACTAAGCTAGTGCTTATAAAAAAAGTTATATATTGCAGTAAAAGCCTTTAAATAATTTTTAAGATTATAAGATAAGTCCTTTGCAAGCCTAAACTAGTTTATAAAAAAAACTAATTTAAGCAAAATAATATAAGTATAAAGCTTTTAAAAGCCTAAAATATTTATATTATTAAATACTTAAACTTTTTTTATATTTATAGCAACCTAATAAGTATTTCTAAAGGCCTAGATGTACTTATAGAAGTTTTTTATTATATTTAAAAAGTACCTAGTTTAATTAAAAAAAGCTTATTTAACCTTCCTATATAAAGCTTTAAATAAAAATATTATTTACTAGCTAAAACTAAATATATATTAGTATATATACTCTGCCTATTTGTATTTTAGAAGTATTATATAACTTTTTATATAGTTTAAAAAAGTTAGCGCGTAGTTAAAATATTTTTAAAAAAATATATATAAAGTATTAAACTACTCCTTACTCTAGGCGTCTACTATACTATAAAAGCAGTATAAAAATTTTTTTTTAATATCTTTAAATTCTTTTTCCTAACTATAGAGGGCCCTGTTGTTAGCCTAAATTTTATTAATCTTAATTTTAAAGTTAATATTAAAGTGCTATAAATAGCTTTTAATAGAAATATTTTTAAAAGTTTTATACAAGCAGCGCTTTAAGGCCTTTTTATTATTAGTAATAAAAATTTTTATAGTACGCGTAATAAGGTTTAAAAAATTTTTTAAAGTAGTTACAGCATTATTATATGCTCTTTTCTATTTATTTAAAAGGAGCGTAAAGGCTATATTAAAAATTTAATTTATATTTAAAATCTTTATAATATAAAAAAAGGGCATATTAAAATAGTTTGTTTTATATATACAGTTTATTATAAAAACGTCTAGATGCTTTTATAATATATTTATAAAGTATAAGTAGGCCTAAAATAGTAAAATAAAGCAGCTAGAAAGATCCTAGGTAAACTTAATAAAGTATTTAAAAAGTACATTATTTACTTTAATTAAAAAACAAAAATAAAGCTTATTTTTATAAAAATCTTATTAAAGCTTATTTTATAAAGCTTTAATTTTTAAGCAGCTTCTTAACTTTTTTAATTAGTACTTTGCTATATAGTTTCTAACATCCTAAAAGGATATAAAAAAGCGCCCCTCTTTTAACTGCAAGTAAATAAAGCCTAGTATAGTACTTAATTATATTTTATTTTTAATTATATAATTTTCTGCTTTATCCTAACTAGCTTGCTAGAACTATAGGAAGCTATACTATAAAAATCTAATATAGTTATAAGTAGAGTTTAAAACCTTAAGCCTTTATATAAAAGTATTATTTTTACCCTAATATAATTAATATAAAGTAGCTTTTTATTTATATGCTTTTATTCTTGTGCTTATATCTTGCCTACTAATACTTTTATTATAAAAAGTATTAGTGTATTTTTAACTATATATATACTATAGGCTAATTTAAGTAATTTTTAAAAAAAGTTTAAATTAAATTACGCGTTTTTTTTATACGTACAAGATAAAAGCTGCAAATTTATAAAATTTATTATAGAAAAATAAGTTTAAACTTTTTACTACTTAGTAGTAATTATTACTTTTAAGGCTTTTTAAATATAATATAGCAGGATTAAAAGTTGCAGAATTATTATTTAAGTTATATTAAATTAGGAAAATATTATTGCCTTAGGGCTAGGCCTTTAAGGAGCCTTTAGATATTATAATTAATAATTTTTATATATTAAAAAGTAAGAATTTTATGCGCATATATAAGAATTAATAAAAAAAATTATAGCTTAGTAAAATAATAATAATAATAATATATTAAACCTGCTATACTAGCTACGTAACTATAATAAGTTATATTATAATTATAAAAATGCGCGCAATTAACTTAGCGCACTTTATTTAGTAATTTCTAGCATTATAATATACTATAATAATTTATTATTAGTTTTATAGCTAGTGCAAAAAGTAGATTATATTTAGTAAAGGGCGACTTTAAGCTAATTTTAGTAAAATTAGCGTTAAGTTTTGCAAAGCTAATAAAAATGCTAAAGTTAGAATAAAAAAATACATATTATACTGTTAATTTAAGCAGGTAATTATGTAATAAAAAACTAGTTTATTTTAAATTTTAATATTCCTGTCTGTGCGCTTTGTAGGATCTGTAGGCTCTTATTAGCCTAGAGCTATTATATTTCTAGGCTCTAATATTACTCTATTAGGATTAGTTAGTCCTCTAAATATTAGAAATAACTCCTCTGAATATAGTCTACCTACAAATATTCTATACCAAGGTAAGATGGCAATCTTTCGAAAGCTCAATTTATACGACGAGTTTATTCACACCTATCTCCACTATAAGGGTTTAGATTACATGTACAACGACGTTCAGACTGTTCTACGCAATTTAGACTATTTCTACACCGAATTCATATCTCAAGGCTCAATCTACGTCTTTAGGGTCCTGCGAGCAACCGCCCGTGTTGATATGCACCTTATTCTGATACAGCAGGTCTGCAGGTACGGTCTCTGGAATGTCACCAGGCCCCAACCACCACCTTAGCTCGAGGTGAGACGCGGGCATAAGGCGAGCTACCGTTTAAGGGCACGGTCATGTCTTGCTTTCGACGATACAGTCTTACCAAGGACATGAACGCATTCGGGCTTCGGATTAGGCCTACTGCTCACATGAGTGTCACTATATCAAAGGAAAGTATATAGCGCTACAGAACTAACGTCGTGAACACACACCCTGTAAGTGCTGATCTCACCTCATGGCCTTGGCCAGCTGTGTCTTCCTACTCCATGGCAGGTAATTTTTGGTAGTACCGTTTTGTTCTTTGCATTGCACAAGGTCAGCATAGTAGGTAGCACAACAACGCCTATCTAGAGCTAGATAGTACTTCCGAGTCTAGAAAAGGGAAAGCCATAACATCCTTTTGCGAATGCGTTGCACGAAGACAGCGTGTCCATGCAGTGAGTGTAGGCGTGAGACACGTGACATACCGCACACCGAATGCTTTTCTTACACACCTTTCTATTCATTGCCTGCTTGAGTATTCTTTTTCAGAAATTTATTGTACTACGTTAATTTTCTCATCGGCTGCCATGCTCTTAGGGAAGGGCTACACGAATGTCAGCTGCTACTGCTGTCTAGCTTTATCACTGTTAGCTTCCAATATTGGTACTTTCCCCGCTGAGAAAGCCATGCATGCCCTTTCTATGCCTGGGATACATCTGATATCAAGCCGGGAACTTAGGACCCCGAGCGAGTCCTAGACTGCCCGGTAAGTACGATGTCATACATCCCGGCATACAAATTCATAAGGACTGAATGAGCTATGCATTACGGTTCTTGGAATCGCACCCAGCCTCTTGGTAAGCTAGAAAGTTCTGGTGCGAGCGAGTCCTTATTCGAGCAGGCAACGACAGGCACTGAAAATGTCCTGGGTGGTTCATGCCAACGACTCAGGATACTCTGATTAGGTTAGCAGTTTGAGAGACTAAGCACATCTAACACGGTGCTCAAGGCCTGGATAAGATGCTGAGAAGGTTGTGGGAGGCGCTGATCAACCCATGATGTTGGATATCGCCTTGTCAGACAAGCAATCGCTCCTGTGTGGATGACGTTGGCTATCGCCCTGCAGTCGGTGAACCAAAATGTCTCTTACATCGTCCATTACCTACCTTTGTTCATATTCCTCTGTCTAGGCGTCGATCTCTGGAACCGAGTTGCTAGCATTGTATAGTTCGTAGAGTACGACGCACAATTATCGTCCTATTGGGTGAGTTGAACCTACATGTACCTCGCGTTCTGATTTGGTACGGAGAAAGCCAGCGCATGGTGCTGTATTACCTTCCCTTTTGGATATGGTGGATGATGTGGTAAGTTTAAGAGCTACAGCATCACCCGCCGATGTATCTTGCTTTGTTCTCGGCTCATGGTCTTTCTCTTTAATTCCAACTGATAGATCGATCAACAATTGGCAGGCCTGCGTGAACGCAGAGGTAGCTAGAGACTTGAGAGTCTATACATCTTAAGCCTCCGGATTCTCAGGCGATGGCATTGACGCCTCCGTTTCTTCGCTAACGGCAAGATTAGGTAGTAGACTGAGTGTTGGACCTATAGTAGAAAGTGCGGGACGCGGAGAAGAGGAGAGATGTGGAGGCTATAGATCACGTTATGTAAATGGTTTCTGATCGACGTCTATGCCTGAATAGTCTCGGTACTGAGCTTGGATTTCACCTTCTCTGGTTTCTGTGCGCAGTCAGTGAAGTAGTTAGAGATTCGATTGACGGGTAGTCACACTCCTTCTTTACGTTGTATCACTGCTGCTCTTGCGTTGTTCTACACTCACACAGAGGTCCACCCCCAGAATCTTGCTCAACACAAATCAAACAAGGAAACCGCAAATATACGTGTCGCACTGTGTGGTATTTCCATATATACAAGTTCACAGGAACAGAACAGAACCCGAATCCGCCGGTACGCCAAGAATTTGCATGTCCTTCACTCTCCTGTATTTTACTTATGCTCCTCCTCGTGATGTCCCTCGTGATGTGCCGAATGCTCGTCTTTGAAAAGCATCTGCTCAGCGACGAGATATCCGGCGAAGGCGACGGTTGCGATGCCGAGGCCGGGGAAGGAGCCCTTGAAGCGGTTGAAGCGGGAGAAGGGGCCGGTGTATCGCCATTGCTCGCTGTGCAAAGGTAAGCATGCTGCGCGGTAAGAGTTGATATATAGAGGCGTACTATCGCGCCCACGGGTCGCCTCTGGTGCCGTTTCCTGCGGCTGCGGCGAACTTCCTGGGATCAAAGCCGGTGATGGAGGGGCGTGGTGCCATGATGATGGACTGTAGGGGTCAGCGATGACTGCGCGGTGCACCAGAGTTGTCAATTGGCAGGTTGATGAGTCTCACATACTGTGAAAGCCTCTTTGAGCAGCTAAAGAGAGAGGCGCGGCGTAGATAGGAGCGGTTGTGAAGCAGCGCGACGTTTGGTCAACGGCAACCATTGATGCATGTCTTGGCGTCGATCAAGCTCGGGCCCTCATGAACCACGTTGGAGGACTCCCGCGATGTCCACACTCCCATCACTCCCCGCAGGACCCCTCGCTATTCGCACACCCACAAGCGCGATATTTATTTTATCGAAGCCAATTCTGAGTCCACAGGCGCTTTCTTGTGTAGCCTTTGCCCCTGGTGTGGTTAGAGGCAAACTCGAGGGACTCGGGCGCATTCATCCTTCTCCAACAATCGCCAGACACAACGACGCGCAACATGCCGCCGCCTCACGGAGGTCGCTTCCCCGGTCACAACCTCTCGAACCCTTTTGCACATCTCTCTGGCCCGATACCACAGCAACCGCAGCTGCACCAGCAACACCAGCAAAACATACAGCACCAGGGCTTTGGCGGTACCCAGGGCCACAACCTCAATCTTTTCGGCCAACACCAGAGCGGCTTTCAGTCAAGTGCAGGGCTAGGTGGCGGCCTCGGTGGTGCAGGACTGGCAGCGGCAGCGGCTCTTGGGGCAGGTGGAGGGACGGGGCTGGACGGTCATGAAGCGCGTATGCGCTTCGCCCACGGTGCCCAACTACAAGAGAATGCGGTGCGCGGACAAGATGGCGCAAAAGGCCTGGCAGGCCAGCGCATCCGCGAAGTGTGGCGGTCGAACCTGCACCACGAGCTGGACATGCTGCGCGCGCTTATTGATCAATATCCCTACATTAGCATGGTCAGTATACCTTCTCTCTTCAAGTCGTTCGGGCGTCGTTCCTACCGGGGCTGTGTCTAATATGTGTACGAAGTGCGCCATCGACGGTGGCAGGACATCTTCTTTCACTGCGGTAGCTCCTTTTCTCTCTCTATTATATCATGCTAGACCCCGTGCTCACGCTTCACATAGGACACAGAATTCCCCGGTGTTGTCGCACGCCCGATTGGTGACTTCAACTCAAAAGCATCATATCATTACCAGACAGTGCGCTGCAACGTCGACCTCCTGAAAATTATACAGCTCGGCGTTACCCTCTTTTCAATACAGGGCGAGATTCCCCCATCACATCTCGACCCTTCACAACTCAGCTACCAACCAAAATCACTACAACGCTATGCCAATAATATCGTCGTCTGCCCTTGCACATGGAGCTTTAACTTTCAATTCTCACTAGACGATGACATGTATAATGAGGAGTCAATCCAAATGCTGAAGAAGTCCGGCGCCGACTTTGACAAGCACAAAAACCAAGGTATCGACCCGCAAGAGTTTGGCTCGCTTCTTATCACATCTGGAATGACCCTTACCGACGACGTCAATTGGATATCCTTCCATTCTGGCTACGACTTCGCATATCTCGTAAAGATGCTCAGCGCGAAACCATTACCAGAGGATGAAGACACATATCGAAAGCTCGTCGAGGTCTTCTTTCCCCGACTTTTGGACGTCAAGTACCTCTGGCGCCATGCAAATAACTTGGTCCGCCGCGGTGTGATAGGATCAACAGCGACCAACATTCTCAATAACCTAGGGACGAAATCAGGACTTCAGGATCTGGCCGATGAGCTCGGTTGTCAGCGCGTGGGCAACTCGCACACAGCTGGTTCTGATGCGTGGCTCACCGGAACTGTCTTCTGGGAGATGAGGAAGAAGATATTTGAGGGCAATGTTCCCGAGGAAATGAACGGCCAGATGTGGGGACTCACAGGTGTCGGTCCTCCAGCGAGTGCAACGGCACAAGCTGCTGTACTAGCCGCACAAGGCGCGCAGAACCTGTCAGGATTTCAAGGTATGAATGGCGGTATGATGTTCCACCCGGGCCAGCAAAGACATGGCGACGGGCCGAGCACACCAACCAACCACCCAGCAGGCCTTGCGTCAACACCGGGTCCCTCAGGACAGGGGGGCATGATGACCCCAGGAGCGTACGGAGGCTATGGTGGGAAGTAATTGCGTTTGCTCAACATTGATACTGGAAGAAATATGTAGAACAGCAAAAGTCTATTGTAGCAGATACCCCAACACACGGATCGGAGCAGCCGGTCTGAAAATGGAATGAAATTCAACAGGTGCTTTACCACTCTCGTGTTATGCTTCGTCATCAACCTTGTAAACACACTCTTCCATCTCCATCAGCGGGCTACACAATGCACACGTTCACCTACAGTCCAGCGGATAGCACTTATCGATAGACTCCCGAATTTCATATCGTGATATAGTCAGAATCGACATAATTTGCTAGAAGTTATCATAGATCCTATTAGGAGGTCTATTCCGTATATATGTACAAAACGATCGGTGTGGTCTCGTGTTCTTCTGTTTGGTAGGCGTTGACGATCCAAATAGGTTATCCACTATGATATATGTAAAGCAATATCACAAGCCAGAATGGATACGTAGACGCTGAATAGCTGTTGCACCGACACATAGAGTGTATTGTATGGGCACGCATGGGAAATGAATCGATGGAGCTGGCAGTGTGGGATTGCTCTACATGTTGAAGCGTGTACGCTTCTTCTCCATCCTGCCCTTCCACTGCCATTCCTGGCCGCTCTTGAATTGGATGGCGCGATCTATGCGGCGGAGTTTGAGCGTCATGCGGGGACTGGAACTGCGTTAGCGATTGCTTTGGACGAGAAAGATTTATTCATGACATACCCAATTTCCTGCATACCCACCTTGACTTCCTCGACCCCCTTCATTGGTTTGCCATCAGTTCCAAGAATCGGCTTTTCTGTCTCCCGCTTGTCGCGAAAGACGTAACGATGGCGTCGGATGAAGATGTAATCGCGCTGGTTGTGTAGTGTGAGCACTTGTCTCCCTTCCAACTCTGGTGTCGCAGGAAACAGGCCCTTGAACAGATGTGCCGTCAGGATACCCAGCGGCGTTTTAAAATTATTGAGTATCAACTCTGGATAATGCCCAGTGTCGTTCGCATGGCGGGGTAGTTTCTTCCCCTCGACCCAATTTGTCACGCTGAAGTGGAAGTGTGGTCCATTGGGAAGATGTATGACGTCTAGCCCATCAGGCTTCTTCTCGTGCTCCGCTTGCATCAGGACGACTAGTGCTGTGTATTCCCGCGCGGACGCGAATTGGGCAATCTCGCGAACAGAGTATTTGTGCGCATGAACATGAGCAGTGCGCCGGATGTATGTGCTGTTTGGAAAGAACGAGGTAAGGATTTCGGCTTCTTTGTAGAGGCTTGAGTTTATCGAGGTGGTGATGAGGATCTTAGGTTCCTCCACGGGTTCGAAGAGTTGCGGGAACTTTTGCTTGAGGAATTCTGGGGAGAGTTCGAGATTTGTTGCGGTCGAGGTAGCGGGACTTGTGGCGCGTTTCGGAGGCTCGACTTTGCGTTTTCTCGATGGTGCGGACTCTGAGTCCTCGCTATCCGAGGCTTCGTCGAGGTCCGAGTCGGAGTCGAGCATGCTGTCTGCGTCGTCATCCTGCTCTGAATCTCCGTCGACGTCTTCCCTTTCCCTCTTCTTCAGCTTCGCCAGTACTCCCTCTTCTTCGCCGTCTTCAACTTCACCCTGTTCGGCCGCTTCCTGCTCCAGCTTCCTCCTCTTCGCTAGTCGCTCAACGTCCACCGCCCAGCCCAGAGCATCTTCCTCGTCTCCCACTGGCTCGTCGTCCCACACTCGCTTGCTGTCGATTGTGGCCGGTACATTGCGGGCCAATCGCTCTTCCCGCAATGTAGTGTCTTTTGCTTCCTCGCGCTTGCGGCGGTGTCTCAAATCGCGCTTTTCGGCCTCCTTGGCTTTCTTGATCGAGAGATGTGCAGCTTGTCGGCGCAGCTTGTTTTTCGGCTTGAACCCGGCAGGCGCACTGGTGGTAAACGCCATAGTTGAAGTTATGCGCTCAAGTCAAGTTCACACCTGCACCTTTCCTCCAACTTTTTAGCGGGGCGGCGATTCCTTCCTCCGGCAACTCTTGGCGCGTCGCATTGCAGTCAGAGCGTCGAGGGTCATGAACGTTGACGTAGTTTCATCTGTATATATTGCATCTAGTTCTTTATTAGCTTCTGTTCTCCTCTGACACACGAGAGGACATAGAGTGTATGCGCCAGCTGTCGCGGTTGTTGCGCGCCAATTGTCTTTCTTCTTCACTGCGGTCATGCAGACCCGATTTTAGTGCCCCGCCTTCCCTTGTATATCCCACCAAGAGCTTCACCACAACACCAGCCCACTTAAGATTTGAAGTTCCCAAGCGGAAAGAACAAGTCATCATGCCTGGCGATATGACCACGTTCAAGGGCAAGCCCTTTGACCGGGTTTCGCTCGAGTCTCTCATGAAAGTACGCAGCCGACATATTTTGAGCGCTCGCTGGGAGTCACACTAACAAATGCAGCGCCGGCTCTTCTACACGCCTGCTTTCGACATTTATGGCGGTGTTTCCGGTCTTTACGATTATGGCCCGCCTGGCTGCGCCCTTACGAACAACATTGTCGACACATGGCGGAAACACTTTGTGTTGAAGGAGAACATGCTGGAGGGTAGGGCGCACGAGACTTTGGCCGGGAACCATGACTGACAGATGGCAGTGGACTGCACCATGCTTACGCCGCACGAAGTCCTCAAGACCTCCGGCCATGTCGACAAGTTCGCCGACTGGATGTGCAAGGACCCGAAGACTGGCGAGATCTTCCGAGCAGATCACTTGGTTGAGGAGGTGCTGGAGGCTAGGCTGAAGGGCAACAAGGAGGCACGCGGCCAGAAAGTTGAGGCGGAAGAGGAGGACCCGAAGAAGAAAAAGAAGAAGGTCAAGAACATCGCCGCTGTGAAGCTGGACGATGCGCTGGTGCAAGAGATTGAGGAAGTGCTGGCAAAAATTGACAACTACAACGGGGAGGACCTTGGTCTTCTCATGAAGAAGTACGACATCAAGAACCCGGCAACCAACGGCGAGCTCCTCCCACCAGTCGCCTTCAACCTCATGTTCCAGACCACAATTGGACCTTCCTCGAATATGCCCGGCTACCTGCGCCCAGAGACTGCCCAGGGCCAATTTGTGAACTTCCAGAAACTCCTCGAGTTCAACCAGCAACAAATGCCCTTTGCTTCTGCGTCCATCGGCAAGTCTTTCCGTAACGAAATCTCCCCTCGAGCCGGTTTGCTACGCGTACGAGAGTTCTTGATGGCCGAAATCGAGCATTTTGTTGATCCCGAAGGTGGCAAGAAGCATCCTCGTTTCGAGGAAGTCAAGGACGTTGAGCTCGAGCTTTTGAATCGAGACGTTCAGCTTTCTGGCAAAACTACTGTTGAGACGACCAAGATCGGCAAAGCTGTCGAGACTGGTCTCGTGGACAACGAAACACTTGGCTATTTCCTAGCCCGCATTCAGCAATTCCTCCTCCAAATTGGAGTCGACCCGAAGAAGATTCGATTCAGGCAACACATGGCCAACGAGATGGCCCACTACGCAGCAGACTGCTGGGACGCGGAGCTGCTTACATCGTATGGCTGGATCGAGTGTGTTGGCTGTGCCGACCGAAGCGCATACGATCTCACCGTGCACATGAAGAAGACGGGCGCCCCTCTGGTTGTCCGTGAGCCGAGAAAGGAGCCGCTCAAGATTGAAGAGTGGCAATGCGACCTCGACAAGAAGAAGTTTGGCCCTAAATTCAAGAAGGACGGCAAGACGGTAGAAGCGGCCATCGAGGCTCTGTCACAAGACCTGCGAGAGAAACTCTCTTTGGACTTGGAAAAGGAGGGCAAGATTGTCATCGACGTCCCTGGTGTTGGCGATGGCAAGGTTGAGGTTCCCAAAGAGCTCATCAACATTGAAAAGCGCACCAGAGTGGAGAATGTACGGGAGTACACGCCGAATGTCATCGAGCCATCTTTCGGTATCGGGCGAATAGTCTACGTAAGCAACGCCGTGCCAACCTGGGATCGTTATACTGACTACCTTTAGGCTCTTTGCGAACACATCTACTGGACCCGCGAGCAAGACGAGGCCCGTGGTGTTCTATCCTTCCCTCCAACAGTCGCCCCCACCAAGGTTCTCATCGTCCCATTGAGCTCACACACCGACTTCAAGCCCTTTGTACGAACACTAAGCGACAAGCTTCAAGATAGTGGCATCTCCAGTCGCGTCGATGACTCTGGTGCATCGATTGGCAAGCGCTACTCGGTACGTCATTTGGTTGCTGTGAAACGTAATCATGCTAACAAGTTGCAGCGTAACGACGAGCTTGGTACGCCCTTGGGCATCACTATCGACTTCCAATCCGTCAAGGATAGCACTTTCACATTGCGAGACCGTGACTCAACAGAGCAGGTTCGTGCCAGCCTAGACGACATCATCAAGGCTATCTCAGGCCTTGTGAACGGCCGAGAGAAGTGGTCAGATGTCTCTGCACGCCTACCGAAATTTGAGGGCCAGGAGGTGGATTAGATGCTGCAGCCAAGGGGCCGGCAAAAGGTTTCATACGCTTTAGGATTATAGATAGGGCGCAAAAGCTTGGAATATAGCCCAGGTGCTAATTCTGGAGCATGAAGCATGTATTAGTGTCTGCAATAAAAGCAGTATATCGAAAGGCGTATTAGGTTACGTCTGTTATGTGCTCCTTTTATAGGGCTCCTCACAAAACGAACCAGGACGTGATACTGATTCGACAGTGTGCATTTCTCTGACACGCACACTTTTCACACCCACTTCCCATTGATGCTCGACACGTTGCATGTGCTCCCTGGCCACCATCTCTCGCTCGCCTACCCCGATCTGGCATGGACTTGTTCCTACATTCTGGATACAACGGCGCCGCGGAAGCGGCCCTGCTACGCCGCATCCCAGGCAGGAGGATGCCAACCCACGTCAAGAAGTTAAGGGAACCAGGACGCCCAATCGATTTCGCAATCGCCAGCCTTCCTGCAACCCGGCCGTGTGGTCGCAGAGCGGCGTCATGCACCAAGATCCGATGCCCTTGGTAATAAACAGCCATGACAATAATATAGTTGACAGCACAGATTTCCAGTAGGCCAATCTAGCCTGTCCGGCGCGCAACCACCCGCTGCACCTCCCAGGATCCTCGCTAGCAAAACACCAACGGGTTGCAACGTGTTGAGCAGCGTGAAGTGTTTCCATAGAGAGCAATAATACAAGCCTACCCCGAGTGGATTGCGCAACCAGCGGCAACGGGACCAAACAACCCACCCTTGGCTGGTATCGATGAATCTGGTCCGCCAGTACGGTAGAGCGTCGATCTCCTAGTACCCCACGTCACCGTCCTTGTTCACCATAACCCATCTGCAGTTGACAAGGGGGGGCAGAAGTCGATGTAACCCTAGACACATGCCACTGCTCCCACTCCGCGCACACGGACGTACCTACGGAGATTGCGACACAAGATTGCCAGCCCATGGATGTTTGCGCACATCGTGAGCTGTTGCCCCTCCCAGCATCATTTCCCCTCCATCAAGTGGTCCAACGGCTCACGCATTGGTAGCAGAAGCAGCGATAGCTCAACTAGGGCGTAGGCGCTTTGGAAATCCTCTTGGTAGCCGGCTGCGCTTTGTAATTCAGCTGTGTCAGATCACGAGGCCACCACGGTCCAAGGTTGTCGAAATAGCCCAGGCCCTGCATGGCTGCAGCCGCTGCTGTACATCACTGATTATTAGACGCTCTGTTTGGCTGTTTAGCTGTCTCAGGATTTGGTCGAGACTGACTGCTTAAGCTACTCTGAGGGCTACTGTTTCTGATTCCCCTTACAGCTCACCTGCGCAAATTGGATACTTACAAAAGCATAATCAGCGGACCACCACGTACAGCTAGTGCTTCGACATCAGCGCCACCAGCGCCGTCTCCGCTCCGATCCAGCCATCGAACAGTCTCGGGCTGACTGTACGCGCTTGCTTCTCAGGGCTTCCTGTATTGCTCCCCTACCCTAAAATCAAGCGCCGATCGCTTAACCCCAACACCAACCTTTGACACTATTCCTCCCTCGGACTTTGCGGATGCAGCGCTCCTAGAAGAAACGAAGAAAACCACTCCTCTCTCTATAGATCCCTCTTTCACCACTCGACTATCGCAAGTGAGATCGCCCAGGCCCTGGAGTTCGCTTCTTACCATGGACCCGGGACAGCCACCACCCGAAGATCCGGTAGCACCTCACACAGCTTCTCCACCCAAACGGCAGCGAGCTGACTCGGGGAGCTCAACGTCAATCGAGTCAAGGCAAGTAGCCGCTTTTCCCATGTTGATAGTCTTGATTTTGCTTTACCTCGTTTTCCTGGTCTTAATCAAAAGTCATTACGACGAGTTGAGCCCCTCGCTTTAGTCATCCAAAGCTGACATGTGAATGCAACAGTCGTTCTGTACGCACTCTGACGTCCGACGACCTGGAATACATCCATGAAAATGGCCGTACTTATGGTAACGAGACGTATTACCTACCATGTGTCTACCTGCCTGAGAATGACTTCAAGGAGCAAGACCGTTTATCTCTTCAACACCAGATATTCGTCCATGCCTTGCAGGGAAAACTGACAACTACACGGCTCCTGCTCTCCACACGAAGAATACTTGATATAGGGACAGGGCCGGGCCATTGGGCTGTTGCAATGGCGCGTCAGTATCCACAAGCAGAAGTCGTCGGTATTGACATGACGGAGTGGGACCTGGACACCACGGAGGCCACATTTGGCGACTGCAGAGTGACCTGGGAACTAGATGATTTGGATGTGTGGGGCAGGGAGACAGTGGTCGACGATCTTGCCGCTCGACTGGCGCAGTACGACTTCTTCACGGAAACCACGCATCGAAATCCCATTGAATCGCCGACGAGAAGTGAGCTCAATCACCCACATACCCATCCAGACACCTCAGTCGAGTCCTTGACCATTGACCTTTCCAATCTCGAACCGCAGCCCGAACCAGGGTGGCATTTCAGCGACGAATTCGATCTGATACACCTACGCAACATGAAAGGCAGCTTCGCACACTGGGAAGATGTCTATGCGGAAATCTACAAGAGTTTATCGCCCGGTGGCTGGATCGAGATTGCCGACTACGACTTGGGACAAGTACCTCTCCCCGCCGACAATCACGATCCATCAGCGCTCCCCATGCCCACCCTTCGTAAGCTCTACAAGGCGCTCATGGAAGCATCGTTTAAATCAGGGCGACCGCTCGGCACCTTTTACATGCACCCTTCCTACCTCGAAGAAGCAGGCTTTACTGATATAAAAACGATGCACGTCAACGTGCCGATCGGCCAATGGGCAGACGACGAAGCGCAAAGAACAATCGGAAAGCTAATGCTCGTAGTCGTCATGGAGACGTTCGAAGCGAGCTTGCTGCGGCTGTTGACGAAGTGGGGTGACAGGGAGAGGGTGTGGACTGCTGAAGAGCTCAAAGCAGAAATTGCCGTCGCGCAGCAGGAGGTTGGAGATTGGTGTGTGAAAGCCGAGAGGCGGGAGGTGGAAGGCTGGTGTGCGAGTTTCAAGTGGATTACTGGGCGAAAGAGTTGGCATGCTATTTAAGGGCTGGCGGTTTCGCGTTGTACGTCTTATAAGGGGCGATTGTTTTGCATTGCACATCTACCAGGAAACAAAAGGGGTTTGTTCATGAGATATATGCGCGTCTAAGATTGATAACTACCAGACAGCACTTCGTTATCGTCTGCCATTTAACGGCCGAGAATCTCTCGACCCTTCCTCTTCCTCGCTCAAATCATCTAATTCAAACTCTTGTACTCCTCTCAGAGCCTCCTCTTCATCCTTCACCTTCCCAAACCCCTTCGTTTCATCCGCTGGATTCGGATATGGCGTAGCACAACCCTTATTCCTTAGCGCCGGATAATACCTTCTATATGTATAATGCGCGACCGCCATGCCCAACACCGAGCCAACCGAAACGTCATAGACGTCGTGTCGGTAGTCTTCGCAACGCGAAATTGCGATCAACGCAGCACCGAGCAGCGGCGCAAGAGCGAGCAGGACACGCGCCAGATCAGCTCGTGGACGGTAGACATGGCACTGCCCCGCAATAAACAGTGCCAAATAGCCCAACCCGCTGAAGGAGAAGCTGCTATGTCCACTTGGAAAACTCCTCCATCCATCGTGCAACACATGGTGGTTCGGCTCTGTACACACTTCAAATGTAACCAACTGATGTGCAGGGGTGCCCGGCGCAGGCTTACAGCGTGCAATCAGGTCGGGTCGTGGCCTCCCCACTGCGTTCTTTATTACATCGGTTATGAAGAGTGTCAGGATCATGCTGATGAACCAGCCGAGGATCGTGACGTGTGCTTTGTGTGTTCCCGGGCGGACGACGAGGGCCCAGGCTACAAGGGTTCCGAGGGGGACGGCGCCGGCGTAGATGAATAGCCATGCTGGAGTTGTGTTAGCCCGAGTCTTCGCGGGTGTATATGGAATACAGAGGCTGAAATGGACGTACCGACAGACACACGCTCGATTTCCGCGTGTGGGTACCCAATGGCCAGGTTGTCTAGGAAGAACATGCGATGGAAGGGTTCAGCGAGGAATTGTATCTGTATCTTGGCCGTCAACTGGGTGGATTCTGTGCCTTTGCAGTCCAGAGCATACGCACCAGAATATATCCGCTTATGAGAATTGCGAGGCCGACATAGTCAGAGGCATATGAGCGCTGTAACTTGTTAGTTTACCGTTTAGTCTGAAAGGAAGACCAAGAGAGTTTGCCCTTACCTGCCAGAAGCGCGCAGCGGCTCCTAAGACGCCCGGGGAAGTGAGTAAATCATTTGAGCTGCGCCTGGGTGGTTGGGCAGGCATTTCCAGTGCGTCAATGACTATTGCTCATTGCTAGTGAGAAAGTCGGAGTGTATCGAGAGTTTCGGAGGTGTGGCTTCAACTCCGCAGCTGGGAGCATGCAGGGGGGTTTAGCGCGTGAGCCCTGTGCATCATTGCTGGAAAATGCGTCAGACACGACAACACAACACCACAATTCCACATATCAAGGATGGAGGAAAGATTCCTTGGTTGGGAGATTCTTGTTGTACTTTTCAGTATGTTGATGTGAGCGTCGACAACCGCCCTCCGTCAACCACAATCACGCTTCCATTTACATACGCTCCCGCCTGCGACGCCAGATACAAGATCGCACCAGCGATATCCTCTTCCTTTCCCGGTCTCTCGGCCGGCACAATGCCTTGCTCCAACACGCCACTTTTGCCCGGGTCTAAACTGCTCATGATTCCTCCTGCAAGATCCGACGGAAAGATGCCAGGTGCGAGCACATTGCATCGAATCTTGAACGGGACGAAAGTGGTTGCCATCATCTTCATCATATGCGCAACAGCTGCTTTGCTACTATTGTATGCGAAAGATGCGCCGTTCAGTCTGCTGAAGCCGCCAATGCTGCTTGTTGCGATGACTTGACTGCGCCAGTCGGGTCCCATGTTCGCTGTCTTGTTACCTGCATCTAGCAGTTCTAGGAAAGCCAAGGTCGTGTAGTAGACACCCGTTGTGTTGACCGCGTACGTCCGAGTAAAGTCTTCCATGGGCGTCTTGAGTGCGTGCGCCCTGTACTCCGCTATAGAAGGCGGTGGTGCATCTGGAGCGTTTTTGAGCGGGCGAGGACCCATGATGCCAGCATTCGCGATGAGGAGATTGACGTAGCCGATTTCTACTTTTACGCGCTCCACGACCTGGATGAGAGATTCTTGCGAAGTAATATCGCCCGAGATTGGAGTGACAATCTCAGGGTTGATGTCTTCGGCTGCTTTTCGAAGAACATCTTCTCTACGTCCGACAATGAAGACTCGATGAGCTCCGTTGGCCACGAGAGCTCTAGTGATCATTAGTCCGATGCCTGGGGAGTTTAGCTGCTTCCTTTAACATCAGTAGGTCCTTCGAAATACCAGATCCTCCCCCCGTGACAACAGCTACGATGCCGTTGACGTGGAAGAGTGCTCCAGCGATAAGGTTAGTTGACATTATGTAGCTACGAACCAGTGATAGAGAGTGTGCATCATGAAAGTCAACTAGATCCATCCCACATTTGCGATGTTTAGATACGGCCCCGCACTCCGAACTAACACCATGGTACTACCAACATGGTTATGTGTATTGGCCGTTGTTGGTATATGCATCGGAAGTTCAAGTAGCCTATAGCGTGTTCTAGCGTGTTTTCCTGATGACGTAAAGGTATACTGGACCTTGCCTTCGTCGCGTTGTAGGCCCCCTTCAGCATTGATCCTTCGCTTTACTTTCTCAAAGGCCTCGAAGAAAAAGGTCTTTACATCCATGCATCCATTAACGCAATGGCGTGGAGTGTCTTCCCAATTTCTGTCGGACCAGAGGGGAAATGTAAGTGCAAAGAAATGGTTGTAGAACACAGTGCGGCTCTGACATCTAACCTTTGTGGTCACAACCCACCTACACAGCCTCTTGATCTTCGTGTGTAGGACTTTCGCAACGCTGTTCCGTAGCAGATATTAGAAATACTTCCAAAAAGCACTCTATCCTATCGGCAACATGCATGACAATGGCCTTGGGCCTTGATCTCGCTTCGAGTCGCGCGGTTAACCACTGGTTGTCAATGGTCCCCCAAAGCCCCCAAGTATCATGTTGCTGCGCCGCACACACGCATCAAGCAAGTGACTGAGTAAAACACACTCATTACCCAGATTTCCTGGTAGTGTTTGATGTTCCTGAGGATACACTTCGTTCTTTCAATCGTTAACATCGTTCATTGCCGCGCTTTTCCTTTCTCCATTATTGTCTTTCGCTGCCTATCATGACTTCGCAGCCATCGAAGCGAAACTCTACTCAATGCACGCTCGAAGCGGTACCGAAATCGGAATTAGCAACTTCATACACCTACTCAGTACCTGATCGCTCAGATGCGTATGCTACTATCGCGCCGGCGCATGAGTACTACGAACCAACACATAATGAACCCGTTCCTCCAACACGGATCTGGACGCGATGGTATCTTCTCCTCTTGTACGGGATCTTGATCGCGGTAGCTGCAGGCGTAGTAGGAGGATTCGTCGGGAAATCAATGTCCGACAAGCAGAACAACAACAATAATAATAATGATAACAGCCTACCTGGACAATCGCAGTCTTCATCCTGCCCAACCATACCCACCAACGCTTCAATACCCTCACCAACATCAACACCACCCAGCAACGTCTTCGCGCGCACTATCCCCGTCCCCACCACCGGCTGCAATCCAACCAACGTCCAAAAGTCCTTCAAAACATTTTCTTCGTTCCTTGACGTCTCGTACACGACTTTCTGCATGACGGGCTGGCAGCGCAACGAGCTTGTCGCCCTATCTGTCGCCTCGCCCTCTGACTGCATAGAAGCCTGCGTCATGTACAATGGCCACAAGCAAGCAAGCGATCGGCCCTGTGTTGGCGGCGGGTTTATCCCCGCGTGGTGGAATCAGACTAAAGCGATGGATGAGTCAGGTGGGATGCCGTACAATTGCTTCCTGAAGAGTAATGATACTGGGGTTGGGAGGAATGACAGAGATATTGAGGTTGTGAGTTTGTGTTTACAGGGCGCTTGTAATGGTGTTTTGGGATAGGAATTGGGAAAAGAGATTACGTTTTATTGATAGGTACGCGTGCACGGATTCGAAATCTGTGTGAATACTGCAGTAGGGGATGAAATCGTCACATGGAACGAAACTAATTCGATACGTCTCAAAAGTCGTTATGGTATTCATCGAGTACGGGCGAGATAGGGTGTCTGTTACGCCTTAGTCCCTAGTAAGATAGTCAATGCCTAATAATCGTCCGTCTACCTGTATACATTTATAAGGATTCAATAGATGCCGTGATCGGTGTCGTGCTGATTGTCTCCAGCCTTCAAATAATACTTCTCCTATGAATCTTGATCACCAAAAGGATAGTTGAACTTGAGCAAAGCGTTCAGCCCGCCTACCCAGTGGTCTTCAGCCATATCTTCTTTGCCCATTGTTCCGCGCACGATGCTCGGTACGCCGCCTTCCCATCCTCCATCATCTCGCCTCACCTCCTCTCCAGCTATTCGAACTTCCATACCAGTGCCCAGCTTCTCTGTGATTGTTTTGCCATCGATGCTGACTTCGACTTCTCTGCCTCTATTCTTCTTCCCTAGACGTAGGGTGATGGGCGTTTCAGCAGGCAGAACAAGGGGTCTAAATGATAACGAGCGCGGGCAAATGGGCGTGACGAGTAGGGACGGAACGAGCGGATGCACTATGCTTCCTCCGCTAGAAAGACTGTATGCCGTCGATCCGGTGGGTGAGCTGATGATCATGCCATCTGCCACAGCCTCAGTGAGGAAGCGATTGTTGATATAGACATCGATGATCTTGAGATGCGGACTCGAGCCACGATGTAGTGTCACTTCATTTAGGGCATACGTGTCGCCTTCTCCCTCTACGCCACCAATCCTCTTTCCATCTGGCCCGAAGACGCCAACCTTTAGACGATTGCGTAGTAGGATACGTGCTGTTCTGTTGCTTCCCATGGCTTTTCCACGTATGTCTGCGTAGGACAGTGGCTTGTCAAGCGGATCCTCGGGCGACGTAGGTAGCCTTGGGGGGTTGCCGCCCAATGAGTCAGATAGCGTCGAATACGTGTCGGGTGCGCCGCTCATGTACACTTCTCTAAATGCTCTCTTGTACTCCCTGAACTTGAACTCTCCTAAAAACCCAATGGTGCCCATGGCAAAGCTTAACACAGGTGGCACATTTGCCGCCTGGCTGAACAGACTACTAGCCCGTAGCAAAGTGCCATCACCTCCCAGCGTGCAGACCAGATCGGTTTTATCCGAGAGATGCTGCGGTACGCCGAGGCCCTTTTTATAGGTATATACGGGGAAAGGGAGCTGTTCATGCAGTTCCTGCGCGGACTCTGGCTCGAGTATGATGTTGATGGAGGGGTACGTGGAGTGTATGTGGGTAGTGAACTCGAGGACGGATTCTGTGATGTTTGGTGTCCGTTTCTTCTTGGTGACGAGGACGTTGCGCGGTGGAGAGGGCCATTGCAGGCTGAGAAGGGTATTCGCAGGCGACTGTATGTACGAGGGCTTTATGCGTGAGGGCAGCTCGGAGATGCTCTTGATCTCGAGTCGTGAGTGGGTTAAAGAGAATTGGCGTGCCTGCGATGGTTGGGCAAAGAGCCGCCATGGCAGGACTCGGTGTTGTACAAGCTTCATTGTGGGAAGCTGCAAGCGTGCCTAGAGCAAGATGAAACAAAACAGACGCAGATGCTATCGTCTAATGTCTAAGATGTGATTTGCGCGGAGCTCAGATGGTCGCATGTGGGCCATATGATCTGCTATTGACGCGTCTTCGTCGGTGGTGCACGTCGCGTCGTCGAACTGTCGTGTGCTGTCGCGGGGAGTGAATGCTAGATCGCGGAGATAGTTTCCAGTGAAGGAGTAATCTCCATCTTCACATGCAAGTCTCACATGCAAGTGGAGCAGCGCAGAGCTTGGGTGAAAAGGTGAAAAGTTGCGAGTGGATGGGCCCTAGTTCCCGCTACGCACGCGCCCCATCCCTGTCGCGGGGTGCTTTCGTCCGCATCCGTGGTGTGGTCATCAGCTTTGAGATGGAAGGCTTCGGATCGGCATCAGCTCGTTCCTGCACAGCTCACCGTGCCTAAGAAGAAGCCATGGCCATATGCCGCGGCCTGATGACTCTGCAACACCTTGACATTCCCCCGTCCGACACCGACAACACATGAACACTGCCACTCGCTTCGTCGTTGCTCCCCACCGCATACCTCGACCACCCTAGCTCACAGGTCCACCTGAGCCGCGCCCTACGCTGCCTTGTTCATTCCCTCTACACCTCTCACGACCCTCATACGACCTGCTCCATGAATAGTACCATGACGACCGAAGGCCTGAAGCAGCGGCAGCGGCAGCCGCCCGCATCCGTGCCTGTAATCAAGAAGCTGAGAGAAGAGAGGCTTGGGAAAGCCACAGAGCCCACGCCACACCCAGGTGGAAAGATCAAGCATGGAGTCGCGAAGCAAGCTCTCCGCATGTTCTTGTTCGCCGTGTACTTTAGTACAAGCATATTCGCGTGGGTATACACGGTTCGCTGACATTCGGTCGCAGTACACTAACGCCATGCTTCAGTATCGCCATTACGCAATATATCGGCCTTCCGCTATACTTCTACAGCAAGGACCTGTTTTACGCCTGGATGGCGTTGTCAAAGCAGCATTTTGGCATTGTGTCAACCACCATGACGTATTGGTGGGCACCGGTCAAGATGCGGATCAGTGGAGATGAGAGTGTGAGGGGACAGTTCAGGAAGACCGAGGACGGAAGACTAGAATGCGACTTCCCAGAACGCATGGTCCTCGTCTCGAATCACCAGGTTCGCCAGTCCATGTCACTACCATTCGTCTAGCACGAGCTTACGCGCAGCAGATTTACACCGACTGGGTCTACCTCTGGTGGATATCCTATACCGCCTCCATGCATGGCCACCTCTACATCATTCTTAAAGAATCCATACGATACATCCCTATCCTCGGAACCGGCATGATGCTCTACGGCTTCATCTTCTTATCGCGCAAGTGGTCTACAGATAAGGAGCGCTTCCAGCACAGGCTGAAAAAGCTGAGCACTAGCCACAGCGGGCCACTGTCAGGTTCCAAGGGTCTCGATCCTATGTGGTTGCTCATATTCCCTGAAGGCACAAACCTGAGTGACAACGGCCGCATTGCGAGCAAGAAGTGGGCGGATAAAAACAATATCGAGGACCTGAGACACGCTTTGCTTCCACGCAGTACAGGCTTGTCGTTTTGTCTGCAGGAGTTGAAGACTACGGTTGACTACATGTACGATTGCACACTAGCCTATGAAGGTGTTCCGTAAGTCCCTACACAAATTTCCTCTACTCACGAAGCACTAAACTCATGCCCACAGTGTCGGACAATATGGCCAAGATCTCTTCACACTCCGTGGTACATACTTCCAAGGCCGTCCCCCGAAATCCGTGAATATGCATTGGCGCCGCTTCCGCGTCGCTGACATCCCCACTCATGATGAGAAAGTCTTTAGTGATTGGCTGCTCGCCCGCTGGCGTGAGAAAGATGACCTCTTACAATATTTCGTCGAGAATCAGCGATTTCCAGCGGACGAAGGCGTCACACCCAACGTCAACGGGGGGAAGCCGCTAGAGGGCGCTGGCTGGATCGAAACAGAAGTCCGGCCTGTAAATTGGTACGAATGGTTACAGATATTTGTCCCATTTACTGCGCTAGCACTGGTCATCAACGTCATTCTAAAGATGGCGAATATTGTCTTGAAGGTGTTAAGAGTCAAGTAGAGCAGCGTCAAGAACCCTACCTTGGCGTGTCATGATGAAGACAATGACAAGATGTTTAGACTAGACGAGACCAGACGGGATCAGGAGGTCCTGAAATCGGCCCATTTTGCTTTTTGCTGTTGTTGTTTTTCAGCAGTCTAGACAGCTTGATACCCTAAATTCATTTTCATTATCTACTCTCGTCGTGGTACGCAATAACCACGCTTACTGTGATCGAGTATACCGCGTACTACTGTAGTAATCCTTCTTCGGGCCCTTGGCATCATAGCGGACTTCCCACCACAACTCGCCTCCCTCTCCCCTACCCATAGCTTCCAAAAACTGCCAACTCGCAGTGTACAAGTCTGCAGCACAGAGATGTTGCTCCCTGTTCTTTGCGTGCAATACGTGTACGTCGCCATGTGGTTTCAGCTCGCCCATCTCAACGAACAATCCGCCCACTCCCTCTCCCTTTTCTCCTACACCCTCTGCAGTGGTAGCAGAACGCGGCATCTTCTCGTCGTCGAAGAAATGCACTGCTATATAATTTCCCTTGTCTTCTTTTCCTTTTACCTCATCGTCTGCACTGTCTACCTCGCTTTTCAATTGGTACACATACTTCCGTCTCGCAGTGAATCGGAGTCCGCTGTCTGTTACGAAGTCGCCTTGTTCGGCGTAGAGCAGCGTTAGCGGTAAGGTCGTAGAGGAAGAAAGGTTGCAAGGTGTGAATGTTGCTGTGCCGGTTACGGTGCCTGAGGGATGTGTTGAGAGGGCTGAGCGGAGGGTTCGCGTGAAGTTCCATGGGCGGTCGTCGGTGGATTCTAGGTGCCGGAAGATGGCTGCTGGGATGTTGGGGAGTTTTTGCTTTGGAACCTCATCCTTATGATCGTGTTCATTTTTTGTTTCTGGCTCCTGTGCATCGGGCTTTGTTTGTCTGATAGGCAGACTGGTGGGTAACCCCGGTGTATTTTCGCTACTATGTTTTGTTGGCAGAGCTGCTTTCGGGTCCTGGCTTTCTAGCAAGACGGCATTGACGCTTTGTAGTGTCGCTCGACTCGGGTTCAACGCTGGATTGCTTGTTGTAATCCAACTTAGTCGCTGCTTGATAAACGCTTTATTGATTCCTTTCGCCTCCATCCTCTTTTTGAGGTCTAGCTGGCCCGCATCATCCGCATATAGACATAGAATCGCGAGAGCGGTGCCTACAGAAAGATCCTTGCTCGTTGGACAGCATACAAGAATGTTGTTGGGGTGTGCTGGAAAGGACGTGAAGAATGTCAGGAGTCGTGGGAGTTGAGACCGCAGGTCGCGAGATCCGAGCTTGCCCGTTTGACATTTAAGGTGGAGGTAGTGTTGTACGTTCGCGTCTTTTAAAGAAGTAGGGGAGAGTGGCTCTGGTGTGCAGCTTATGACCACGTTGAAACCTCCTAGATCAACGTTTTGACTTGATGAGATGTACAGCTGACTAGTCGGTTTGATTAGAGTCATAACCGCACTGCTCCCATCCTTTTCTGAGATTAGTCTTTCAATAAGACTCGGTGCATCTTCTTCACTGGTTCCCATAAGTAAGTCTTTGTTCTTCCAGAACAGAGTCGGCGTGAGTCCTTGCGCCCAAGCTTCGTGGTCATCTGCAGCGCCCTGAATGTACCCATTCTCGGACCCTTCAGCGCCACGGACTCGCCGTGATGCTGTGCAAAGGACGATGGAATGGAAACCAGGAAATGAAGGCGGCGAGCTGGATAGAGAGGATTGTTGAGTCACCCAGATAGGGCGAAGTGGTTTCTGAAGCTTTGCGCGCAGATTTGGGATGTTGGGTTTGCAGATGTCCTAATCTATATTAGCCTTGAATGGCAAACGCGTTGGGCGAAGAGACTCACCAGAAATTGATGCACAAGCCCTTCAATCCTCTTCTCAATCTGCGCATGCTCACTCTCACTCACAGCCTGTGGTGGCGTAAACAGCTCATGCTTCTCTCCGAAAATCGCTCGATTAACAACACAACACCATATTGGCACAGTCTTGCTCAACGCATCCGGCATACTCTTCCCCCTCCTCGTACTGTCCACGATGACCGCACCACCCCATTTCTCTACCACATCGAGCAGCTGCAAGTTCAATCTCCTGAGACTGAATCGCCATTCACCCATGTGGCCGTCCGTGCTCTTGAAATACACTGATTCGGATTTGAGGGAGGGTGGGATGTACCAGCTGCCGCAGCGTTCGTTGGCAACCAAAGGGAGGCTGTGTAGAACTGCGACTGACGTGACAAAGTCACTATCGGTTGATATGGAGGCGAGACGATTATGTATTGAGAGTGTAGAGCGCCGGAGGGATGACAGGGTTTGTGAGAGATTTGGAGTGTTGGACAGATGCGGGAATATAATGTCCGCCTCTTTTAAGGGTTGAGACATTATGGGCCTTTAGAGGATGAATTTTAACAAGCAGCGTCGCTTGAGCTTCGCAAGCCCCGCATCATGTCCGAAGATGAACTGATCTATGATCAGTATATGGGAGCTACAGTAGAATGGTAGATTTAAGCAACTCGCGAAGCTAGCGAGTTGTTAGATGGTGCACGTTGCGGTATGGAGGAGAGAATGACTACGCGAATCGTCCTTGAGACGGGTATAAAAGTGGAAGACACTAGGCCACCTTGAGATTAGCGTGGATTCGCTCATCTGAGGACTGCGCATTAAAAGTTTGTGGAAATGAGATCTTGCCCATAATCTATCCCATTTTCGCAAAACAACGATTATCTTATTGCGCGTATGATACGAGGGAACAGTATCAAGAAGAAGGCAACAGAGCGAGTGCACGGTCCCTCGGAGCAATGGGGTATTTGGGAGAACAATCGATTACCCTGGGTTCGACTGATGTTCTATAAAGGCATGTCCTGCACAGGATTTCTTGACGAACGAATAAGGATTTAATCCGCCATTAGTATCGATGACATCAACTAGTGTTGACTGGAGTGGCTGGAAGGATTTTGTCAGCTTTCGTTAGCGTACCGAAAGAACTAATCCGTCACGCTGTGTATGCGGATGAGCGAGTCGTACATATCGGGTTTAATATAAATGTAATAGCTTCCTAGGTCGGAAAATAAGGAAGGAGAGACGTCGAGAAACCAATGAACTACTCACCTTTGGTGATGTCGGTGAATTTGGATTAAATCCAGGAACCGTCGTATACGAGCGAAACGGATAGGACCCTAAAAGATAACAGACAAATCGTATCGTACTATACTACTAGCTTAAGATATACTCGTGTTAGTATGTGTCCAGTGTGATTCGCCCAATGGCTCTAACCCCCTGTTAGTTCCGCTCGTGCGGGGGAAGAGGCGGTGCTCCTCCGCCCGTACACTCAGGCGTAGTGCTGCACAATGGGTCGTTTCCTCTCAGAATTGCTCATCTAGTTACAAGGTTTTGTTATAGGCATTCTCCTCGTAGACGTCGCTACCGAACCGAAATTAGACTTTCTAGACTGGCTTATCGGACACGGTTCACGAAGCATGTCGAATCAACTTGTCTTGCAAACTCGGCTGACCTTATCCATCCGGACCGAGCCCATGCTGTCCACGTACAATAGAAATGACAACCTCCAAATGGGAGAGATGATAGACAGTGTCCGAAGATGGAACAAAGCACACATGCGGTGCATTATCGGGGATCGGGCGGGGAATCGGTCCTTTTACAACGTAGAAGTGACAATTTCGTGACGGTAAAGATACTACACATTTCCAAACATGGAGCAAGAAACGCACGCGGTGCATCCCCGGCAAACTGGCTGGGAGGCGTCCAGAGAGAGCACCTGTGCATATCAGGAAAAGTGGGGAACGCTAGCCGAGAGGGGTGCGACAACCCGACGGCGCCCTCTTATCACGTTGATAACGGCGCCCTAGAGAGAGAATGGTTGACAGCTCGAAAGCGACGCGATGAATGCTATTGGTAGGCGACGATAGAAACGCATCGAGACGTAGGCTTGGTATGCTTTGTATGCTATCGCGTCGCGGATCCGCATCCATCTACTTGCGATGATTTAAGACCCCGCTGGGTCCTTCCAGCTCTCCAGCTCTCACAAGTCAAGCCCTCCTCTCCTTCATACAACTCCCCCACACTTCACACGCAATGGCTCTCGATCGTTTGAAGCAAGCCGCCTCCCACCTGACTGGCCAGGGCGAGCCACCACATCCATTCGACCCTCTCACCGAGGTCGAGATTGAGCGAGCAGTCGCCGTCGTCCGCAAAGAGCACAGTGATGTCTTCTTCAACGCTGTTACATTACTGGAGCCGCGCAAGGCGGAGATGCTGGTGTGGGTGAAGGACCCCGAACATACGCCACGACCACAGCGAGTTGCTGATGTAGTCTGCATCGGCCGAGGAAGCAAGGTGTACGATGGGCACGTGAACCTGGACGAGGGAAAGCTACTCTCGTGGGAACTGACGGATGGCGTGCAACCTCTGGTAAGTTAACAGCGTGAATACCGAGGTCTATATAGGTCGCTGACGATGTGCATAGATTACTATGGAAGATCTCCAAGTCGTTGAAGCTGTCGTACGAAAAGATCCCAAGGTCATTGAGCAGTGCGGCATCATCGGCATTCCTCCGGAAGAGATGCATAAAGTGTACTGTGACCGTGAGTATGCCCGTAATTCTGGGCCAGAATCACACTGACAGCAAACAGCGTGGACGATTGGCTTCGACGAGCGCTTCGGCACCAAAGTTCGCCTTCAGCAAGCCCTCATGTATTATCGCCCACACGTCGATGACAGCCAATACAGCTACCCACTCGACTTTTGTCCCATCTTCAATGCCGATACTCAAGAGATCATTCACATCGACGTACCACCAATTCGGAGACCACTAAACAGGGCATCACCGAACAACTACCATGCGGCTGCTATCGAGGCAGAAGGCGGCTTCAGGACCGACTTGAAGCCTATTAATATCACGCAGCCGGAGGGCGTGTCGTTCAAGATCGATGGCCGACATATTAGCTGGGCCAACTGGAAGCTCCACATTGGCTTCAACTACCGTGAGGGCATAGTCCTTTCTAACATTACATTCAACGACAAGGGCACAGTGCGAGACACCTTCTGGCGACTGTCTCTCGCCGAGATGGTTGTACCGTACGGTAACCCGGACCACCCACATCAGCGAAAACACGCATTCGATCTAGGAGAGTACGGCGGTGGCTACATGACCAACTCCCTCAGTTTGGGTTGTGACTGCAAAGGTGCGATCCACTACATGGACGCTGCGTTCGTCAACCGCGCCGGAGCTTCAACCACAATCAAAAACGCCATCTGCATTCACGAGGAAGACGCTGGAATTCTGTTCAAGCACACCGATTTCCGCGACGAGAGCGTAACAGTAACACGCGGTCGCAAGCTCATCATCTCTCAGATCTTCACTGCTGCCAATTACGAGTACTGTGTGTACTGGATCCTCCACCTCGACGGAACAATTCAACTCGAGATCAAGCTCACTGGTATCCTGAACACATATGCTATGCTTCCCGGCGAGGACCTCAAAGGCTGGGGCACCGAAGTCTACCCCGGCGTCAACGCACACAACCACCAGCACTTGTTCTGCCTACGAGTCGACCCCAACATTGACGGACCCGACAATACCGTCTTTATGGTCGACGCTGCACGTGGCGAGGGCGAGGTCGGTAGCGCAGAGAACAAGTATGGCAACGCGTTCTATGCAAAGAAGACGAAGCTCAGCACCCCTGAGAAGGCGGCAACGGATTACAATGGCTCGATGAGCAGGACATGGGAGATGTGCAACGAGAGTAAGCTAAATCCGTATAGCAAGAAGCCAGTAAGCTATAAATTGGTGAGCAGAGAGTGCCCGGAGTTGCTGCCGAAGCCGGGTGGGTTGGTCTGGAAGAGGGCGGGTTTCGCGCGACACGCTGTGCATGTCACAAAGTGTAAGTCTACTCTCCCAATCAGTCCCCTAAAGAGCCCAAGTACTAATATTTGTGCAGACGATGATACACAACTCCACCCAGCAGGTCGCCACGTCCCACAAACCTCCGGAGAACCTTCGCAAGGTATCCCTGCTTGGATCGAAGCAAACCCGACCGCCAACCTCGAGAATACCGATGTTGTGCTCTGGCACACATTCGGCATCACGCATTTCCCGTCCCCAGAAGACTTCCCAATCATGCCTGCTGAGCCCATGACATTGCTCCTGAGGCCCAGGAACTTCTTCACCAGGAACCCGTGCCTTGACATCCCACCGAGCTATTGCAGCGTACCGAGTGGTGTAAAGCAGGGTAGTACGCTAGTCGACAAGATTAGCAAGCTGGCGTTTGGGGAGCAGAAAGCGGAGAGTGAGTCTGCGGCTTGCTGTTCGACTAAATAAGTTCGCAGCTGGGACAGGATTGACGATATGAATATGTATATATAATGAACTTTGTCAAATTTTACTTCGTCAACCAAGTGATATACTACTATGTCAATTGACTTCTCCTAGTGAGTTTTTGCGGGTATACTCTAACAATTCGCTTATACACAAGTAAATAGACATCAGAACCACCTTGAAGATGTGTGATGTATCAATGAACTCGAGATGAGTCCGGGACAAAAGCCATGTGGTAATGACGTAGCCCCCACGCGAGACTTAGATCTGATGGCCCAAGCTCCTTGACGTCCGACCTCGGTCTTCACTATCTCCATGGCACCGATGTACTTGCGTTTCTACGGCCCAAAAATGGCATCACTTTCTGCATCCCCTATTGTAACACCCTCATAGCACAAGGTCGTGACCCAGCCCTCGAGAATGCGCCCGCGTACACCGACTGTCACCTCCCCGAACCCGCAATGCCCCGCGCATTCCCACCCGTAGAACAGAACGGCAAAGAAAAGCGACCAAATGTTCCAAAAAGCACACTCTCTGCCTCTTTGATCGAAAGCGTGGCCGGTTTCAGCGCTGGCGTGGTGTCCTGCTTGGCTGCACATCCTCTTGATCTCCTCAAGAATAGGTTACAACTGAACACTCAGAGCAGATCGCGACCTGGTGATTCATATCGCATATTACGAAATGTAATTAAAGATGAGGGCGGCGTCAAGGCGCTGTATAGAGGGCTATGGCCGAATTTACTGGGTAACAGCTTAGGCTGGGGCTTATACTTCTTGTTCTATGGGAACTTGAAAGAATTGTTTCAGAGCCGGAGGAAGAAGGGGGAACATTTGGGCAGCGCAGAGTTCTTCTCTGCAAGTATCATCGCTGGTAAGTTCTCTTTGCACCACTACCTCATATACAAGGAACAATCATTAACTTTGATTCTTTCAGGTCTTCTGACAGGCGCGTGCACAAACCCCATCTGGGTCGTGAAAACACGCATGCTCGAGCGCGGCGCAAACCACCCTTCTGCATACAAATCCATGTCCTACGGCCTAAGTCACGTCTACGAAACCCGCGGCCTCAAAGGCCTCTGGGCAGGCTTCGTTCCCTCCTCACTCGGCGTTCTGCACGGTGCGGTACAATTCAGCATATATGAGAATATGAAGAAGCGACGAGGAACTCAGGTGGGCGGACAAGAGAAGTTGAGTAACTGGGAGTACGTGTACATGAGTGGAGGAAGTAAGCTGCTCGCCGGGGCGATTACGTATCCGTACCAGCCGATTAGGGCAAGGTTACAACAGTATAGTGCTGCGCAGAAGTACAGCGGGCTTTGGGATGTACTGAATAAGACATACCATAACGAGGGGTTTCTGGCGTTCTATAAGGGGTAAGTCGCGCCGTGGCTATGTGCAGTCCAGAAGTAGAGTGCTGACATCTGAGTAGGGTGCTTCCTAACACTCTTCGAGTCATTCCCACAACGATTGTGACGTTTGTAGTTTACGAGAACACGAAGCTGTATCTACCCAAAGTTTTCCTCGACGATGAAGAACAAGGTCACGACGAAGATTAGCAAGGTGCAATCTTTCGGGATACAAGACATGGAACCAGACGAAAGAGACGATCATCCTCGATATTATATTTATCCATTATTCAGGCGAGCAATCGCAGGCATTTGGCAGGCGTAAAAGAGCATATAGATTGGAGTCTCTGGACAGTTACGAATAATGGCACTCTTACCTACGATATGCAACCTCACTCGGATTATGGCTACTCTGAAATCGCTTAGTGTCACAATGAGCAGGTGGGTTGACTAATTACGCTCATTGCGAGACATTACTGGGGCACTGGTGCTGACATTGTGAGGTAGAGCGAGGTAGAGAATGGGTATGCTGTTTCTGAGACCACATTGTGGGGCAACAGACAGCTTCCATCGGAGATCGTTAACTTGCACTCGGGTTGTTTGTTCACCTCGTGGACGTCTTGCCTTTCACTAGACACCCGGCCCTGAAGAAGTGCCCTCGGATCCCTCCTAGACTATGTGCGTTGACAACCACGACCCGTTGCCATTACGACGAGACCCGGGACTGTTCACCAGTGAAGCCCCTTTCAACAATAAAACCTGCAGGCTCTGTTCTGTTACTGCCACTCATCCTAGAACGGTAAAGAAGACCGCCCACCTCTTCCTAGATTTGCCAGATCACACCCGCAAAGCAACTCAACTCCACTGAACTTCAACTCTTCAGATCTTCGCAAAGACATTACCAATCGTCATGGCTCCTAAAGTGCCGACCCTCAAGGGGAAGAAATCCAACCTCGGCAAGTTACTCTTGTCATCCTCCCCGTCAGATGCGCCCTCCAGTAACTCACGTTCCGCGACTCCCCGTTCAGATGCTTCGACGCCGCGTATTGGTCAGCGCCACACTCCAGGTAGTCTCCGAACTCTGCTTGGACGCCTTCGCGACAAACAGCCGGAGTTTGAGATGTTGTCTCCATCTTCGTCATCTCTCGCTCCGGAGCCCTCCCCACCAAAGATCTCCAAGCTGGCAAAGGCATTTGTCGACTCCTTAACCACCCAGCAGCTTTCCAACTTCCTGACTTGGATGCTCTACTATGATGTGGTCGAACTCCCAGACTCGCCTACTATGTGGTACGAGATGATCAACTCGATGGAGATGCGTGGCTGGGTCGCCTTGGGTGAGTTTCTCTTCAAGGCCGTCGAGACAGGTTACGGCTTCGATCTCATTGTCTTGGACTCGATTTGCGATCGCATCAATCTTAAGCGAACCACTGTCCACGATCTCCTGATGCAGTTTGCTAACCCAAAGATGATGGCCTTTACGCAGTCTGCTACTACTATCCGCGCTGCAACAGCAGAGGGCAAGTCAGAGTTGGAGGTCTTCGAAGCAGCACAGGCTAAGTTGTATTCACTACACAAGCTCGCTACAAATCTTAAGCCGACGGAAAACTCAATCTACGATGTATGGCATGCGATGGTCCAGAAGCGTCTTCGGGGCTTTCAGCACCTGGTGATTGGCCCGCGCATTGCTCACCTTCGCTCAGGCGTGCCCCTTATCACTGCTCCCACTCCTGATCAGTCGCCAAAGGAGATCCAAGACAGCATCAAGCTCAAGTACTTATATGAGGCGATGCAGCAGGAGCGTCGAGTACCGTTAGTGCGCTATGGTATTCACTCGGGCGCGACTGCGCGTGTCCATCCTACGCCACCGTCTTCACCACTTAGCACCGTGTCTGATCAGAATGATATTGAGCTTGCTCGATCACACGCGATCCAGCTTATGAAAGCTAACCAAGACCTACATGCACAAGTTGCAAAGCTCACTCGCGAGAATGAGGAGTTGACAGAATCCAACGATAGCCTGGCGCGTAAGATTGCTACTCTCGGTGGGATCCAGCCAGCTTCGTACGCATCGCCGGCCCACCTCCAGGTCCCGCAGGCTCGCGGCCGGCCACGTTCACTCTCGCATGGCACTGGAGAGAAACTTGCTGCCGAGGTAAACGCAAAACTCAACATTTCTCAGCGCTCACACAAGCGCAAGCAATCCGAAATCCTATCGTGGAAGTATGAGGATATCTTCTCGCCACTAGAAGGAAAGCCGATGCCAGCGTTGCGGCTATCCGACCCTGCCACTGCGGAGTTAGTAGCACCCAATCCTCCTCCTGCGATCCCGCATATTCACTCGCCGCGTCCTGTCAGCCACACATCTAATCGTACCCGTCGTAGTGGAATGATTTTCGACCCTGCATCGGTGGCGCATCTAGCTAGTGTAGGCGAATCGACACCACATGTAGTTGAGTCCGATGACGAGCAGAATGCAGTTGAAGTCTCTACTCCAACCCCGCTGATGCGTCAGCGGTTGAACTACGAGTAGATGTACGGAGAACAGGCATTCACGGAATAGAACTGTTTACTCCCCTGGGCTTACTCAACAGGATTGAACAAGGGGGTTTTCTGGAGCTGAAATAGTCTGAAAGCTGTAGTAGAGAAGGTCAATATTGATGATGTCAAAAGGTGGTCTTACGAGGGGTTTTGAAAACCAAAGTTATGATTCTTGGTAGACACTTAGTAGAGCGTAAATATCTTTGCACCCGTAGCGGATCTGTGCTTAGGCTACAATGTTACTCATAGGTATCAAGTTGCTGATGAATGAAGCAAGCCCCACGCATGACGTCTCTGTGCTATCGCTTGAAAGTGATCGTTCCCTGCCTCATTTCCCATTCGACCTAGCTAACAATCTCCTGACGCCATTGCTCCATAGTCTTGCTAGCGTGCTTGGCAATATGTACCTGAGCTTCCTCCTTGAACTTGACCTCGTTCCAGTGGTAGTTCAGCGTTACCAATGTGTTGACTGGGTCGCTGAACTCCGGTAAAAGCAATAGCGAGTACACAGTGTCGATCAAATCCTTGGTGCTTGTATCTACGGTCCAGTTGCGATCCAGAATGGAGTGGAAGATGCGGCCATGCCTATTGATGTTTGGATGATAGATGGGGGTGAGCAATCGCGCCTGGGGCGGAAAATTGGGATAGCTCAACATAGAGAAGGAATGTACCACCAGCGTACGTGCTCTCGGGTGGACCTGCATTAGCACACTTGTCAGCATATTCTCAAAATATACGCGGAAAAATTGTCAAGCCCGAGCAGCTTCACGGACAGCGCTTTCAGATAACCAAAGGGGACATACCTTGCATAACGACCTTCCATAGGCCCATGTTCGGCTCACAAATGAAGACGTCGTAATGAGGATGCACCTTAGCGCCTAAATTGCGTATCTCATTATGAATCCTAGTTAGACGCAAGTTGTTGTCAGTGCGGTTTTGAGGGGCGTGGTTGGTAAAGTGGCCAAGCTCTATGAAGGACTCCTCGAGTTTCTCCTTACGATCTGGGCAATGATCTCGGGTCACACGCTCAATGAAAATTTCCCAACTAGCCTTGCGGAAAGGTATAAAAGGTGGGACTTGCGCGGAATTGAGCGCGATGGTAGTGTTCGTTGTCCTCGTCTTCATCATCATCATTATTATTGCCTAGGATCGTCGTCTCCGGTCGCTCCAAGAGTGAGAGGACAGGCTCCATCTCGCAGATTGCCATAGCTTCCTCCAAAGTTTTCGGCTCGAAGGTATAGTCACCAGTCAGATAGCTAAGAGTCCTCAGCTCGATGTTTCGGGCTTCCCCTAGGCAGAACAATCAACGACGATACCGGCTTGTGAAAGACGTAATGCAAGATCCACTGCGGTATGCTTGGATTTGTTGCCTTCCCCATCCGAGATGCAAATGATGCGCAACTTCGCCTAGGGATACTTTTCGGCATATCGTTGAAGCTGATCTTGCGCAAGCGCAAGACTATCCCAAATAGCTGTGTCTCCAGAAGCGGCCATGTTGTTCAATTTGTGCCGGAAGTTTTCCACAGCATAGGTTATGCCCTGCGACACCGAGGCCTTAGTGCCGAACGTCACGAGACCAACGTGGGTTTGGTAATTGTAGTACGATTGATGAACGCATCGAACATCTGCTTCAGCACATCCAAGCGATTCAGGGTGTTTGCGAGGCTCTCGGCAGTGCGTGGCGCTTTTCCTAGGTGTAGCTTAAACACATAGGGGCGATCGCTAGCTCCATTTCGATAAGCAACCTCCTCTTCCGAATCTTCATCGTCTTCGCCCTTGTCGATGCAGGACTCCTGTGTCAACTTGCCGGTCGAATCTGTACCATTGAAAAAGCTTGATATGGGCTCCCAATGTTCAGTGACGACGTCTCCTTCCATTTGACCATCACCAACATCACACATCTTTGTCCAGAAGGCGAAAGGGCTCCCTACAGGGGTTGAGGATCCTATCATGAATTTCTGCCGATGAGATCGGAATACAGCAGATGCCAAGGACTAGGTTGTCCTTTTTGGTTCCCAATACGATAATATAGTCTCGGTGTATGAGTCTTCATAGATTTTGACTAGACACATCTCTTCCGTCTCGCCATTTGCGTTCGATTCTGTCGTTGACTCCACAGGTGTGATGAAGACATGATGGGCTGTTTTGATTACATCACTAATAGAATCCTGGGAAGGCGGGACTCGTGAATTCCTGTGTTGTAGCTCATAGCTCATGTAGCGTCCCATTGTCAAGCGGAATGCGATTTCCCAGAGTTCCTTCAACTTCAGATCGCGCGGTAGCATCACGGACCACGTATTGAGTGGAGATTTGATAGAGACACGTAAGGCATGCGATTTTCCTCGAAGGCTCCCATATCTTGGAGTGATGTCCGAACCGTCGAGAAATGCGATGATTTCCTCTTTCTTTTGCACATCGAGACGTAAGTCGAGACTGGGTAGAATCAAGTTAGTGAGCGGCGACGACTCGTTCGTTTGAAACCATCGCTCAATGTTCTTCCGCTCGTATGTGTAATAATCGACCGTAATCACAGGATCTTCCATTACCGCATTGCTGATGTGGCAGCAATACTCTCGCGGGATCTCGAAATCCGTGGTTCAAGATCCGACTTGCTGTACTGCCTTGTAAACCTCTGGTACGGCGTCACCCGGTTTCCACATGAGTGGATTGGGCGAGGGCGCGTGCTCGCCAAGGCCGGTGAGAAACCAGGCACAAAGCACCTTCTTGTGTTTCTGGAGGCGTGACGATCGGTTTTTCAAAAAATATCCAACTCGCGTTCGACACTGTCCGCTCGATTCCGAAAGTGGTAGTGGGTCGCCCGTCGTCGAATATCTTCCAACTCTTGGCTCTTGGCTTCAATCTGCTGATCGTCAAGTTGTTAAATGATCTTTAGTACTTTCTCAGCGTTCTGACGGCGATGATAGTCGTCCCGTCCCGTGCTTATGATGGCAACGATATCGTCATAAGACTCGTGGGCCTTTAGGTATTGTTTAAGCTCATCTGTGTCAGGGAGATGAAACGCAGGATTCTTATGGCGGAAGGCGCGCGTGACCACGTGTTTCGGTACGCGCAAACAACGGGAAGATGAGAGAAGGTTGTGGCGTAGGCGAGTCTCGGCTTGACAAACGAACTTAGGGGATGTAAACGCGAACATAGAGCCGAACGGATCTCTGAAGCAGCCCCGGGATCAGATAATTTGAGCGTCGGTGAGCTGCAACTGTGATGTGTGGAGCTGGAAAGTAGATGCGACTACACTAGGTCATGGCACCATAGTGCAAACCGAATATATTCTTCAAGCTCTTGAGCTTTGCAAACGATTGCTAAGAAGCGCTGGAAGAGAGAGCTGGGCAATGCGGCAGACACTAATAGAGACGAAAAGCTAATTGAAATAATCAGTCAGGCCATGGACTGAGGGCTAATCTTGCAAATCGTGCTACCTTAAAAGCAACCCGACAGGCAAACGAATAACTTTTTGGAAAACTTGGGGGTAGAGAAAGCCATCACAATGACAGATCTTAAAAAAAATACACTGAATAATGAAGAATTACAGACGCTATTGCCATATGTTTGCGAGGTATATCAAGGAAAGTGATAGAATGGCCCAAAATAAAGGAGACTCAGCAGCACAATCTCCTTAGGCGTATGCTACTCATATGTTTTTGTAACTCGCGTGGACGCTAAGATACAAGTAATCCGATCGAGTTGAGAAGTAAAATGACAAGCGAGCATGAAATCCGGAACTACATTCAAGAATGATTCCTGAGGTGGAGGCCGAAGGACGCGGTCGGGTGAAGCCAAACGCCACGTTAGCGCGTTCTTATCGATAAGCGCGGAATAATATACAACTGTCCACATCACCTTGAACGTCCCTCCACCTTGAAAGTTCCAGCTGTGTCCTCGACAGATAAATCTGCGTATACAGATATATCGGCTCAACCGGACGAAAAAAAACATTTCAACGCCCACCATGGAGTCGCCAGACACATTCACGCTCCTCCCATTAGAAATGGACCCAACCACCAAGGCCATCTCCGCATCAAGCAACCTCAGCAACGCGCTGACCACCGAGCTCGCGGCTCTAAACTCGCTCCACAAAGGCCTCCTCAACGTCGAAACACCCACCGGTACACCGCCCCCGCCCGTCCCAGTAAACCCCAAGCGCTCAGCGCAAATCGGCAAGCTGCGCGAATCGGGCAACGCCGAGTTCCGCAAGGGCAACCACGGCCAAGCAGTCAAGCTCTACGGGCTCGCAATCGATATGGCTCTAGGCCGACCACACTGGGAGCCGTCAGGCTTGGTGAGGGAAGAGGTGTCGGGTTTACTGAGCAATCGCGCGCAGGCGAACATGGCGCAGCAGAATTGGGCCGAGGGCGCGGTAGATGCAGAGGCGAGTGTGGAGATGAAGAAGGTAGGGAACGCAAAGGGATGGTGGAGGAGGGGGAAGTGTTTGCTTGAGATGGGGAGGTTGGATGAGGCGGATCAGTGGGTCAAGCAAGGGTTGGAGTTTGAGGCTACGGAACAAGACTTGGTACAGTTGAAGGATGAGATTGAGAAGAGGAAGGGCGGAGCATGAGGGAAAGCTTGCAGTGTTGAGTCTATATACTGGGAGAAGATGTCATCACAGTGTGCATTGCAAGGCGTTGTTGGCGCTATGGGTTTCCATCGATCCCAGGCTTTCTGAGGGAGAGTTAGTACTTCTGCATACCCCTATGAATTATTTCCAGTTATGTTGCACAGCACTTGACTTTGTAACCAATTAGTGATGTTCTATTACGTCATGTTGGGTTTGGTGAGTCAGACCGGTGGTTGCGCCTTCTCTCCAAGGTTCCTATGCTTTGCAGAACCTACAAACTCCTTCTGTCGGTACACGCCTCTGCAACACCCGTCTAATCTCTTCCATCACAACTCTGTTGCAGTTGACGTACACATTCACTAGGGGCGTTCGTACTTTCGCCAGGCTAAAGTGATACCTGGACAACCTCAGCCCTTCACGACACCCAAGTCTAAAACCAGTGCTTTTCATTTACGCTCTCTACCACCACGGAATCGCCTTCGTACGTCGCACATATCGGTGAAGATCTTTGGCTCTCGCATCGCAGTAGCCTCGTATTCCGCTTTCCATCATCGAAGCCAAAGTTCAACAAGATCATTGACCTCGAGCCTCTGAAAGCATCAATCAAGCAGGACCAGGCAGACCAAGTGTCTGTCTTTTGTGAGTCATTGATTCCAGCAAAGTCAACAGATAATCAATAATAGACAACCGTTTCAGTTCCCGCGCTTCAGCACATTTCACAGTGAAGTGGATGTCCGGATCTTATTCCCTTCCTTCCACATCAAACATGGCAAATATGAAGGCTCGTACCTCGGGGGTTCGCATCTCCAATATGCCTTCCTTCCTAAATACGAGCCAAGATTAAGCAACCGATCTCCATGCACTTCCAGGGGGGTAGGGAATCCTTAATTCGTAACAAGCAAAGTTGCCAGCAGCCGCGGTACTTCGGCCAAGCAGGGCCAGCTTCACAAACCAGCATGGAGGCGAGACGCCGGACAGTTCCTTCGCTCCTGTGCTGCTTTCGCATGTGGAGTGGGAGGTGAATTTCCGTGCTCTTACATACATATATATGTACGTTAGATTTGTTAGCTTCATGAATAGAAAGACCTTATTCGCGAACTATGTCTATGTTACGTTTGAAAGAACAAGATGGTCCACGGAAAGCTTCGCTATGCACTTACTGCACTACATGCTACACATCGCCTTGCACTAACGGCCACAGTAACCAATCTCATATGAGCCACAGTGTAGGCGTATAATATGTTCTCATTCACGATCCCCTCCACATTCAGTAGCCCTCGCTACCCCCTTCCCCACTCCCCATTAGGCATATCATCGTGTGTTCTCCCTATGATCTTGACGCTCTCGAGCAGAGCCTCGAGGGAGGCGCCTTATGATTGTAGGTGCGCGCCGTTTGATTGCTGTTTGACCTTCGCATAGGGTTTAGACTAGCCTAGAGCTCGTCGGAAAGGAGCATGGAAAACAGAAGACTTGGTTGTGGCTTTGACTTCTGCCTTGGTGTTGCATGTCTTTTCTTGAGGCCAGGGAATTTAGACAAGAGAGTTTGCATCAAACAAAGAGAACAGTCATTGAATACGGATAAGAACAAAAAAGGTCCCCGGCGGTGAAACGACTGCTGCAGTAGTCAGTGTGTATGGTTATGATCATTTTATTTTCAATCAATTTAGTGCAATCACACTCCTGAAATCGGGCGGCGGGGGCTGACGAGTTGTGTCCACCGCCATAGTGCGACTGCATAGGCACGAGAGGCCAATTTCATAAGTAGGAAGTAGGAATGGAAGTGACATAGCTTTTCTAAACTATACAATTAGCAAGCATGGCACCTAGTCACTCAGACGAGCCACGAGGACCGACCGCAATAGCGCCCCTCATTGAAATACGGATCTCATATGAACCCAGACATAAAAACTAGCCGGTATGAATCGCGCGTTTACTCGTCCTTGACCCCACCACGGCCAGCACGCTCCGCAGCCTCGATGCTCTTCTTGTCCGTCTTGATCTCTCCGCCGGACATCGCGCCCATCATACCACCGCTAGCCTTCCATGGCCTTTGTAGGTCGCCTGTAGCCGATTGTCCGAGGAGATGGACCTTGACGAGATTGCCCTCGAAAGCGCCCTTCAAAGGAATGATGGACTGGATCAGGAGCGGGTTGGTGTACTTGAAGTAAATGTGCATGACACCCATCATGCCGACACCCATGAGCTGGGCCTTGAAAAGCTCGCGCAGCTTTTGCAGGTCATAGGCCTTGACGGTCGTAGCGACAAATTTCGGCTCTTCGCCGGAACCCATGGGGGCGGGCTCGACGTATTTGACGACGGTCATGTCTGGATGTGTTAGCCGTTTGCTCACGCGCAGAGCCGCCATAATCCCGCAAAGCTCGACTTCAGGGGTCTTGTAGGACGCACCATTCTTCTTGTTGATCTGTGCCTGAACGTAGAGGTAGACACCCGCGATGATGAGGTTGGAGACGATGTAGAGGACGCGCACGCCATTGAGGACGTTCGGGTCATCAAATGGTATCTTCTTGGAGATCTGCATGAACCCCCTGCGTGATTATTAGACGCCAGTTATTTCGGACAGCGTATATATGACACCTACAGGATGATGACCAGGTTGGTACTGCGCGGCGGAATTAGCAAACTGTCTTCTCTAGGACATCGCAGACGTGGATGACGTACATTTGAGGGCTGATAGCCATTGTGAAGGTTGAGACTGGTGACTCCGAAGTGGATGTGAGAGTGCGCGGCGGCGAGTGTTCGAGATGGCCTTTGGCGGTGCTGGATACGGGCGCAAATGTGGGAGTGAAAGGAGCGCGGGCGGACTTTTGTGGTGGGCGTCGGTCTAGCGCGAACCCAAGAGGCCAGGTTCGATGTTGCAGGTGGCCCGCGGTAAACTAACCTCAACAGGAATTCACTCTTCCAGGAGCGTCCAACGCCTTCTCGGGACAGATATCGTGATTGTAGAAACCCAAAATTCACACGGTCTATCGAGAGCAGTTGTCTACTTGAAACAGACAATTGTCGCTGACGGACAGCACCATCTGATTGTCCGACTCCATAGGTCTAGGGGTATATTCGTCTATCCTAGGGTTGCATATGACCCATCAACCCCATGCATTTGCCTACAATAATAACAGAATACTGGCTCCAGAGAAGTTCCCCTGTGTATTATCAGAACGCCTCGCTAATGAATCAAGCAACGCAACATCAAACCCACAGACAGCTACACCCAGACAGCCTGCGAGTGATGCAATGCAGATTAAACACAGTGACCGACCAGGCACATATACACAAACAACTGGTCCGTCACATAAGAATACACTCCCGATCCGGTCGATTCTTGTCTTTCAGCTTGCTCTTCTCCATGTTCTCGCCTGGATCTCTACTTTTACTCCTGAGCCTATCCTTCTTCTTCTCCTTCTTGCTCTTGCTGCGCGAAATACCTGCATCTTTCTTCTCTTTGGCTGGAGAGTGCACCTGCTGAATGTTTTCGGCACTGTGAACCTCGTTGATGACTATCACGGGGTCCTCGGTTTCGATGCCTTCGGTGATCTGTAGCTTGTCTTTGCTAGCGCGACCTGTCAGTCTAGAAAGAGTAAGCGACAATCGGCCCTCGCCACTTTGACTGCTGGGCCGACTTCTGTTGTTTCCTGCCAACCATGTCCGAGAGCCCCGACGGGACGCTGACAGAAAGCTGGATTTCTGCTCGTCTGGTGTCGGTGGTTGGGTTCGACCACGTGATACACTCCCTTCGATATCCTCAAATGCAACACTGTTTCTTCGATTGCTTGATATGCTACTCCGACCAACTTGTTCATCCGAATGGCTCAATTCAGGTTGTGCATCTGCCGAAGCTACTTTCTCCCCATCACCGACTGGGTCGGTATCTATAGTAGCCGTGGAAGCCATAGAGGACAATGTCTCCTGTGATGGATCCGCAGTTGCGAATCCAGCCTGTGATTCGGCATACGGTGGAGGATCACCCCTAGATGCTAGTTCTTCGTTGATTGGCTGTACTTGGTAAAAGAGAAGGTAAGGCGATTCTTCTCGCAGCGCCCTTTTGATATCTACTTCGGTGACACGCGGGTTCGAAAGGTCGTCGAATCGTAACCAGGTGCTCGGTTGTCCTGCGCCGTCCGAGTCTGGGGTACGTGAACTCTCATTGGAATCGTCACGGACAAGGGAGATGTAATGCCCAGAGTGCACTGAGACACCACGATGGCAGACCACCGACTGTAAAACAAGCTTAAAGTTGCCCAACAGTGGTCCTTCTTCCTTCATTCTTTCGTCCGAGATGAAATGAGGCAAGCCAATGTCTAGTGGAATGTCGATGTATGTATCAAGACGCTTCGGTGTGCCATTTGGAAGCATTGTATACCGTTTCAGGCAAATGCCGAGGACGGGACGCTTCACGGAGAAATGTGCCGCTACCTGGGCGTCTGTCTTGGGGGCGTTGTCGGTATACCAGGCTACAAAGGCATTAGGAGGGCCACAACAGATGACACGAAACACTTACGTATAAGACTGAAGAACTGCCAGGCCGGCATGAGGATCTCCTTTCTAAGAAGTGAAGCAGACCGCGGCCGACCTCCAGTGCTATGATCTAGCATGTCTTCCAAATGCTTCTTTTCATCGAATGCACTCGTTTCTGGCGACTTGCGAGTGTACCTTTGGCTGAATATACTGTCTGCGCGCCGTCGTCCATCAAGGGGCCGAATGGGACTTAGGGGTGTAGAGGGACCGAGCGATGTTGGGGTGGCAACGATTGGGGAGTCTGCTCCTGACCATTCAAGCGTCTCGACGTGTATAGTCTCATTCTTCTCCGAATACAAGTCGAATGATTCTTCTTCCTCTCTAGATTTGATGGACGCTATTGTGTTCTGCCGTTGCAAGTAGCGCCTGACCTCGATCCGGTTGTTGAAGTAGGTCTCGAGACAATCCTCCAGGGTGATGACATGGTCTCCATCCTGCTCTGGAATTGCCACCTCTAGTAGGCGCTCGTTGACAAATTTGTGATCGTCCTCTTTGTCTTCGCGGCCGGTGTGGTAAATGTCCATCTTCAGCGTAAGCAGTGGTAGCTCGAGAGCACCAGTGATGAACGTAAAGGCTTCGGACGCGTCCTGTTGGCAGACTTGAGCAGCGTCCTCCCACCCGCACTTTGCTAGGGATTCTTGGAGGTGTTTTGTCTAAAGTATAATTAGCCGCCGTGGTCCAAGGAGTCGAATGTTCACACATACAAGGTCAACTTGGATCAGTTGCCCAGTCCGCAGGAAGTTTACCCATAGTCGTAAAACGGCTGCAAGTTTCTTCCTAGGCTCATCATCGAAATTATCGTACAACATGGCCTCAAAACTGTCCAGCCTGGCAAACATCGCGAAGAGTAATGCGTCCACGTAGCAGGTCACCATGTTCCTATTTATCGCACCCAACATTGTAACACTTGGATTGTAGTCCTTCAGTTCCCCTTCGATCGATTCGTTTGCGAGAACTAGGACGTCGTAGGCTTTGTCGAGGTCTCCGGGATGCCACGAGAGCGCATGCTGCGCTTGCTCCTCTCCCATCCTTGAAATTCCAGCGCTCTGCAGTCGCGTGAGGAGTGCTTTGACCTATAACAGATCAAAATTCTGTAACGTACATAGTCGCTACCTACACACGCACCTTCTTCTCCACATCCTTGTCGGCTGCGGTCTTGGAGTCTTCATTTGTAAATATCGTATAGAGGTCTGACGGGACCTGTGACGGACGAGACTGCAGGGTCAGGTAATCAGACGAGTTCGTAATTGGGGGTTGAATGGTAATAGCCGTTAAGAATGCGCGACATGTGGTGCTCTTTTGTAGGAATACAAGACTGTCCTCTACAGATGCTCGTAAGGTGGAAGGAAGCTTGTGATACAGGACATCGAGGCTACAAGACTGCCGTCGCTGGCGACCTGGGGGGACTCGAAGCACGGTATCGCTCGCAGAATATAGAAGAGGACTTGTAGAGCTGGCGAAAGGAAAGGAAGTCGGGCGTACTTTGTGAAGGCCGTTCTTTGACGAGCGCTTCTCATGGTGCTTGTCACGACGGCTGAGGAACCGCGAAACACCGTTCATGATGGCGATGGGCAATGTTGACACCCATCCAGGAGAGAAGTTGCGGCTGCCAGTGTCAAGAAGACGGTCAAGCACGTAGCGGGGTGGACTGTGGGTTTAATGTGGAAGGTCGGCGCAGGAGCCAGGTGGGGAGAGTGGGCGGGTTGCTGGTACCAGGCGAGGCCGTCAGCCGAGAGGAAGCGAGGACGCCAGGACTCCAGGACGGAGGAAGGACCGGAGAGTGAAAAGAAGCTGAACTAATCTGAAGAGCCCAGTAAACCCTAGTCGATCTCGACCAAGCCGCAAAGAAGTGATGGTGTTGAGGTGCGGACGAGTGGGGTAGCCTATTGGTCTATTGGCGGAGCCTAGCCTACCGGTACCTGATCCCTGCAGCGCTCATGTCGCGCCTGCATCGTCGAAAAGTGCAATCGAGACTTCATGTACGCCATCTCAGCCTCAAGCTATCCCCAATCGACAGCACCCCGTCATGGCATTGCGCGAGCTGCCGTTCCGCACCGCGGCTGCCCTGTGCAAAGATACTAGACCTGCTGTTCGCGTGGCCGAGCCGCTGTTCCGCCGCAATGCCTCGTCTGAGGCAGCGCGAGAAGTCGAATCTTCATCATCGCTCGAGGTGCCACCGCCATCAGAGGAGCTCGTCAAGGGCTACGATCCATTGGCGCGAAGTAGGCTGAGGAGAAGAGGAAATAAGGAACTCCCACCGAGCAGGTACAGATGACTTACATGATCAGCGCGCAAGAACATTGAATATTCACATTGAACAGATACCAATACCGTTCGCCCAAGTACTACCGCGGCCCTCTCCACCCCCATCAGCCTCCGCCTGAGTCTGATCCATCGTCACGACTGTTCCAGCCCGGGCCGTTCAGTCTTCCCCGCCTGGAGCAGACCTACCAGAGCACGATAGCTGCCGACCTCCTGACCCTCACATACCAGCACTACCCCCCTGGCTATCGAGCCCCGAAAACAGACCAAAGATTGCGACAATGGACCGGCGACTCACCGTACTACAAGAACCGACCCCTGCGACCGCCGCGAGGCAAGGGTGAAGTGCTACGACTGCTCAACGAGCCGCGCACCTTCCGCAACATCCCCAAGATCACCAAGGTTACACTCCACTCCATGGTTCCGGAAGCGCAGGAGAACAGCGCGCACATGCACGTTGCTGGTATGATCCTGCAAGCAATCACCAACGTGCGTGCAGTATCACATAAGGCGAGGCACAACGTTGTCGGGTGGGGGTTGCGTCAGGGCAGATACGTATCCGTGACCTCAACCATGGAGCGAGAAGATGCCCAAGATTTTCTGGCAAAACTCATTGATGTTGTATTGCCTAAGATCAAGGAATGGAAGGGCGTACCTGGTTCCTCGGGAGACGGCCACGGTAATATGAGCTTCGGCCTCACCCCAGATCAGCTTGCCCTCTTTCCAGAGATCGAGGTCAATTACGATGCGTAAGTAATCTGAGCCTTTGCTGATCATATTGGTACTAACCCATGTCAGCTACCCACCCAAGATGATCCCAGGTTGCCACATCACCATCGAAACCGACGCCACGAGCAACAAGGATGCACGTCTACTCCTTCAAGCGATCGGTTTGCCGTTCTATGGCAAGCTCAATGACTGATGCAAGCCAATCGTCTTCACGTGTATAAAACTTGTAAGACCTGTAAGACTTCTGTGTACCTCCTGCTGCACAATGTTCGCTACAACAACGCAAATAGATTCGTCCTCGTCGCTGTACTTTGTTCACTTGTAGATTCCTGTGTCTTCCCATTGTTTGCACAGCCTTTGCTTTGTCCACTGCTAGACAATGCAATTGTTATTGCATCGTATCGGATGCTTCCTACTTAATGTGCGCACCTTCCATCCTAAATCGCTCTTGCCTAGCCAGACTGACGCGAAATTTACCACTTTCTCCTCGCTCCATTCCATACTGTGTTCCATACACGCAGTTTCTTCCTCTCCATTATTTACACCCTGCATCATGCGTTCAGTCATTGCTACCCATCGATCGCGCAGGATGGCGAAAATGTGTGTGACCAAACTCGCCGGCAACGACCCGCAGAGGCCTAATAGAATGCTAAGAAGCTTAGATGAATACTTCTGGTACACATCATCAGACGGCGTGCATCGGCTTGCAACTTCATCCGGCAGCCTCAACGAGATCCCTCAGCAAATTAACGACTATGTGTTCAACACATCCAACTTCGTAGACGCCGACTACCCGTCCACATTCCCAAAGGATAGAGTCTGGCCGCCTAAGAATCTGCAAGATCTTCTTTGCGCCATAGGAACGGAAGGCAAAGACTGCGTTGGCGGTCGTTGTTTCACTCGCGCTATCTGCAATGACCCGTGCTGCAGACACACATTCGAGGCTTGGAAACATGCGACGCAAGACTGGCAGGACCACTTTGAGTTACGCAAAACGGATGACCGCGGGATCGGTGTCTACACTAAGAGAGCCTTCAAGAAGAAAGATGTATTAGGGTGGTATGCAGGTGAGCTCGTAGTAAGTGCGGGCGACGACTACAACAATGACTACCTTATGGAGGTTCCCATTGGAGGCGACCCCATTCCGGAATCTCTTAATGATTCCGACTCGGACAATGACTACAACCAGACTGAACTGCTCCCCCCCTCTCCGTCATCCCCCAGCTCCTCGACCACCTCCGTCTCCGCTGGAGAAAGCGTTATGATTGATGCCAGCAGGAAGGGCAACTGGACGCGCTTCATTAACCATAGCTGCAAAGCCCATTGTGATTATCGAGTATGTCGTGTGGGTAACATCCGCATGATTGTTGTGGAAGCCGTGAAGGACATACCACCAGGTGTTGAGCTAACTGTCAACTACGGGCTCGACTACTACGGACCAAACACGACGAAAATCTGCCACTGTGGTGCGCGTAAGTGTGTTAGCAGGTCCAGGACGAACAAGCGAAAGGAACTATCTAACACGGAGAAGACGAGAGTTAAGAAATGTAGGCGGCTGACACCACCGCTAGAATGATATTGTCGCAATTCCATCACATTATTAAATACTTCAGTGAGGTCTACTAATATTATCGATGCATTGTTGCTAACAGTATCTATACAGAATACCAAATGTAGCCTTTTGCTGCATTTACATACCCTCTAAGACACCGGACGCCTTTCCAAAACCGGGGGTATCATGTGAATTAATGAAGAGACAAAATATCGTACTCTGTGAACTACACGTTACTCATATGCGGGATGACTACCACCACAACGAGACTGTCTAGTCTACATTGGTTCAAGGCCAACAGCTTCGCGCAAGACATTGACGATGTAAGCGTCCTTGGGGGGCTCGTTGTCGGGCATAGGCTCGAGGTCGATGGGACCAATCTCGATGGTGTCCTTAACCATGTTCATGACCTTGACGCGGTAGACCGTAGGCTCAGTGCTCTATCGATTGTTAGCATGCATTCCAAACTTTCAACTGACTGGATACGTACAGTAGCCTGGGTCTTTGTGAGGAAGGCTCCATTGGTCCGAGATTTACCATCGCCGTGAACCCCGTTCCAGTCGCCCTTGGGAGAGAAGGTGAACCGAGGGTCCTTCATCTTCTCTATATAGTCTCCGACAGTGTACTTCTATGAAACGGTTAGTGGAAACTCCTATGGATTTGTGTGTGTTACTAACGTTGCGGGAAGCCTTTCCTCGAGCCATGTTGTAGTATGGTAGATGTAAAAGCTGAATGCTAGAGTTGAGTTGAGTGATCGAATTCTGGGGTTGTACCTCGATATTGATCCAGGGGCCTTCATGAAGACTGGCCAGGGCGGCATGGTGCAGGAGGCATTGCAGTGAAAGTCACCCTTCCATCGCACTTGGAACTTTGTAGGGGGCTCGAATGATCGGATCGAGTTAGTATTTCACTTCCCATTATGCAGGAAACCCTTTAGAAACTGACATTGTCATTTCACTGTTGGGTAGAGGGAGCGAATATCGCTTAGTGTGGAAGTAGTTGCTTTATCTAGCAAAACATCCTCTTCCACCTCCATCCACCTCCATCCACATTCGCCCACCTTCGTTCACCTGCGTCCAAAACACCAAAGCGCGCGATGACGTCCATCAACCTGGGATCGGAAATACTGTCGCCTACCCCAAACGAAGCACCTGGTCATAAGAGAGTGCAGCGAAGAGCGAGCGCTCCGGAACTCGCAAAGCTGATCACACTACCATCGTCGAACGACAATTATGCAGTCGGGAATATCATTCGTTTACAGCTCCCGCATACTTCACAGGATAGTAAGACACCTCGCGTTGTTCAGGCAGAAATTGTCAAGGTCTTTTCACCCTTCACAATGGCACCCGTCATGGTCGTCCGCATTCATAAAGCTACACTAGACCTCGAAGGCGACTTCGTCCTGAAAGTGTACGACCGCCGTTACACGAATGAAGCTAGAGAGGATTACCACTTTGAGGAATGGTCGACGGAGCTCGACCTGCACTTCGAGAGCCGCCGGTGGAACAAGGATGTTGTGAAATACTTCTTGAAGCTAATGGCTCACGACAGTCTCTTCTACGACTTGCAAGACGAGGAAGAAGACGAAGAAGGAAGCGAAGTGGAAGAGGACGAAGAGGACGAAGGTGAAGCAAAAGCGTACGGAGAAGTCTTCCTTCATGCTTTCTGCCTCAAGATGTACCGCGCAGAACTCGAAGTATACCGCCGCGCTCGCCAGCACAGCCTTGATGGCATCGACATTCCTCGATTCATCAGCTCCGTTCGCATCCCGTATGCATACACCTCCAAACACTGTCCGGTCTCAAGTTCCAACATCAAAGGCACGCCAGGCATCCTCCTCCAATACATCCCCGGCTTCCCCCTTATGGACCTCTACGCTTCACCCTCACCACGTCCATCGCGCTCAACTTGGCAGCCCCTCATCGACAGTGCAGTCCGCATTGCCAACACACTCTCTCAAACGCTCGAAACACGCAACATCGACTGTAACCCGCGCAATACCGTGGTGCATTGGGACCCTCTTGCTGAGAAGTGGGAATGCAAGCTCATCGACTTCGGACATTGTCAGTTTAGGAAAGAAAACATGAGTGAGTGGGAGTGGCGACGTTTTCAGAGCACAGTAGATGAGGATGCGGCGATGGGGAGGGAAATGGAGATTTTTCTGACTGAGAGGAAGGGTGGTGGATATGTGTATACGAGGAGCCAGTATCAGGAAGAGTTGGACCGCGACTTTCGCCGTGATGATTGAAGGGACGGAGTAGTAGAATGATGGATGGATTTCTGAACTCCTGATGTAGTCATGGATTATCTCAATATATTGACATGGGATCATGAAGGCCTGCACCGTCCATTGTATATAATCTGGAAACTCCAATGAACCAAGCAAGATAAAACCCAACAAACATAGAATTGAAGAAAATCAAAAAGTTGTCCTGCAAAGTACTACCACCATCAAAACTATGTTAAGGGTGTCGTGCCCAAGGTAGCATATTATTTTGGGTTGTAAAAGGACGTGTAATGCTAGGAGAGCCTCCAATTCAAAGTATGGAACGAGTATGCAAGAAAAGTCGCAATATACAATAACACCACCAACCTAGCAGTATTTTTCCACTTTTCCCAGGGTACCAGGAAAGCTAGGTACTGGGCGGAGCCTTGCTCTTTCCTCCGCAAAGACCACAATACTTTCCTCAGGACCCGCCCATCTCCATTCCACATTTTGCGCCATTCGTTCACTCAGCCTCTGGCGTACCGGGGTAATAGTTTCCTTGTGCAAGCAGTGCACAGTAGTGAAGCGAATCGGCATCGTGATAATATCATCTGCGCATGTCCTCTTCAAGACATTCTTGCGGTCAATCTTCCTGGCCAGATGATCGATCTCCGTATCTGGTGAACCGCTCAAGTTCTGCGCCAACACTTTAATGCTGAGCCTGTTATGGTGTTGTAGTCGAATGAACATGGCTTGCGTGAGGTCAAGCAAGTTCTTCATATCTGCGCCTGAAAGCTCATACTCGGGGTAGAATTGTCGGTATGCCCTACTGAAATGATTCGCGGCAACTTTGATGCAGGGGCGAAAAAGGTCGGTCCTTTGAAAGATGGTCCAGCCATGTCCAGAGCGAGGATCAAGGATCAGACGAGGCTAACACTGTCGAGGTCGCAAAGGATTTCCGCGGGGGGGGGGGCGTTATCGTGGCGGCAGCGTAGCTCGCTTGGAAGATCTCCAAGGGAGCCAATCTTGAGGATCGGCCAGTATGGTGTTGGCAGCGCCGCTTTTGAGATAAGAGGGCTGTCTTCCCATTTGGGCCGATCGATCTCCACTGCATCTTCCTGCCGGCGCCGCTTGTTGGAGCGGCCGTTATCGTCATTGTTCGTATCATCAGCTTCTCTAGGCGCTGCCACCGGCTGCTGCCTGGGCCTGCATAGGTCGATTTTTAAGCCTGACTTGGTAGTGCAGCCCTTCGTCTGGCTAAGGGTTAATTTGGGCATGTTGAGCAAGGTTAGTCGTGATGCATCGATGAATATGGGCTGAAGTGAAGGCTTTCGCTCTTATGCTTCTCGTTTTAACACTCTACGTAGAGTTTCTTCCATTTTAACGCTATTCATCCGTGGTTGTTGTTGTGGTTGGGCAAGCGAACCATGGGATTGGATTTCTATAAGCCCAACATATATACGCAACTCAATGCTCTTAGGAATGGCTCCAAACGCCTGCAATGCATCCGTAGCGTCTTAGCTATCGCATGTATATTAAAAAAAACTTAAAATCTATGCGCGTGTTAGCAAGCAATCGCATGAGGCCTAGAGGTTCAAAAATCTACCTTATTTCATAATTACCCGCTCTTGTCATGTACCGTACCCACTTCACGCTGCTGTAGTTGCTCTTCTCAAAGACCTTTAAGTATCGCACCAGTAGCCCGGAACTTGTGAACATCAAGAGCGAAAAGCTCAGGTTAAGCGGTGGTCTTGACCATGCCTTCTGGTTCGTCATGCTTGTTAAACTGGCCTCTGCACTTAGGACAAACTCGCTCTGTCCTGTGAAGCGTGGGATTTTCCAGACAATGTTATTGTGCTCTGGTTCATACTTCGCTTTACCCTGCGATGTCCGCTCAGTAATCCTGGCAGTGTTGAGGGGCGTTGGTATCCGCACTACGACATTGGTAGCGAAAAGCTTGGAACCGTAGTTGGCGCGGATGGCGATGCTGTACTCGACCTTTGTCTTTCCGACTTCATTCACGATGGCGTGGACCTTGAAAGGTAGATTGACATTCTCCGTCGCCCGGTACCGCATCAGCTCGAACTCGCCATCTGGTGGGATGAATGATATGATCCTGTCCGCATCAAACTTGCCAAGCTTGACGCATTGGTGAAATTGGCAGTCTTCGAGCGTCACACTGCCAGCTGCTGCTCTTGTCGCTTTCGCGCCCGCCTTGTTCCCTGAGGGTTGCTGAAGATGGTCCTCGCCGAGGGTTAATCGGTCATTGAGCCCGAATTTGCATTCTGGTGTCCCTGAGAGGTATGCTCGCATGATGATCTGGCCATTGACGTCCGCCCGCAATACTGTGCCGGTCGCAGACATGAGAAGGTTCACATCTTCGATTACGTCGACAAAAGCTTCGTTCTTGCGGTATTTGATGTCAGCCCGCCGCCACGACAGGGCGCCCGTGGCTTGCATAGTGATTTTTGACGAGTCCTCCTGTATATCAAGTCAGCAGTTACTTCTTCACAACATGCAGAATTTAGACATGCCATAGCTCTTTCCGACTTGACGCCCTCGGTTGTGATGTACATCTTCAACGTGTCCGTCTCCGTATTCTGTGGGTATCCGAAGTCCAAGATCTCGTCCAACAGCTCGTATACCAGCACGAAGTTATTCTTCACAGCCTCCTCATCGAACTTGCCGAAATAGGCCTTTCCCAGTCCCACCAATCGATACAAGAACTCGAACACCAGCGCCGCATTGGCATTGCTCTTCGTCACTGCCACCAGATATATGTTCTCGTGTTTGACATGGCTGAAGGTCGTGGAGCCGAGGGTGAGGATAGGCGAACGAACTTGCGCGTTGGATATTACTTGGATGCGGAAGACATCGGCGAGGCGGGGGCGGCAGTCATTGCGGAATGCGCGAAATATGAGGTTCTCGCCTTTCTGGTTAAATATAAGGATTCCGGAGAGCATTGTGGAGTGAAGAGAGTGATACAGGACATGCGGGGAATTGGCTGCTCCTCGACGTTGATGCTGGAGCTCCGCTCGCGATGCCGCGGGATTGCGCAGGGCCTCGCCGCTAAGCCTTGTATGGTAACTAGTCGGCCTCTGCAAAGCAAGGGTCTCTGAGGAACAGCATTATCCCTCCTATCTCGACAATAGGAGAGCATTCAAGCACGCGATACTAGATGCGTTGCTACTTCAAACCCCCGCTCTCTTCTCTCTAATGATGGAAACAATTTTTCCATCTCTAAACACAAGCACTACTCTATCTGAGACAATACAACACAACATGGAACCTCAGCAACTCCTGCGTTGGATCGATAAGCAAGAGATCGTGCAGATCGACAGGCTGTGCTTGCATGCACTGTGTTTCCCGCAACTCAGGAGCAGTGCCGACCAAGTCACGGACGCGCACAGGAAGACTTTTAGCTGGACTTTTCACCATAGTACACAACCAAAATCAGTCCATCAATCCAAATTTCGAAGATGGCTTGGATCAGATGAGTCCAAGCAGAATACTTTTTTGGGATTTTTGGCAAACCAGGAGCTGGGAAGAGTACCTTGATGAAGTTCATCGCTCACTATCTCGCGTGAAACTAAGGTCGTAAGACTTGTGTAGCGCCGCATCCATTGACTATCGTCGACTACTACTTCTGGACACATGGAGACTATCTGCAAAGCTCTTTGACAAGACTTCTCAATCGTCACTGTACACCATCTTGATCTAGTCCTCGGGGTTGATCAGTGAGGTATTTCCCAAGTGTGATTGGATCCACGGTGGAGCACAGTTCCAGTTCCCGCAAGATACTCTCGTTGCTGTTCTTCAGTATGCCATAGAGATTGCGCCAAAAAGCCACCTTTGGCTCTTCTTCTGGATCCACGGCCTGGACGAATTCACCAAACGTGAAGAGAAAAGCTATGATGAAGCGCCAGGTGGAAGTGTGATCCACGGTTTGGAAGTTCTCTGTAATGTACGCTCATATCTTTTGACAAAGTTCTGCGTACCAAGTCGTCTTCGGAATGATCTTGAGGCTGAATTCGGACAAGGCTCAGGACACTACTTCCCCATTCACGAAGCAACCACACAAGACATCGAATTATTCGCCAAGGAAAAGCTGAATAAAAATATTATATCTTCTTAGCTGACAGCTAGAGGTTCCAACTATGCCTATCTCGTGGATAAAATTGTCCAGGCGGCCAATTGTGTGTTTCTATAGGTTTCTTTGGCTTGCAACTCTCTCTTAGATGGCTTTACTAACGCCGACTGAATCATGAATCTACGGGACAGGTTGAAAGTTCTTCCTCCTAAGCTAAATGAGATATATACACATCTTGCACACGATCGAGCCAAGATATTGCAGGAATACTGCCTGCTCAATTCTTCTCTGTGTAGGTGTAAAAGGTCAGGCATTCTGCTTAATGCATTTTTGCTTAGACAACGAACAACGCGAACCTATTTTGAAATATCCAAACATTTATGAAAACATGGATAGAGAGGCGTTACTAGAACTTACAATAAAAGTGCTGAAAGGATTCAATGCAAGAACTAAGTGCCTCTTGCAAGTTTACGAGGTCAACTTTAGGCAAATAATAGGCAAACGCAATCTAAATTAATTTGAAGTCTCTCAAATAAGTCTCCTCGAGGTTTAAATAGCGCATTAAACCCTTTCTGAGTTTTTTAACAAGTTAGAAGCTAAAGAATGGATCACTGTCAAGGCAGGCTCCTATTGCGAACTCTCTGACATCTCCGCCCAAGCTGCTCTGTTACGCAGTCGTGACTTGATGTGGAAAAACATCTTATTCAACAGCATGTGCCATCTGGTAGAAGAGAGTGAGCAGGCTCCCGAAGAGGAAATTCTGGCATACTGGACTAGTATTGAGTGCTTACTCTGCCCACTATACTGCTACGAAGAATCATGTATGAACCTCATATGCTGGGGTTCGCCCAGTGTAATTTCTAACCAGAGGCCAGTTTTCACGTCGGATCCCACCATTCTTGAGGTAGCCATTAGGTACCAGACGGTTCGATTCATAAATAAAAAGCTCAATGAAACCCCTCGCCTAGCCGTGGATCAGTCAAGAGGCCAGCCACCACTACAAATCGCTCTTTAAATAGGACTCCATGACAGACCAACCCAGAGAATCGTTGAATTATTGATTAAACACGGCGCAAATCCCTATCAGTCTTCTTTTTCTTCTGAAACAACACCCTGGAAGTGGTTATTGGTATTTTGTTTTATAGCCAAAATGGATGGTCACGCGGTGAACGGAGCTGGGATAATGGCCGAAATGCTTATTGCGTGTAATGCATCCTCGAATGTAATTTTCGATTGGATTGGCGAAAACTTCAACGAACGGACTGGCTACCCAAAACTAGTCGATTTGGCTGATAGCGAGCTAGGAAGGTTGATGATGTGCAACAGTAAAGCAGAGCCTTTTTCACTGTCAGCTGCTGCGATAGTTCGATACCTGATAGAGACTGCCTGAGAACCTGAAGACAAGAAAGCGCTCGAATTGTGCCCACTGCCAGAAGTGCCCAATGATAAAACGGTTCAATCCGTACTACAAAAAGCTGATGGGACTATAGCCGAAAGAAAAAGAACTAGATATGCAGAAAAAGGGGTAGGCGAATGCAGGTAGACTCGAGGAGAGTGCAGCGGATATCCCTTGTTGATTATCGACCTGGGTTCATGTGATAGTCGGAATTTTCATGCAGCCCCATAAGAGGGGATAAGGGCAATCCCTGGGAATCATTATTGAGATCTGCTTTCGTCCGTACTGTTAGAGCGCTGTAGTTACTACTAAGTGATGGCATTACCTATTTCATTATGGATCTTCGGAACTCATTATATGAGGTACGACTTCTGCAGTGATCTCACGCGCCCAAGGAATGTGCCCCCAAGCACTAAGCATTTCACAACTAGTCTTGATCTATGAGTACTTTTTGCTATTAATGCCTTCTATCTACCGATAGAGAATTAGTCTGTGTACAGTTATAGCAGGTTGACTCAAGCATGTGATTTCATGCATTTGTACTACTCCTAGTCAGTCGACTCGCCTTTTTACAATTACTTGGTAGTTGAGTATGTTGACTACACCATATGATGACCATGGACGTTCGTCGTCTTCATAGTAGCCCGTGAAGGTATACAGCGCATTATACCGTCTCTATTTTTATGTTCTGTAAATGCTGTGAAGTCTCCAACAAGCTTCAAGATACTCCCTAATGACTCTTAAGACTAACTCTGAAGTAAAAGAGACATAGAGGGGAGGGTCAAATGATAGTTTTTCTTTAGGAATACTGGGAAATATATCTATCCCATCTAGGCTGATAAAACGCACACCTCGGCCACATGATACGCGATGAGTCCTAGAACACACATGATAGTCACACCCTCACAGTCAATATTCGAGTCATTGAGGACTATAAAACTCCTAAAGAACTACCCTCTTCTTCTGCGAGCTCTCACAGATCTTGAATACTCACTATCCCAAGGGAAAATTCGAGCACCACTTACACCGGCATCCTATTATATAGCCAGTCCACGCAAACCACGATGCCTCGACATGTTACCTTTGATGCCCATCTGTACAAAGACTTCTATGAATTCCGTAAGCAATGTGTCATCCGCGTCTGGAAATCAATCCCTGGAACCAACGACGATATGTTCCCTATCAACCACGAGGACCTTAAGAACGAATGGTGGAGATATTTCAAAGAGATGGCCGAACTTACTGTGGACCTTCCAAAGTTACTCAATGACACTGAAGAGTTTTGCGGCTATCCCTGGAAGTCTAATATGGCGCAGCCAAATGGCAAATACTGGGCCCATGTGTTGATGCGAGTAGCTCTTGAGTTGGGGGGCTTTGGTCCTTCGAGGGAGGACATGACGGATTCGATTACAAAGGCAAGGGCGGAAGAGGTAAAGAAGGTTCTTCAGGATGAGGTGTATAACAAGTGTGATTGGGTGGCCGTGCATGATCGTACACTTGAGGCAGCGAGGGTTTGGCCTAAAAAGGATGGGATATACTCGAGACTACCGCAGTCGGTTGTTGATCCGGTGGCCTACGCCAAATCGCAAGGATGATGTCTCAATCTCCAGGGTCTTCTTATTTGTATGTATTTATAGAGCTTGAGTGCGACTGTCACTACCAAATCCACTCTTCAGTACAAGACACCTTTTGTACTCCTCACCTCACCCTCCCATTTCTTCACTACTGTCGTCGCCTGCCTAATCGCCACCGCAAGTGCCTTGAACGCACTCTCTGCCCGATGGTGATCATTCTCGCCCCGAATACAGTCAACATGCAGCGTCGTCCCACTCGCCTGCGCAAAGCTCTGTAGGCAATGTGTAATCATCTCGCAGCTGAGATCGCCAATCTTCTCTCGCTTCAACCCCAACTCAATAACACTATACGGCCGGTTGGACAAGTCAATGACAGCCCTAGATAGCGCCTCGTCGAGTGGCGCATACGCGTATCCGAACCGCGCCAGTCCTGTAGACCCTTGTAAGGCATTCTTGAATGCTGTACCTAGCGCTAGACATGCATCCTCGCTTGTATGATGGTCATCGATGTGCAAATCGCCCTTACACCGTATCTGTAGACTCCAGCCAGCGTGCTTCGCGAGAGCGTGGATCATGTGGTCGAGGAAGCCGATGCCTGTGTCGACGGAGATTTCTTGGGATGCGGATTTTTGGGTGGCATGGTCTTTGTCAATCTTCTCGCTTTCGCCGTTAAGGTTCTTCTTGTCGAGGGCGGCCCAGAAGTCACTGTGTTCGTAGGGGGAGAGTTCGCCGCCGTCGAGGTTTATCGAGACCTGGATCTTGGTCTCGTTTGTGTCGCGGTTGAGGGAGCAGGTGCGCGGCATTGTGACGGTGTATACTCTTTCTTGGATGCTCGGTAGCTGGCTTTGAGTTTAGAGAGGTCAATGACTGTGTGAAAGGGCGAGTGTGTAGTGCACAAAAAGTTCAATGACGGCGTAATCGGAGACTTCCCCACGTCCCACGCCAGTGACAGGGGTCGTAGGGCTAGAAAGGCGGCCAACCACCGACTCGCCGAACGAAAGCCTGCCGCCCAAAAATTTTGATATCGCAAAGTCACGCCTATGTGAGCCATATCCAACACCAAATCAACACTCTGATCAACCAGTCATCCACAGCCAATAGCGCCGAAAAAGCAGAAAGAGCAAGGAACAGTTTTTCAAAATGCCAGGTGCAACGCCAGAGCAGGCGCAAGTCCAAATTCTAGACCCAACATCTGCGACAGATGAGGAGATCGACCCGGCGGTGGATCGCGACAGGATACGGGTCGTACGTTACTTTGAGGCCCGACGAGAAAGCTTCGAAGTGACTAACAAGATCTAGCTATCCGGCGCGACAGAGAGCGCTGCATCCTTCCAATTTGATGGCGAGGATCACACGCTCGGCAATGCGCTCAGATACGTAATCATGAAGAAGTGAGTGTTAATTCTTAGTTCTACCTGTTCTACTCTTGCCTATATTTGAGCAAATCAAGGGGAGGCTGACCTTTCTGCTTAGTCCTGATGTTGAGTTCTGCGGCTACTCTATCCCGCATCCTTCCGAAGCCAAGATGAACTTGCGCATTCAGACCTACGGTAAGTGTGCAGCTTTTCGTGGAAGTCAAACTCGTTCATCTGACGATTCATGTAGACGGTGTTAGTGTGTATACAGTGCTTGACAAGGGGCTCGAAGACCTTATGGCTATGTGTGATGTCGTCGAGGAGAAATTCAAGGTCGCAAGAGATGACTTCGTGAACAAGATGGAGGAATAGGAGAGAGTCCCTTTTAGATGCAGATTCGAGTTTCGACTGTGTGCATTGCAGGCGTTCACTGGGCAGCATGGCTGATTGGCGCACGGGAAAGGAAATGGTATTGGCTCGAGCTATATACATGCTTCTTGTGATTTGCTTATTCTCAAACTCCAGACTTGGGACACGGTCAGTTGCGACCCTACGTAGTCAGTTAGTATCGTTTAACGAATGGATCCTGGGTTAGAGAACGAAGCCCAGCGCTGGTCACGTACCTCCAAGAAGCCATTAATGAAGTTACTCGGCAGCCTAGCCTTGGGCTCCTCCTCAGCGCGGAAGTACTTGAGAACGTGCGATAGCTGCTTCCAGAAATTTAGAGTTTCCTAGTTGCTCCGTCAGTTTAAATGCCCCTCGCTCGTTATGTCCTTTCGGTCCATGCCCCAAGTATATCCCGTAGTCATATAGATCGCAGATGAAGTAGCAGGACATTGGACGAAGTATGGGGCTTGGATCGTACCTGGAATTCTTGGTGGCTGTTGAAGATCAGAACATCCACCGTCTTGAGTTGATTTACGTATCGATGCCGCTCGAATTCTTGTCTCATTTTTGTCCGAAGCGTTGAGACCGGAAGATTGAGCGAATACATGGTCTGAATCTCGGGAGCCTGTGGGTATACAAGTCAGCACTTGTTCTGGCGTTGCTTCCGCTGTTGTTCGTTTGTTCCGCTTCTCCGCCCCGTATACATCTTGCTGTCGACTTCCTCGCCTCGGTACAGACATCTTCTTTCTTCGCTGGGTCGAAGTAACAAATCAGGAAAGCCAGGAGTCACGTACCGACCGCAGCCAGTCCCGGTAGCTGTGAATGACCCTCTTCTTCGCATCGTTCCAGCTGATCGCTGTTCCCGCATTAGCTCTTCGCACGGTTCAATGGTTTGTACGTATGCTCGACTAACATGAGCGCGTGCGCTGAGCGAGGTAGGTGGGATTGATGACCATGTTGTCGGTGTTGCGGACTTCAAGCGTTCTCCGGGCTTGACATGCAGTGACGATGCGGCTCGGGTGGAGTGCTCTTGCCTTGCCAAGACATTTCCTAGTGCCAATCCCGGGCGCCGCAATCGTAAAGTTATCACTGAGCTTCTGCCTTGCAACACAACGATAATTACAATCCGAAAGCCCTTTCAACCCCGACGAGGGAATTCTACTCTCGAAACTACCCTACATCTCCCCTTGCGACAATCTACCAAACTCCGCAACCACACCATATAGTACATTATGCCACCCGTCCGCACCGCACGCGCCTCGAAAAAGGCACCGCCTGAAGGCTTCGAGGACATCGAAGACACACTCCTCGAGTTCCAGAACAACATGAAGGACGCCGAGAACGCCTCCCATGAGGGTAAAAAGAAGTACGAAATGACGTGGCCCATCTTTCAAATCACCCACCAGCGCTCGCGATACATCTACGACCTTTACTACGAGAAGGAGGCCATCAGCAAGCAGCTTTACGACTACCTGCTCAAAAACGGGTATGCGGACGCTATGCTGATTGCCAAGTGGAAGAAACAGGGCTATGAGAAGGTAAGCGCTCTCTTAGAGGCTCGGTGCGACTATGGCTTACTTGTGCTAGCTGTGCTGCACGCGATGCATCCAGACGAAGGAGACGAACTTCAGGTCGACATGTATCTGCCGTGTTCCAAAGGATAAGATGAAGGAGAATCAAGACATCCAGTGTGTGAACTGTGGGTGTAGAGGATGCGCTTCCAGCGACTGAGCAAAGGAAGGGAGGGAGACGATGCACAATGAAAGATACCTTACGATTGAGTTTGAGCGTAATTGGCGCTCTTCAACTGCGGCGACTTCTCGCCAAGCTGTGCTATGCGACAGGGTCAGGAACAGCAATTCCGCCTGAAGAGCGGAAATAGTGGGCAGTCACCAGCAGCAGGACTACTACCCTAGCATAGCTGGCCGTAGAATTGATACGATCGCAGCTTTGGTTTGGGATGATAGCACGGTCAGGCTGAAGGTACAGAGTCTGTCATTCGGTCGTGTCATGAAATTCATAAGTTAACGTGTCTACAGATGAGGTACAAGAATTGAAGCTAGGGTATACCAGTACTCCGTCCCAGTTGTGAGGTCTGAGATGAACATATGAAAAGTCGTTCCATCATCTGCTTGTACAAACCGTCCCCTTCCCCTTTTCGTATCTTTATATTCTCTCGTTACCGCGGTTGGCACTATCTCCCTGTGGCGTGGAGAACGAAGCTCCCTGGGATGGTTGCTTCTTCACCCAAGCTGAGGGAGGCGGCGAGGGCCAGAGGCTTGAAATCTCGGTCCCAAGGCTACCTCTTCGCATGGTGTGTACGGTATCACCACGCTTCAATCGAAACGGACTTTTTCCATCGACAGGCGAGTCCATGTCCGCCTCCGGCATTGCGATAGTCGTGCCGACTTGGTGCTTGTCATGCTGAGTATTAACACCTGGCTGGTCGTAAAATCTACTCTCGCCGACAATTGGGGCTTCGCGAAATCGGCCATTGTGGACTGGTGTGCTGAAGGCCGCCATGTTGAACACTTTGCTACCCCTACGACTGCTATCGATAGAGCCGCCAGACATATAGTGGTCTTTTTGTGGGACAGGTGGCGGGCCCATGGGTCTGATGGCCTTGCGTACTCGTCGTTTTCGCGACCAGAGGAGGAAGAACATCCACGTAGCGCATAGAAAGATGATGACTGGTATCATGCCTAGGCCTATCTTTGTCCCGAATGTTATGCCGTGCTTTATCGGACCTGAAGGGGCTTCTGACACGACGGCGGGCGATACCATCGCAGGTGGTACCGAAGGATCCATTTTGAGGACTGAGGAAGGTGAAGGTGACTCAGTTGCACCAATATAGATGTTCGCTGTTGATACGGGCGACGGCGTGGTGACAGCGCGCTCTGCTGCGTGGACTGAATACGAGACTGGACTCATGCTTGGTGGTTGTGGCTTGCAACAGGTGGTAACGAGGTGCTTTATTCACATTCCCGTTCATCGACGGACTCCTAAGTACGGGCCAACGACTAGAAATGCCCGATCGTATCAATAGAGAGAACAATGTTGTGTCCCTTTCAGCTCCTTTGAACGCAGACTTGAAACAAAGGTCAGGGTACCCTTTGTATAAACAATGAACACCGCCTACTTGCTTTGTAGCAATTAGCATACCATCACACACCTATCTTGATCGGTATGCGGACTCCGGTTGGCCCCCGTCAAATTGGTGAAACGCAAAAAAGGTATCGGACATTTTGCAGGCCCCGTTATCGTGAACGCGTGTTAGCATAGGTCTGCAACGAGAGAACGAACAAAAGTTGTTGGCTCCATGACGCGGGATCAAGTTGTTTCACGCCAAGGGAAGAAAACCCACTAGGACCCAATAGTAGGTTGAAGTTTATTTTGTTGCGAAAATGACTGCATACTAGGGTGCTTTTTTTGCGAGAGGCCTGTTGCCCAGCTGCCGATGTGGTCGGAGATGCTCGCAATCCACGGCATTTCATTGCCTGCTTAGATGTATCGAGGCTTTCATGACAGAATCTATCAAAGCAACATTGTGCTAAGAAGGAATACCGTTGTAAATGTCCGACGATCGAGAGGACTAATCCTGATGGTATAGATGGCTAGCGCCTGGCTGCCCAAGCTATTTTAGGCTCCCTCCATAACGCGGGGTGAGGTCACCTTGCATCCCGACGACTATCAGTCTACGAGTGAATACACTGAATAGGTCGTCTGTTTGCGGAACGCTTGCAGGTAGGATCCCCCTTTGACTTGTTTGTCCATTTTCGGCGGCTGAGACATTCAGGACAACCACCAAAACTGATCTGCCACTTTCGAGATACGCCGCTGCATTTGTCAGCGCATTCAGCCTTCCGGTATCAAGCCGGAAGGTTCTCCTGAATGCTTTTGTATGAATTGAGGGTTCCTTCTTCGAGTGTACGACCTCTGTGACTGGCATTGACACTTCGAATCCTGATATAGGTGTCAACAATCCACTCATTAGAATCGCAGTCATTAGACCTTTTCTGATGGTGACTGGACGCCTGAACCTCAAAGCGTGGAGGACACGTAAGGAACATCAAGACCAAAAGCTCCTTTTTGACGCATCGCATCGTTTGGCCCACTTCCTTGGGTGACACGTTAATTCGATCGCTCGCTTTCTCTTAGCGAAATCTCAAAGGATGGCGGACGAGGCGGCATCGCATCGATCAAGACTTCCCAGTCATCTGGCTAGATCCAACATGCTCAACGTAGAAGCCTTGGAGCAGTGTGACTTCAAGCCAAAAGCCCCACGCGGACCTCCTGAGCATAGTTCGCCAACCACCGTATACAAATATTGTACCCCTTCGGAATGGCGTGAGTTACATCGAGGCATTGATCCTGACTTGCCTATTACGCAAGGCACTTTTCCTTTGCTCTCTCTACCTGCGGAGCTGAGGAACACGATATATCGCGAACTCCTCCTCACTACTATCCCGCTTCAACTGGTCCATGACCGACCCTTTTGGCCTGACATCACTGTCCCAGGCAAGAGGATTCATCCCACGATTTTGCAAGCGAGTAAAAGGGTGTGCCATGAAGGTCTTGCGGTCCTATATGGGGAGAACACGTGGTATATCCATATTGACAAGACACTCGAGAGATACAGAGCGGACATGCGTTACCTGAACCCGTCTTTCTGCCTCCCGCCGCCGTTGACGACGTGCATGTCGCAGATCAGACGAATTGTTATGCACGCCGGTTCGAATGATCGTACCAGAACCAGATATGAGATATATCGCCAATTGCGGAATATTGGAATCCTGATGGATAGCCTTCAGCTCTTCGCTATACAGTTTCCGAACGAGCATGTGCTCAACAAGAACAAGAGGGTCAACGTAGAATGGTTGGAGGATATAGATGTGAAGGAGCTGAAGGGGAAGCATGTGTGGTTCCCGGACGGTACAATGCCAGATGAGGGGTGGCTTGCTATGAAGCAGGGCAAACGCGGGGTCGCAAGTGCGGGAAGGATCCCAGGACTGGGGGTCTACTGACAGATCATTAGGAGAATTTTCACGCTTCGAGGCTCTATGAAGTCCGAAGACGTCGTATAGATTGTGGGCAGGGGCTACGTAAGGGAGTAGTATATAACAGTTTCATACATATATACTTTATCGCGCATTAATATCCTCAACCACCTCGGTAGAAGGGCCTAGAATAGATGAGTGGACTACAGCAGGAATATCTCCAACGCTACTATGGTCTGTGCAACTATCTAGTGATTATACGAACCCGGCGATCTCTACCATGCGTGTAGAAGCCAAGACGCAGATAAAATTACCGACGTCATCGAACATTGGCCTTTTGTTTTGCTCAACAGCCCAGTGTTTCAAGGCCTGTGCCCAGAGTATTGGCCCGTCATTGAGAAATGTATCTCAGGAGCGCGTAAGGAGGCGAGGCATGCACATAATAGAATCGCATCCGCATCCTCGTCTGCTCGTCTGTAAATCTTCAGCTAGCTAACATTTCCAATCATGACTCCCTCCATGTCTGAGAAAACTTCGTTGCTTCCCATCGCAGAATCTGGGCTAGAGGCCAAGACCAAGACCAACAGCAAGACACAGATCGACCATCGCGCCGTCATTGAACATGTCTTCCTACTCTTGAGTCTCCTCCTCACGGCTTTCCAGTTTTTCGTCCTCTACAGCATCGACGGCTCATCTCTTGCGCCTTCCACGACTTACTACAACGCTGTCTTGCGCCAACTCGCTCGCGGCCTGCGCATCTCAATTCCCGCAAGCCTTCCGACCAGCGTTGGCCTATTCTTCACCGCGCCCTATATCGCACGCCCAGATAAGATTGTGATCACTAGATACACGGTTCTACTCTGCTATCTCGTGGGCTCGACGTTGGGTGCGCTGCTGATCTAGGCCGGGGCGGCTAGGGTTTAGCTCGCGTACTGTTTCGTATCGCCGGGAGCGATAACGGCGGTGGAGAGCTGCATCCTTCGACAATTTGACGGGCTTCCTGAACAGTCATATAGGGCGCAGGACGTCAATTGATTGGGTCAGACGCTGTGAATAGTTTTAAAGCGTAGAGGTACGTTCCCCTCCTCTTGATGAGTAGTGCATGCTGCAATTGGCCTCTTGTGTCAAGTGTCAAAGGCGCATGCTCCACAATCACTTCGCACTGTCACAACGAGCTTGCGCATCCTGCAACTCTACTTGACCACATCTAACGAGCCTATCCAGTGCAATCGAATTACCGGCTTCCCCCTAGCGAATATGTCGCTCACACGCCCCAACCCGCGCTTTCTCGCTCGTACGAACCGCATCTTTGCCTCGCAAATCCGATCATACGCTGCGCCTGGTGAAGCAACTATTCCCCCAGCCAAAAAGAAGTACGTGCCTACTTCTGGCACCTATCCGATCGGCTTCAAGGCTGGAAGTGCACACGTTGGTGTCAAAGCCTCGAACACACGCTTTGATGATCTTGCTTTGATTGCGTCGGACACACCATGTTCAGGCGCAGCTGTGTTCACCACAAACAAGTTTCAGGCAGCACCTGTTACTGTCAGCAGGGACATGCTGAAGAAGAGGAAGGGCGATGGTATCAGAGCTGTCATTGTCAATTCGGGATGCGCCAACGCGGTGACAGGACGTGGCGGGATTGAGGACGCCATCTCGATGGGAAAAGAGACAGACAAGTGTTTCATAGAGGACAGCAACGGCGAGGATGATCTGAAAGGAAGCCGAAGCATTGTGATGAGCACCGGTGTCATCGGCCAGCGGTTACCGATTGAGAAGATCACCTCCAAGATACCGACGGCATACTACAACCTTGGAAACACACATGAGCATTGGCTAGGAACCGCACGAGCCATCTGCACAACAGACACCTTCCCTAAGCTGATTTCGAAGACATTTACTCTCCCGAGTACTCAGGTGGAATACCACCTCGCCGGCATGACGAAGGGAGCAGGCATGATACATCCCAACATGGCGACGCTCCTAGGTATAATCTGCACGGATGCGCCCATTGCTGCTTACCCACTGCGACAAGCCCTTATATCCGCGACCTCAAAGTCTTTCAACAGCATCTCTATAGACGGCGACACATCGACCAACGACACCCTAGCCATCCTCGCCAACGGTGCCGCAGGCGGTCAACCTGTTGTCTCAACGACTACGCCCGACTTCCAAGCCTTCCAGGAAACACTCACAGAATTTGCAATCGACTTGGCCAAACTCGTTGTCCGCGACGGTGAAGGCGCAACAAAATTCGTCACCATCCGCGTCACCAACGCCGCATCCTACAAAGACGCACACCGTGTCGCATCAACCATTGCGCGTTCTCCACTCGTAAAGACTGCACTGTACGGCAAAGACGCAAATTGGGGCCGTATCCTGTGCGCCACTGGCTACGCCGAGGGCGTCGACTCAGTCATTCCAGAGGAGACGAGTGTCAGCTTTATCCCCACGGACGGAAGCGAGGAGTTGAAGTTGTTGGTTCGGGGAGAGCCTGAGCAGGTCGATGAAGAGCGCGCGGCCAAAATCTTGGAGGCGGAGGACCTGGAGATCAATGTGAGGCTGAGTGAGAATAAGGGGTATGAGGAGGAGGCAGTGTTTTGGACGTGTGACTTCTCACACGAGTATGTTACTATCAATGGGGATTACAGGACATGAGAGTGGAAAGTGTTCAACATAGGACGCGAAGGATTCCTGTGAAATAAGTTACAAACTTTGGGAATTTTTACAATGCACATTACCTTTGAATCCCATGCAGAGAGGTTTATGCATTTCTGTCTGTTTACACTCAGACTCATCCTGCGAACATGGACAATGGGGTTACAACATTAGAACTGACAGTACTTGACACCAACTGACCCCATACCGACTTATATTCCAACTGACCCACCACCACCACGATATAACCCACTCCAGCCGCAAGAACAGACACATACGACCACAGGCAAAGGAACACTCTGGATCCCGTCCGCTCTCCACACGATAAGCCTTTAACCGGCGGATTAGTAGTCAGGTGGGTGACCACTGGCGAATCCCTGCTGTTGTATGTTTTTGAATTTTTTTTGGGCCCTTTCTTCTCATGAGTAACTGACGTAGTAGCTGTATCCTCTGCTTCTCTGCTGGGACTGGTCTCTTTGGTCGCAGTTATTCTTCTCTATGACTGGCTGTCTTCGTAGAGGACCATTCTCTTCAGGTTCAAGATCCACCCAACTTCCCTAACAAACTTGTACCTTGTCAAATAACATGCCATTTCCCGTTCTGCTCTCCTCTTTGGAATAAAGCGACTGTTATATTCGCCCACAACCTAGGCATTAACATAAGAACTACCAACAGCACCCTCACTAGGCCAGAGGAGAAGAATGCCTGGCATCGTCTAGACTCACAAAGAGGCGCCGGCGTATCACCTATGAAGGAAGGAAAGAATAGCACAATCAACGCGATGTATATGGGTGCACGTGTTCTATGGACAGTCAAGAAACATTCTCATTTCGCTAGACAAAAACGACCGTCAACGGCATTCAGGCATGTTCACGTCTACATCCTCATCAGGCCATTTAGCAATGACTTTGCCGCTCATCGCGCCCGATTGCAACCACCAGTCAACACAATCTGAATAAACTATATCATTACCGCGTGTACCGCAACCCAAAGAAACAAAAAGATGAAAACGCCGTGGTAGACACAGTGGCAAACGCTATATGTACGCCCACGCAGCCCTTCAATGCCTTGCCCGCCATTAAGAAGGGTATGTATCAAACGCTATAGGTAGAAGGGCTAGCCATCGCTGTCGTGGGTATCGTTTATCGTGACATCGTAAGATCGGGGTATCCAAAGGATAGTCCAAAGAGAAGTAGATGAAGTAGTGCTCGGATCTCAAAGATATAAGGGGTTGTTGAGAATGGTGAAGGTTGTCGATATAACATGAGGGGTATCGAGAATAGGACGGATCGAGGTATTTACAATACCAAGCAAAAGGTCCAGAAGGTGGCAGGCGAAAATATGGTATAGGATCAAGAGCCCGTTATCGTCTAGAATCATGGGCGTTTTGGCCATCGAGCGAATTCAGAACCGAACAGTAGAGCTGCGAGTCATGCCCGGCCGTGACACCTTCTGCGGTGATCCGTTAGGGGCAACAGCAGACGTCCTAGCTCCGATCTTTTCGAAACCTTGCAGCAGATCAATGCCGGGCTCCGACTCATCGCTGTGAAGAAGGTGAAAGATGTCCTCATCATCCTGCTGCTGCTGGGTGGTAGAAGCGCTGAGTGACTTCGGAGGAGTCAGGCCGGAATGTCCATTCTCCTTGTTGGCATTTGGAAGAGCGAATTCCAAGACTGGATTCGAAGTAGGAGGCTTCAACATGGGGGCCTTGAGCGGCGAAAAGTTCTTGGCTGGCGATAGGTTAGGTATGTTGAGGAACGAGGACGACAGCTTCCAGTTGGGAGTGGGCGAGTTGGTCATCTTGCCCTTTGAACCAGTGATATCAGCGAGTATGCCGCTCGTGGTGGCAGCGCGCTCCAGTCGTGGACGCTTACTAGCGCTGCGCTTGATTGGGCTCTCATTGTAATTGAAGTCGCCAAAGATGTCAAAGGTGCTCTCGAAGCCTTGTCCGACAAGATTGACACTCTCCTCGTTCGGGATCGACACCGCCGGGCTCCAGGTCTTGTTGTCAAGGAAGGACGTGTCGACCCACATGGCCAAGCTCTTATCTGGCGAGCCCCCAACAAGCTCTCGCATCTTGTTTCGGTGATTTCGCAAATTGGTGTTCGGGGATGCAGAAGCCGGTGGAAGAGCAGGGCGCTTGAACACAATGGCTGGAGTAAGAGGACCATCCGTCTTGTCAGCCCGGCGAAATGGCGAAGAGATGAGATGAGCATTGCTAGGCTGCTTCATGTAGGGTCTAGTCTTTGAAGGAGAGTCATAAGAGGAACCACGGATGCGAGCGATTTCCTCTTCAGCACGTCCACGCTTGAGGTTGGGGCGATCAACATCTGCTTCCGAAGTGAGTAGTGGGCCAAGTGGGTTGCCCTTGATCGCAGACGACTCGATGGACGAATAGTAGCCACTATCACCAAGACCATTGAACTTGCGCTTTCGCCCTCCGGACCGACTGTTGGTGGGGAAGCGTGGAGCACGCGGTGGCGTATCTTCACGAGCCGAGCGCGGGCGTGAGACGGGTGGTGGTGGTGACGAATGGATATCAACTGGCGGTGGTGAGGAGGGCATCTGGCGTGGTGGAGGCATGCTAAGGGGGTCGTGTCCGTCATGGGCGGTGGGGTCTGAGCATGGAATGGTAGCATCTGAGGATGGTAGCTCCGCCTCTTCAGGAAATTTACTCGAGTCAAAACCCTTGGTCGAGCTCATTGGTGGGAAGCTAGCAGACATGGATGTGGTCGACCGTGGCAGCTCGCCAGGATATGCTGGGAGGAAGCCATCAGGGTTGGCAGGCCGGCGAACGGGCTTGATTTTGTGATACTGCTTCTCGAATCCAGGGTTAATGACCCAGTAGTGGCCTTTTCCAGGATCGTCCTTGGGGCGCTCTTGCTTAGAGAACGACTTGCTCAGACTGAGATTGTGACGAATGCTGTTTTGCCAGCCCGTCTCCTGAGAGTTACGGTAGAAGACAAAGGTGTCGGAGATCCACTTGTATATCTGTGCCAGAGTCAACCGACGGCTTGGCGCCCGCAGGATGGCCATGCCAATGAGCATTGCGTAGCTGTAGGTGGGCTTGTTTCCATCGTCCTCGACACTGGGCATCTGCTCTGGATGCGGCAGGGGCCCGTCCACCTCCTCAACCTTGACAACTTCTTTGACCTTCTGCTTCTTACTGCGATCGCGTAGAGGTGCGGTGTCTGCGAACAGGCGCTTGGATTCTTGCTTTGTCGGCGGTTCTGCAGCGGATAGGGCGGATAATACGGGTTCCGAGTAGGAACACGCGTTCTCTTTATCCGTCTGGGACGGAAAGCTAGTCCAGTACTGTGCTTCACCCGCCATTGCTTGCGCTTGCTCTGGGATGGGCAGTTGTGCCTTCTTTGTGAGTGCGTCAGTGGAGAAATTCTGCTCCTTTGGTGGCGGTAGTGAAACGGCGTTGAGGCCCTTCTCAGCAAGGGCGCTGGGCGGGGGTGAGCTGGAGATGTGTCGGGTCTTGCGTGGTGAAAGCTCGCTGGTGGAGTCTTCTGGTGGTGCAAGGAGCGTGTGGGAGTCGTTTGACACGTCGGTAATGGATACGAAGCTGTCTAGGTATCGTGGGTCGTATGCGTTGACTTCGTGGTGATCGTGAGGTAGTACAGGGTCCTGAAAAATCTGCACAGAGGGCTGTCGACGCGCTGCAGCCATGGCGAGCGCGACCAGCAAGGTCTATAACGGCCTTGGATGGCCTCTCCAGACGCTTTGACGCGTGAAATCGCGTAAAGTCTGTCAAAACGGATCCGTTGAAGCTATGGGGCACGGTCGGAAAGTGCGGTGTTGATGGGAATTGCGGTGAGGGTAGGTAACCAAGCGTAGAGTGGGCAGGATGGTAGGGTGTGCGCAGTCAATTGTCGACGGGCGTAGACTGCCTATCCTGTCTCGTGTGAATCTGCGTTGGGGGCGTGAGAAAGGAGGTACTCGAGGGTGTGGGCTGCCCTCTTACCTAGGCGGGTGGATGTGAGGCGACGGGGCAGCTCGCTTACAGGCGCTAAAGCAACCTGTGACGACAGGCGGATGGCTGATCAGCAGCAGCGGAATGAGACGCTAGGGTTGGTCGTGTTGGCCAGAATAGAAGGTAAATGTTTCGTTAATCGTGCAGAGAGCGGGTACAAAGGCAGAGGCAAAGGCAAAGGGCAAAGGGGAGCATGACCAAGAAGAGGAGAGGAGGAGTCAAAGGGCGAGCGAGGGCGCGGGCATGGGCATGGGCTTGGGGCATGGGCATGGGAGGCAGCACGAGAGAGAGAGAGAGAGAGAGAGGAGAGAGGGCAACTGGGAATCCAGCTGCAGCACCTGCCTGCCTTGGCGGGCTGGCTGCAAACGCAAGGAAGGAGCGACCGGTGCAAGGGGCAGGAGCCAATCACCAGGGCGTCCGACGCGTCGACGCCCACACGGATCGATCGCGCGTCATTCTCTCCTCACCTCCAGGAACACCCTCGTGCCGCCAGCGAGACTAGCCAGCTGTTCGCACTCTGTGAGCGCTATGAGGCGCGTGTCAATTGACGCCCAGTCGAGCGCCCCCCCTTCCCGTTGCGAGCAGAATCGCCCGGCCGTTGCAAAGGGAAGGGAAGAAAAGCAACAACACCAGCGCAGAGAGAAACGGTGGAAGCGCCTGTACAACGCGAAACGTGAAACGGGAGCCTCTGTCGACGCGAGCCAGTCTGCTCATCGGATGGCGCTGCATGGAGCGACAACGGCTGCATAAGCCCATCATCGAGTGGTGCAGGTTGGGCCGAACCATGGGGCGGATGAAACCCATGCGCATCATGCTAGCTGCGGCCCTCAGCTCTGCCAGCGAAGCCATGGAAATGAAACCCATGCAAGACCGAGCTCCCTACGGCCGCTCATTTCCATGCGGCGGTACTCGCAGCACGGTAGTTATACATCCCTCAGCACAAAAGGCTTCCAACATGGCCTGACAGCTGCCAATCTCATGCCCATCGCACGAAACCGTGCAACACCGCTGGCCCCGTACACACCGGTACCTTTTGCTGCGTTAGCGGCCCATTTACCGGTGTGCATGCGAGGGGCAGCTTCGCTACCACATTTCCGTGTTAGCCTACCCCACTGGGCTCTGATCTGTACCACGACAGATAAGCACATATCCCTCAGAGGTCGCTTTATTAGAAAACACCAGAGCGTCTTCAGCCCAGCTAGTCATGGCTGTCATGCTCGGAGGGCAGCAACGGCTCAGATGCCGTTTACAACGATTAATAATAGCCTTAGCGAAACCTTCAAGATCGCGATCTGAAAGTCTCCGTCCGTGATGATACTATGTGGGGCCTCTGATCAGGGAGATCATCGGACGCTATCGCACCATAACAAACCGTCCCGGCTCAACAGCACGCCTCGGGAATTGGACGTCGAGTCGGGGTGTGTTCAGTACACGAGACATCCTGTTCATGGTGTGCCATCGCCGCACTCCCTACGACCATCTCTATCAAGATGGTCCACACATTCTTCATACAACGCGGAGAGACAGTTACTCCTCTTTGCTCAAAGAAGAACTAGCTCACAACTAAGATTGCAACGGACTAAGACGCAATCATGGAGTAATGTCAAAAACTTTCTCAACCACGGGCGCTTGTATTAACTAGAGAAGTAAAAAAAAGCCAGGATCAGCACGAAGCCACAAAGGCGCAGTCTAGAACGTGAAAGTAAAATACAATCAAATGTCCAGAATAGTAAACGAGTGACATGGACAAACAAACAACCAATCATGCCGCTCCCTCTCTCTCTCTGTATAATACCGTTTCCACCACGCTCTCGACAGAAGCTCTACCACCACACCTTGCCTCACGTTGCTCAATACACCAACCTTGCCATCAACCCCACTGCTAATTCACAACAGATTTAAATCCTCCTGACTCTCCTATCCTCAATGCTGTCATCTAGTTCCGTGACGGGAATAGGCCAAACGCTCAACCGGCCACACGGTCCGTTGGAAAATGCCAACGCAAACTCAATCGGGAAGTCCTCTTGGCCCTGGATCGTGCCCAGATACAAGCTCAAGCTGCCAATGGCGCAGGTTCCGTTACCCACTGGAGCAACGCCACCGCCGGTAGCAACGGGGAAGGGGACGCCAGATGAAGCGCCTGTCGGTCGCATCATTCCAGAACCTGTGGCGTATGCCGTTGGATAAGTGGCGTTAGATCCGTATCCATAACCGTAGAGTCCGCCAGATGGGTAGGTAGAAGGAGCGGGCAGGGCGGGGATGCTGGCAGCCGGAGGTTGTGTAAGGCGAAGATGGCATTCTTGCTCGCTAGGGACAAAGAAAGAGCCCGCGCAGAAGGGCTGTTATCAAGTCAACATGTGCTCTCACGACTGGGGGAGAGGAAAGGGTAGCTTACAGTGGTCTGGCAAGCAATGCAGCAGTTGGTGGAAGACGTGGTGTTGACCACGAGCTCGTTCTCGATGGGGAATCCTTGAGTTGGGCGGTAGATGACGCGATCGAAAATAAGCGTGTTTCCGTTGAAGTCGGTGATGTGGTCGACTGCGTGTGTTAGTTTCTGCATTCCATCTCTCTGCAACGGTAATGGTATACTCACCAATATTGTTTCCCAGACAAGCTTGATACACTGTCGACCTAGGCAAGACCGCCGTAATCGTCGTGGTTGTGCTTACAGTGCTCGTAGTAAGCGCCGTGGCAGTCGCTTGAGCCACGAACACTGTCTCGGGAAGACCAGTAACGATGGTAGTAGTAGTGCTGTTCACAGTGACCGCGACACGGCAATCCACACGCTGTACGAATTTGCGATCCAAGCTGGAAGTGTGACCGTCTCGGTCAACGGAGAAGCCGCCAGTATGATTAGCAGCAGTCTGGCGCTTGAGCAGCTGAAGCGTCTGCGAGTTGCGGCCTTCAAGTCCATGGCGCTTGATGCGTGCAATCGGGGTCGCTCTGGCCACATCTACAGCAAGGAGGGGAATGAAGCCGGCAGGAGTAGGGACCGTAGTCGCGGCTGGGGTCGAGGTTGACGTGGTCGAGAAGGTCTCAGTTGTTGTGAGAACATCCGTGAAGGTGGTCGCTGAAGGAGTAGCAGTCACTGTGTCGCGCGTAGTATAAGTGATACGGAAGAAGTTGGTTGTTGTCGTATATCTGAACCAGGTCGGGACTGCCTCGGTTCCAGCGGTTCCAGTAGGCAGAGCATAGTAGCCGAAGCGGGTGGTGCAGCGAGTTGCTGAAGAAGTGACATCTTGAGCCGTAACGGCTGAGACAGCTGCAAGTGCAGCGAGGAATATAGAAACAAACATGTTTAACGATTGACCGAGAACAGTGAACTAGCAAAAAGGTGCAGATAGTAGCGAATGTGAGTTGCTTGATAAAGCACTTGAACCTCGCAGACAGAGGATTATATACCCTCATAGCGGTGGCGTTGTCCACGAAGCTTTAAGGGAGACTAAGATGAAGGCTCAAGGTTCTCTGGGCAGTACAGAGCTGAATGTAACAAGACAAACACCGCAAGCCACGTCTTCCGGTATCTGGTGGCCGAAACAAGAGGCAGAAGCCCTCATGGCGTTAGAACGCAGCATATCAAGACCGCCTCGTGACAGCGTGTTGACGTTGATGACGCCTCAATCCATGTCTCTGCCCCAATACTAAGATGAAGAGATGATACAAGAGCTATTCAAAGCATATCAATGTCCCCTTGATTCCCGGGTGTACCGTAGACGACTCACCTTACGCTTCCAATACCAAGGCTGCGGAAGTGCAGATGAGAATCAGACAGAAAGAGGCCTTGTAATCACTAGGGAGTGGGTAGTATACGTGAACCGATCTGAATCTCGGGCAATCAGGTGGGTGAGTGGGAAGATTTTGTCGCACCGAGCCTCAATCCAGTTACTGCTGCTTCGTACATGATAGGCGATGGTTGCACAAAACTCCTTCTTAACGGCAATGCAGGGCGCACGGAAGTCGGCTAGAATGCGTCAGCTATCTGGCAGAAACGGCTCGAAAGTTCATCAGATGCGACGTTTCGCTAAGAATAAAAAGTATGTATGGGAACAGCATGTACGAAGTTTGGACAGCTTATTTGATGTTCAAATTTTGGGGAAAGTTTGCTCTGAGCTAGAATTTTCGTGAAGAGCCGAATAACCGGTGTATCCAGTTTGCGTCTATATTCGGTTACCGGATGCTTGCCGCTATTATTGATCCCTTGCTTCACCATACAAAATGGATCCACTCTTCAATGTAACACCACCATGCACGGCGCTCAGCCGCATTCTATAATGATGACCTGTCTATGCGCGAAACGCCGAGAAAAGATAGACAGATTCTGGAAGCGAAAGAGTGAAGGAAATATGGCTGGTCAAATGGCCTGCTTTTGAAAGACCTCGGCACCAAACTGATACTTGCCAAAAAAGCATAACCTCGCGGGTCATTCGATGTCAAAACTCTCAACCCCTCAGCGACAAAGCTGAGCGACAACCGAGACTGACGTACGTCAGATAAATGGATTGTCAGGGGATCGACAGAAGAACTGGCTGATCGCTGGTTACCTGCGCGATCCAATTCTAAGACCAGGCACGCCTTTCAAGCCCATCTTGCCAACAGTCGACTTCTCAAGCATTGGCGGCTCTGGGCAACCCATAGTCCTTGCATACTCATTCGCTAACCGAACCAGATCCGCTGTTGATAGCTGCAGCTTCTTGAGGAAAGTCTTGTTGTATCCCAGGAAGGCTTGGTAGGCTTTGGATTTAGCCACCTCTTCAACATTGACGAAGGCTCTATCGATTTGTGCCTCATGCTTGGGTAGTCGCGCTATCATATCCACTGGATACGGTTGGATGGGCAACGTCCTGTTGGTCCTTGGGAAAAATGACTCTTGGCCGAAGAGCACAAGAACAGCTCGCCCATCCTTTCCAGCACGAGCAGTGCGACCCACGCGGTGGATGTACTGCTCAGTGCTTGAAGGAAGACCTAGTTGGATCACTAGGCCTACATTCGGAAAGTCCATGCCACGCCCCACAACGTCGGAAGCGAAAAGAATCCCGCTTGCCGCCTCTTTGAAATCCGTGGTGGTACGTGTTCGAGCAGGCTGGGACATGCGGCTGTGAAGTTCGAACATCCTGAACTGGGGCAAGGCGTGCTTATACAAATCATACAGTAGCCCGACACCGTTCGCCGTCGTACCAAATACAATGGCTTTGAAATCAGTGGGGTTTTGATTGTATTCTTCCTCGATCAAAGCTGAAAGAGCAGCAAAGGTTTGGCCGACCGTGGGAACGGAGAAGAAGAACTGCGGGACACGCTCGTGCGTCGGCACCTCGTTAGGATCGACTGTCGTTAGGTGCATGTAGCCTGGGAACAGCACGATCTTGGCTACGTCGAGGACCTCCTTAGGAAGGGTAGCAGAGAAGCACATTCCCTGCCAACCGTCACTCTTCGGTGGAATGCGCCTTAGGATCTTCTTGATTGCAGGCGCGAATCCAGCGTCAAGCATTTGGTCGGCTTCGTCGAGAACCACAGTCTTGAGATGGGAGAACCTTTCACGGACTTGTTCTTCGCCCAGTATGTCATCGAGGCGGCCAGGAGTCGCGACAAGGATGGTAGGATTGCCGTTGATGAAAGCCTTCAGGTTCGAGGCACGGGAGGTACCGCCAAACGCAGTGTGGCACTCCATCTTCTGTGGCAGACATGCGGTGACGCCGTTGCATTCTTTTGCAATCTGAAGCGCCAGCTCACGCGTGGGGCAGATGACGAGGATACCGACCTTGCCCCTTGGAGGCGCATTTCCAGCAAGAAGGTTTTGGATAGCAGGAAGCAGGAAGGCAACCGTCTTGCCGGTGCCAGTTTTCGCCTGCACAACACAATCGGAAGAGGATGACGGGAGCTCGGTGAGTACTTTTTGCTGAACAGGAGACATGTACCTAGAAGGAGTTAGCCAGTGTGCATGAATAGTTATTGTCGCATTAGAAGCATAATGCCTTCGTGCGGGCATTGTGAGGTGTGCTTACTCGAATCCCATCTTGTCCAAGCCGTCAAGCAGTCCTTTGTGTAGTTTGTTCTGCAAGACTGAGAACGGCTTCGGCGCCGCATCGCCAGCCGTCGTGCTGTACATCTGTCGCACATCGACGATCTCTACAGGCTTTGGTGCGTCGTCCACTTTCGGCCGTTTTGGTTGTTGCGCGATGGCCGAGCGAGGTGCGGATACGGTGCTGGGGGCAGGTGCGCCGTTGGAGCGGTCGCCGCCTTTCGGCCGGGGCCACTTGCGCTTCGGTGGGGGTGGCATAGTTGAGAGTTGTCTGTAGTTGAAGGTGAGGTAAGGTGTTGCGGGGCGGCTGAGTATTGTATTAGTTGAAAGAGACAGGCGTGATGGAAGGCTAGATTGAGCGAATGAGCGCAGTGTAAGAGAACGTGAAACTGATTTCATTCTTTTGCACAACAAGGTACATACACAGAAAGCCTCCACCAGAAGATCAAGAAGAAAGTAAAGAGATCAGGGTGTTTTGTGAGAAGAAAATGCAGGAACTATCTCGCTCACAATTGTTTGGGGCGGCGACCCGGCAGAAAAAAAACTCCAGGCCGGGGGTGACGTCGACCAGCTTGGCGTTTCCATATGCGGGCTGACTCAGCAATATTTCACCCTCCACACTCGTTATCTCATTAATCAGACGCTCTGCGCACGGGCCAGATTACATAATACAGTTAATTACGTAACGCAGGCTAAAAATCTATTATTTATAAAGCATTTAAAAAAAACTAGTTTAAGCTTTAGTAGTATTTAATTAAAAAATATATTTTTGCTCTTATTTATTAGCAAATATTTTAATAATAACTAAAAGATAAAATTTAATATAAATTTAAATTATTTTATATATAAAATTTTATATAATTATATTATTTAAAATAATATATTATACAGGCAAGTTAGTTGCCCGGTTAAGTTAGTTATAACGTATTACACAGGCAAGTTAGTTGCCTAGTTAAGTTAGTTACAATGCTAAGACCCTACTAAAATTAGTAGTCTTTTACTATTAAACGCGATGCTTTAATATAATAATATACAATTTTTTTAAAAAAAAAATTAAATATAGTTTATAGTTTAGGCTTTAAAATATAATACAAATTTTTCCTAATAAAAAGCTGCGCAGATCTATAGCGTTTTTTAAATAATACTTAGTAATTAACTAAAAAAAAAGCCTTTATAATATAATACTAGGCTTAATAAAATAAGGCTCTTTTTAACAAAAAAAAAAGTAATTACTTAGTATATATTCTATTTTAAAAACTAAAAATTTCCGCCTTAACTAGCTGCTGTAAATAATATAGCTAATACTTTGCTAACTAAATATAAGTAACTACTTATTAGCAAGAACTAGGCTAGCACATTTATTAAATAATATCTATAGCTTAGTATTAAAATTTTTTAAAAGTATAATTATTAAAAAGCTTTATATAAAAATCCTAAGCTTATATAAAGCTAGTTCTAACTTATAAAAAATATAAAAGCTAAGTATAGTATTTAAAATAAAAATATATATAACTTTAATAAAATAGGCTTTATAATAAGCTAGATATTATATAAAACTATTGTTTTAAGTGCTAACTATTAAAGACAGCTAAAAATAGTGCAGCAGGGTAATTAAAAGTAAGTAACAGTAATTTAAAGTATTAATATAATAAAGTAAGCTATTTTACTTTTTATTATTTTTATAAGCAAGAACTATTTTTTAGCCTAGTATAAAAAAAATAGCCTACTTTATAATTAAGTTATTACAGTTTTTAAGAATAGCTAAATAATAAATAAGCTTACTTTTAAGTAGTTAAAGCACTTTAATAAGTATACTAAAAGAAAAGTTATTAATACTTATTGTTTACTTATTATTAATAGTTATAAAAGCTATGTATTAGTCTAATTCTAGTAATACTATAAAAAATAAAAAATTATTACTTTTTATATGCCCCTGCATTTGTCGCACTTACTATAGCTATTTAATATAAGTTATTTTGCGCTTTTAAAAAAGGCGTATAAGTGCTAAGCTAAAAAGCTAATATATAATAGCATTAATTATATTATTAAAATTAAGTTTTTACTGTACTTTAAACTAGCTTTTAATGCTACTATTATAAAAAGCAATATTTTAAGTAGCTTTAAAAGCGCTAGTCTAGTTTTTTTTAACTCTAAAGCTATAATATTAAAATTTAATATTTAGTTATGTACTTTACTACTACTTACTATTAAAAATAGTCTTTAGAAGTTAAAAACACTAAGTAATACTTTAAAATTTAGATTTTAATTAATGCTAGTTAAAATAAAAATTTAAAGGTACTTAAATAGTTTTTTTATTTTAATAGTTAAAACTTTTAAAAATTTTTTAAAAAGTGTAGCTATAGTCGCGCACAAGCTTGTATTAGCGCAGAAAAAAATTACTAAATTTTAAGCAGCTAATAAAGCTGCTACATAATAAAAATTATATAAAAAAAAAAAATATAAAAAAAAAAAACTTTTATAGTAAAAAATAGTTTTTAATTAATAATTCTAAAGGAGTTTAAAGCGCGTAGTAATAAAAAAAAAATAAAAAAGCAAGTATATATTAAAGCAGGTAAGCCTTTTTAAAGGCGCTATAAATACTATAGTAAAACTAGGTATAATACGCAAATATACAAATAAAAAATAAAAATAATTTTTAAATAAATTAGCTTATTATAATTTACTATTATAGTTTTTTATAGTGCTATACTGTTGTGCATAGTACTAATTTTAGTAAAGTTTTAGCATTATAACTAACTTAACCGGGCAACTAACTCGCCTGTATAATATATTATATATACTTTTTTTTTTAGGTACAAAGTACAGGCTTAAAAAGTAAAAATTTTTAATATTTTTTATGCCTTATATTTTAATATATTGCCTTTTTATTAAAAAATAGGTTAAATATATATATAAGTAGTAATTTATATAAAAACTAATAGCTTTATATAATTATTTTAAACAATATATATAGTAGTAGTATTAATATATAAAATAGTAAAAAAGCTTAAAAATTATAATTTTTTAACTAAATACTACTAAAATTTATATTAGTTTTTTTTAGACGCTTTGCGTATATAAGATTATATAACTATTTAATTATTATGTAATTAGTAGTAGGTCCGTGCGCAAGGCGTCTGATTCATAAGATAACACACTCGTTCAGCCACCTTGGATCGTTTGAGTTCGTGGCTTGACTTTGATGTGCCCTCACGGTACTACTATATAGCAGCAGATATTTGATAGCCTCATTCTGACGATTCTGCCCTCCTAGCTCGTGCATCCCGACTCGTCCTATCTACGCGTGCCAGGCTAAATCATCACAGAGGCAGAGTCGATGAAGAAGTCATGGAGGGACATTTCCAAAGAAGCCCGGGACTATCGAGACACAACCATTTCCCAGCTTTCTCCTTTGGCCCCTTCTGTGCCATCAGATCTACCTAAGAAGGTCCTAGGTGTCCCAGACCAGCTTCTCGGCCAGCATGTCACCTCAATCACAAGCCTGCTTCCTGAAAAACTGCTTGCTTCTATAGCAACCGGTCAATTATCAGCCGTCGAGGTTTCCCGTGCGTATCTGCAGCAAGCTGCCGTGTCTCAAGGCCTCACCAATTGCATCACCGAGCTTCTGCCCACTATGGCTCTGGAACGAGCAAAGGAACTGGATGCCTACTTGCAAGAACACAAACATCCAATAGGGCCACTTCATGGCCTCCCAATAAGTGTCAAAGAGCACATTGGATTCCAAGGTTTGCGGTGTACGACCGGGTATATCTCACATTGGGACACGATCGCCAAAGAGGACGCGCACATTCTTCAGGTGCTGCGAGATGCAGGTGCTGTCTTCCACTGCCGAACTACGGTCCCTCAAACAATGATGCATTTGGAAACTGATTCGAATCTGTATGGTGTAACGACAAACCCCCACAACAGAAATCTCGCCTCTGGGGGGAGCTCAGGAGGTGAGGGCGCTATCATTGCGCTTCGTGGTTCCTGTCTCGGAATTGGCTCAGACGTTGGTGGTTCCATCCGCAGCCCCGCTGCGAACTGTGGTATATACGGTTTGAAGCCAACTGCCTTCCGACTACCCAGTGATGGATGGGGCTACATGATGGCGGGCGCAGATACAGTTGAGACCGTCTTGGGTCCGCTCTCGACTTCTCTGGAGGGGTTGAAGGTTTTCATGAAGTCGATTATTGACTCAGAACCCTGGCTGACAGAGCCGGCGCTGATTCCCATGCCTTGGAGAACCTACAATATACCACAAGACCGGCCTCTAAAAATCGGCGTCTTATGGCATGATGAGATCGTGCGACCGCATCCACCAGTTACTCGTGCGTTGCAGATGTTCACAGACAAACTGCGAGAACATGAAGTTGAGGTTATTGACTTCTTACCTTACCTTCACGACGAAGCATGGGCAATTCTAGCCTCACTTTACTACCCCGATGGAGGTGAGGCAGACTCGGAAGACATCAACAAATCCGGCGAGCCATGGCTGCCCTTGTCGAAATGGATCCTTAAGGAAAACCCTTGTGTTAAGAAGCTCTCAGTTGGTGAGCTAGCATACTGGCTGGAAGAACGCGAGGCGTACCGCAAGGAATACTCATTACACTGGAACAAGTATGGAATCGATGCTCTGCTCTGCCCAGTCGGGCCAGGTGTGGCCCCAAAGCACGATACTGCAAAGTATTGGAACTACACAAGCCAGTGGAACCTACTTGATTATCCTGGAGTAGTCTTTCCAGTGTGTTGCGCCGACAAAGAGAGAGATATGTGGCATGATAATGAGGAAACTCTGAGCGGGCAGGATGACGACAATCGGAAGCTGTGGGACCCAGAAGAGTTTCACGGCGCACCTGTTGGGCTGCAGCTCGTTGGCAGGCGCTTCGAAGACGAGAAGATATTGGCCATACTAGAACATGTTAAAGCAAAAGTCGGGTTGCCATTCGAGTATAATTAAATTAGCAGCCTCTCTTCCGTCTTCACTTCTTCACACCGTAGTAAGCGTGTCAAGCGAAAGAAAGGCTTTAGTGACGCGTATAGCAAGCTGGTCGTACTGGGTTGCTTTAGAGTTGCAATCACTGGCGTTAAGATACCTAATTTTGAGGATGTCCTGCGCCTTCTTTGTGTCCGGCTCTTTACATTGAAGGTGGTGTGGGAAGGGTGAGGGGCTTCAAGGCCAAGTGTAATCGAGTGCAGTAGCGCGTAGGCGAAGGCGGCGTTTTCGCAAGTCGAGGAAAGATAGCGCCTATTGCTGTCGTGATTATCGATTGGTAACGAATTCTAAGCGAGTCTGCCACGCCTTGACCCTCCAACGCTCAGCCATTGTCAGCGTGAATAGATTCGAGATTTTGATTTTTTTAACATTCTAGATGGTTATATGGCTCGATAAAGGACACAGAGAAAGAATGTATGATGGAATTCGTGCTTTTCCCAAAAAGCTCAAAGATGGCTTATAAACCTGGTGGAGGCATTCCTATTCGACGATCGCTTTCGTTTCCTCGTCAACTAAGCAAAAGAAAGTTTCCACCCCGTTTCCGCTATCTGCCGCTGATTTCATCTACGTGTCTCCCCTTCTCCACATCCTTATACCGTACTCGAGACCATCTTCTTCACAAACCCTGATAATACTCACCGCTATGTCTTATCGTCCTCAGAAAGGGTTTTCTAAAGGTTATCGTAGCCATCCATACGGTGCCTCGCCTAATAGACAGCCAACAAACCACAAGTCTAACAGCTTTGACCCTGACTCGGAAAGCTTAAACGCTGCAGGACTGCATGCATCACCCAGTTTGGAGCTTGCGCGCAGCGACCCGTTTCACCACTACATTATTTGCTCGGGATACTTCCGGGGCAAAACGCTAGCAGAAGTTCACCTCATCAAGCCGGACTACCTGCCCTGGATGCGCAGTAAGCACTATGATGCTCTACCAGACACACACATAATTCGAAAAGCCCTCGATCAATGGGAGAAGGAAAGTGGCAGCGAAACAAGCCACAGCTGGTCCCTACCGCCCATCTCCTCAGCACCATCAAGATTCAGACAGGACAATGGGTCCTACCACATATACATGTCCGAACGCTTTCTTAAAAAGACCTGGAAAACGACGCGCGCTGAGTTGGAGGCCGTTGGAGCAAACTCTATCGTCTCCCACCGTTCGAAGACCCAGTCAAAGAAATTCGCACTGTTCCATGTGTACGAATACGCGAAGGGACCAGGCGGCATGAGCACCGCGGAAGCTGATAAAGCGGCAGCAACTGAGATGGCGCGGATCACGAAAAGTCGCGCAAACTATCGACGATTTACGGATCAAATGAGTAACTCGTTTGACGACGACGACTGCGATTTCGATTGCTGTGATCTTTGAGGAAGGGGATGCGTGGAATTGAATGATGGCTGGCGCAAAACAACGAGATAGTGCGCGCCGATAGAGATAACCGAAGACTGAGGTTAGTCGTAAGATTATTGATTGAGGAAATACAATCTCATTATTTATTGAGTATCAATGTTCACAAACATTTGAAACTGGGAAGCCAGATAGCCAAGTCTTCGCCTACCAGCGAACCTTATTTTTGCCCATCTGAGGAAGAAGGCTATGGTCAACTGCGGGCTTGAACGTTGACTTTCGAGTGAAGACACCCGTAAACGTAAGCGTGAGAGGTTGAGGGTAGAGGGGGTTCTTCATGGACTTTACACTTCAGCTCGTTGTATCACATTGGCCTATTAGAGAAATCTGTCAATAGATTCTTTGACTTCGAAGAAGCGACGTTCAACTGATATATTTCGCCTACAGATCTAAACGAACTTCATAATTAATATTAGAGCTCGTATCGCGTCATTTGCGCGGTAAACTTCTAGTCGCTGACTCTTCCTCTAGAGGTGCGAGGTGTGATATGGGTGAAAGGCATGCCGCAGATTTCCTAATTCATGGCCTAATGTGACTCGTCTCAAAGGAATTATCTGTTAGTTTAGCATCATCATGGTAGTATCCTGCACCGTGCAACTTTCCACGCTTATATGTAGTCTGTTCAAAGCGATTGGACCTGACGCATGTCAGAACTCTCTCCCTCAGCGGCAGTCTTTCCATGCCTCGGGTTTTGAATGCGGCAGCCCTTGAAGGCCCAGCTCATTGTTCTAGGTGAGAGACACGGTGCATTTGTATAGGTGTTATGTTGGTAGTCACCGATGTCTGATGATCAGAGCCACGGCGAGAATATGATTAATGTCCAAGACGATTATAACCTTCATCGAAGCATATCATTAAGACAATTCATCGATTTCATTATGAATCCTGATCTGGTTCTAGCAGCTCTTACATTCCATCCGCAACCATAGCCTGCACAATCTGGACATGACGATTCGCATTCGTCTCGCTCCACTCATTGTCATAATTCAGCCCATAGGGCCAGAAGTGACTTCCACCGCAATTAATCTTCGCATTCGCTCCATCCCAGCTCTTCAGCAACGGCAGCGCCGTCTTCCAATCTCCAGCTTTACATTTCCTATCAAACGCCGCCGTCTGCCCTACACCAAGCGTATGACTGATCTCGTGCATAGCGGTCCTCTCCGACATGTATGATCGGTTCGAGCCAAAGCGTAGATCGCCGTTATAAGAGGCCTCGGCAGTGGGGACGCCAGGAGCGTAGGAGACGCGGATAGTTTTGTTCGGGTTGGAATATTTGTGGTAGCGTGCGACGGCTTTGGTCATTGCGGCTTCGATTTTAGCGTATGCATCCTTCTGGTCGGCGGTCGGGTTTGAGGCTTTTTGGAGGGTCCATGTTATGGCTGCTGAAGCTGTGCAGGCATAGGCCGCGATGATGAAGAGGAGCGAGAAGTGCATGGCCTATGGGACTATAGTCGATCGTTCCAGGGAAGTAAATGACGTTGACGAAACAGATGAGGTAGGATCCTTGATCGATACTTAATCATAAAGCTGGGCTGCATACTGGACGACATCTTATACAAATCCCCCTGCCCTGTTTCACGATTAAGGTCCGTATATCTCTTTCCCACGCCCCTTTGTGATTACCTCAATACAGAACTTATCACCCGGTAGAAGTGAATATCTAATCCCTGACTGGCAAGACGGCCTTTTTTCATTCCATCCAATCAACAGGTTGGCCAGTACAACACCTTCCTAAATATGTTCGGACTGTTGTTTATGCTATATTGGCTTGGCTACCGCATGCGGTTGTTGAAACAATCAAGGGTCGGGACTAATTGTTTTCCCCACACCTCGGAAGGTTTTGTTGCTTAAGCGAGATCATTTGCCGGACTTTAAGATCTTTTCACTCGAGACTCGAGCACCAAGGGACACCTCTAACCCGCAAACCATTGCATTAAATGCCTAAATATAACTTAATGACTGTTATAAAAGTACCGGCGATTTATTCAAATTACAGGCTTAACCGTCAAATGTTTATTATGCCGAGGTTAATAGTCCAATCCTTGAAATAATCTCACCTGCACACTTGCGCTCTTGATTCTATCTCCCAGTATTCAAGAAGCGAGTGTTAGGAACATGACAAGAGTATACGCCGCATTGTTTTAGTAATACATGTACTTTGCTAGAGACCTCAGGATTTCCAAAGTTCCTTGGAGGATAAATTATTTGAGCAAATTTCCTTCTAATATAGCTCCTAGGCAATCTTTGCATATCTATAAAGGCTACTGCCTAGGCAGACTGTCTAATACTCAAACCTAGCTTTTTTAGTAAGCTAGGATCTTGACAATATAATGGCCAACTACAGTGACTAGGCGTGCGTATGGCCCTTCGCTTAGTGGCTTGAGACTGTCGGAGGTTTAAAAAGGTTAGAAATTGTGCGATCCATTTCCACTTTCTGGTTTTTATGCGCGAAGTTAAAAGAGACAAATATAGAGGTTCTATCATCTTTACCTGTCCTCGTTGCCGAAAATGTCCTGAAAGGGGCGGAGTCCTCCGCACATAGCCGTTGAGAAGGGAATAGAGATTTGCTATCCCACTCTGGAACAGGGGAGGATTTGTACAGTAGGATAAGCGAAATACTGGTAGTTTTTGAAATCTGGTCGATGCGGGCCCATAGTATGCCTTTCGGATTAAGTCGGCTAGCCTCAGACAAACATGATCTGTGGTTGCACTCTATTTAGTGAGACCTAGGATTCAAAGTCTGCTCTTCATCGAATTCATATCAGAATATTGACAGATTCAGTAGGCCATACTAGCTTAACGTAATGTAACAACAGTCGTGAACCTTGGTGACTACCAGGTCAAGTGCTCAACAATGTCCCATCAGATCTGTTCAAGAAGGTCAGGATGAAGACGGTGTATACCTCCAAGATGTCATGCGTGAGTCCTATTGATAAGTATTCATTTGCTATAAACTCCAACACTAATTCTTATTGGGCGTTCGACCTCTTGGACTTGGTTTTTTCCGAACGGGAACAGTGTGACTTTCAATCTCATAGGAAGTAATATTCAGCAAACTTGAGTATAGCAACATCAAAAGCTTCTAAAACTAAACAAAGCTATGAAGTCCGCGGAAGCAGAAGGTGATGAGATTGGGGGAAGCGTTGTACTCCCCCGAGACCCGACTGAGCGGGCACTAGCCCTCCTTGACATAGTACTTGAAGGTGGCCCAGAACATTTCATTCTTCATATACTTTTAGAAGTTCCAAAATTATGTCAATGCTCGCTTGGAAGGCCTGATTCGGCATTGCATATGGTGTAATACCGAAATAAACAAGCGATCGCGGTTAAATCGCCAACGTATCAAAATCAGTTAACAAGAACCCATATCATCAATTGAGAATATAACCTACTATGTAGATGTGCGAGGCTAGGACAAACCCCTGGAGCCCCACATGTGGCCGCTTTGCCTTATTAGAAACGTAGTACGGTCCTTATCGACCGAACAGACTGAACAAGAGCGGTTTAGCACATATCCTTTTGGAATTCCTTAGAAAGAGAAATGATCTATCAAGTCGTGTTAGTGTCTGTGGGCCTTGTCGCGCAAGCTTCAGCAGCATGTAGCCGAGCAGTGCTTCAAGACGCTGTGGTAGCATACATTCAGGCGCAAGCTGCAGGTAACCCGAGTCTGCTGCCACAGGCAAAGAATGTCAGTTATGCAGAGAACGATGTTTCTACCGATATCACGAAGGGTGTTCTGAGCCAGGCAATTACCATCGACTTCAACCGCAGCATTTTCGACACTACGGAGTGTTCTACCTTTACGGAAATCTCAGCGGCGACAAACAAGCATCCATATGTTATCGAAACGCGGATGACTCTCTCCGGCGCCAGCGTTACATCTATCCAGTCAGTTGTCGCGGACAGCGGCGACTGGGCATTCAATGCGGCAGGACAACTCTCATGGGCCAAAAAGGAGAAGTGGGATCCCATTCCAGAAGGCAAGCGAGACAGCCGCGCTGTCATCAAGGCCGCCGGAGACGCCTACCTCGACAGCTGGGCAGATGGCAAGGTGAAGGTCCCGTATGGCACTCCTTGCGCGCGCCTCGAAGGTGGTTCGTACACGGGAGATAAGAATGCGTCAGCAAACACTTGCCACATGCCTGAATTCCCGAAGCCGTTTCCTGGCGTCGCGAACAGACGCTACGTCATCGACGAGGAAATGGGTGGTCTTGGGATCTTCAACGATTTTCCATTCATCGATAAAACGAGGCCGAACGGCACACCTAGCACCAACCTCCTCAAAGTCGAAGGCGGCCAGATTCGTTTCATTCACGAGACAACGGTGTGTGCAACACGCAACTGTGGGAGATAGTGGAGTATGTGAGAGGTGGACACGACACGAGCTTGGATGTACTTACATAAATACTACAATGATTCCATGTCAACGAATGTCAATTTTGATTAGTTCGATCTACTGTATACTATGGGGAGATCGGATAGCGGGTGGGTCTAGACTCATATCCCCTACTGCATGTCGCCCCTTAGTCCTGGGGCGTACGCGATTTTCAAATTTTCAAATTTCTACCCCTGAACTTCAAAGTCTTGCATGATCCTCCCCTGTCATTGAACTAGCAACTATATTTATTTTCAAAAATGCCAAACCTCCATCAATCATTGCTACAAGCAACTCAGCATCGGTGGTTTAGTGGTAAAATTAGCCGTTGCCACTCGCAAGAGCAACTTCGGCTAGCCCCGGGTTCGATTCCCGGCCGATGCAACATTCTTTTTCGCCTTTTTTGCACCCTTTTTTGCATCTGTTTTCTATCCTTAGCTACCCTTTCCCTTTTATGGCTAGGTAGTGACAACACCCTAATGTGTAGGACGGCTGTACATGCTATTCTAACTTCATATCTGTTAAGAAAGAGTTCTTGGCTAATGCAACATTCCTCTTGCCTTTTTGCACCTTTTTGTGTCTTCTACCCGCCGCGCTTTTCTCATAGCGACGTAGTAATAACGCCCTAATCCGTAGGGTGGCTAGTTATACTGGTTCACGTCTTAATTTACTAATAAAGCGTTACATGCCGATGCAACATCCTTTTTGCAACCGTCTCTTTGCTTTAGGCTCTTTTTATTTTTGGTCACGTGCTTTGCATTCGCTTGCATGGAGTGCTACTCCTACTGGAGCCATGTTTTGCTCATGATAGTGAGTAATCCAACAGTGTGTTCATGAGTATGCTACTCGTGCGTTGCCGTGGTTATAGGGCGTAAGGAAGCGCGAAGGACACTATCTTCGCGCCCCTTGCGTCTCCAGTTGCTAATTAGTAGACGAGACCATCTTGCACAAGTCGTCTAGTGACAGTCTTGGAAATATAGTCGATATTGATGCTATGCTATGCGCTCACGCTGAAATGCCACAATCAAATCCGGTAGTACAATACAACGCGCCGTATCCAACCTGGCCCAAACTCCAACGCATGCCGATGACTGGTATCTTATTTACATCCCCCAAGGTCCATCGACCACATTCAGAGCGCCCTCAACGGCCTCCTCCAGCGACTCCACACGGTGCCGGAGCGTGCGGTTCTCCTCTCGCTCCTTCGCTAAGCGCCCCCAAACAGCAGCTTGCGCGCCGCCTTCGCAGTTTGCACAACCCCACCCGCCCTGTTTTAGGTTGACTGAGCCGTCGCGAACCTTGTCGTAGGTACTCTGTCGCTGCACGAGTTGGGGCTTCCTCCCCTTGGGTGTGGTGTCGTTGACTTCGCTCTCGAGAACGGAAGATCGATCCGTACCGGTAGGGCTCAAGCAATTTCTCGAAAAGACGCTCGCTGCATCAGTCTCAGCTTCTGACTCGAACCCAGAATCGACACTGATGTCAGAATTGGAAATACGGTTGCGACGTCGTGGTGCGTCCTGGCACGTGTTGTGCTCGCAATGCGCCGGCCCCCTGATGAGTGCAAGACTCCTCTTCCGCGCTGCTTCCTCTTCTTGCCTTGCGCGTCGCTCGAACGCGAGATCGTCCATGAGCTTGCGCATCTGCTCATCCTGCTCGTTTGCTCGCGCGGCCATGGTCTCAAGCTGCATCTTGAGGTGACGGGCCCTCGTGTCGGCCTCGTCAAGTTCGTCTTCCTGTGCACTCAGCTCGGAGCGCGCGTCAACTAACGAGGTAGATACCTGGCGGTAAGACGCCTGATAACGGGAAAGGAGACTCTCCGCGTTGGTGAGGAGATCGTGAAAGGACGAGGCGGCTAAAGGATCTGTCGGGCCGTGCGGAAATAGAGCCTGCGAGATGCTGAGATTGAGAAGCTCGTCGTCCGGGTCGTGGTATGTCGGCGAAGGGACCGGCGGGGGTAGCGAGTTGTTCTTTTGCGTCGACAGCAGCCACGCGAATTTGCTGCCAGCAGTCGGCTGGCTCGGTGCTTTGGTAGGGGTCGAGGTGCCCGCAGACCGCATTGAGCTTTCCGAAAATCCTCTTGTCAGCGTAGACCCGCGGTTGAAGATGTTGGCAACCATGTTGTTCTTCGCCTCCTTCTCTTCTTCTTCCTCCTCCTCAGAATCGTACTCTTCTCCCGATTCCGACTCCGAGTCCGAATACTCCTGGTGCTGTGACGATACGCCGAGCTTCACAGGCGCAGAAGAGCCGTTGAACCAGTTCTGCAGCGCCCTGATCTTGGGCGGACTGCTCGACTCAACCGTGCTTCTCGACGGTATGAAGCTAGCGAGGGATTTGGTGGGCGAATGAAGAGATGCTCGGGTAGTATGCTGTTGTATGGTTGATGTTGCGCGGTTGAGGAAGGGCTGGCAGTTGTCGAAAAGCGTGCCTGTCAGAGTACGCTGGTGGCTGCTGCGGGCAGACTGTTGGTAGTCTTGTAAAGGGGAAGGGGCATCTGAGTGCGGGTCGTAGGCGGTCGTCGAGGTAAATGCGGAAGGCGGTGGCTGTATTCCGGTAATGTCGACGTCGTCGAAGCTATGCAGCTCGTCTTCAGCAAGGTGAGCTGACTGTTGTCTAGTGTGGTATGGCTGCACGCGTGCGTCCCGGGGCGAAGTGTGGGTTGCGAACGGGGCCCTTGGTAGCTCAAGCTCAAGGGGAGGGTTGCGGCTCATAACGGCGGGTTGATGCATGCCTTGTGCAGGTATGGAGCCCGAGTCCACGGTCGTGAAACGAGGAATGACCTATTCGCCCACTAATCCTGTCCTTTCGGCGGCCAGATGGAATGGCGGTCGTGAAACGTGGTAATACCTCTCCCTGGTGTATAGAGGGGCGCGCGTCGAGGGTAGCCTGGTCAACAGCGGTATCGATAAGGCCGTCCGAACGAGCGAGGGTCAACAGGCGGTCAACGAAGGTTCGATGGGAGAAAGAAGAGCGAATGCAGTGCAACTAGTTGCTGCAGCGGTTCGGGTACTAAGAGTCGAGAAAAGGGTCTGCACGAGCAAGAAAGAAGGGTTTTGAGCTGTCAACCAACGTTATACACGTGGTTGGCATGTGGCAGGGAACCAAGTTTTTCGGTGAGGCTGGGAACTAGCCGCGCCTCGTCATTTCTCACCGCAACACGACCTATCGCTTAAGCAGCCAACTATTATTTACAGTTATTACAGCTATAACGTCTCTAGTCTTGCCACCGAAGTCCTTGACATGGTTGTAGCCTGGCTTTTGAACCGCTCGTTATGTATGCGTAGTTTAGACTTGACCAAACAACGGGGAGCTAGCGCGCTTTGATGCACGTCAAGTTGAAGCTAACAACCATACAAGGCTGACACTCGGAAGCAGCTTTTGAATTGAGACACGAGGCATGTGGAAGAATCACGCTCCTGATCAGAGCTAATTAAACCTGGCGGTCGTTCCATCGAACATGCGTAGCGAAATCTGTTCGCTTTGTAACAAAAAATTGGCTCTATAGGCAGCTGCAAAGCTCTCAAGATAGTAATTCACAATTCACCCGTCTAGGTTACATTGAACAAATGCGCAAACTCTTCCGTACCCCAACGTTCAGCTCCGTCATCCGATAACACCACCCACGGCGCCTTCTCGCGAAGAAAAATGTGCCTCGCAACTTTCGGCGTTGTATCGGACGTTAAGCTCTCCAAATCAACCGTAGCCGTTGTCAGGCTGATGTGCTTGGGATCATTGGCAAAAGCCATGCTGATCGGAGCACCACAATCTGAGCAGAAGGTCCGTTCCGCAAAAGTCGACAGCTTCAAAATCTTGCGGGTGGAAGAGTGGGTAAACTTGACAGCGGCTATTGGAACATCGATAAAGGGAAGATAATCGGAACCCGATATTTGTTGGCATGCGCGACAGTGACAGACAGTGATGTCCGACGGATTCGCGCTCGAGGTGTACTGGACTCCGCCACAGCGACAACCGCCTTTGAAGCATACCTCGTCCGTGACTGCTTTCGAAATATATCTCGAGCCATCAGCAGCTGGATCCATGGTCAGTCTAGCTGCATTCCGCCCAGAGAGCCAGAGAAGTACTTACGTTTTCGCGCAATCCCCAGAAAGACAGCATCCACCTCCTCCACCTTTCCGTCTATCGCCAACTTTTCCCACTCTTCTTTGTACACACCTTGTGCCTTTCTTCGAATCTCGTTGTTCGCAAACGTCTTTGCAACGTCCTTCACGATAACGTTCTCGACGAAGAAGTCGTCCCACTGCTCCATTTTGTAAGAACGTCTTCCATATCCAGCCTGGTTATTGACAGTGACAACCTGCTCTACTTCGACACCAGCCGATTCTAGTACATTTTTAAGACTAGACTCCGATTTACTCCAAGAACGATTGTACGGAATAGGCAGGTCCAAACGGCGAGCGACTCTCTCAAGCACTATGCCAGACACCAAGTTCCGAGGGTGGGTGGCGTCCAAAGCGATTACGCCTCCTGGCTTCAGATACGTGGACCATTGTTCAATAGCAGCTTTGGGGTCAGGAAACAACACCAGGGCAGAAGCCACGGTGATAACATCAAACAACCTTCCTTTGAGCTCTTCTGTCTCTTCTAAATGTATTACATCCCCTTTGATGAAGGACACATGTGAGTACTTGTCACTACCATGCGTCTTCTTGTGCGCAGCTATGGCCAACATCCCCGGTGTTACATCGATACCAACTACTTGGCCTCCCGGCCCCACTGCCTCTGCCTCGAGGAAACTCAAAAGACCTGTCCCGCACGCCAAATCGAGCACATGTTGGCCTGGTTGAATATCAAGGAAGGAGATGAAACGCTTCGTGAAGTCGCTGTGCCATGTGTCGTCGTAATCCCTAGATTTTGACTCGTAGAATCGAATGGCGTTGTCCGCTTGCCTGTCGATGGACATCTTGGAATGGGCGCAATCTGTGCCTGTTGGGCTTTTCGTAGAAGCGACCGGGCTTATCTTCCAGTCCTAGAAGAAGTTCGACTGAGCTGGCCAAGGCTAGATCAGCTTCCGTTGCTTTGCAACTCTCCAGTGAAATTTGAACACGACGGTACACTCCCCGACGATGAAGCAACGTCAAAAATGCTACACCTTGGAACAAAGAGGGGAAATGTCCGTTTTATTGGCAGAAGATGTTACCTGGAGTGAGGGGTGCCGAATCATGGTATCAACGCTAGCGATGACGAGGTTAGCGCGCCTGACAAATCGGACGTCGACATGAGCTCTCACACGGTCAGCTCTGTCATCAACACAATGTCCTATAAGCTATCGTACGCATCTCCTCACTCTGTTGACTCATGCAGAATCGGACGAGATCATCACCTAGCAGAGGACTTGGCTCATGTTTGGGGGCGCACCGAGAGCTCGTAGATTTTGAACGAAATGACGGCAAGCACTCCAGTAACTAAAGTCCTTCTTTTTCTCGCAAACCGATCTTCCTTATCGATGGCTCACATATATATGGCGCTATTTCGAATCAACAACTTGACACGATCATCGAAGATAAATACCAGCCTTTGATTGTAGAAACTTAGGTCCATATTTACACGCCTATTTCCGATTACACTCTCTTAGTCCTTCCTGGATGCGATTGTATAAAGTTTGTGTCAATTTCTATAGGGCGAGGACATGGTGGTGAAGGTCGGGATCATACCTGCTCCCGGTCCGTCATACCAAAAGTGGAAGCTTCTTGAAAGATTGTCCAATGTATACGTACGTAGCATTTTATGATAGGTAATCTTCACCATGCAGGTCTCAACGACTATGGCAATTTTCAGATATGATTTCCCAAATGGACAGGTCAGGGAAGACTTAAAGAAGAGCAATCTAGGGAAATCCAAATGTGGCTTATCCCGGATACATACCTTGACTTCCGCATGTTAGCTAAGCGAACTATCAAATGTCAAGCATTCTGGGAGACACCCCAAATGCCAGGAATAGTGTGAAGATCATCGATAGTTACCGGTTGTTTTCGCATGGAGGCGAACAGGCTAAATCCGGCACTTGAAGACAACCGCCCCACCGCCACCCCACAAATATGAGGAACCATGGAGAGCTGTAATCATAAACTCAATATCATTTTGACGGCGGAAACAGGGTTGTTAAAGTGCGCTTGACTTGCCACACCCAATCGATCGTCTTTCTTCGATAACTTTCATTTCGAAGCCCCATCAGAACATTCGCTGCACTGCACAGTGCCGACCTAGATCGACAATACCCGGATCTTAACAGACGCCAAATGGTCATGCTGCATATGGAGAGGGCCTCTCTCCAAGGATAGTAGAGTGCAAGACCACTTCCTCGCAGCTCAAGGGAATTTCTAGACCCCAATTGAATAGAGCAAACAAACTGACCGCAAGAGAATTTCCACCAAGGAGGTGCTATTGGCCCCGTAACCTGCTATACTAGGACAGCATGATGCAGTCTTGCAACTTCTGGGGTCAATACAAGTTACCTGGATAGCATTGAGTTCTACAAATTTCAAGCTGATGGTAAAGCAATAGCGGAAAGCTTTCAAGTAGACTAGCAAGCGATGCGTGTAGATTGTCAAGGAGCGTTACAGAACATCAAGCAATGCGATACGTAGGCGGAAACTGTCGACGATATCGCCTTTGCCCTGTATGCCTTGGGGTTTTGCTGCACATCAGAAATCTCGTGGCGACAAGAGAGTTGCCAAGAGGAATTGTCTTTATTACATTATAGTCACGCTACGAGGCTCACTTTGCCATGTCCAAGCTTCATTTGGAGTCCATATTTTGCCGCGGGATATAGGAACACCCATGATGAAACGCTAGCTATAAAGGAGACGACTGCACTCTTATAGCGGTCAGTGTTCGGTCCTGCAGAGTCTCAGTGCCATCTATTTGCCCACCATGAAGTACTCCATTATCCTCCCGCTTCTTGCTACGACCGTACTTGCGGCGCCTGTTGTCGAAAAGCGCCAGGATGCGGCTTGCAACGTTCCCACTACGTTTCCCTCCACCACCAACGCCAAGTTGCCCAATCCCTTCAAGTTCTTTGATGGAAAGGCTGTTACCACCAAAGCCGAGTTCGAGTGCAGGAATAAGGAGGTGAGCGCTGCTCTTCAGGCGCAGGAGCTTGGCGATTTCCCCAAGAAGCCTTCCACAGTCGCTGCAACTTTCTCTGGGTCGTCGCTTGCCATCACTTCAACCGAGGGCGGAAAGTCGGTGTCCTTCTCCGTATCAATCAAGAAGCCCAGTGGAAACGGCCCGTTCCCAGCTATCATCGCCTACGGGGCACCCAGTATCCCCGTTCCTGCCGGCGTTGCGACCATCACCTTCAGCAACGACGATATTGGGCAGCAGTCGGGTGGCAGTAGCCGTGGAAAGGGCAAATTCTTCGATCTGTACGGCTCTGGACACAGCGCTGGTGCTACTACTGCGTGGGCATGGGGTGTTGACCGCATCATAGATGCTCTCGAGGCTACCCCTGGCGCTGGCATCGATCCAAAGCGTGTCGGCGTGACAGGCTGTTCCCGTAACGGCAAGGGTGCCTTTGTCGCTGCTGCTCTTGTCAACCGCATCGCTCTTGGTCTTCCCCAAGAGTCCGGCTCTGGTGGTGCTGCCTGCTGGCGTATCTCTGACTCTGAAAAGGCCAAGGGCAAGAACATCCAGACCTCTGGCCAGATTGTCGGCGAGAACGTCTGGTTTTCTGCCAAGTTCAACGCCTTCAGCACAAAGTCCTCCACGCTAGCCACTGATCACCACCAGCTCGCTGGTCTGGTCGCTCCGCGAGGCCTGCTTGTTATTGAGAACGAGATTGACTGGCTCGGCCCTGTCTCTACCACTGCTTGCATGAAGGCTGGTCGCCTCATCTACAAGGCTCTTGGTGTACCCGACAATATGGGCTTCACTGGCGCTGGGAACCACAATCACTGCTCTTTCCCCTCCAACCAACAAAGTGACCTTACTGCGTTCATCAACAAATTCTTGCTCAACCAGGACTCGAACACGGCCAACATCGAGAAGGGACCGAGTGGTGCAGACGCCGCTACGTACATTGACTGGACCCCGCCTACGCTCACTTAGATGGCCGGTATGATGGGTACAGGAGGATGGGAAAGACTGTCGACATGACCTCGCTTCTTTGTATGTAAATGTCACCGGCTGTTGGTAGCTGGATAGCAACGTGTTCAGATAAAGGCAACAAGACTCACATTGTACATTGATCGCGTGCAGACGGCTTTTATGATCGTGATGGATGCATATGATGAATCTTGACCTGTTCCATGGTCATGGCAGCGCGCTGATACCTCACCACCAAAGCTTTTGCCACGATTGAAACCAATCCTAGAGTCGGCTGCTGTGTATGAGACGCGTAGAGTGTATCTAGCGCCACCGAGAGTAGAATGCCAGGTCGTAGCTAGGCCGGCGAGTGACAACAGGCCGCTTTGACGTTCTCTGGGCCATGGTAGGATGCGCTGGAGGGGGCCATGGACGTGGCGCTCGACTGGTTCGCCTGGGGATGCAGATGCGCCAATCCGGATCCCGATGCGGTGGCCCAACGCTTCTGGCACTAACCCCGTCAAGCGCATTCTGTGTCTACACCTTGCGATTGCGATTCTTTCTCACGCTGAAGACTGGGTTGGCAGCCCTTGGATAGTCACAACCAAAGGTCGCCGCGGCGAGAAGGCAGGGCAGACGTGATTGGCCGAGGGCGAGCCACCGTCACATGACCGCGCCAAGGCCGCTAATCTCGTTGAGAGCGCGCGGACAGAGGACCTCCAACTCCCAGCGCAACACCACCCCAACGCCGATATCTCCAAAGCTTGCGCCCGCATCTCAGATCCCCCGCAACACGGTATTTCAAACGCGTGTAGTGGCGTTTCACTCCCAACACGCGCGTCTGCGCCCTCCCACCTCGCCACACCGAATTTGCGCTCCCCCTCAGCCTGCCCTTTTCCAACGCGACATCGTAAACGGCCGACGCTCGCGGTCCTTCATCATCCCCATCACCACGGGGCCTTCACCACCACCACACTGCACGATAATGTCATAGCAGACCGCTACACGCGCCAATATACCGACCGCGACTGTCTTTCCCTCCTAATTGCGCGCTTTCACTTCACCATACCCCCTGCACCGACCGCGTTTGACGCCCTCGGTCCTTTATATTGGCTGTTGTTTGCGCTCCATAGCAACCACCATCCACCACAATCGCAATGGCTTCGGTCCAAGTCAATCCGGAACTGCCCGGCCACGGCCAGGGTCAGCTGCCTGGAAATATCACCCGTGAACAGGTCCAGCGCGTCTATCAGGTATGTTTCTGCCTACATCGATTTACTGCGCCAATTGTAGTCGCGTACTTGCATGAGCACGACTGACCGCGTCGCAGAGTTACCAACAGATGAAATCGCAGGGCGTGCCCGAGACCAACCCCGAGTTCATCAAGGCACGCAACCTACTTGCCATGGTTCAGAAACAGAACCAGTATGTGCAGCAGCAGCGTATGAAGCAACAGCAGATGCAGCAGCGCCAGCAAGCCCTTCCCGACCAACCAGCCACACAACAGAATGGCGCCGCCATAGGCATGGCGAACGGCACAAAGCCTACTGTGAACGCTGATGGCAAGCCCGCTGCGCCCGCGCCGGCCTCGAGCGGCCCTCCATCGACCATACAGATTGCGACTACAGGCGGTCAGGCACCGTCTGGCGACGGTCAGACTCCCATATCGGCTACTAGTGGTCCCGCGTCGCTGTCCAAGGAGCAGCTCCTCATGCTACGCACCCAAATCGGTGCCTTCAAGCATTTGTCAAAAGGTCTTCCTCTACCTGCAAACATGCAGCAGCAGATCTTTGGTCACCATCAAGCAAAGAAGCCCAATAATGCCACTGAAGCAGTCACTGCGGCATCTCAACTCCTCGACAATGCTACACGCTCATCGAGCGCAAATGGCGGTGCCGTCCAGGAGCAGCCTAGGCCTCTCCCCCGCCTCCCAGATACCTTCATTGAGCCCTGGAAAAGCGAAGCCTTCCGCGATGTGAACTACATGTCCCACACGCAACGAAAGAATCGGCCATACCTTGCGACCATCATGCCGCAAGGTGTTGATATCGATGCAGTGCAGCAAAGCATGGAGGAGCTGCGCAAAGAGCGTGAGATCATTCTCTACAACCGGCTCACAGCGAGGAAGGCAGAGTTGGAGAAGCTCAATGCGAACATCGGCTCGTGGGACACCAGCAAGACCGACTCACCCGCAGACGATGGCAAGGTCAAGCTGGCCCTCATCATCGAACAGAAGAAGTTGAACCTACTGGAGAAGCAGCGAAAACTACGGAAAGAAATTGCGCAACAGATGATACACGCCGACAACCTTGCAATGACCGCTAACCGCACAATCTACCGACGCCTTAAGAAGCAGTCGATGCGCGAAGCTCGTCTCACCGAGAAGCTGGAGAAGCAGCAGCGCGACGCTCGAGAAACCAAGGAAAAGAAGAAGCATCACGAGTTCATTGACGCCATCCGCAAGCACCGCACAGAGCTACAGGAGTCTGGCATGGCACAGCGACAGCGCCTTCAGAAGCTCGGTCGCATCATGGTCACCACTCACCAAAACATCGAAAAGGAAGAGCAGAAACGCATCGAGCGGACCGCCAAGCAGCGTCTGCAAGCTTTGAAGGCCAACGACGAGGAGACATACCTCAAGCTCCTGGGTCAAGCCAAGGACACACGTATCTCGCACTTGCTAAAGCAAACCGATGGCTTCTTGAAGCAACTCGCCGACTCTGTCAAGGCACAGCAGCGAACCGCTTCCAGCCGCTACGACCACAATCAGCCCGAGGAATCGAGCGACGACGACGCAAGCGAAGACGACGAGTCTGAAGGCGAGGTACGACCGGGCAAGAAGCGCACCGATTACTACGAAATCGCCCATCGTATCAAAGAAGAGGTCACTGAGCAGGCCTCCAATCTCGTTGGTGGTACGCTGAAGGAGTACCAAATCAAGGGTCTACAGTGGATGATATCGCTGTATAACAACAACCTCAATGGTATCCTTGCCGATGAGATGGGTCTCGGCAAAACCATCCAGACCATCAGTTTGATCACCTATCTCATCGAGAAGAAACGACAACCAGGGCCGTACTTGGTCATCGTACCACTTAGCACTCTCACCAACTGGAATAACGAGTTTGAGAAGTGGGCTCCTAGCGTTACGAAGATTGTATACAAGGGTGCGCCGAATGCACGAAAACAGTTTCAGCAACAGATCCGATGGGGCCAGTTCCAGGTTCTGCTTACGACATACGAGTTCATCATCAAGGACAGGCCTGTTCTGAGCAAGATTAAATGGGTACACATGATTGTTGACGAGGGTCATCGCATGAAGAACGCTGGCTCGAAGCTTAGCATGACGATCACACAGTACTACACAACGCGATATCGCCTCATTCTCACAGGAACACCACTACAGAACAACTTGACTGAGCTGTGGGCTATGCTCAACTTTGTCCTTCCAACTATCTTCAAGTCTGCCACGTCTTTCGACGACTGGTTCAATACTCCATTCGCGAATACAGGAGGCCAGGACAAGATGGAGCTTACCGAAGAGGAGCAGTTGCTCGTCATTCGTCGTTTGCATAAGGTTCTGAGGCCTTTCCTCCTCCGTCGTTTGAAGAAGGATGTCGAGAAAGACCTTCCCGATAAGACTGAGCGTGTTATCAAGTGTAATTTCTCCACCCTTCAGGCGAAGTTGTACAAGCAGCTTGTCACCCACAACAGATTCATGGTCAGCGACGGAAAGGGCGGCAAGACGGGTATGCGGGGCTTGAGCAACATGTTGATGCAATTGCGGAAGCTTTGCAATCATCCATTCGTCTTCGAAGAAGTTGAAGAAGTTATGAACCCAACCAAGGGGACCAACGACCTCCTATGGCGTGCAGCAGGCAAGTTTGAACTGCTGGACCGTATACTACCAAAGTTCCACGCCACTGGTCATCGTGTCCTCATGTTCTTCCAGATGACCCAAATCATGAACATCATGGAAGACTACCTGCGGTTGCGAGGACTGCAATATCTGCGTTTGGACGGTGCGACGAAGGCGGACGATCGTTCTGAGCTACTGAGGTTGTTTAACGCTCCCGACTCGCCGTACTTTTGCTTCCTACTGTCCACTCGTGCCGGTGGCCTAGGTCTGAACCTCCAGACTGCGGATACCGTTATCATCTACGACTCGGATTGGAATCCTCATCAAGATTTGCAAGCCCAAGATCGTGCGCATCGTATCGGTCAAAAGAATGAAGTGCGCATCCTGCGGCTCATCACCTCTAATTCGGTTGAAGAGAAGATCCTTGAGCGAGCCAACTACAAACTGGACATGGATGGCAAAGTTATCCAGGCTGGTAAATTCGACAACAAGTCCACGAATGAGGAGCGAGATGCCATGTTACGAGTCATGTTGGAGTCTGCCGAAGCCGCCGAGAGCCTTGAGCAGGAGGAGATGGACGATGATGATCTGAACTTGATCATGATGCGCCATGACAGTGAGATGGAAGTCTTTCAGGAGATGGATCGAAAGCGTATCGCAGAGGATCCCTACGGCCCGGGCAAACCACTTGGTCGATTGATTGGCGAGAGCGAGTTGCCAGATATCTACTTGAACGAGGAGGCTCCTATTGTTGAAGAGAGAGACGATGGGCCCGTCGGTCGTGGAGCCCGAGAGCGAACGCGCGTCAAGTACGACGATGGTCTTACGGAAGAACAGTGGCTTGAGGCCGTAGACAACGATGAGGATACGATTGAGGCTGCTATCGCCCGCAAGGAAGCCAAGGTCGCCAAGCGGGGCAGGAACAAGGTATCTAGGCCGGGTCTTGACTCTGGAGAGTCACCTGCACCGTCACGAGAGAGCTCAGAGGAGCCTCAACCCAAGAGGCGTGGTCGGAAGCCAAAGCCAGAGAAGCGAAAAGCCGATGAGGCTTCGCTCGATGGTGACCTTGCACCGCGTAAGCGCGGCCGTCCTGCACCATCCAGGGACCCACTTTCCCCAGATCAGCGTGCGTCTCTTCAGAAAGTCGTCAACATCGTCTACGAAGCACTCAACGACCTGGAAGAAGAGTCTTCGGACCCTGATATCCCTAACCGCGGCATCATCGACCCCTTCATCGAGCTACCTGATAAGTGGGACTACCCCGATTACTACCAACTCATTAAGAACCCTATCTGCATGAACCAAATCAAGAAGAAGATCAACAAGAAGGAGTACCTTTCCGTCAAGCAGTTCCGCCAGGACCTCGGGATGCTGTGCAACAACTGCCGCACGTACAACGAGGATACGAGCTTGCTGTTTGCGGATGCCAATCTTATTGAGCAGACAGCGGTGGACAAGATGAGAGAGGCTACGGTCGAGCACCCGGAATGGCAGGACTTTGATGATGGCGGTAGTGCGAATGGGGGCCTCAGCACGATAACGAGTGCGGTTGGCACTCCGAGGGCTGGTGCTTGAAGCATGTAAGTTGATGGACTGTACCACCTTTTTCAAACACCCCTCGCTAACATCTCTCCAGTCCAAGAAAGGAGAATAAATACCCCATAGATAGTAGTTTCGTCGCCGACGGCTCGGTTTGATGGATACTTCTCAAAATGTTATTTCTGCAGCATTGTATTAATTGCAAGATTGGAGAGGTTGAGTTTAGGCATTTAGTTCGCGACCTCTTCCTTTCCACATTGGCGTCATCCGCTAGTCTAGGCGCTTTGGAGGGTAGGGGCTTTTCTGAGAGCATCATGGAAACGAATAGGGTGGTTTTCGACGGAGTTGATACATAGCTATTGCAGCTAGTTTTTTCGCATTGCGAGTAGACAGTCTAGTCTAGTCGTCATTGAATGGAATGTTTTGATATGCATGGAATCAAAGTATCTGCGCTAGGTATTCCACTTGCATTTTGTGCAGCCTGACTAATTTTGCTGCTAGATGCCCAAAGAAAAGCGTGACTGCTTGCTCAATGGCACTACAGTCATGTCTGCTCCTCATTCCACTTGACACAGTCCTCGAACTTTACTCCTGAGCCACCAAAGATATCAAGCGCACTCCCAATCGTAAGGTCGACCTTGCCGTTGCTTAGTTTCTTCACCAACTCGAGGTCCTCAAGCGAGCGACCGCCACCTGCATAGGTGACGGGTATACTACACCATTCGGCGAGTTTGGTAACAAGCTCATGGTCGATGCCGCTTTGGAGGCCTTCAACGTCGGCGGCGTGGATGAGGAACTCAGCGCAGTGTGGTTCGAGGAGGGCTATGGAATCTAGTGGGTAGATTAATGCTATGGTTCCGGACTGCTAGTGAAGTGCACTTACCCTGATTCAACTCAAAGTCTGTGATAGTCTGCCATTTGTTGGTTGCGACGAACCACTTGTCATCTTTTCTTCGACATGAAAGATCGATTACGAGTTTTGATTTGTCGTTGTCGAGGGCTTGTAGGACGGCTTGTAGGCGGTCCATTGAGAACTTGGAGTCGGGGAACAGGTACGATGTTATGATCACCTACTGCATGTTCCGTTAGTCATTGCGTGCTATGTCCTGTCAAGCGCTCTGCTCACCTTCTCAGCACCTCTCTCAACCCATTCCTTTGCATTCTTCTCGTTGATTCCTCCTCCAACCTGCATTCCTCCTTCCCACGCTCCCAATGCTTCTTGTGCAGCTCCGTCATTCCCTGGTCCCAGCATTATGACATGTGCACCTGCCAATTCATGTTTCCTGTACAGGTCGGCGTAGTATGCGGAGGGGTGTTCGGAGGTCCAGTTCGTTTTGAGGACGTCGGGCGTGGTGGTATTGAGCGTGCCACCGACAATTTGCTTGACGCTGCCCGCATGCAGATCTATACAGGGGCGAAAGCGAGTCATCATGCGGGGGAATCGAAGTACGATTAAGGTGGGATGGAAAGACTGATGCAATGCGGGGTGGAGGGGTGTGAAGACAGCGGAGGTCCGACCTGGCGCAACTTTTTGGCGCTAGGAGCCGTTGTGGTCGAACTTTCTGACCTCAGTATGCACCAAGACTCTACAACAGCCACAATAGCGAGAACCATGGCCCCTAAACTAGGGAAGCGGAAGCGCGTAACCCGCGCAGAACTCGAACAAGCCTCTCGATCGTCATCACCTTCCTCGGGATCTAATGACTCCGGCGCAGAGGATCTCCAAGCGATATTTCGGCGAGCATTCGAAGCAAAGTTCAAGCCTCTGCCCGTAGAAACCAAGAAGCCAAAGATTGAACAAGTACAAGTGGAAGACGAAGATGAAGGGGAAGAATCGGACTGGTCGGGTATCAGCGAAGACGAGCAAGACCAAGTCGAAGTAATCGAGTACAAAGATTCCCGCCACGAGCGCGACGAGACGGAGAAGGCAGAAATGAAAGCCTTCATGTCCTCCAAACCGCCCACATCCTCCGCTACAACAGCGCCTCCAAAGTCTCTCACGGCCAACAAGAAACAAGGAGACGACGCCGACCCTACCGACTCCACCAATCTCAAAAACGATCTCGCCCTGCAGAAACTCTTGCGCGAATCGCACCTCCTCTCCGCTTCATCATCCGGCGCCTCAACACCCACACTCACCGCAACGGGCATTGCGCGCCATAAATCCACAGACTTACATCTCCAGTCTCTCGGCGCGAAAGCGTCCGTCTTCGCGCAGAAGAAGATGCCCATGGCGCAACGGAAGCACGAGATACAAAAGGCCAGGCTGATCGAAGAGAAGAGACGGGCACATGCAAAGGCGGCCGGTATCGTGCTGGAGAGGGAAAACAAAGTGGTCAAGAAGGACGTGGATAGGAAGAGGGAGAGGGGTGTTGGTGGGCCGAGTATTGGCAGGTTTAGAGGTGGCACGCTGAGCTTGAGTAAGCAGGATGTTCATAGTATTACGGGTGGTTCGAAGGGCAAGGGCAAGGGCGTGGGAAAGAAGGGCAAGCGATGAGTTTCCAGGCTGGATACCTAGGCAAATGCGGATATGTGCAAACGCCATCACCGAGGAAGCGGGAACATGAAGTCTCACTTCAATAGCGGTATTCGAGGTCAACAGGAGCGAGACATGGCCTTGTATATCCCACCTTCATAAGGGGATACTGTATCTTGAGACTCGACACGATCATACAATTGCCCGCATACATCAGTCGACTTTTGGAAGAGATCAATGGAGCACTCTTGCAGGAAAACAACCAGCTGGGCGGGTTTAGATGGAGCAGTATTGTGTGCCAGGAAGAGATGTACAAACTGTCAGGAATATATAGTTCAGCACGTCACATCACAGTAAAGCCTTCAACTCAAACTACTGTAGTAGATACGCATCCAATGAATAATCTACTCTACGGTCTGTCTAGTAGTCAGACCAAAGGTTGTCAATGAGATGCCCGCAACTTTTCCCCCATCCCAAGTGTGTGCGTGCCTAAACTCCGCTAGCTAGCAGAGAAATGCCGCTCTACAGGTTCCAGAAAACGCCATCGCTCTAATTAATGCATCGAATCCGTGAAGGAAAAAAAGGCTGCGCGAAACCTTGCCATGTACTAGGCGCATTCGTAAATATATATCGTTGGCTTCGTTATTTAGAAACTCGCTCTATCTTCGTTCTCAATCGAGTTAGGTTTGTGCAAATGATGCTTCTAAGTCTCCTCTTAAACGCCGATAGGCTTCTTGACCAGAGCCCTCCTAAGACAGGCGTCTCCTCCTGAACGGCTCTTCTACCTCCTCTTCTACTTTCTCTTCGGTGACTCGCAACGTCAACCAAGCCGCAGCCACAGCACAGATGCCGCCAAATCGCAAGACCCACGCTACACTGTCATCGCCTGCTGTGCCTCTAGGCTTCTGTAGTAGCTTGAACATTACCGCACTGACAAGTGTGGCGATGACCTGGGGAGCTGCGATGGCCACATTGTGAATTCCTAGCACCACACCAGCCGAGTCTGCCCCTGATCCGTCATCTTCACCAGATGCGATGAGCTGAGACTCGCGGTCGCGCGGGCGGATGATGCCACGTCGAATAGCATCTCTTTTCGAAATCTCGGAAGCGATGATAGCAAATGGAGCCCAGCTCGTCACGCACCAAGGAATGCCAATAGCGCCAACGAGCATTGTTGCCCCCCACGTGCTGCGAACAACGAAGGTAAGTAGCATGAGTATGGCGAACACAATGTGTGAAAGGAACCAAGCCCGACGGAGGGTGAGCGATTGGACTTGCAGCATCTCCAAGGATTTGTACATCTTCTCTTGAAAAGTTTTTGGGGTTCCCTTGGATGTGTGACTGAGTGCAAAATAGCCGGAACCTCCCATAGAATGCGGAGTCGCTGGTGTCATGGGCGTGGCGGGCGTCACTGGACGGTCGGGCTCTGGAGCTTGATAGGTGGGAGGAATGACGAATGGTAGGACGACGGAGGCGAGGAAAGTGGTGACGGCGAAGATGAGTAGTGCCCTGGTGCCGATTCTTGTAGCGTCCTCCCAGACGCGATCAATCTCGTCGTCCGTCATATGCGGATTCTTCTCAAAGAAAGGGTCGGCGTAGATTTCACCAACGTAGGTTGTAATGTAGAAAAGGAATGGAAACCATCCAATCCAGGCGAAGAACTGCACCTCACACACGCGTTTGATCTGAGGAGGCAATCTCCTGACTGAGCGTGCGAGGCTCTTGAAGAAAGCAATCACGCCGTCCTGTTGCTCGGCTGGTGTGGAATCGAATTGGGGGTCACGTTCGGGGCAAGATGCGCAACTGATACCAACCGTAAGGGCCATGATGAAAGAGGCGATGGCGCAGAGAACCTTGAACTGAGTGCCGCCGAGCCACGGGAGATGTTCTGGGAGCTTGATGTAGCCTGCTAGGTAGCCCAAGATGTTTCCGAGACCTGCCGAGCGCATCAACCAGGCATTGGCGGATTCCTGTTGATGAGTGGGGGCGACGTCGACAATGTATGCACGGACACCAGCTTGGACTAGACATGTATGAGTGACACGGCTCCAAAGCATGGGCATGGTGGAAGCACTTACTGACGTTGATAGCGAAATCCAGCACGTACACAAAGAGGACAGCGAAGAGCATGATGCAAGTCCTCACGCCACTTGACTCTGGATCAGCGCCGAAAACGCCCAGGAAGCCTCCAATGATTTCTTTTGCCCACGCCAGAACCATGAGGGACACAATAGTTGCTGCGGCGCCGCCAATAATAAAAGGCCTCCTTTTCCCCCAACGCAGGCGGCAGTTGTCGCTCTTGATACCGACGTACGGTTGGACTAGTACACCTGACAAGGGGCCGGCGATCCATACTAGAGCGAGCATGGACTTGCTGAGTCCAAGGGACAGAAGATATGGCTGGACATTCAAGTCAGGCTAATTCGCAGCAGCCATGTGATAGCTTCACTTACCGAACCATTCGACGTCTCTACTGACCATCCTATTTGCAGGCCCAGTCCGCCAAAGGTGAGCAGGAACAGAAACCAGCTGCTTTTCGTCTCCTCGACATGATGCTCGCCCATCCAGTCGTCATCGCTGAGAGGGGAAAGCACCTCCTTCAAGAGCGGATCGACTTCGGAAGACATGCGCGGTTCGGTTATGAATTCGACGTGCGGGCGCCCGTCTACGTTGGGCCGTCCGTCTGAGGTGGTCCGCCCGTCCGAGAGCTCTGTGCGGCCAAAGGAGACGAGTTTCGGCCGTGGTCGTGATCGTGAAGCCGTGTCGAGCTTCAGCGGGTCTCGAGGGGAAGGGGGGCCAGGCGGAGCGGGGGAGGCAGCTGGAGGTGAAGGCGAGCCGGCGCCATGCGGACGCGAGGACGACGACATGCTGGCGGTCGCTGCGCTGGGCGGAGAGTGGTCTGGTGTATGGCTTTTGCGCAGGCAACGTGGACGGCCCTGGTGGTGGCTTACCCGATGTCAGGGCCCGCAGCAGACGTGATTGGCAGGCGCAACGCTTTGTGAGTGGGTGGGGAATATATGGTGAAGGAGCAAAGATATGTGGAGAGAAGCAAGTGCATTCAACAGACGGAAAAGACTAATAAGTGTGGCGGGAGGAGCAAATGCTGCTAGCCATGCTGCTACCTAAGCGGTGCTGCCAATGGGGGCCGCAGTGTTATGACGGTGGTACTAGCGAGACACCCGTTTCCCAGTTCTCGAGAGGAGGAAGAGCAGAAAGGAACTTTGTCATACTGCGGGGGGGACGTCGCAGGCTATAAGCGAGGCGGTGTAGGTCAGGTGGGCTAGTAGGCGGCCGCCATGGCTCCGGGGAGTAGTAGTAGTAGTCGTAGTCGTAGTCGTAGTAGTAGTAGTTGGAGAGTGTGATTCTGGGGAGAGGGCATGCAGGAGGATTGTGCGGTGACGTCGTGGTGCAGCCATGGGATGGCGACCTGTGGCCTAGGCTCGAAGAAGCGCGTCTGGTGCCAAGCCCAAGCATCCACCTGGACGTTGCAGATGCCTGTGATGCGAGAGAGAGAGAGAAAGAGAGAGTGAGTGAGGGAGTAAGTGAGTCGAGTATCTACATCTGCATCGCCCATCTCCAAGTCAGGAGTGCTGCCCGTTCTGCCCTCGTTCACCCCCCTCCCCCCTTACAGGCGCGCGTGGCCTTGACCGCAAGACCGCGCCCTCGTCGCCTGCCTGCGCCTACGCCGACATCTCGTGAAACGTTGCCTTGCGTCCCTCGTCGCACCGGACATCGAGCAGCCACCTTTCACCTGCACATGCTGCTGCGCTCTTCATAACATACCACGATAGCTGCTCATGACAGCAGCTTCTTGACTTCGCCATGGTGTCAGCGGTAGCATGGGCGGTCCTTGCCCAGGTACTCAGTATGTATGCACCCTTCAACACCTGAGGCCCTTGAAAGCCCCCTGCACTTTGTTTGATATCAGAAAGACAATTACTAACACTTCTTGTCTTCGCAGAGCGAGATGCAGTCGACGCAGACCCGGACGGTCAGTACCCCCTCGCTTCTCCGCCCACTATAGCCACCCTCTCTAATGCGCCGCAACAGAGGAGCCCGAGGCAGGACAGAAGGAGATATTCACATCATGGGCCTTGTCCATCCTCATCATGTTGCTTATAATAGCCCTGTTCACAAGCTACATACTGCATACGCGTAAGATCCAAGCTGTCCACGAGACCGTCTTGTCCATCTTTGCCGGTACGTTGAAAAGCCCAGCCCGCCCGGATTGCATGTGCACTGCACCTTGGCCATGGCGTCGACGCTTCGAGGGTAGTCTGCATAATAGAAGCTCGATACACACGTCCCATGTTCCCTCAGCGGTCCCGCGGTGGGGTAAACCTGACAATGACCCCGACCTCCTCTCGTAATGGAATCGCACTACCGAACCTCACTAACGCCTTTTAGGTATGGTTGTTGGTCTCATACTACGATTGACAGCCGTGGCATCGGTACGAGACGCGGTGAGCTTCGACTACCAGATGTTCTTCAACCTACTACTACCCCCCATCATTCTCTCCGCAGGCTATCAACTACACCAAGGGAACTTCTTCCGACACATTGGCACCATTCTTACCTTTGCCTTTGCCGGAACCTTCATCTCAGCCCTGGTTCTCGGTCTCATCCTATTCTTGTGGACCAGAATACCCCTCGATGGCTTCAAGATCAACTTTGTCGAAGCCATGTCAGTTGGTGCGACGCTCTCGGCCACCGATCCAGTCACAATCCTGGCCATCTTCGACACGTACAAGGTGGAGCCAAAGCTGTATACCCTCATCTTTGGCGAGTCCATCCTCAACGACGCAGTTGCCATTGTCTTGTTTGAGACGGCGCAAAAGTACAAGGATGGCGCCGAGTCGCTGGGCATTGTTAGTCTATTCGAAGCCTTTGGCATCTTCTTTGGCGTCTTCTTCGGAAGCCTGTTCATCGGTGTCATGGTGGGCATCGGCGTTTCACTCATGCTCAAATTCACCTATGTGAGGCGCTTTCCGAAGACAGAGACATGTCTCATCATTCTCACCGCATACTTGACATACTTTCTCTCCAATGCCATTCACATGTCGGGTAAGGAACTTCGACCGCACTTGGACGACATGTGCTAATCTTTTCAACAGGTATCGTATCACTGCTCTTTTGCGGCATCTGCCTAAAGCACTATGCCTACCACAACATGTCTCGACGCACCCAGTTGTCCACCAAGTTCGTGTTCCAGGTCACTGCGCAATTGTCTGAGAACTTCATCTTCATATACCTCGGACTCTCCCTATTCACAGACGACAAACTTGACTACAAGCCCCTGTTCATTCTGATTACAGTGGCGGGGATTTGTGCAGCTCGATGGTGCGCCGTCTTTCCCCTGTCCAAGATCATCAACGCCGTGACGAGGTATCGCCAGAAGCGGCGTGGAGAAGAACTGGTGGAGGAGATTCCTTACGCGCACCAGGCCATGATCTACTGGGCGGGTTTACGAGGTGCTGTGGGCGTTGCGCTTGCCGCAGGCCTCACAGGCAACAACGGCGATACCCTTCGCGCTACCGTCCTCGTCGTAGTGGTCTTGACTGTTATCATCTTCGGTGGAACTACAGCGCGCATGTTGGAGATTCTAGGCATCCGCACCGGCGTAGTAGAAGAAATCGACAGCGACGACGAGTTTGACATTGAAGTCATCAACGGCGGCACCTACACACGACACAAAGGCCAAGCCGTTGGCCACACGCCGCAACCCAGTCAAAATGGGTTCAATCTGAACAACGTAAACGGGCCACCTAGTACTTATACCAGTGGCTCATTCAACCGGAACAGTCCACCTACGCGCCCCAACGGCCTGGCTACGCACAGGAATTCCAGCCGTCAACGGCGACTCGATGGCGCAGATCAAGGCCTTCTCAGTCCTGCCGACAGCGTTTCGGGCGATGAGGACGACAATGATCTGGACTTGCCGCCTAGCGCACGCCGCTCACCAAACCGCAACCCGTCGCCCTTGGGCCTAGCAGCAGACGCTTCTCCCTATCCGACGTCGGGTAATAGACCAGGAGAATCTGGCGCAGCCGAAGGTTCAAGCAGGATGGCGACGGCGACAGGTGCTGTGAAGCAGCTGTTCAATGAAATCAGTCTTGATCCAGCGAATGCGTTCAAGCAGATTGATGATGGGTTTTTGAAGCCGCATCTATTGCTAGATTCTGGAAAGGGTCCAGGGCCAAATAATGTCTGAAAGTAGGGTTGGGATGAGAGCGACAACATAGCATTCGCGGCGTTTAAGAGTATTTAGGATATCACATTGCTGTTTCTTGGTTCTACAAGATCGGAAACCTGGCTCAATGATAAGCCACGGTCCTTGGCGTTATTGGTGTATACAATTTGTAGCATTACAGCTAGAGGAATGATCAGGATCATAACCAAACTCAACCTGCACTTAGCAGCGCCGTGTAGCATTGTGAGATGATGCGAGTGGTGCAATGAAAGTCCACCGCACTCTCGTATGTCCTCCGATCTGCGCTTGTGGCGGACGTTTTACGGCTGATCATAAATTATGGTACTACAAGGGTCTATAGAGTACTATGGGTATACTACCCGTTCAGGAACGGACGCTTGACAGTGAAACTGGTCAACGACAAAAGGTCAGCTTTTTATGTTATATACGCCCACATAGAGATTCCATACAACTTAAGACTCTCCATAACTCGTCAGGCTATAAAATATGGTGCGATGCTCAGTTGCATCAAAATATGCTCGAGTTAGGGCCTTTCCCTTCTAGGAAGTGACAAGGGACTAGTGCCCGTCACGAGCCACCTTTTAATCTATCCACAATTCAAACCTCAAACCACCGCACATCCTTCATCCACTCACAAACCATATCCTATAGAAGGCTGTCATGGACCCCCGAGGACCCGCCCAGAGTCGTGCATTTCCCTGGAGAGCCTCATATCAGAGCCGTGGTGCACCAAATACCGAAAGATATGGTTATATGCCGTAGCTATCTGGCAACAGGTGTTCTTTGGTACGAGCAAATCTAGACACTGCCAAATCTGAGGCAGACGGCACATTGATCGAACATATGCGAGGTTGTACGGATGACGAGTCAGAAGGACCTACCTGAACGCTGAACGCGCGGCGTATCCACGCATCTTCTTGACAGCATGCAAGTACCAGCACCCATCATGCCCAGTGACCACCTCTATCCGTCTTCCAGAAGCCTGCCTTGTTTGCTCATACCACCTGGAAGGATCTATCGCCCAGTATCTTGCATCGGAAACGAGGCTTGGGTCAGGCTGGCGACCAGGTTCACAGTACGCCCACGCTCCGACATGCGGATTGGCTTAAGGATAAATGCACGACTAAAGAGCCTCCAGGATCAGCGTTAATCAATGTCGACTATCATGTGTACATTGGAATCTTCCGACTACGCTCCTTCGGCCAGTGTAATCCGGGTCGAGCTCAGGTACCTGCTTGGTACCGCGACGGAAGCCTGTCACACTCTTATTAAGGGCTGATAGATCGATATTGCAGAAGCATGCAAGCATGTTTTCTGTTACATTCGCGTCGATCACTAATGCAGCAATGAGCTATCCAATAGGTCAGTACGGCATTACACACGACCACGACCACACCACTCAGTGAAGTTTCTTAGCATATCAACCTACATCTCGGGCAAAGACTCTACTTAGCTACATTCAGAACTAAGATCAGCAAATTGATGGACAGTGGACTCTGAGGTGGCGTGAACAATGATGAACAACGCACACCACACTGCCTCAGCCGCCATGGGGCCCACCCACCACACGATCTCGTGGCCGGGTCGCACAATATGCCAGATTCCATGTCCGCCAATCAAATCGCCTATGAGCAAGTCTTATATTCCCCAGCGTGGATATCGCGGGGTAAAGCACCCGGAAAGTGAGCCCCCCGCAACCGCAGGGCGTCTCATGTAAACATTCATCTATTTACCCTGGACACATTTTCCCTCAGACGACACGCCACCGAAGGTAAACAACGAGTAAGTGCAACTGACGAGACTGGGTCCAGTCGTTTGAAGCACGGATATAGGGCACATCGGGAGTCATGTCAAGAACAAAACAGCACCGTGGACATGGTAACCATATCCTTTGGACTACTGTAATAAACACCTCTTGACCGAACCTGGCAATTTTCCGCAGTAACGCCACCTTGATAATTAACTTTCTCACAGTTCGCTATCCTCGCGTCATTTGACTGTGAGCCCGCGATAGTACGGACCCATACTAACGTTATTGGACCTTCATCTAAGCCTCATCTCTCAGGCGCTCAACTGCACAGACCCAAGACAACAACCATACCCGCACTTTACGGGCCTGCTTCCTGATGGTCTGGTACCTCCACTCAAGGATAGCGCCCAGGCATTTGCCATAGGACAAGATTGCCTCCCAATATCAATATAAGAGGCTCTCCGCCCCCCCACAGCATTTGGCATCGACACCACCAGCAACTCGTTCACTTCTAGTCGTCGTCAACATGAAGGGTCTTTTCTCTGCCACTTTGGCTTCGGCCATCACTGGCGCTTTCGCGCTTCCGTCTCCCACGGAGAACGGTCCCATCACTGCTCGCGCCAAGGCCGCAGCATGTGCTACTCCTGTCACCATTTCTGGCAATCCTTTTGCATCCCGCACCATCTATGCCAACAAGTTCTACTCCTCTGAGGTCGTCTCGGCGGCTGCCGCTATGACTGATACCGCTCTTGCTGCATCGGCCCGCAAGGTTGCTGACATCGGAACCTTTATGTGGATGTAAGTGCTGGATTTAGGTACCTTAACGACTCGTTTCTAATCTAGTTTGTAGCGATACCCGTGAGAAGATCTCCATTGTTGAGGACACCATCAAGGACGTCGGCTGCAACCAGATCGCCGCCTTGGTCATCTACGACCTGCCCGGCCGTGACTGCGCTGCTAAGGCCTCCAACGGTGAGCTTGCTGTTGGTGAGATCAACATTTACAAGACAGAGTATATCGACCGTAAGTAGACACGAACCGGGAAGCTTCATTTACCATGCTAACTTCCTCGTCAGCCATTGTTGCCATCTTCAAGAAGTACCCCAACACGGCCATTGCTCTGGTCATCGAGCCCGATTCGCTTCCCAACTTGGTTACCAACGCCAAGCTCCAGACCTGCCAGGACTCTGCCTCTGGCTATCGTGAGGGTGTTGCATATGCTCTCAAGCAGCTCAACTTGCCCAACATCGCCATGTACATCGATGCTGGTCACGGTGGCTGGCTCGGCTGGAACGACAACCTCAGTAAGTCTCTTTTTCACAGTACATTACAAGTTCCATGCTAATGAATATCGCAGAGCCTGGTGCCAAGGAGCTCGCCACCGTCTACAAGAACGCCGGCAGCCCCAAGTCCGTCCACGGTGTCGCCACCAACGTCGCTGGCTGGAACGCTTGGGACCTCAGCCCCGGTGAGTTCTCCAAGGCCACCGACGCGCAGTGGAACAAGGCACAAAACGAGAAGCAATACGTCACGCTCTTCTCGCCCGAGCTCAAGAGTGCCGGTATGCCCAGCCAGGCTATTGTCGACACTGGCCGCAACGGCGTCACAGGTCTGCGCAAGGAGTGGGGCAACTGGTGCAACATCAACGGTGCTGGCTTCGGTGTGCGTCCCACGTCCGACACTGGCTCTTCGCTCGTCGATTCCTTCGTCTGGGTCAAGCCCGGTGGTGAGTCTGATGGGACTTCGGACAGCTCTGCCAACCGTTATGATTCTTTCTGCGGTAAGGAGGAGAGCTTCAAGCCCTCTCCTCAGGCTGGGCAGTGGAACCAGGCCTACTTTGAGATGCTGGTCAAGAACGCTAAGCCTGCTTTGTAAGAGCTTGATAATACAAGTAGCAACTGGCTTTTTGGTCGTCTGTTGATGAGAGGCTTCCTTGTATATAGATCATGACTGGGGACGATGGTTGGTGGACGATGCTGTGAGACGGACGTGTGTACGAGCAAAAGCTATCGCTAGATATCTTCGCTTCGCTGTCAATATGTTACCTTCATTTCAAAATAAGAACTCTCGTTTGCCTATCTGTATCTTTGCCCCTACTCATTCAATGCACCACATCTCATCCCGACAGTAGGCCTTCAAGGGACTCCAAGTAACTAGAGAGTATATTTAACTTGTTGTTGTATTTGATGAATGTGCCACAAGGCATGAGATGGAGAGCTGTTAGTTTATGATATCGAGGGAGTAAGCACTTTTCAAGGGTCTTGGATATGATAGTAGCTTTACACTCAACATGCAGTTTAGAGCATCGACTTTGTTATCTAGACGATAACTATAACTTGACTGAAATTGCTGGAGAACTTGAGGAGGAAATGCAAAGGAGTGGTGATATAGAAGACGAGAGCGGTTACGAATAATTGGAGAGTAACGATGAAAAAAAGAGGAGGAAGATGAAGACACTATGGGTGGTCTTAAAAAGACTGTGAAATACAAGATACTCTATTGAGGCTCAGTGATACTATCCTTCCGAACAGAAGTTGAAGCCTATTGTAGGCGAATTAGCTAATAACAGTTGATTCAATCACCCGGCGGTATGCTCTGCTATACATAAAGCAGTCAAAATAAATATAAGAATGCGCTCTGAGCAAAGATGTGTACCCCAAGCCGTATTGCGGTGAGTGAGCGTTGATCGGGCGCGGACGGACCGTTGCGCGTAGAGATTTTAGATTGGCCAAGAGGCACCCCCGAAGAAGTCCCGCTATGTCGCAGCTTCCTGTTCGCTCAAACCAGATCCATCCACAACCCCATTAGCGATACCCTTTCCGCACATCTAGTTCTGCTTCCGTGACCGCTTCCATAGTCACGATGCAGGCTATCCGACAGCCGCTGCGCTCAGCGCTTTCAAAAGCCACGACCAGGCAGTATGCGACCGGTTCGTCGCAGTATGCCGAGACCATCAAGAATCTCCGCATCAACGGCGAGACCAAGGTGCTTTTCCAGGGCTTCACTGGAAAGCAGGGAACGTGAGTGGCTGCGCTACGCCTTGCAATTGCTGTTCGGTGCTAATTGAGGTACAGCTTCCACGCACAGCAGGCCATCGAGTACGGTATGCGCCCAACCGAACCGCTCTTTATATATTTGACAAGGAGAGGCATTGACGCAAGATTGCAGGCACAAAGGTTGTTGGAGGCACAAACCCCAAGAAGGCTGGCACTGAGCATCTCGGCCTGCCCGTCTTCAAGAACGTAGCGGACGCCATCAGAGAGACTCAAGCTACCGCTACCGCCATTTTCGTCCCGTACGCCTTGTCTACCACGACTCCCTACGAAATACGTAGTCTAACTATACTGTAGGCCACCGGTCGCTGCGGCGAGTATCGAGGAGGCCATCGCTGCGGAGGTGCCTTTGATTGTGACGTAGGTGTGCATATCAATTTTGAGCTACATGGAAGTTAACACTGGGCAGTATCACTGAGGGAATCCCACAACACGGTATGCACCCTACACTGAGAGGAACTAGATGAACATCAACTGACTCGCAGCAGACATGGTTCGCATCACGGATATGCTCAAGACGCAGAACAAGTCTCGCATGGTCGGCCCTAACTGCCCTGGTATCATCGCTCCCGTACGCTCACATCCATACCTACAGACGCATGGATAGATCTAATACTTCTTCAGGGCCAATGCAAGATCGGAATCATGCCCGGCTTCATCCACAAGCGCGGCCGCGTCGGTATCGTCTCCCGTTCCGGAACCCTCACCTACGAGGCCGTAAACCAGACCACCCAAGCCGGTCTTGGCCAGTCGCTTGTCGTTGGTATCGGTGGTGACCCCTTCTCCGGAACCAACTTTATCGACTGCTTGAAGGTCTTCCTGCAAGACGAGGAGACGGACGGTATTATCATGATTGGCGAGATTGGTGGTTCAGCTGAGGAGGATGCTGCGGACTTTTTGAAGGAGTACAACACTGCCAACAAGCCCGTTGTTAGCTTCATTGCTGGTATCTCTGCGCCACCGGGCAGGAGAATGGGTCACGCTGGTGCTATTGTCAGCGGTGGAAAGGGCGATGCCAACTCGAAGATCAATGCCCTTGAGGCTGCTGGTGTCATTGTCGAGCGCTCGCCTGCTAAGCTTGGATCAGCTCTGTACGACCAGTTCGTCAAGCGTGATCTGATATAATTGTGCGATGAGTACCGAGGGGTTTCATTTCCTGGTTCAAGGTTCAGAGCGAGCGTCTGATTTGGGCAGATGGCAGTTGCTGCACGAAAGGATGCTTTGTACCCAATCTCGTCTATTGTACATTTAGTCATTTAGAGCAAAGTACAAGTCTGCATGAAGTCATGTTCGAGCTTGATCGGCTACAACTCTCTTTCGTTTTACATGTTCAGTCTTCACATGCAGGATCTGAACGCTTGAGGATGGTCCAAGCTCCTAGATTTTCCAAACCCAAAAGTTCCCCGCAAACCTCCGAACAGCACAATTCATAGCCGTTCCAGGTAACAGCAACAAATATGTCCAAGACCAAGACCAAGCGCGCTCGTCGCGAGCTCAAACGCGACGGAGACCGCAAAATCATGGCGCACCACCGAAAAGTTGCAAAAGCCGCAGAAACCAAGGCCAAATCCACGCCTGGAACATCCAAGCCCAGTACGGCCAACAAACAAAAGACACAGCAATCTTCAGACGCAAAGGCGCAAACAGCAGCCCCGAAGCCGCCTGTCCAAGCATCCCAGAAACATGCCGTACCCTTCAGCGCATATGCGCAAACCCTGCTCGTCGGCGAAGGAGATTTCAGCTTCACACGTTCGCTAGCGTTGGAGCACGGCTGCGCAAACGTCACGGCTACAAGCTACGATTCGGAAGACGAGGTGCGGGAGAAATACCCTACATTTGAAGAAATACACAAGGAGTTGAGCGAGCTTACGCCGCCTGTTCCCCTGCATTATTCTGTCGACGCTGCGAAATTGTCGGCGTACAAGCATCTGCGGTGTGTGCGGGACGAAGAAGAGGATATAGACGATGCTGAAGAGACGCTTGATGATAATGAGGATGACAATGGTGCAGCAGCAACAGGTGGGCCAGGCTGGGATACAGTGTGCTTCATGTTTCCACACACCGGGGGTTTAAGTACAGATGTGAACAGGCAGGTTCGCGCGAACCAAGCCCTACTCGTCTCCTTCTTCAAATCGTGTCTTGACACTCCCACGCCAGCAAAGCGCCTTCGCATCCTACAATCTCAGAATAATAAAGTCACACCGAAGGGGAGGCCGTTCCTGCGCATGGGCGGCCGTATCATCGTCACGCTCTTCGAGGGCGAGCCGTATACGCTTTGGAATATCCGCGATCTTGCGCGCCATGCTGGACTCAAGGTCGTGGAGAGCTGGAAGTTTGATTGGACACAATATCCTGGGTACCACCATGTCAGGACGCTGGGCGCCATGGAGAGTGGATGGAAGGGTGAAGATAGGGACGCTCGCATGTATGTGTTCGAAAAGATACCGCTAGTAGCCGATAGCGACGAGGAGAAGGAGATGCAAAAGCAGGCCCGGAACAGTAGGGGCGGCCCCTTGCCCTCGCAGAAGAAGGGGTGGGCGGCCAAGCTGGCGAGAGGAGAGAACGGCAGTGATGAGGACTGAATATAAGGGTGCCTATACCCTTCCCGGCAGAACGTATATGCCGATTGCAAGTGGAGAGAGTCTCGAAGCTATCCAGGTGCGCTATGTCACAGTCCACACCAACCAATCCAGGACACCACTACGCCGGGGATGTCATACCAAACGCCTCGCTATGCCATACAAGGACCCGCAAAAAACCAAAACCAAAAGAGGAGAGGACCTCACATAACATACACCTTCCTAACCTCATTGTCCCTCCACTTCTCTCCAACAACTCCACTAATCGGATCCCTGATCCACCCCTTCTCTGTTCCCACCTTCTCGTTGTACACCCGTAACCGCTCGCTTCCATATATCCGTCCGTTCGGCAACACAACTGGATCGTTCTCGACAATACTCTTGGTGTGATGCGCGTACGGTACGTTCCGGGCTAGTTCGTTAAGCTCGGTGCTGCAGATGGGGCAGACGGTCGTGCTGGATGACGAGGCGTTGGCGGATGAGGATGTATAGGCGGAGTGGCAGGCGGGTGTTTTCAGGGCGGAAAGACCGGCGCTGAGGGCGATGTGGAGGAGTGGGCGGGGCGGGAGGGAGTAAAGAGTGTGGTGTGTGGAAAGGAAGAGGGTCGCTAAATGGGTCCAGCGGGCGGGCGAGTAGAGTGACTTGAAAAGTTAGCAGTGATAGCGACAATATGGAAAAAAGGTAGAAGGCATACCGCATAAGGTTCCACTTCATCCCACGGCCTGTAAGCCAGCAGTCCCGCCGCCCGTCCCAGCAACTCAAAGTCCCCGCTGGTACTCAAGTACTTCTTCGCATGTGCCCTAGCCTCCACCAACTTGGTCTCCCCACCACCACCTACACTGACTCCGTTCATCCCGTCTTCCGTATCCATTCCATCCATGCCACTCATACCCGCCTCATGCCCCTGCCGCACCAACTCAATGTACTGCTGCAACCTCAACTCAAACTCTAGCATACTGCTCCCCTTCTTCAACTCTTTACTATGCTCCTTACACCACTCGAGCGCCAACCCCGTATTCATACCCTCCCTCAGACTCCTCTCAACCTTATGACACGCCACAAAAGCATCCACATCCACCAGCTCTGCTATGCCCTTGCTCTGCGCCAGATGCGCCGCAGACTCCGAGTATCCCTCGCGTAGTAGGTAGTCGACTAGTAGGCGCGACAGCCGCGTCCGGCTCCACTCATCGTACTTGACGTCGACTAAGCTCTGCACTTCATAAAGGTCCTGTAGATGCCGTAGCCGCGCCTTGGCAGACCGATGGATTCTCTGCTCCTCTTCGTGCAGACCCTCTAGTTTCCGCTTCAGGCCTTGCATCTTGCTGATCATGGAGTCTAGGCTATCCAAGGTAGCGTTTGGTGCGGCTGTCTTGGAGGCGGATTTGGTGGTGGCGGTTAGGGAGGATGTGAGCGCTGTAGACGAGTGCTCGATGACGCGTTGGGCATTTTTGAAGTTGCGCCGGGAGAGCTCGTAGGGCATGCGGAGGAGGGGTTGGTCCTGGATTGAAGCGTCAGCATAGGCCTTTTTCATGTGAATGGGAGCGTAGCTCATCATACGAGGAGGAGGTGCGACTCTGCGTTGAGCTTCGTGCTGGTGAGTTCCGCCATGGCGGCAGAGTGTAGGATTAGCAAACGACCAGGTAGATTTGGAGCTTTTGGAGCCTAAACAGCGACGGTCTTCAAACTGTGCGAGAGTCAGGAAGAATAATGACCTGAGAAATACGTCTGTGAGGGTTGAAGTGGAAGCTCATGATCGGACCTCAAGCTTGCGGGGTGTCGGTCGTCACAGCTCATAGCTCACCCTCCGGCACGTGCCAAAAAGCTTCTTTGTTGAACAACCACATTATCTAAAATACACTGACTATTTTGTATTGTTCACCGGTTCAAGCTTCTATGTGATATCATTTTTGGTCATAAGCCAAATCTATAACTCCTCTAAAACCCAATGCATCATGACACAAAATCCATATGCCTCCTACCTATGCAGAAAGACACTGAAGCAGGTCGCGTGGAGCTGCCAGCCTACTGCAGAGGTATCCTGAACCCTGCTCTAAGGCCTTTTATTTTTTGCTGTGGATTCACGTCCCGCAGCTCGGGGGAATGCATGAAAATTGCGGAAACACCTTTTCAACCCACGCTTAAAGGGCACCAGTCGACGACATCTTCTTTCGGAGATGGTCCTTGTACTCGCCAATGCTGCCGTCCCATCGTCGAACAGTCTTGTGTTCGCACACCATGATATCCTTCGCGATCTTGTCGAGCAATCTGTCAAGAGTTAGCAAACAAATCAAGAAGCATCAGAGAAGGTGAATATACCGGAAGTCGTGAGACACGACAACGACACCACCGCTGAAAGCGTTGATAGCATCTGCCAAACTATCGATAGTGGGAATATCCAGACCGTTAGTAGGCTCATCGAGAAGCAACATGTTGGGGCCCTCGATGGCCAACAGAGCGAAAACAATTCGGCTCTTCTGTCCATCGGACAGGGTTGCCATCTTCGAAGTTTGGCCCTCACCAGTCAAGCCGTAACGACCGAGCTGCTGGCGCCAGTACTGGTAGTCTTGGCTAACATGTGAGAACTTGTCACGGACGAAGTCAAGAGCGGACTTGGTGAGGTCGAGTTGTTCAGCGGAGTGCTGGCTGTACACACCGAGCTTCAAGTGGGTGTGTCGGGAGACGATACCAGATGTGGGGCTGAGCTTGCCAGTAAAGATGTTGAGTAATGTCGACTTGCCAACACCATTGGGACCGACAAGTGCTGTTCGAGAGTCCATATCAACACCGAAGTCCAAGTTCTCGTACAGGTTATCCTTCTTATCGCCAGAGTAGGAAAAGGTAACGTCGTCGAGCGACAGAACCGGCGGCGGCAGCTTCTCGACATCGGCGAAACGGAATGTGAAGACACGATCACCGACGACAGGCTCGATCAAGCCATCCGCCTCCATCTTGTCCAAAATCTTCTGGCGAGACTTGGCCTGCCTGACCAAATTGGCATAGGTACCAGCAGAAGCGATGAACTTCTTGATGTGCTTGATCTCGTCTTGCTGCTTCTCATAGGCCTTCATTTGGTTGACTTCCTGCTCGGTGCGAGTCTTGTGGTAGGTGTCGTAGTTACCTCCGTAGTACATGAGTTTCTTCATGCGCATATCGAGCATGTTTGTGCAGACACCATTCAAGAAATCCATGGAATGGGAAACAAGGATAAGGGTGCGATCCCACTTCTTCATGTACTCCTCTAACCACACACAGGCTTCCAAATCCAAATGGGCAGTCGGGTCATCGAGCAACAGCAGAGCAGGCTTGACGAACAGAGCCTTACCGAGCGCGACACGCATACGCCATCCACCGGACATGTCCTTGGTCTTTTTGTTGATGGTGACCTTGTTGAAACCGAGACCGGTCAAAATGAGGGAAGCGCGGGTGTGGAAGGTGGAGGGATCCATGCTCTCTTGACGCTGTGAACGTGTTAGTCTGGGTATGACATAGTGCTTCGGCGGGTACATACCTCGTAGATGTCGTCGAGCAGGGGGCTCTCAGGCCCATCCTTCTCAAGAATGTCTTCTGCCAGCTTCTCCAGACGAGCCAGCTCGTTTTCGGCCTCGCGGACGACCCACTCCAAGGCACCCAACTCGGTCTTGGGCGCACCCTGGTTCAGCAGGTAGATGTCGATGTGCTCTGGGAAGGGAAACTCGCGGGCGTCGATGGCCTTGAGCAGCGTCGTCTTTCCGCAGCCGTTCTCACCCAGCAATCCATATCGTCGACCGTAGTTGATCTCGATGGTGGCATCGTTGAAGAGGACCTTGCCGTGAAACACGAGCGAAGAGGAGATGATCTTGACGTCGCGGGACTGCGCGAGCGAGGCAAGCACACCGGTTGTGACGCGGTCGGACAAACCGTGCTTGTCTTCCTGCATGGTGAGCTTCTTCACCTCCTCGTTGAGTTCGAGATCCTCGTCGCCATCGCCATTGACGGAGGAGGCTGACGAGGCAGTTTTGGAGTTTGCCTTGGACGAGAGCTTGGAGGTGGCCGTCTTCTTGGGCTTCGCGTCGGGGTCAGCGGCGCGCTTGGCCTGACGGGCAGCTTTTGAGGCGGAGACCATGGTGTTGTAGTGGTGTAATAAGAGGGACTCGAGGGGGTGGAGGGAAAATGGAGGAAATTTTAATGTTGGATCAACGTCAGTCTTTGACCCCGCTAAGCCCACTTCTTATCGATACCACGCAAAGTCCGCGTTCAGAGGTCGTCTAGTCAGGTAGGCGCAGCACTCGAGTCGGTGAACGAGTGGAGCGTCGGGTACAATGGGCTAGGAGCGGTGCTGAGAAGGAGAAAGAATAATCAGCAAAAGAAAAGTTGGGGTCGGACAAACAACAATGAATGCGACCCTGTATGCCCAATTTTCCTCCGGCGGTGGCGACCGCTGCGCCCGGCCAATCAGGGCCCACCCACTCATCATCGGGCAGTAAGCCAGCGGGCTGACAGCTGCTTCAAGTGTAGACAGAGAACATCACTGAGATTTATATTCTATAAATACAACGTTGACATGATAGGACGAGTATGTAGTTGGCCATCTGTCGCAACAGAATAACCAAGGCCTACATCTCGACAAGTGCCATATCTTAGCGAAGTGAATGCGAAGCGCGTAAAAGACGGAAGAAACCCGAGTAACGTGACCTTTGGAATATATTGAGTTTGTTTGAGATCAAGATTCGTGTTCCATCCATGTTACACGTCCCTCGAGATCTAGCATCGAGGGGCTACATTTTGCACATAGGATGAACACCATCTCCACGGAAGTGTCATGAGTAGTTTAGTTCGTTGGTGTTATCTACGACTTCCTCAACAATCTTGGAAAACGATAACACACTAGGCTAGATACCGGTACCATCACCTCGAATTTTACTCCTCGCTTCCCCTCCAGCATCGCTTCTCCTTGGTATCCTAGCGGACTCTGTGCTGCTTCTTGCACTACCCAAGTCCTTTCCCTCCTCAATGCCTTCCCTCTCATCAACCCTTTTCCTCAGTCTTCTCCGTAACTTTTCCAACACTTCCGCCTCTTCTTTATTCAAGCTCAAGTCTTCCGGCAAGATCACCTCGGCACCGTTGATCTCTATCGTCTCTCCTTCTTGATTATATCTTTGCTCCTCTTCAGTCTCCTTCCTTTCCAGCCCACCCCTCGCATCTGACACTGTTTCCTCATCCTCCCTTCTAGCTCGCCTTATATCTAACGGAGTCCACCAGTACACTGGAAACTGCCTTTGAATGTTGTTGATCACCAACCCCACAATCAACATCAGCGTCGTTCCCCACATCACAAGGGCTACATAATACCATCCCATGGTAGTTATGGCAGGTTCGGTTGCGGCTAAGACAGCAGACGCGCCGCCTGGAGGATGTACAGTGCCAGTGAGGAGCATGACAGCCGAGGCGCAGCCGCAGGATACGGCGCCTGCGATCCATTTTATGGATTCGTAATCTGAGCGCAGTTGAAAGAGCTTTGAAATTCCAACGCCAATGAGCGCAGAGAATGTATGGCCCAACAGAGCGTTGCGTGGTTGGCCCAGCGGGGAACGAATAGAATTATACTCGAGTATAGCAGATGCACCCTGGCCTAGTCGTCAGCAACCACGAACATGCACAAACCTCAAGAAGACTTACAAACGAAGCGATCAACGCTGGCGGGTAATGTCGCTGTATACTCTCCGTGTTGTTGAACACGGCCGATATCACCGCCAACCCACAAAACGCGCCCAGTAAAGACCAAAAAGCCCCCAGTACATTCCCAACATCTTGATGGCTTGCCTTTCTATATCCCAGAAATCTCGAGATCGGTCTCGGAAGTTTGTGCAGTGGTGACGGAGGAATAACGCGGTTGAGGTATCGATCCACATCCAAATCCCACGCCCGACTTCTTTCCAGGAAACTCATAACGACTGATAGACAGACGTACAGCAGAGCTGCAATCTATCGCTCTACAACAAAAGGGATGACCCGCCATCTATAAAGAAAGCACCATGGTTCCAAACTCGGAACGGACCCACAGCTGCAACGGGTGGAACGGCGACATGGCTGCGCCATTATTCAGCCCTTAGCTACAATTCCATCCTCCCATGGTCACGGTAATCATTATTTCCTACACAAAGCTTGTGCACCATGACCGTTCAAACCAAACGTGTCGCGCATGTACCCCAAGCCGGTGACGAACCTGAGTAAAATTCACACGCAACAAGCTCTGCTTTACGTAAAATTACGTACGAACAACTTACTGCCAAAGAGCTTCTCCTCGGGACCCCCGTTGGGCATATATATAAAAAATGTAGGAGCACCGGAGATGGCTGAGTAGCACGGTTCCTGTAATATTACAGCTACAGCGTTAGCTCGTAGATTTGTACGGGTTGTGCAAGTACTACGTCGATTGTGGGACAGCATGGGTATGTCAGCCGGCAAGTTGCGGAACAATGGGCGATGAGCCAGGCCTGGACTAGAGCATCTTGTGCAACGTGTAAATTTCTGCTTGAGAATATACATGCCGAATTCTCAGTTGTGTGTAGAGGAGTCTATAACGCGCGTGAGCTATAGTGAGGTTCTTGCAGATCCGGAGTAGTGACTTCACGATCTACGTCATGCACTCAGCTAGCCGGGAGCCGCATCAAAGCTTACTTGACCAACAAAGCTTGAAGATTTTATGATGTGAATACTATTACATATAGAGGTAACTAACTATTCTGTCTCTATGTGTATCTATGTCATGGAAAATAGACTGCTCTTCCTTTTAATCCCCATGATAAGTGCCTCCTAGGCGCCAATGGTGAGAAGGAACCGCCATGCGTCAAGCTAAAGCCTGTAATGGGGTATAAGTGTCCCACCGTGTGAACTCCGTAATCGTGTAATCCATAATGTACATTATTCGTGTAAGCATGCCGATACATTCTCGCGTCTAGGTACCACGGAACAAGAACTGCAAGTCTTCAGGACTCAGGCGGTCCATAGCGACCTTGTCGTTGTTGACGGTACCAGCAATCATAGCTGCCTTCTTCTCTTGCAGTGCGACCATACGAGACTCGACGCTGTCTTCAATACAGAGGCGAGTGATGACGCAAGGTCGCCTCTGACCGATACGATGGCAACGATCAGCGGACTGCCACTCGGCAGCAGGGTTCCACCATCTAAAGATGCGTCAGTAAAAGGTCCCCAAGTTTGGCAGAACTACACTTACGGGTCAACGATGAATACCCTAGAGGCTTCTGTGAGGTTGAGAGCGACACCGCCAGCCTTGAGGGACACCAAAAAGACTTCGACATCCGGATTCGTCATGAAGTGGTCAATGCTCTTCTGTCGCTGAGCAGGCGTCATGCTACCATCCAACATGACCGTATTAAAACCAGCACGACGAAGACGCCACTCAATGAGCTGTAGCATCGAGGTGAACTGGCTGAACACGATCGACTTTAGCGTCTGTTTCTTGCTGCGTAGCTTGTACAGGTCGTAAATCAGCATCTCAATCTTTGTTGAAGATGTCCAGTTCTCCATCTTGATGCGGTTTATGATCGAAGTCTTCTTAACCGAATCCTCGTCCTGCTCAAGCTCAGGTTGCTCGAAATCAATGGAGAGGGCAATGTGGCAGCGAGGACAGTCCGCTTCGGTTCCAGACGCCTCGCACGTATCCATGAAGTCCTTGATACATGACCGGCAGAACTCGTGGCGGCAGTGAGAGCGTACTGCGTCTTCGGCAGGCTCGTCGCAGATGTTGCAAACGAAGACATTTCCGGCACCTTCCGCAGCGTTCTTCTTTAGAAGCAAATCTGGGTGATTGGCAACTTGACGCATCTGCATAATCAAACCGAAAATGTTGGCGTAGTTGTTGAGCATGACACCCTGGGCAACGTAAGTGTCGAACTTGCGAGACGAGTTTGACATGATTGAAGTGGAGAAATCGCGCTCCACTTCACTGAAGAATTCATTGTGAATGATGATGTCCTTCATCGGAAGTTCCATGGAGTTCGTATAATCGCGCTTCATACGGCGTAACATGATACGAGCTGTGATCATGTGTAGCTTCGTCAGAGCTTCTTCGCGAAGTTCTGGGTCGTCGCCAGTGATTGGATTGAGCAACTCCGCGTTGAATATAGAGATGTGCTCGGAGGCACCATGATTGCAGGCGATGCACATGTGATCATCGTCAGTAGCCCAGTGCAACTTCTCGCAGTCGCAGGAACGACAGAAGTAGTCTGCGAACGGCCGAACCTCTAGAAAACGGAGGAGCGAGAAGAACTCTCCAATTCGGTTCTGGACCGGTGTGCCAGATAAGCACCACTTGTAGTTACCAGTGAGAGCGAAACAAGCCTTGGCTACACCTGTGTTGCGTGACTTTATGCTGTGTGCTTCGTCAAGGATCAGGCGGTGGTAGTGAATGGCGTGAAGCGGCGAGGCTTCCTTGATGATATCATCACCGCGGGACCAGCCTTTGGTTTCTTTGCGATGCAGTGACTCCAGGCTGTTGTACGAGACCATGATGACGTCGTAGCTCTTCAGCTCCTTGCTAGACATTTTCTTGCACTTCGTATTCGTACCGTGATACACCAAGACCTTGAGCTTGTTGTCTGTGTATTCGCGAATCTCATTCGACCACTGCATCAGAGCCACTGGTGGAACACACACAAGCGTAGGTTGTTTTGCAGGATAGTCGGACATGATAAGCGACACAGCCTGGATCGTCTTGCCCATGCCCATCTCATCTCCAAGAAGTCCCCCTTTGTAATGGGTCTGCTCTTGGCGAACCATCCAGCTGAGACCTTCGAGCTGGAAAGGCTTCAGTCGTCGGCTGATGGAATTTGGCTGCTCAGCCCTCTGAACCTCAAGGATGGGGATCTTCTGGAGAGTTTCCCACATCGTGCGCAACTTCGGGTGCTGTTGCTCCGCTCGCTCGCGGTTCATAGCGCGCTTTCGCTCCCACTTGTCCTCGATATGTGCAAACCTTTCACGGCGGCGCGCACCTTCTCGCTGTTCGGCATCTGTGAGCTTCTTCTTGCTTCGTGCTACCTTGGTACGCTTTGACGTAACCTTCTTGAGGCGCGCGCTCGCGACCATGAGGGGCTCATCTTCGCTATCACTTGCGATTGGAGTGTCGAGGTCGTCGTGCAAGGACTCTACATCGCCTGCAACGTCTGGTCGGAATTCTCCACCATCTGACTCGTCGTCATTCAAGAAATCGGCCTCGGTAAAGCGAGCCTTTTTGGCGCTCGAACGGGCAGAGCGACTACGACTGCGCAGAGAACCTTCCACTTGGGCCTTGCCCTTGCCCTTGTAGGTCGGCGGCAGCATGAGTTCGTCGATCAGCGAACCCCCATCGTCGTCAGTGAAGGCCTCTTCCACCTTGGCTTTACCCTTGCCCTTTCCTGTGTAGGGTGCGGCTCTCCTCTTCGAAGACACCACGATTATATCTTCGTCATCGTCTTCCACCTTCTGGCGCTTGCTTTGACGCGCATCCGCCTCTTCGTCCTCCAACTGCATTTGTAGGGCGATCTCCGCGTCCATATCAATTGTCTCGTCCTCTGTTTCCGAGTCCAGTACGGTGTTGCGCGATCGCTTGAGGGCGGAGGTTGTGCTCAAGGACGTAGTTGCAGCCTTACTTAGACCGGTACCGGCGGGCATCTTGCCATGGCGAACAGAGGTAGCCGGCGTAGTCGAAATACTCGTTCCCGGTGTCTCGTAGTCTGAGTTTTCAAGAGAGGGAGAGCCATTCGAGCTTCCCTGCTCTGCTTGTTGCCGAATCATTATGGAGGACTTCCCACGAGTGGAAAGTGCTTTCTTGGATTTGGTGGCGGGTATGGAAACCTCCTTCATCACCCGTCGAACGAGCGCAGATTGAACGGAGGGTTTCACTTCGACCGTGTCGTTCTCGTTATCAGACGAGTCGGGGACGAAAGTTCGAGAGGAGCGAGTACGCTTCTGGTTGTGGCGAATGTCGGCCATGATGGGCGAATCCACTACGGGAGCTGCGACCGAGTTAGCACTGAGAAGCCGATTACGCCAAGCACCGATGAAGGTGAATGAATTGACGAGTCTACCTACTGGTCACCGGCGCTGGGGATGTTGCTGAAGCGACCGCACTGGTGAGAGCTGATTTGCGGGTTCGCCGTGGCGCCATTATTGAGGACCGGTCGCCAGGCAAATAGGTAGAGACGGTTATGGTAGAGAGGGAAGGAAATAAGAAAAGAAACGCGACTTGACAAACCCAAAGGAGGATGAAAGGATAACAAGGCGCACTACAAACGCTTGTCGATCGATGGAGGGGATCGATCTACCCCTGGCCTTGGGCGTGCCGAGCAATAGCTCGCGTCGAATGGGTCGCGCGCTCACGCCTCCGGTGGCGATATCAGCGAAACTCTTCGAACACTTGCAAAGCAAGGAAAGCAGACTGGTCTCCTTGTGGCCAATTTAGCTGCAGCATGTGAGGAGCATCAACAAATTCAGCCAGGCTCGCGTAACGGTGTGGAGAAAGCACGACGCGTCTCTAGGCAGCAGACCGCGAGGGCACGTGACCTCTTTAACAGGCGCAGTGGGGGTTGCAGCCCTGATAGACCACGATCTTTCCATCTACATTTCTTCAAAAAAAGAAAACCCCCCCAAATTGCTAATATAAAGTCTATGCGAGATCGCCTTTGCCTATACTACCTAGATCTCTAACAACCTTTTAAGACGACGCTTACTAGGCAAACGCTAAGCAGCTCTCGCATATAGCTACTTACCTCCCCTATGACCTCTCTGAACGGGCATAGACCTGCGCACGTCCAGAGACGTGTTGTTCGGGGGTAGTGTATACATTTTCTTTCCGGCGGTCTGTGCCAACGTGAAACACACAATCTGCTATGGTGGTAAGAACGGTGTTATGCGTTGCGGAAAAGCCATCGATTGCAAAAGCAATTGCAAACCACTTGGGAGATCAAGTGACTACTGTGAGCACACACGCGTACAATCCGCCAGTCGAGCTAATGGACGTGCAGCATAACATACAAGGCAATCCGTATGTGAAGAACTACGAATTCGAATACACATTTCCACAATGGGGTCATTGCAGTGTCACGATGACCTCTGTGTTAGGCCACCTCCTCAGCCATGAGTTTGAGCCGCGATACAAGAGCTGGACGTCATGCGACCCATCTGCGCTTTTTGACGCTCGCATCGAGGTTTTTGTTGGCAGCAACAGAAAGTCTATCGCGGACAACATCAAGCGACACGCTCGCCGTGCCGATGTGCTCTATATCTGGACCGACTGCGACCGCGAAGGTGAGCATATAGGTACCGAGATTCGGTCGGTGGCAGCACAAATTAACCAGGCACTGGGTCGCGCTGGCGGCACAGTAAGAGCACATTTCTCCAACATTGAAAGAGCGCATATCATTCACGCCGCACATCATCCCACCGATCTCGACGAAACGCAAGCCGACGCAGTAGCTTCTCGTATCGAGCTCGATCTTCGCGTGGGCGCAAGCTTCACCCGACACCTCACTCTCAGTCTTCGTCCTGTACTCCAGCGAGGCAATCTGTCAGAAGCCTCTCAATTAATCAGCTACGGGAGCTGTCAGTTTCCTACGCTTGGCTTCATCGTCGAGCGCTACTTGTGCGTTCAGAGATTTATCCCGGAACCATTCTGGAGCATCAAACTGATGCATCGAAAAGCCGGAATAAAGGTGAACTTTGTTTGGGCTCGTAAACATCTCTTCGACAGATTGACAGTTGTTATTCTCTATGAGGGGTGTCTCACATTGCAGAATGCTCAGGTCAAAAAGATCAAAACCACGCCAACGAGCAAGTGGAAACCCTTGCCGTTGACTACTCTAGAGCTTCAGAAGTGCGGTAGCAGATTCTTAGGAATGGACAGTCAAAAGGTTCTACAGCTTGCAGAAAAGCTATATCAAAAAGGTTGGATTAGCTATCCTCGAACCGAGACAGATCAGTTCGATCAGGGTATGGACCTTCGCGGTCTTGTCCAGAAGCAGGCACAGGGCGGCCGCTGGGCTGATTATGCAACGGCGCTGGTCGAAGGAGGCTTTTTGTGGCCCCGTAGCGGACGTAATAATGATAAGGCCCACCCGCCTATCCACCCGGTTAATTTTGTTAATCCAACTACGCCCTCAAACGAAGAGCAGCGTGTCCATGAGTTCGTTGTCCGGCGCTTTCTGGCATGCTGCAGTAAAGACGCCAAGGGGTCAAAGACCAACATTAGTATTCTCTATGGACCGGAAACATTCAATGCGTCTGGACTTGTAATAGTAGAGCGCAACTATCTCGATGTCTATGTTTACGATCGGTGGGGCAACCTAGAACTTCCCCCGTTCGTCGAAGGCGAGGTCTTCGAGCCGACCGAAGCCATTCTCAGTGAAGGTATGACGTCACCACCTGGATATCTAACTGAACCGGACCTGCTTGCACTAATGAACGCGAACGGTATCGGCACTGATGCTACAATGGCCGACCATATTGTTACAATTATAGACCGGCAATATGTTGAAGCCAGGGCTCAGCCAAGACAGGCGCGGCATGGAAATGACGAAGAAGAGTTCGAGGAGTTGCCAGCACAATCGAGAGTTGGAACTGGTCGTGAAGGTAGAACTGCAGTAGCCCATCGTCGTGGCGGCAGGAATAGCGGTGCTGGTCGCGGTGGCGCTATAACAGGTGTTCGGGAGTTCATACCCACGACGCTAGGAGTCGCTTTGGTTGAAGGCCACGAGAATATAGGTTTTGAGACTAAATTGACGAAGCCTTTTTTACGCAAGGAGGTAAGATAACGTCTTTACTCAATCTCCATCACGGGCTGCTAATAGCAGGCATAGATGGAGCTGAAGATGAACGCCATATGCAATGGGCAAATGACAAAGGCTCAGGTCGTGACTGAAACCATCGAGCAGTATCGAGGGGTCTATGCTCGCATACAGCAACATCCGGACGCCCTTCGTACGGTGAGGACTAAGTCTCAACGTACCTACTTCTCCGCTAATGTGATTGTAGGCTGTTCGAAAGTATGTTTTCGGTGGAGTGAACTGAGGATTGTCTATCTCACCATCGTACCCTGCCAGTTGCCGCGCATCTCAACCTACCATAGCGAGCTGTTGTGAGGTTCGAGCACAGCCAGGATCCACGCTGTGTGATTGATAGTATACTCGTTGATCTTGTATCAAGCGTGGACAAACGGTATCAACGATAAGGTCCTAGTAGACCATGAGACATAAATCCCTCGGCAAATCCATAAATCGAAACAAGCTCTGACCCGAGGGGCCGCAAAGACTTGGATAGGCAATTCCTTGTGCGCGTGAAAGAGACATGTTCAATGGGAAGGTTTGCCTCTACCTAGGGAAGGTGTAGTCTGTTAGCGCCGTGGTTTCGTTCTTTGGTTATCAACTGAAGCAGATGCAAGAATGCTTGCAAACATGCGAAAATGTGAGCACTCCTTCGCAAATGATAGATAGTAAGCTGTTAATTGGAGAGCGGTTGAAAAGAAGGTCCTTTTTAATGCCCAGGCTTCAGGACTGTCGCTTGAGCTATCACCAGCTTGTAGATGTAATTTTAGAGCGGAGATTTTTGTGACATTTTGCAGCTTCTGATAGCTTCGCTGCTCTCAGAGTTTGATGCGGTTTCGTGGTGATAGTGGCATAACGCTTCTATGCAGTAGTTGGAGGTATTCATTTCCGAATGATATGTAGTTTACTGAGGAGTATTGAAAGCAAAATGCAGCAAAAACACCCCATCTTATCATTTCCACTTTTGCCGTATATTCTCGAAGAGTAATGGTTTCGAATGTTCCAAAGAGTAAATATCGCGTCGAGACCTGTTGCGTCAGGTAATGCACGGACCTCCGCGCGGCCACAGGTCTCAAACGGCAAGACATGACGGTCCATCAGGCACCTCATCCAACCTCAACAGTGCCGCCATCCGCAATCGCACCACCATACCTCCCGATACCGTCATTCACTCCTAGAACCCTTCTTGGACCTCGAGCTCCCGGACAAGCCATCTGCCGAACTTGCGACCGAAGCGCCGGCGCTGATAAGCTACCCGCCCCCGGCAGTACCGAACCGCCAACTCGTCCACCATGGTGAAGCCCGTTGTTTCTGCTATGAATGCGTGGACATGGTATGATCCAGATCAAACAGATACAGCGAGCGAAGCTGACGGAGATGTAGCATTGTCCTGTCCCTGTTCGCCATCGTCATTCTCTCCGTCATCGGATCGCTCTTCAAGGGAAACAATAACGGGGTGATGGGCTCAGACGAAGATCCCAAGGACGGCGCCGCAGTCGCTGGTGCAGTCTTTGGAGCTGTTTTCATATACATTGTATGTGCAATACTGCCGGACAACGCTCAAGGGACTTTCGCTAACCTTTCGACAGGGTTTCTTCGTCTTTTGCGGACTACAAGCCTTCCTGCACCTGCGCGAAAGCCGCCGCGGGGCGATCAGCCTATCATGATTATCAACGTTGTAAATCATGCAGTTCGAGTATAATATATAGAGGGGGCCCTTTTTGGAACATTCGGTCGCACAGCCCAGCCTTCGCGGGGTTGGTACGTTCGCCAAGGCAGAAGAGCAGAATCACCTACATACTATAGCATATGGCGTTTTGGGCACGAATTGATCGATTTAGGCGTGGTAGAAGTGTGTTGAATTCAGCGCATTATACGCTATTTGTCTAGGTATTTGGGCTTCGCGGCCCTCATCAATGCTGTTAATTTTTAAACCCCCGCGCCAGCAATGCATATTTGTTTACTTATAGTTCCGTTACCCTTCTTACTACCACTCCCTCTCCCAGTCAGGCTGCAGCGTCTTGCTCATGTATGGTCCATCGAGCGAGTATCCCAGTTTCCCATAGTAACTCCGGACACCAACGCCAGAAATGACACTGATCTTGCAACTTCCATGCTCTTCTCTCGCAATTCGCTCCGCCTCCTCCATGAGTAGCGTGCCGTAGCCCTGATGCTGGAACTTCTTTGGATCCCTTGCGTGCACCGGCACTGCTGAACCGTACACATGCAACTCACGAACCAGCGACGACGGCTGGTCGATCAACTCGGGCCTAAATGTGTGCTCCTTCGAGCATTGGCGTAGCCGTAGCAGTGCGATGAGAATGTCTTGCTTCGGATCTTCGTACGCGAGGAACGTCTCCCAACCTCCGTTTGCTGTGTAGTCTCGCCGCACAAGCTCGACTTGGTCGGGTCTGATCTTGTGCTTTACTTCGTTGATGCCGACTTCTCGTGTTCGGACGTCACGACAAGTGGTGCCGAAGTCTTTCATTCTTGCTAGAGCTAGTTCCCTTAGATTGCCATTTTCAACACCAGACGTCACAAGCGGCATGGGGATATCGCGCTGCACGCGGTAGATGCGTGTCCACGGCGGCACTAACGCGAGGATACGGGCCACGATATCGATGAGTGCGTTGGGCGTGTAGTTCTTGTAGCGGCCTGTTCGCCAGAGTTCGTAGAGTCCTGTGCCGCGGATGACGAGTGTGGGGTAGATTTTGAGTCCATCGGTTCGGAAATCGGGGTTTGAGAAGTATTCTACAAATTGGTCGAGGTCGCGCTCCATGCCTACGTTGGGCAGATCGGGCATCATGTGTGATACGACCTTGAAGCCAGCATCTTTGGAGAGGCAGAATGTCTTCGCGACAGCGGCAACAGTGTGACCTCGGTTTGTGTCGCGCGCTACATCTTCGTAGAGCGACTGAACTCCAATCTCCAGGCGTGTGCATCCGTACCGCAGCATCGACGACAGGTGTTGGTCCAAGCAGTAGTCTGGTCGCGTCTCGATAGTAATACCCACACACTTGATATTGCTCATCTCACCCGCCGCAACAGCCTCATCCACATCCTTGGTCTGGTACCCGGAAAGTGCATTGTGCAGCTGGCTGATGAATTCATCCCTATAACTCTCTGACAGCGACATGAATGTGCCGCCCATAATGATATACTCAACTTTGTCGACACTATGGCCAAGTGATTTGATCTGGTCAACGCGCCCTCGGGCTTGTTCATATGGGTCATACCGTGCTCGGATGGCACGCATAGATGTTGGTTCATAACCTGTGTATGACTGAGTTGAGTACTCGAAGTCTGAGTCCGGGCCACCGGGACAGTAGACACAGATGTTGCCTGTGTACGCAATGTGAGGGCAGCGATGCGGTTTGCACATTACTGCTACTACCGCAATACCTGATGATGTACCTAATATATGTCAATAACAACCAAGCGTATATGGGCACCGGGGCGGGTAACATACGAATCGGCTTTGCAATCAGCTTCGGTAAGATATATTTCTTATAATGTTCGGGCACCGCCGCAATAATCGCTGTAAGTGGCGGCTGACTTTTCAAGTAATGCTTCTTCGCGATCTGTCCTCTCAGACTATTCAAATTCAAGTCTTTCTTCGGCTTCGAGCCATCTGCTTGTCCTTCATAGTCCTGGATAAGCGCGGAGGCGATGTCTGCGCATGCGCGCATGTACCGCTCATTCTCCGGTGGCAATTTGACACTCTTCGGTAACCTCCTCTTGTGCGGTGTCTCTGTTATTGTAACGGTAGCCATGGTGGAATTTTGGTTTGTGTCGTTCCGTTTGTAGACGCCGGATCGTAGAGTTGAGGCTCTCAATAGTCACGGGTGAACTGGTGGAGTAGATTTTCAGACTGCGTTAAGCCTTTTTCGACTAGCGCTACTCGCTTCTTGTGATACATCCACCATCCAACGACTTTCTCGTCCATCTGCACTCTTTCCGTCAAATTTTTATGCAAATTAAATGGCATGATTGCTTCTATGTTTGAATTCTGAGATGAATATGATTGCTAAACCACTCAATGAGAAAGTCTACATCCAAAACTAAGCGGTTTCCCCACCACGAAAGCCTCCTTGTCGACCAACACCATCACTGCAACTAGTGGGTTCTTGAATCATCTCGCTACAGTGCTACACAGGCAGAAAGTTCGGAATCAATAGGACTCAAACGAAGCTGAAGTTCTGTTTTAGGGTCGCGTACTGCCCAGATGTGTACCACAGCCAAGCACGAACTTGACCAAATACAGCAATCGGTCAGAGTACATAATCTTCGGACTTGGGTACCATGGAGAGGGCTCAACCGGCGGCTTACTCTGATGCCTGATTCATTTACTAAAGTCAGCTTGGTCTACTACGACATTTCCAAGGACTTAGCTAGGCGTAAAACAAGGTAAGCTTATGGTGGCATCCATTGCTTCTTTCAAGCCTTATGCCTATTCTATGCCCTCAGTAGGGCTATAAGAATGGCCTGTCTTACATATAACTGTGGCGAAGTGACTAAGCCAGTTGCATTCAGAGGTATATTTGTATTCCAACGTTACCGTTGGTACCAATCAAGCGGTGGCTGGCTCCGACTATTGTTGGCACCAGCCATGCACTGTGTTATACAAAATCTTGGGGGCTTACAGGGCGAGGAGTATCGCAGACACGAACACATCGTGCTCAGAGCTGAGCTTGCCAAACTTCGAGTGCTGGCCGTTGTGCTACGCTCGGATATCGAAAGTTTTGACCGGATAGCCACGTACAACACCAGTGTAGATGCTATAAAGCGGATTAACAAGATCGCCATTAGAGCATCTATTTCCATCAACTACTCACTCGTCTTAAGTCATATCTTCCATTCGATACCTCTCTTCAAAGGCGCAAGCCAGCATACCATTCCAACTCTTCGATTACATTCTAACTTCACGACAACACAACAATGCTCGCCTCCTCCACCCTCACACTGCTCCTAGCAGCCATAGCGGGCATAATCCCCCTCACCGCCGCTCAACCCTCCTTATATCACCGCGCAGAACCCACCCCCTCAAATAGCACCTGTCCCGCCCAACAAACTCAACTCGAAACCTGCGTCGCAAGCTACCAACCCCAAGTCGACGCCTGCACCAACAACAACGCCGGCCCTGTCGACTACCCCTGCTTGTGCTCCGTCTACACGCAAAAACTCTCTTGCTTTGACATCTGCCCCAGCTCTCTCGACAAAGTGGATGTGCAGGACCAACTCGATGCGTACTGTGCTGCGGCCGCGGATCCCTGCCAAGCGGAATGCCTGAACGGGTTTCTGGGGCTGTTGGCACAGTGTGAGGGGGAAGAGGACAATGCGTGTATGTGCACGGCTTATTCGGATACGTTGGCGTGTTATGCAAAGTGTCCACTGAGCCCGCCGAATCCGGATGCAGAGGAGAGTCGCGAGCAGTTTTGTGCAAAGGCGAGTGCGAGTAGCTCGGTCCCGGCGGCGGCTACGAGTACGTCTGTTTCTGCGTGTGCTGCGCCGAGAGCTACGGTTACTACTACCGCTTACAATGCGTGATCTTCAGGAGCACCGCCGTTTGTACTTTTACCTTTTCGCGCATAATATCTATCAAACACTGGGACGGTGGTAGTTTGTGTACGTACTATCTTGCATAATGACCCTGGGTCTGATTTAATGAATCAATTGAATAGAATAGAATTTCATTGGGGAATTGGGTATCTTGTGTAGCTAAAGCAGCAATCAATCAGAAAGACGGACAAGCGAACAATCTATACGTCTTGTCGTTTTTCATGTGTTCGTAACATCGTCCAGGTATATGTTTTGCCCGACATAGCGGACACTGTACAAGGGGCTTTTCTTGGGGGTGGGGATGGACACTAGGAGATCCCAAAACGCCACGGTCGGTCTAAGTTATCGACCGTGGAGTCGAAACCAGAACTTTTCCGTCTCTTTTGGTTGCTTTATGCAACCTCCGTTATTTCCAGGTGGTGTTGAACGGCCTCGTATTAAGTAGTCTGAGTGGTATATACATTCGCGTCAAACCCGCGCTCACGGTATTGTAGGATCTCAGAAGAGGCCGATCCGAGGTCGCCAGTCGTTCTCGCTCACAGGTTTCGGATTGACGACGATCTGGTAAGGAAAAGGGTTTGCATCGGTCGTAGTGATGGGTGGTATATGGTCTTTGTCGCGGTTCACTATGGAAATGATCTTATGGGCAGCTTTCTCGAGGGATTTGGTCATGGCACGGCGGACTTTGAGGACGTCTAATCGTGCAGTTAGTACATGTTCTTGGTTCGACTCATACATGGTATTGCAGACATACCAGTTTCAGTCCGTGGTTGGGCGAGCGTGACGTCCAGCGTCCACTGCTCCCAACAGACATCCTCGTCTGCTTTGCTAAAGAAGTACGTCTTTCTCCTCTTCTTTTCGAAGAACTGCACGGCGATTTGTGCTCTTCCCCTAGGCTGGTGTGTGCTGTCTATCGCTCGAACCAGCGCAAAGGTCCTCTGCTCAATGAGCGTCTCGAGATCGACATCATCGATGGCCGGGAGTGTAAGGTCGAGCAGGTCGCGGGTAAGAGGAGATATGGAGGTGAAGTATCGATGGAAGAATATAGTGTGGAGTATGGCTAGAGCAGGGATTAGTTATGGGCTGAGCCAAGTTCGGGTCGAGGGGATGTGGATAGTAAGGGGGTAGCATGTTAGTGGGGGACAGCACGATGACGGAGTAAACCCACCCTTTACGACATCCTTGACACAGGCGGCATCCGCGAAGATGTCGATGTTGTACTCTGGCCGCCGTCTGGGCTCCATACTGGCATCTGCTGGCTGGGAAGCGCAACCGTGTCAGTGTCGTCGAGGAAGCCCCGCGATGCGCCACGCGGCGTCTTTGGTCCGTAGGATCGCAACAGGGCGAGGTCAGTCGGGTGACAAGGTGGAAGCGTCGGTCGCGATAGTAATTGCGCGTGCCTAAGTGGAGCGTTGTGGTGTCGTGTGGTTGTGGTCGAGGAATGCTGGGGAAATGCGGGAAGCTGAGAAATGGGTGTTGAAGTTGTTGGTTGCGGGGCTGTTGTGGCGGACGAAGGCCCGACGCAGCAGAGGAAATTGTCCAGGGCGGCCAGGCATGCAGGTGAGATCATCAAAGAAACTCGAGCGGCAGCAAACCACCGTCTAGCCTAGGCCTATCAGAGATGTCTCCATACAGGCTCCACGGGGCCCTAGCGCTATTCAATCCAACATGTCTCAGCCCCTTCGTTCATGACATGCGTCGTCCTCCGAGACATACTTCACCTGACGCTGTTCAGAGTGTCATCTGGCCTCGAGGCTGACAGCTGTTCACAAGACGACTTGGACGTATCGAGGCACCAAGTGTCCGCCTACCTACGGCCCGCGAACAGCCTTCTCAGCGGCATGCAGCACTAGTGTAGTCTTGGTCTCGCTGATTGTGCCAGGCGGCCATGCTATTTGAACATTTCATGCAACCTGGACCACCCGTTTGGCTTGAAACCGAGACTGATCCGTAGTGAGGAGTGAGATCGAGGACTGGCGCAACTTTTGGAGAGTAGCGGCAGGGCGAGCAACACTGGTAGTTGATAGCGTGAACAAATCTGTAAAGTGAAGACCAAGTTCTTTCAGCGGCCTAGGTTTCATGGTGGAGTCGGTTATTAATTTTCGCTTGTAGAGTGGTTCAGTCTGGATGGTAGCTTCAGCGTGGTACCTAAGTACCTAGGGCTCATTAATCCATAGAAGCTGGCCTACGACCGCGCTAAGCTTAACCCGTCCCGAACAGTCGCGTCAACCCCGTAGTCGCGCAATTGTCCACCACGCCCCCCAAGACATGGTCAGCACGAAGCGCAGACGCGATGACGATGATACAGACGAAGGAACCCCACGAAAGCTTCGCGCTCGAATTACCGAGGAACCTCCCGACGAGTACGAGCCCTTCGAGGCGCAAACGCCATCAAGAAAGGGCAGGGCCCAACAGCTGGCGGAGAACGGGACACCAAGGTCCATTTTGAAGAAGACTGGCTTGGCCAACGGTATCCATATCAACGGCACACCAAAATCCGCTCGAAAACTAGTCTTTGAGACGCCCACCAAACCGACCAAAGATGAGACGCCCGACGGCACCCCAACCATCGTTCGCAATGCGGATCGAAGCGCGCGAAGGAAGAGCAACAGACGAATACTAGAGCGCGCGTTGAATGGTGCAGAGAGCGAAGATGAAGCATTAGAAGAGGGCGACATACTAGCGGAGCAGATCCTGGCCGAAGAGGAAGAGGAAGAGGAAGATGAGGTGGTAGAGCAGGCACAACAAGCCGCTGCGCAAGAGCCTATACCAGTGCCAGAAACACCCACAAAGCGCGGACGAGGTCGACCGAAAGGCTCCGGAAAAGTCAAAAAGCCACGTTCCCCTACTCCTCCGACCGAGCTCCCACCGCACGAGGAGTACTTCTGGCAGAATCGCCCAGGCGGAACGAAAACGTCAAACAATACGCTATCTGCACAAAGCCTGCTCAATCACGACGAGTACTTCCAGGCCATGCAATCATATCGAGATCGCCATGAGCCTGAAATGCAGTTTTTATTGGAGCTACATAGTCGTGCATATGATCAGTGGATATTCGAGCTCGACGAAGGCTTCAACATCTGCCTCTACGGCTACGGCTCGAAGCGCACTATAACCGAAGACCTCACGGCGCGTCTCTACCATCATTTGCTAGAGCAGGTCCCATACACAGCGACGAAGAAGACACCCAGAATAGTGGTCATCAACGGCTATAGTGCTGGTACCACCATAAAGGACATACTCACGACTATAGCGTCGGCTGCTGTACCAACCAATGTCAAGATGCCCAACCAGCCAACCGCACTACTCGACTTTCTTCTCGAATACCTATCGAACAACCCGTCCTCGCATCCAGTTCCCGTCGTCATAAACTCTATCGACTCACCGTACCTTCGCAAATCTCCGAATCCCACAATGCTTGCGCGATTGGCATCGCATCCGTGCATCAATCTTATCTGTACTGCGGATACACCCAACTTTCCCCTGTTATGGGATGTCGGCCTAAAGACACAGTACAAGTTCTTGTTCCATGACACGACCACATTCGCACCCTACGACGCTGAAATAGACGCTGTGGAGACTGTGAACGACCTACTTGGCCGCAGCGGCCGACGCATGGGCGGCAGAGATGGAGTAGGCTTCGTTTTGCGCTCCTTGCCAGAAAATGCACGAGAACTCTTCCGCATCCTCGTCATGGAGCAGCTAACTCTCTCCTTTGTGGATGGCGGTGGACTTGGCGAAGACGAGGATATCCCAGCGACACCGCGGTCCAAGAAAGTCCCGCAAACGAAGCACGTTGTCTCGGAATCTAGCCAGGGCGTTGAGTACCGCGTTCTGTATCACAAAGCTGTCGAGGCGTTCGTCTGCTCGAGTGAAGTCGGTTTCAGAACGCTGCTCAAAGAATTTCACGATCATCAGATGATTGAGAGTCGGAAGGATGCGATGGGTACTGAAAGGCTGTGGGTGCCTTTCAGGCAGGAAGAGTTGGAAGGGCTGGCAGAGGATCTGGCCGGAGATGCATTTTGATTGGACATACTGGACATACACTTGTAATACAACTATGCAGTTTCTCCCTCGCTTTGTTCTTTGCAACCAAGTGTGTTGCAGACTCGTTCCTAGCGATGGTAAGAGGCAAGAGGTGGAAAGTGAAGCTAGTGTAGTTTGTGCTATGCTACTTATAAAATAAAACACTAGACAGATTTGGCACTTTAAGCCTGTCTACAACTAAAGCAGTCCAACATAAACACCTATCTTCTCAACACAGATATGCATGCAGTCCAATATCATAAATCCCTTAACGCCTAAATCTATGTTCTAGATCATCATTTTATATCGTAGATCATCACTCATTAGCCCGTTCTGCCCACTCAACCCACCGCTTAACCACCTCATCCACCCTCTTCACCCCGTCCTTCGTGGCCTCTACCTCAAACCATTCCCTATGCTCTTTCCCGCAAGCGTCGCACTTCTTCATCACCCGCTGCTCCCCGAGTTCAAGATGGATCAAGCGCTCCACACGATGCGCGTGCGGCACTTTCCGTACGCCTTCCGAGCCACGACGGAGCGGATCGGAAGGACGAGCATTCTGATACGACGGCTGTCGAGAGTGCGCGGGCGAAGCTTGTGGAGAAGGTGTTGGGGAGGGTGTCGAGGGGACGTAGGGGTAGTACCGCACGAGTGATACGCTGTATCCGCATTGACGCGTCCACTCGTTCATGCGGCGGTGCACGTTGTTGGCTCGGCCAATCTTCAACAGTATCGTGTCTTTTCCAGAGGCCGTGTTCGAGTCTCCAGAGCGCTGCCGAGTGGTGTTTGGGCGCGGTCGCTGTGGTTGCTTGACAGAGTACTGGCGTAGAACATCGGACGTCCGTCGCCCTTGGTCTGGTCGCGATGGCGGGGTGAGAAGCGTGGACGCGGTCGATGACGGCGCGGGACCAAGAGAGTCTGGTGTGAGCCAGAAGATGTAGATATAGCCCTCGTCGTCGTGGGGAGATATGGGTTTCGAAAGCTCGGCCAGTAGCGTAGAGGTCAGTTGCGGCGACAGCGTTTGCGGGATATACCTCAACAGGCTCGTCGTGTCTGAGTCTTGCCTTGAGGTTTTGTTGAGCGGCCGCGATGCCTTCTCTCCGAGAGGCTTGCGTACAGGCACGCTACTCGACAGCTGAGAAGCAGAAGGCGGCCGTGAAGACTGCGCACTTGGGCGTCTCGAGTGCTGCTGCACTCGTGGCGGAGTTGGCGACATCTGCTGCATTGGTGTCTCTGGCGCATACTGTGCTGTCACTGGGGCTTCGCTCGTCCGTTTCTTGTGCCGGATGACCTCGACATCATCGTCCGCAGAGCCACAGCACAAAGACTGCCAAAAGCTGGGCTTCTTCGTCGGCGGTGATGGCTTTGGGGGGCGGTGGTCCCTTCGCCTCTTCTCTGCCATCACGTCGCTGGGAACCGACATCAATGGTCCTTCGACATGGTCCCAGGTAGGTGGCCGATTGATTCTCCGTGGTGGTCGGGCCCCCGATGTTGTCCCCTGCTTGCTGTCCCTTCTCTTGCGCCGAGGTGCCTCTTCGGGCTCTTCCACCTCAAGCACGCCCAGTCGCTCGACCAAGGTGTCGATACTGTTCCTCTCTTTCAGCGGATACAGCTGCGTTGCCGGACCACTTGAAGCCTGCGCGGCCAATTGTTCTGCCTGGTCTTTGTGCTGCCAGCAAAAGTACGCGGCGGCACCGATATCGTCGTCGTCGCTGTCGCTACAAACTGACACGACCGCAATCACGCCGTCATCTTGCGATGCTTTAGCATCAATGGCGCGTCTACACGGCCGACCAGACTTGGTAATGCCCTTGCACGTGGTCGCTGGATTCCTCGAGTCCGAGCGGGGAATGAGAGACTCTGGCGTGCGTCCGGTAAAAGCCATGATGGGTTGAGCCCGTGGTGCTACAGTTTAGCAGATGATACAATTACAGAAATCTTTGAGAAGAATCAGTCGAGGACTGGCCCCGTTGCCCGCGTGGATGAATTGCATTCACAGCCTCATTACATGCAACAAGCTGGAGCGAAGGCTGCGCTCTAGTAGCACAGTGCACTGCGGAGTCGTGGCAAACAGGAACATGCGGTGTGAAGCCCGGCACACGAAGGGCTGTGGACATTATGACTAGGCGGCCACGCGACGTGGGCGTGTATCCAAAAAGAGATGGCGGGACAATCGCGAGGCAGGCGCGTGGCACAGGCGTGGCGGTGCAGCTGCGCCTCGGATGTTGAGACAACAAGTAAAGGCGAGATGCGAAAAAGAGTTGCATCGACCACAGCCGCATTCATTACTCCATATTAACTGACTAGTAAGAAGCCGTCCTACGCATCAACCATCTATCACTATGCAGCCGAAGGAAAGCAAAAAAAGGCCAAAACACGCGACAAAAAGATCGCAAAAAAAGCAAAAAGAACGAATGCATCGGCCGGGAATCGAACCCGGGGCTAGCCGAAGTTGCTCTGCGAGGAGTGGCAACGGCTAATTTTACCACTAAACCACCGATGCTGAACCACAAGCCCGTATTATTGAACTCGATCATTTGATGAAAAACGGTAATTTTGATGAGATATATTCTCAGCGCCGCACCCTAATGGAATTCAACGAGTTGCACTTGTCTACAATAAAACTTCAATCTCTTTCATTACGTTACAGCAAAGATAGGCTTTTGAGTGCAACTATCGTCTTTTACGTTATAGATTTAGTTTCCAGTTTGCTATCCTCCGGTCGGAGACAGCCTAAATCGTAAGTCCGTCCGCCAATAGCGCCGAATGTTAGCAGCTGAAACCAAACTAATCACCAACCTATTTGAGAAAATCTAAGAATGAATACACACGCTACGCACTTTTCGCCGTTCAATTTACCTTGTGTTTTGGATGGGTCTGTAAGGTTGATCTTAGTATATTACGGGCTTTTGCTGGCGCGCGTGTAGTAGTCCCTTCTGATAGGATGCAATTGCAAGTATAGTACTTCGTTCACGAGGGTTGTGAAGTACCGCATGTTGGCGCAGACGAGCGAAAATGCTGGGTTAGGTACAAGGGGATAGATAGCTAAGTCAGCCAAAAAGACAGAGTATTCTAAGGCGGAAATTCGACAAGCTATAGCGTAGCGAGAGTTTTCAATCTAGATAATTGGCCTCTTGATAATATACGTCTGAGCAGGAGGTGTTGGGGTTACCCCTGTTATTTTCGCTCGTATGTGAAGACATGCGGTAGGCTGCTGGCATTGGGGCGTAGTTGATTACGCAAAACGCGTTGCTAGCTTACGAATAGAACAAGTTATGGTAGACTTGGCTGCAATCGGCATTTACTTCTTCCGTTCTGGCAAACTTACCGGCCCTATGCTCTTTCTTCCCTTTGATCTTGCCTTTGATGGGCACATGCTAGGAACAGTCCAGCATTACAAGCAAGTTAAGTACCAATTCAGTCTTCGGGGTTTTCCTGACTACAATGTCGCGAAATGTCGTGAAGAAGCGAGACTTGAGTCACCTTACTCAGGAGGAAATCGAGAAGCATGCATCCCAAGGTACATCCACAAATCATCTACACGATCCAGGTTCCCGCTCACGTAAATCAGGGATTACCATACTTTACGATTTTGGTGAATCTACTATTAAGCGCTACTCGGACAATACTGTCGTCAAATCTGGCGAGACGAATCGACAAAAAATCCGAGGCTGCCGCACTACGTCTTGCCACGCGACTTGGCCTACCCACTCCCCGTTTGCATGAGATCAAACAAAGCAGTTGTGATGGAAACGATGAATCTACAATAAGGATAGATTTCATCGAAGGCCAAACTCTGGAGTCGGTCTGGCCCACCCTCTCTGTAGAAGAGAAGCGCGACATCTGCCGACAGCTACGTGCAATCCTGGATACGATGCGCAAGGCCGAATGGTCCGCTACGCTTATTGGCTCATGTGATGGAGGCCGTGTACTAGATGCTCGGCTTTATGGCGTCAAAACCGGAGGTCCATTCAGCAATGAAGAGGATCTTAACAAATTCATTCTGGACATTCGCGATATGACGCTACAGCCAATGCGGGATGCTCTTGTGAAACACCAGCGAAAAGACCACCGCATCGTATTTACACATGGAGACTTGCATCAAGATAACATCATGGTTAAAGACGGGAAAATCACGGGTCTAATAGACTGGGAACTAGCTGGTTGGTATCCGGAGTACTGGGATTATGTTAAGTTTTGTTATTCGAGCGGGGCACACCGAGATTGGATGGATTACACAAAAGATATATTCTCTCAGTCATATGAAGAGGAGCTCTTATTCCACTTGGCGCTCTCTCGTTTTCAGCGAGGATAGATTATAACGACGATCTCCTTTTTCAGATAATATCTTAACAATGTAGTTCAATGTAGTTCATCTGAGACGGTTACCTCCTGCCGCTAGACTTTGCCTGCCATTATCTTATCCCAAGATTGAACAAAGGCCCCAAAAAGAAAGCTCTTCTCACTTGCAGCCCTGAAACCCGCATCTAATTCTACAAATGGAAGAAATGGCCGCCCTGGGGTTTGTAGGTTCTCCTCTACTTTTCGCCGGCGCTGTTGCGTGCCGTTTGGCTGTGGATTATCGACTTGCGGAAACAGGACCTTCATGGTTTTTATCATGTCCTCGGCAGTCTCGCAATCATCCCGCACCGGATAGCCATGTGCTTTTGTCTCTCCTGCGGTCGTTGTCTTGTCTTCCCCCCCAGAACCACCATGTCCCGCGCCCTTTGTCATAGTGAATTTCTGTACGTGCGTGCATTAGCTCTATACTAGAACAGACGCAAACATAGAACATTTACCTAGATGAGAAGGCTTAGCAACAAAGTGATATCAAAGCGGGTTGAGATTGACATGCACGGATACGTAAGTAGGGTAAGACGTTAGCGGCACAGGCGAACCAAGCCTCCGATGTAGGCATCAACCTCAAGGTTGTGGATCCACACCACGCTGCTTTTATTAGATAACAAGTCGCTACGGCAGATGTATCATACTGAAGCTCAAATTGAGCTCGCGATTGGCACCCTAGATCAGGCAGGTTTTGCACCTATGCCTTTTATAATTCATGGAGCCGCCTAGGTTATCCTGAACGCGCCTATAAGAGGATTATTGATTCTTCTAGCTAGGATAGGTTGCATTCGAGACGGAGCGACTGAAGGATCCCGGGGTAAAAAATATTGTTTGATGGGGGTTTCACCAAGTAACGGGTGTACATCGTAACAGGGAGGGCTCAAGATTGCGAAGGGACTCAAAGTCAGGCATGGAGTCTCTTCGTGGGGATTGTTGGTATGCCCACTGCCTCTGATATAGTACGTGGGGAACTCGAGGAAGCAGGAAATGCGCTCGTAAGTAAGGATATCATCTTCGCGTACTCACTCGCAGTTGTGGAGTTCAAAGGGTTCTGGCAGAAGAAGCTGCAAATAACGCCATACTCTTCAGGGGCTTTCTTGTAAAGGTTCATGGTTTAACCAGTAGTCGTAATGTCATCACAGGTTTAGCCGCGGGAAACTTCCGCTGCGGGGCCATTCCGCGCCTAGGCACACCTGCGAGATAACAAAAGATATCGAGTAGATGCCATTCGTCCACGGGTGTTTGTGTACTTGTTGGCGACGCTTGTGACGAACACTGTGACAGGCCGCTTACTACATTCGGCAGGTCCAAGCGGCCCCCTGTGTCTCTTCACAGTTGCACCTACACGTAGGCAAGCTCAAATACTAGATAACATGGTTTGCTCCACTGTTCGGAACCATCTCCACACCTCCCCTGTCTTTGGTGTCGATGGAATAATCGCTGCAGAGGAGTTTAACTGTATACAGAAGCCACCGGTCCATTCTCGGCACATTGCAGTCAAGTGACCCACTTCACTAGAGCCCTGCAATTGTAAGCCTCCATTTCTATTCTATCATAATGCGGAAACGGAACCTACACCGGGGCCCTCGTCTCGGTCCCAAGCCGCACATCAGGCCCTAGCGCTTTGCTTGTTCACACATAACATCGACAATCTTCTTGCAAGATTACGCCCCGGACTAATCTTGAGATAAAGAACCTAGACAAGAAGGGCTCAATCCCCCCGGTCTCTTGATACCTGATACATGCACTCATAGTCAACCATGGCTCCTCACCCCTTCAAGATCCTCAGTATCGAGGAAACCACCATCACCCGCGATGTCATCCTCTCCTTACACCCAGATGTCGTTGTAGACTTCCGCGAGATCTTCCTACAGGAGCCAGAGAAAGAGCTAATGAAGCAATATCTCGATGTCGAGCACGCAGCAGAGACTGGACAGTCACAAACTTCAAAACGACCACCTCGACTAGCCAAGTGCCAGTACGACGTTGTTGGATCCGACAGGATTCCTGAGTACCACGAGTCAGTCATTGACGTTGAACAGAAGAAGAGAGTCCGGCATGAGGTCGTGGGTAAAGAGAAGCAGGCGAGCTTGACGCTCTGGGAGTTCCAGCATCTGCTTGCTGCGTGTAAGAAAAGTGAGATGTTCCAGAAAGCAATCGCCGAGTTCAAGCTGCCAGAGGGATTTGAGCTTGTCGTTGAGCCATGGTAAGTAGTATGTTCATCATCCGTTGGCGAGATGTTAACAGGAGACAGGCCTTATGGCGGGCTCGACATTGGTGCTGAGAGCCGAAGATACTTCCAAGGACTATGCTTTGCGCAGGACACAAGAAATGAGAATGCCGACTCTAACTTTTACGCATATCCACTTCCGCTTATCCCCGTCATGGATGCACATACGAGGGAGATTGTTCGTATCGATCGCTTGGCAACAGGCGGGAAGGGTGACAGTCTGACCGGCCAGACTCACTCTGAGCGGATTCTTGATCATTGTCAGTCGGCTGAGTACGTTCCCGAATTGGTGCCTGGTGGCACAAGGCAGGACGTCAAGCCCATCAATATAACCCAGCCAGAAGGTCCTTCGTTCAGCGTTACGGACGAATCGTTAGTCGAGTGGCAGAAGTGGAGTTTCCGAGTTTCATTCAATCCACGCGAAGGCGCTGTCTTACACGACGTTCACTACGATGGGCGGAGCATTCTCTACCGTATGAGCATCAGCGAGATGTCGGTTCCATATGCTGACGCACGGCCACCCTTCCATCGCAAGCAAGCCTTCGACTTCGGTGACGGAGGTGCAGGAAATTGCGCTAACAACCTTTCGCTTGGCTGTGACTGTCTTGGTGTAATCAAATACTTCGATGCAGTCATTGTGAGTTCAGACGGCGAGCCCAAGGTGCATCCCAATGTTGTTTGTCTGCATGAGCAGGATAATGGTATTGGCTGGAAGCACACAAACTGGAGAACGGGCCGCGCAGTTGCCACTCGCATGCGCGAGCTTGTCGTTCAGTTTATCATCACGCTCGCAAACTACGAGTATGTATTCGCGTACAAGCTCGACACAGCTGGTGGCATCACGCTTGAAGTCCGAGCCACAGGTATCGTCTCAGTGGTCAACATTGACCCTGGTAAGACGTCGGATTATGGAAACGTCGTCTCGGGTGGTGTCCTTGCACAGAACCATCAACACATCTTCGCTGCTCGTAAGTCTCATTACCTTCTCAATGCTACTCTTTTGACACTATCAACAGGCATCGACCCCGCCATCGACGGACACAAAAATACAGTAGTTTACGAGGAATCCCACACTGCACAATGGAATAAAGTAACTAACCCCAACGGCAACCTATATGAGATCCGCAAAACCGTCGTCGAAAAATCAAGTGGTGTAGACGCGAACCCATTCGACCACCGCGTCTTCAAGATCATCAATTCCTCGAAGAAGAACCAAACAAGTGGCAATCCAGTTGGCTACAAGTTTACTCCGCTGCCGACGCAGAAGTTGCTTGCAAGCCCAGGAAGTATTCAGGCGCAACGAGCACTGTTTACAAACCATCATGTCTGGGTAACCAAGTACCAGGACGATGAATTGTATGCTGCCGGACGGTTCACGTTGCAGAGCCAACTTGAGCAGGGCGGTGTGCATGACATGGCTGCAAGGAAGGACGATGTCGCTGACGAAGACTTGGTGGTCTGGAATGTATTCGGGCTGACGCACAACCCGCGGTAAGCTGGTTTCTCTCGTGCTTGGATGAGCAAATCAAGGCTAATCATGAACAGAGTTGAAGACTGGCCGGTCATGCCGGTGGAAATTTACCAGCTACACTACAAGCCGAGCGACTTCTTTGACCGCAATCCGGCAATCGATGTACCGAGCACAAAGAACAACGCTTCAGTGCTGGTTGGCAAAGATTGCTGCTCTGGGACGGAGAAGGCTTGACGGTGCTAGTGAACAGACTCCGATTCTAGTGTGGATGTATGACGTACAAAGTTTTTCACGAATGCTTTCGACGGAAAACCTAGTTTCAATCCATATTTTGGTCAATTTCTATTCACAAAATCCAAAATAGAGCCAAGCTCTGAAACGCTATAAGATATCATAAGCTCATATAAGTCAAATGGAATTCTTTCAGCTATTCCCTATGTACTCGGCTTTGCTGATATGCGCCTGCAAGTCTAGGCCATGAGTATACCATGCGTGTCCTGGAGTGGGTCTAGATAGCTTGAGAATACACACACTTATCTGTTTAGGAAATATGTTCAGTAAGCGATAAGATACTTAGATATCCGTGAGGCTTGAACTCCATATTAATCAGCGGTCTTCAAACAGTCTTAGCTTAGGACTAGACTCTGAGCACGATCCTCGCACGTCAGCAATCTCACCAACTATTTCCATTTGAGAATCTGCAATAAAGCCAGATTTATTGGGTGGAACCGATCCATTTCCAAGTTCAGCTCCATTTCTAGCATGATCAATCTAGTCACGCAGGGAAGCCGAGTGCTCCCGCAGCAAAGAACGAAGTTTTTTGAACCTCATAACTCAAACAAGTAAGAGAAGTGATTACCTAATTTAGGTAGTACCTTGTTGAAACGGATTAGTTTTACTCCGCCAACGTCAGCACGATAAGCTTTGACATAAGCTTTTCAGCTCAGAATCCTGGTATGGCGTCCCGCACTTGGCCCGTACGACTGCGTCTACATTTTTCCCGATCGAGGAAGTGTCCGGTAGATTCTAGTAGTGCATCATTTCTGATGCAACTAGTTTCTCAAATCTACACCAAGAACTGTTTAGCGGCTTAGCTCTTATTTGGATAAAATCCCAAATCGACAAAATGCCAGGAATAGTTCCCCCATAGCCTGCTTATCCACCATGTGTTAGTTCGAGTCACTTGGTGCGATGAGAGGGTACAAATACAGGCCCGAATCCGAACAGTCAAAGCAACACGCAGCTTAACGACACCCTCACTTTCTCTCCACATGTTTTCCTCATCCATCACCATGTCCAAACTCGCTGTGATTCTTGGCCTTCTGGGAGTCACTACCGTTTATGCTAATAACGGCATCCCGGAGCATTATTTCACAGATAATCAAGGCATCGACGCCGCCCAAGCCGGTTCTCCGTAAGTCCCCCTACCTCACTCCGTCAATTTTTGAATCATTATTCTAATACTTAGGCGCAGCATGTGGCACATGGCCAGTGGATCTTGCCTTCCAAGCGCTGCAGAAGATGGCCAAGGACACCAAACCAACGGCGTTGACCCGGGATCCGGGGACTGCGCCGTCGGGGCATATCTAGGCCATGGCTGCCCAGGAGACTCGACCTGGCGTGGTAGTAACAACGTCTGGTACCATGACGCGCCCGGCGAGCCCTTCTACGATATCCCCACTTACTTCACGACCCGGAAGTGCGGCGACAGAGATTGGGTGAGTCTGAAAGTACATAGAGCACGCCACCTAGCTGGGGTTTCTTCAACACAACTCATAAACCGCGGCTAGCTATGATGAACTTTGTACTACTCCTCCCCTTTAAGGATAGTTTGCTAATTGTAATCCCTCTGTGGTTAGCGCATTTACTACGGTGTCTACTTCAAAAAGGATGTTGGACATAAGTCCGACTGGGAATGGGCAGTGATGAAATGGACCCCGGATGGCCCTGGAGGCAGCTGGGTGCGAAACAGCGTTGTCCTGCAGGTGGACAAAACATGGGGAGGTGGCAATTACGGTGACATCCCCAACACCTTTGACCGCTCAGGCGACCAGTTCCAAGACGGCAACAGGAACCGCGACCACCCGAAGTTCTACTTCGGCAAACACCACCACGCGGTGCACTGGGATATGTCTGGCAATTTCAAGAGCACATGCCCGGGACTAGGAACAGACGATTTCAGGTCAAATGACTTCCAGTTCTGGGCGCATTCGGATTTGAGACATATCAACTTCATTGGCTCAGACTGGAATTATGGCCAGGCGACTAATCCTCATGCTGTCGACCTCTGCGATGGACATGGCAAAATCTAAAATGACGTGCTCCCGTGTGCACTATGGTGTAAAAAGGATGTTTAGAATGGTAGAGAGAGGGCTCTATTTGAAAGTAGGGCCCATATGCGTTGTTTTTGTTCGCTCCTTTATCCCTTTTGCACTGTCCGTTTTTTCTTATTCACTCCTTTATATTCTTCACCGTCACTCGCTACTAGTTGCTGCAGCAGCTTTTCATTAAAATTTATGCACGAATGTACTTAAACTAGAAGAAATATTAGTTTATCCATAGAAATGGGCCCCATATGATCACCTCCGTTGGAACAGTGTATGCTTGGTACATTTAACAATATTTCCACGCTTAAGGTAAACCTGCAGATTAGTAGCAGCTACATCGGCTTCACGATATGACAATGTGTTCATATTACATCCTTGAGATTACACAATTAAATTACCGTGGAACATCTACTTCACTTCTCCTAAGTTTGCATATAATGAATCCGCTAGTCATGAATATGTATAAGAATCATTGAATCCCAAGCCAAAAAGAATCAAAAGATGTTCAAGTTTGCTGGAGATTCATACGCGCGGAAAACAAGATCAATCCACACTCAAGCCCTCGCATGACCTCCAACAGTAGCAGCAATAATGCCCCCAACCGCCGCGCTAATGCCAATCTGCTGAGTAGTATTCGACCTACCAACCCTCCACTTATCGCTCGAACGCGGCTTAGTCACCATATCCGGCTCAGCAATACCCATATGTCCCGGCGGCGCATCGACACGCTGTCCGTACTGCACACGCCGATGGCCAACTTCCTCCAGCACCACGTCAAACTCACCATGGTGTGCTTTTGTCCTCTCCGGCGCAAGGATGGGCGCTCCGAACGCGTGGGAGATTTCGAGTGGGCCGAGCGTCACTTTGCGCCCGAGTTGCCAGAAGCCCCAATAGACGGGCAGCACGAGGAGTAGAGTGATAAAGGTTGCGGCGAGGGCGCCGGCAACGTATGCGAACGAGGTAACGTACTCTTCGACGATGCCGGTGACTGAGGTTAGTATTGCTTGACTTGACATGCCTGCTTCGGCGCGTTTCTTGACGTCGATGGCAGGGGCGCCCTTGAGGTATAGGCCGGCCACGAAGCTGAGCGTGTTGATTTTGCGAAGTAGTTCGACGGCTGGGTCGTCTTTGCCGGCCTTATCAATGTCGTACCAGCAGCGGCTAAAGTCTTCCGTGTCCGTGTCCGCGAAGAAGGTAGTTTGCGCTGATGCACCGCGGGCTTCAATATCCCAATCGTTCTCGTATGTTAGATTGGCGGAAGAGCTGTAGAGATTGTTCATGACGTAGGTTAGGGCGCCAATTGTCGATGTCTCGCCGAAATGCTCATCGAGGTCGACGTACTCCAGAACTTTCAAGGAATCGATCTGTTCGTGCTCGTTGAGTGGGGAGCTAATGGGCCAGTACGTTTTGTCATCAAAGAACTTGATATGGGTGACGATATTTTTGCCGCGTAGTTCCTCTTCGCTGGGCATCATGACAGTGACTGGATACTGGACAACTGCAGGGCGGATCTCACACGACCGCCGAGTTATAGTGCCAGGACACGACCCGCTCGCTGTGCTAGCATGGCTGTCAACATATAGCATATCTAGCAAGATGCTAGCATATGGCTTAGTGTCGCTGGCCCAGGAAGAGTTGAAGCTAATGTCCCACAAAGGATAAGATGCTAAAATGCCGCCTTGCTGACTCTGGCGTTGGAGCCCGTAGTCTACGATTTCAACTGATGTTGAGCAATTGAAGGCAAACCCCAAGCCCTTGAGAGCGCCGCTGCATTCCTGTCGGAACGGGCACCCGAAGAAGGATGCGTTGCCTTCAAGGGAGTCATGCACCTTGCCATTTGCGATCTTCCCGTTGTATGCATCAATAACACTTGCCCATGCCGCGTCAATGGTCTTGATATTGCCTTCATCTCCGGGTACACCGCCGCTGTTTGATATCCAATCTGTCTCGATCCAACCGGTCATGGAGGCATTGGCATAAGCAACCTGCTGGGTAATGATTGTCTTTGTTGCCTTCTGGAAAAGCGTACTGTCGATGATAGCGAATTTGGTCATGAGTGCGGCGAGCGCGATGAGGTTGAAGTGCTTTCCCGAGGTGATGATGGCGTAAAAGCTGTGAGAGTACGCGTGGTTCTGGTGTAGTGTCTTCAACGAACTCCCACGAAGAGCCTTCCTCCACCAAGCGATAGCGAGACCTTGAGCAATTAGGGTGATCAACCCGAGATTCTGGACTTGGTTTGCAATGTTGAGAAGTACATTGGGCTGGGTAGGAAATCTCTCGATAGGCCAGTCTTTGACTCGTTTACGATCTGATTGGACTAGAATCGCGACTGCCATAGCCGTGGCCAGTATAACCGTCAACAGACCAGCAAAGCCAACCCACGGAAACCGATGCTTGAAGCCAGGCTTCCAATCGATGCCATCATCGGGCCCAACTTCGTATGCGTTCTCGTAATCCGCGTTGCGAAGCGTTCCTTTTACTTTGGTGACTGCATCGACCTCAACGACCAGATGGCCTTTGGATGATTTCGGTGAGTCCCTCCAGCTGTTCCGGTGAATGTCAACCTCATTGTTGACAACAGTCGGGGTCTGGGACATGGGCCTAATGTCGTTGTTCATATTGGTCGACGGTTTGAATGGTTTAAGTGGAAGGTGACAATCCGAAGACAATAGACATTCAAAGATAGTGTCTTTTGACTGGCAGTATAGGCCTAGGGGGGGGGGAAGAAAGGGTTCAACCCGGAAGAGATTCGTATCGCGTGCTCCTGGACTGCGATTATAGATATGTGTCAGCACAGACCTAGATATCAGCTAGCCTGAAGTCCACATGGCAACTTGATTATTGCGGGGCTGAAGCAAAAGCATGAAGCATGCAAAGGAAGCATGCTAGCGTTGGTGATGATTGGTAGTGTCTATGTGTAAGCGAACCTGGGACTCAGCCGCAGCGCCTTTCCACATAAGCTTTTTATCTTTTCTCAGCTCGTCTTGATGGCAACGGCGGGGTTGTCCAATCGCAGGCACCGCCAGAACGGGCCTTCTTGAAGCCACCGCAGCTCTAAACAGCTGAAGAGGTAATGCATCCTGCGTAAAAGTTGATCAATCGCTTGAAACAATGTGATCCTAGCTCTATCAATTCGACGCATCTAGCCAAGCCTCCTGTTGTCGAACAACGATAACTGCGTCTAGACCCGTACCGTGGCTAGAGAATCCTCATGGAACGGCGAATTGCTCTTTCGCCAATCTCGGTGAACCCGGATATTATCTTACATCTGCTTAACACTTTGTCACGAAATAGACCGCAACCAAGTACTACTGGTGACGTTCCTAAGCGTGTTGGAAGGCAGCAGCCTTAGATATTTGCTTATGCCGATAGTTTTCGTGGCCTCCTTCTCCATTCGTGATTCTGCTATCTTCTTGAATCACTGTTGTTTGCTTCCTGTCTTCGCGAAACCACGACACATGGGGACCACCCACTTTCAATCGTTGTCTTGTTCTTCTTCTAGGTCTTGCTCCTCCTTGACTTCATCCTGGCCTGCTTGATCTTCTGGAGGCATCGTAACGGGGAAGGAGAGGTGCTTCCAGTCTTCAATCTATGATGGGTCAGTCAGTCACCAGCCTGAAAACCGAACTACTTCGTGTTATAATACGAGTTGTCGCATACCTCTTCAGTGATACTCTTTAACCGGTCCCTGATGCTCTCTACAGCGTAACTCCCTAGGATCAGCCTCAACGGCGGATAACTGCAATGGCCCAACTGCCACACCAACTCGGCGCTTTTCACGGCGCTCACTGGTTGCCTGTCGTTGAGCCACTGTACCATTCTCCGCGCGTGTTGCGCAGGGCTCGTCAATGCTGCATACGGCTCGCTAGGGTTCGGTTTCACGAAGAAGTGCCCATATCGCTTCGGCTTGGGGGGCCCTACTCCAGGCGCGGGCGCGGAAGTGTAGCTGACGGGGATGATGTTGTCATCGGGTTCGTCTAAGCGGACGTGCCCGGGCTCCACCAGGGTCGCTTTGATGTTGAAGACGTCAATCTCGTACAACATGGACTCTATGAGGCCCTCAACGGCATATTTGGTTGCGCAGTATGGACCTAATCCTGGGACACCAAGGGCTCCCGCCGTGGACGAGAATATCAGGTAACGACCGTAGTTCTGGGCGCGAAAATATGGGAGGGACAATTGTATGATGTGCAAAGTACCGAGAAAGTTGGTAGTGAATTGGTTGCGAAGGTCGTACTCGTCTTGGTCCTCGCATGCTGCTATAACGCCGTACCCAGTACTGTTTGCGATGATGTCTACCCGGCCCCAGTACTCAATGCTTTTCTTGATTACGTGGTCCACGGTTTCCCTGACTCTTACGTCGCACAAAAGGCCCAAGCAGTTCCTATCTTGCCATTTATCCATCTGCTTGGGGGTATTTTCCTGTGTCCATCCGACTGCCGTACATTGGTCACCGTGTGCTAGGATAGCTCGAACGAGGGATCGTCCCATATGGCCGGTGGCTCCAAAGACCTATAGAAGAGTCAGTCAGCCATTGTGTGATTCAGCTTCAATGGTGGTGCATACGATCCATACTGCTCGCGTCGGTGGACGGTGTTCGGACGGTGGATTACAAGTCGCGGGGAGTCTAAGGCTAGGATTTTGAGTGGCAGCGCCTGGCGAAAGGCTCTGGCTCTGGCTCGCAGTATCAAAATCCATAGCAAGATAGAGGAAGCCAGATGTCGACCTGAAGTGTTCCTGGATGCGGGGACACGGGAGCTGTACCAGCCAATCGGAGACGTTGAAAGGTGCGGCAGTTGCAATTGCCGTAAAGTCCGCCTGCGTCAACAAAGCAAAGAATAGCCGCGGTGAAGTGAAAGAAGGGTGCGGTATTGACGTAATCTCTGTGCATGAATCTGTGCACGGAATAAGTCTGGCGTGGGTGGTAGTTATGGGCGCTTCTAGCTGTCAAGGCAGGAGGAACCTTCTTTCGTCGAGCAGAAACTGAATCCCGTCCAGGAGCAGCTGGCTTGGAAACGCCTGGTGCCGGTTCATAAAGTTGCTGACGAGTATAAAGAACATGATGAAGATGTCCAGGTGCGGAGGTGAGCTAAGGAAGAAGTGGTCTAAATGTCGGCGTACGACGTAGTCAGTGCATGTCTCACATTCAGCAGCTCATACTTGGAGTTACATACAGGCCAGAAAGAGAAACGCTTGAGTGCGGTACCTGCTCTTGATGGACCGGATGACTCGCGATGCTTTGGCGGCGTTTGCATGATTTGTAGGGACTTTGAACCTAATGGCTCTAGAACGGGCTGCCATTAGTAGCGAACCTTGGGGGGCGTGATGTTCAATGTTTGGCCTGACCCGGGGTAAGGTACTGGAGAAGGGTGGAGTGGCCACAGCCTTATCGATAGCTCCATCCTTTTGCATCCCTGTAGCTTTCACGCTCCACAACAACCTTGTTTGGTCAATCTACGACAGCATCGTCCTCTGACACAAGATGAATTTGCGCAGCCGATAGCAGCAATCACACACACAGCCATGGCCAAACCAGTTCCATCGCCGACACCACAGCCGGTGGATCAAGGTGGCTCATCGTATGGATCATCCTCCCTCGTCCCCTCACAGAACCCCACTAAACATTTCCTAGGCTCTCCTTCACACAAGGCTTCCTTCTCGGCCAACTCTCTATCGCCCTTCTGATCTTCTTCTTCATAAAGTTCTTCATCTTCGGCGAACCGCCATCCGCTGACGACCGCTCGCTGCACCTCAATTCGCTCCGCCGCGCACGAACCCTCGCCCACCAGCAGTCCATCACATCATTGAAGACGCGCGCAAACTCGACATCCCTCTCCTTGCGACACCAGCCCTCGCGGAGCATTATAAGGAAAGGCGAGGAGAGTAGAGGCGGCCCCAGCATTGCGACGATTCTGGCCAAGACGTATTACAATGTCAAGGGCCATCAGCCAGAAAGCTTGGATTGGTTCAATGTACTCATTGCGCAGACGATTGCGCAATTGAGGGCGGATGCGAGACAGGATGGCGCAGTCCTCACATCACTGACCGAGGTGCTGAACTCGGGGAGCAAACCAGACTGGATTGGAGAGATTCGCGTCACAGAGATTGCCTTGGGCGACGAGTTCCCCATCTTCAGCAACTGCAGAGTGATGCCTGCCGAGGATGGCTTTTGGTATGGACCAGGAGGCACGGGGAATGAGGAGGGACGACTGCAGGCGAGGATAGATGTCGATTTGAACGATGTGATTACAATTGGTGTGGAGACGACCCTCAACTTGAACTGGCCGAAGCCCATGTCTGCTGTCCTGCCTGTCACGCTCGTAGTGAGCATCGTCCGCTTCTCAGGAACATTGGCTGTATCCTTCATACCTTCTTCCTCCCCGCAAGCGGCCGCTACATCGCCAACATCAAATACGAGCCCAAGCTCCGATCCAGATCGCCCCACCTCATCCTCATCCAACGCGCCTCCTCATCGACCAACCACGCTAGCCTTTACATTTTTAGACGATTACCGACTCGATCTCACCGTCCGCTCCCTCGTCGGCTCGCGTTCCCGCCTCGAAGATGTGCCCAAGATTGCACAGCTCATCGAGTCCCGCGTACACGCCTGGTTCGACGAGCGCGCCGTGGAGCCACGCTTCCAACAAATTGTCCTCCCTTCGTTATGGCCTCGCAAACACAACACCAGAGGCGGAGCTACAGACGACGCAGACGTTGCAGTAGAAGATGATGGCTTTGATGTCGGAGACGCCATACAACCAGGAGGCGTGGGTGCAAGAGCGGAACCAACATCCTTCATACCCACGTCGGCAACGGCCTCGACGCTCGAAGCGCGCATAGAAGCCGAGGGTGCACTTTTACGCGAAGCAGAGGTCAAAGCTGGGGAGCGGCGACCCGGTGCCTTGGGCTTAGCACAAGAGCGGACCAACAGTAGAAATGACAGCATGGAAGGCATGCGGCGGAGAGGCGACCAGAGAGGCGACCAGAGAGGCAGACCAGCAGAGCAAACTAGACCGCGGCTCACGAGTAGAATCAGCGGAGGATTGCCTGGGGCCATGCCGGGTGCCATGCCACGATGATGATAGATAACGTTCCACATGCCCTTGTATATAAGTGTACAATATAGGCCCACCAGCGGCATTCTCTCTTGCATAGCATATACGAAAAGACCACTCAAGTTGCGATCAGACACTCTCACACTTTAGCACATACAATATTTCTTCGATTGATGGCACTCGGTAGCTAAGACAACCTAAAACCCCACACTGACAAGCCCATAACCTACCTCGAACTTACTCCGTCACAGTCAGAGTCATAATCAGTCATACGCAATCCCACCATGAAACCCCTCCTTACCACTACCCTATTCCCTCTTCCCCGCTAATCAAAAGTTAGACCGTGTAGTCTAGTACATATTATACAGGGTTTTCGCTAAGCAAGAGCAATCAAACAAAGGATTGGCGCACGGCACGGTAGAAAGGAGCGAACAAGAAAAAGAAAACGCCACGGGTATCCCAATTTTTTCTTCTTCTATAGTCGTGCATGCGTGCATGCCATGTGACAATAACCCGAGAGAGCGAGAGAGAGAATCCGACATGATCTGAGGGCAATAAGGGAAGAGAAGAAGAGGAAGAGTATTTCGTTCTTTTTCAAGAATGGTCAACTAGGTCAAGTTGTCAAGCAAGTCTACTGCCAGCTGGAAGCGGGGGTGGGCGCCGGTATGCCTGGAAAAGGAGGCTGCTGCTGCTGAGGCCGGGTCTCTGCGTTACTGGCGGGGAACTGAGCTGGCTGCTGCTGGGCCTGCTGCTGGGCCTGCTGCTGGGGCTGGGGCTGGGGCTGGGGCTGGGGCTTTGGCACTTCCTCAGGCGCAATGTATGGTGCGGTGGGACCAGAGAAGACTCCATCGAGCTTCGGTAGAGTATTAACAGGGGCATATTGCTGGGCGACAGGAATGATTGGCGCAGTATAAGGTTGTTGAGACAGGGCTGGGAGGCCATTTGGAACATAGGCTAGGACAGGTTGTGGTGGTGCTGGTAGAGCTTGAAATGGCGCTGTTGGGGCGGGTGCGAGCTCTGGCTGTCTTATTGCACCGGTGCCGGCCAGGGCCCCACCCGTTGGGTATGCAGGTTGATGCTCTACGCCGTTTGCTATGGGCGCATGTTGTACAGAGACGTTCGGAGGAGGAGCGCTGGGAGGTTCTACGGCAACTTTGCCATAGCGTAGAGTGACCATAAGCGTTTGTGGCTGCTCCTCCCCGTCTTCTGAAGACTCGTCTTCACCCGCATCGTCTGCGTCATCGTCGATTTCCATCTGATCAGCGTCCTCGTCTTCATCTCCGCCATCCCACGAGGTTGCGTCTTCTTCTTCGTCATCACCCTCTGAGTCCAATGCGCGGTTCAGGCCACCGTTTGTGTTACCTCTTTTAGCTGCCCGAGTCGACCGGCCGTGAGCAGCATGTGGCTCTTCTGACACATCTGATCGAGCATAATCTCCAGTTGCAGGCGAAGCGCGGTCGTCAACCTGTCCACTATGTAGGGTTTCGCCATACAGACCAGTTGCACGAGACTTGACTTGTCGACCGCTAGCAGTGACGGTTGGGCCTGAGGGTACAGCAGGCGTCTCCCTACCTGAATGCCGGCCGGACCGACGCGAGGGAAGATTGTCTGAGTCGATTTCTTCCTGATCTGAGAAGTTGTATCGCATGCGCTTGCCCCGGGTGCGACCTTCGTAGCGGGAATAGACAGGCTCTTGAGCGAAGGTATTCTTGCGATGGTGGTTCGCCTCGCGGCGCTTTCGCTTCTGTGAGAATGTTAGGTATGTCCCTGTGTAGGAGTGTCTAATACTCACAACCTCCGAGGCTTCGAAACGTGGGACAGCGTTGATCATCCGCTCACTGAGTGCCTTGGCCTCTTTATGACCATCTTCTTCCTCGAGCTTCTTCGCGAGCACCCTCAGCTCATCAATAGATCCAGCAACGCTAAACCACTGTACGTCTTCTAGTTTCGGATCACTTTCGCGATAGATGCGGAAGTAGGTGTCATTCTGCCCTTCAACGAGCCAATACCGGCGCTTGTCACCGTCGCGACCCCATGGCTGTACGGAAAGTGGGATGTTTGTGTCTAGTCTGTCCTTGGTCGTTCGTGATTTGTATCCGTTGTTGATCATAACCTTGATTTGCTCGTTCTGATTGAGACTCCAAAGGGCAAGGGTATGCAGGAGGGTGATCTAGGGTACGAGTCAGTACTAGGAACAACAGCGTGCTTTTGGACTTACACGCTCCATCGCCGTCATAGTTTTGAAGCTGCGACCACCACTCAGGGGGTTAGCAGTCCATTTCTGCGGCCATTGCGACTTCTGAGTTTGGATGGCTTCCTCAAGGGCGCGGCCATAGTGACCTTTCCTATCGAGCGCAACCATGTCAGCTACACACTATCTCAAACGCATTGGTACTACTACGCGACCAGCTTCCACGTATTTATAAAGGGCGAAGGGGTTGGACTGACTCGACGGGCTTCTTGCGATTGAGGACCAGTCCAAGCAAGGCGCATAGCAGGCCTTCAACAACGGGGGATGGTATGTCCTCAGCGACACCTAACTCAATGTCCTGAGGCCCAACATGCGGGGCGACATGTGGGAAGGCTTCGTTGAATCGCGACCGGAACATGACAAGGAACTATAGTGCCAAAATGTTAGCCATGTCTTGATGTAACGGCGGTGCGCGATGAATGCACGACCGCGCCGCGATGCGACGCGATTGACGCGTCCAATACGTACAGCAATGTCTGGGTTATCCTCGGGAACCAATTCATGGGGTGGCGATGCGGGACGCTTCCTTGGAGGCGGCGAAGGCGAGCGATGTTTGAAGAAGGTCAGGATAGTGCTATTCTTCTTATTTTTGGACTTTTTCGGGGCAGACGGTTTCGTAGGTTTCGCGGGCGCGACCTCGACAAGCATTTCATCGTCAGTTGACGGCGGCGAGGACAGCGAGGAGTCGGAGTCGGTCATATTTGCGGTTGGGGGTCTATGGCGGTGGTTGATGTGGAGGCTGCGGGTTGAGGAGGGAACAACGAATGGAGCACGGCTAGGCACGTATGAGGTAATCTCTATTTCGCGAGCACGGAGAGGGACTAAATAGATCCCTGTAATTGCGGCTTTCAGAACATAATCGGCTTTCACCACCTGCGTCCTGGTGCGAAGCGGAGGGGGTCAAAGGGGGTTCACGGATGCAGGAGCATTAGGGGAGAGAAATGTTCCATTCAAAGAGCTACTGTTGGGCTACATGACGTTCCACTGCTTCTTAGCCCATGGTTGAGTATTCTCAAGCGGATGCCAAGCGAGTCGTTAACTATAGTAACGTCGCGCGAGTTATCTATCCCCGAGCCGAGCTTCAACTACTTGTGAGACGGCTTGATAGAATAGTGTAGTATCTTTGGGGTGTTCTCAAGGAATTCGGATTTGAAAGGTGAGTGGTGTTGCCTAAGACCTAGATCGTGGCTGCCATTCGCCGCTACCATCAACAGTCCAACGGTTAACTACTCAAAACCTGGCGATGGTGGTCATGAGCGTCTTTGATGACAATGCTATCATTCATGACAATACGGCGCCACCAGCGATGTCCAGGGCAAACCTTTGTAGCCATTCGCACCACGGCCATTTGATAGAGGTATCCGCCCCGGAGTGGTCCCAGCCCGCAGGGGCAGGGGAAGGGGGTAAAGCGTACACTACTGTCACTAGAGAACCAGCCTGCGCGTTTATAGTGGTGTCTTGATGTTGTTTCCGAACCCGGAATGCGTCCTTCGCAGACAGACTCTTCTCTTTCATAGCAAAACTGCGGTACGTAGGAAACCGACGAGAAGAAGCAGGAGGAGAGTGATTCGAAGGGTACCTAGGGCCTTGAAGTGGTCGCAATGCGCCAAATGACTTTGGGACGGCCGCGTGAGTGCATGTCCTCACCGTACTTTAGGCCGATGTCACGTCCAGTCCGAGCCATGGCGGGGCTGCGGCGCGCGCTCCACCCTCTACCACCACCACATGGCTGCAATGGCTACAAAAAAAAGTCGCGATAATCGCAGGACAAGCAGCTGCATTGGAGATGACGTGATAGTGAAGAGGAGATGTGAGGAGAATCGTGGAGACGTGAAAAAGAGACAAAGTGGGGGACGATGATGAAAACATGCTCATGCGACAATCATAAATGCGGTGAGCTGGCTAGTTAGTTGCGTTGTTGGAATGTGGTGGAGCGTCGCGTAGAGACGATGAACTGGAGGTGGAGTCAAGTAGCTAGAAGCTAGCACTTGTTACGTCACGTGCCCACGCAATGCACCGCACCCCACAGTTGTAGCTATGAAAGCTGGATTGCATGTTTCCCTGCTGAGGATGGTGTGATGAGCCTGTTTCCGCCGTTGACGCGATGAGATGGCGCATCTCAAGGTTTAAGCTAATTTCCATAAGCTTTCGCAAGACATGCAGTGTGGTTGGAATGGGGACTGTCTGTATTGTTTGCCACCAAGTTTGCTCTTGGCAGCACAGTTATCATGTTAGTAGCTGCAGGTATGATTAGGGACCTTCTCGATATAGGACGGAGATGGACGGTGGCCTCTGGCATGGGTGCACGCACACCAAGGAGTCTAGAAGGCTGACTAGAGAAGCGATGCACGCTTCGTGCGGGGCCATCTACGATCTACGGGTTCAGTCGACGAGAGAGAGAGAGAGAGAGAGAGAGAGAGAGAGAGAGAGAGAGAGAGAGAGAGAGAGCTACGGCATGTTCCCAATCTCTCGTTGATCAACCAAGTGGCAAAGTAGCAAGGGAGTTTGGTAACCAGTGTGGTGTCGAAACATGGCGCTCCGTGGGCATGGATTGAGCACGCGCAAGATTATGGAGGGCGGCCAAAGATAGTCGAAGGCGGGTGAAACAAAGGCACAGAAGGCGAAACTGGAATTATTGGTGTGGGTTGGCGCCCTTGGTATGTGGTAGATGTATGGTATGCTATGGGCGACAGGCGCCGGATCTCTGGCCTGTGGTCCCGCCAGTGTCAGGACACACAGGCTTGGGCTGATGTGATGCGCCGTTGGAGGCCCACCGGCAGCCTGCCTATGCATTATGCATGCAATTGGCGTCAGGGCAGGGTCAGGGGAGGGCTATAGCATCGCGCGTGCATTGCCCGATTATTCTTATTATTCTCATCATGGACAACGCGTGTTGCTGGCCCTCCTTTAGACTCTGTTCTGTCGCACGTCCTGGCCACGCCCACATTTTCGGCGAACCCGCCCTCAACTCCAAACCCTCCCTTCACCGACTACTATTACTACTATTACTACTGAACACTTGTTCTTCCCACTGCGCCGCTTCGCCCTCTGCTATTCGCTGCACCTAGCTGGCCGTTGATCCTCCCGCTGCTCCTGCCCCTTCCATCGGCCTGCATGACGCTCGCTCCCTGTCCTGTGTATCGATAAATAAATACATAGTCCCCCTGCACACGGCCCGACATTCGTTATCACCACCCCCCCCCGCCTCATCTGGCCACGACGTCTTTCTACAACGTCACCGCAAACATGAACATCAACAAGAAATTCGACCGCCTCAAGCAATGGACCAACGAGAAGATGGGCGCAGAGGCCCGCACCGGCCTGTCCGACGAGTTCAAGGCCCTGGAACTCGAGATGAACTTGCGTCATGAGGGTATGTATGCACATGCTCTCGGTGCCCTGCAGCAATGCCCCAGCCACAGGCTAACCACTTCCTAGGCATGGATAAAATGCAGAAATCAATGGCCGTATACGTCAAATCCTTATCCAAACGGGCAGAGGGCGACGACAAGGAGAAGCAGCTCCCGGGCGGCCACTTGGGCTCCACCATGGTCACCCATGGCGAGGACTTTGAGCCGGACTCGGAGTTTGGCAATTGCCTGTCCTGTGCGTCTTTTGCTCACTTGCCATGCAATCCATGTTACTGACCACCACCAGCTCTCGGCCGCGCGAATGAACGACTGGCTCGCGTGCAAGAGACGTACGTCGCCAGTGCGACGTCGTCATGGCTCGAGGGTCTGGAGCGCTCTCTTGTTCAGATGAAGGAGTACCAGGTACGGCAGGGCAACAGCTAAAGTCGATACCGCAGTCTCAAAACTAATCGCTGTCTAGGCTACCCGAAAGAAGCTCGAGACACGCCGCCTCGCCTATGACACCTCCCTTGCAAAGATGCAGAAGACGAAGAAGGAAGATTTCCGCATGGAAGAAGAACTACGCGCACAAAAGGCCAAATACGAGGAAACCAGTGAGGAGGTTTTCAGGAGGATGCAGGACATCAAGGAGTCGGAAGTGGACATGGTCCAGGATCTGACATCTTTCTTGGAGGCAGAACTGGGCTATCACGATCGCTGTCGTGAGATCCTGCTCAATGTCAAGCGGGAGTGGCCGGTTAGGTGAGAACATGGATAAGGACAACAGCATGAACCAGTGCTAACACACAGATTAGAGAAACAAGGACGACGGCCACTCGACCCTCGAGGTCCCGCTCCGTCACAGCCCACGGATACGCAGAGCGTTTCAACCCCGTCGAAGAAGAACCCGAACCCGAGCCTTCACGTATCACCATCCCTAAGCTGGGTTCCCGCAGCCGCTCCCCTGCTCCCGAGCCGCAGTCTTCCGGTGGCTACGCCCTTCGTCCCTCCATCAGCCGCACATCCACATATGATACCGCCTCGAATGGAAACCGTGACGACTCTCCAGCTCGTCGGATCACTCGTGTGCCTACCGACTCCTCAGTCATCTCATCAGGCCGTAGCAACCTCCGCCCAGTCCGCCAAGCAAATACCTTCGCCGATGACTATGAAGATGACTATGCTCCTTCGAATGGCAGCGGCTCTCGACGCGACCGGTCACCTCCTAGCCCCGATACCACATCCTCTGTAGGCAGCGCACGTGGCAGCGCAATGTCACGGGCGGCAAGCTGGGCAACGCCTGAGCAGGCAGGAACTGCAAAGAAAGCACCTCCACCACCACCACCGTCAAGGGCGAAGAAGCCGCCGCCACCTCCTCCACCGATGAAGCGAAGTGCGTTGAGTGCCTCCGAAGTAACACGATACTAATCTGGCATTGTTATCTTCTCCACCTCTTTGGCTAACGCAGTGTGTTGTGTAGGGCCGATGTCCACGTCTGCCAGAGTCGTCAGTTGGTAAACATGGCCTTTTATAGCGGCCGAAGACTCTGTTTTGGCACGGAAATCGGTCACCGGACTTGAATTGCAGGCAAAAAAAAAAACTAGTCTGAACACGACTTGTAGCGAAGTCAGGCGTATACGGCGTTTAATAATCTCATTTACTTGTACTGTACACCTCGAACGGCGTTTCCTTGGGATTTTCCATGCGCCAGCAAGCGATGAGGCCGGCCAACTGCCTCTCTGTGATCTAAATGTCGAAACCCCTCCCTTATCTTTGTTGGGTGGTCGAGATGTGTCTACGTCACCTCCGCCCCTTTTAGCATAGGGGAGTACTTCCTAGCCTACTGGCCTTTGAATAAAAAGAAAACACTATGTTGAGAACCATTTGTTGTGATGTACAAACCCCGTACTGTTACTTTACCTCGGATGATCATTTTAATTCAATTGTCTCTAAAAGCAGCATTCAATATTCACTTATTCAATGGTGGTGATGTGGTATACATTCCTATGTGAGATGCCATGACAACCAGCCATCAGAGCTAGAACCAAACCAAACGATAACCATACCCATACAATAAGCTCAAACCAGGCCACGCGTCAAACCATAGTGGATGAAAATAAAACAAAGAGCATACTTGCTGTACGCATGTATATGTGTGTACCCATATTTTCTGCAAAACACGCTACTATTGCCGCATGCAACGCAATAAAAGTTGAAAATCTCATTGTCCTTGCTCGAATTTCTGCTGGGGCCGGGAGGGGAAATTCCAGTTCTCCTAACAACAACATGCATTAGCGTTATATTCAACAATCGCAAATTCACAGAGTAATAGTAGGAGTAGCGTGGATTACTCACCCATTGCTGAAGTCCTCCATTCGGAGTCGTAGTTCCAAAGTCTGAGCCTTGAAGGCCTCCCCCTCCTCCCCCGGCGGTACTGTCAACAGGCACAAATATCGCGCCCGAGTCCTGTCCCGCGCCGGCGCCCATGCCCGTGAATATGTCGAAGTCATCTGCATTGCCGCCGGCGCCGGCGCCGCCACCGCCGTTGAGACTTCCTAGGAGGCTATCAAAGTCCACGTTTAGGTTTTCTAGACCACCTGTGGGGGTACGCTGGAGTTGGTTGTGCATGGTGGGTGTCTGCTGTCCGCCGCCGAAGCTGGGGGATGCGACGGCTGAGAAGGAAGGAAGCGGTTGTAAGGTTGGGTGTTGTTGTGGCGCTAGTTGATGGCGCTTCTTATTGAATCCTTTCATTACGTAGAAAGCTTCCAGGTTCTCTTTTACAGTCCAGAGGAGGTCGGAACACCGCTCACGAACTCCGACGCCGTAGCAGTGCCCGAATATGTGGTCTATGATGGTAGCCATGCGTTCTCTGCGTGGAAGGTCTGGTGTGCGGTATAGTTCTGTGAGGAGTAAGAGCACGGCGTGGTATTGCTGGTACGTGGTTGAGTACCATGCCCATGAGCTGAGGGATGGCAGGGTATCAAGCGTTGCGCCAATCTCGAGCGTCGTAAGTGCTGCGGTGAGGAGCACATCTCGTAGACGGTTTTCCGAGTCCGAACGTGGTTGGAGGGATGTTTGAGGGAGGTGACGATAGAGCAGCATAGAGTCGCAGCGCGCCATGAGCAGTGTGGCCACGAGGCCGGCGTAGCGCTGTATAGGTACCGAGGCGTCGAGGAATTGAAGATACTTACTCTGGATCTGTCGTTTCCGCGCTTCTACTCGTGCTCGTAGATCATGCAGGGTAATGTGTTTCCGATCCATCTCTATCCGACCTCGGAAGATGAGGCGGTGGATTTCGTTGCACTCATATCGAATGAGCGAAAGGGTTACGTCAGACCAACCACTTACTGATGTAGGCTGTTGTTGCCAACTCGGGCTGCCGAATTCGAAGACATCGTCGTCTACGTTCAGTGGTAGTGCAATGTCAAAGTCGTCTGAGCGGATAGAGGGGTGTGGTCCCTGAGCTTCAGCCGTCTTAAAGTCCAAGAAGCAAATCTGGTACCATAGAAGGGATCGAACGTGACGTTGCAGGGGTGTCAGGTTATTAGCGGAGCTGTAGCTAAGTCGATGTATGCCAATACATTGGGCTAGGCGAACAAGGGCCCCAACCACGACAGATGTTGCTCGTGAAATTTGGGCTCGACAAAGCGGTATCTAGCAAGGTCAGCAGAAAGCCAATGTAAAGATACCAGAAGCCCTACCAGGTATATGGCTAGTGCTTGCAGTGTCCTAATGTTCGACGTCTTGGCCCAATTGGCGCGAAGTAGGGCGCGCTCAGTAGCCTTTTGCAATCTCAAAAAGAGGTCTTCTTTTGTAATGCCGAATTGCGACTTTGCCTGCAAGGGTGACACTGAGGCTGCAGCTGCCATACAGACTGCTAGAATCAAGGCAGTGCAGGAGTTTTGATTGGTGTTACCAATCTCGACGTTTAACCAAAAGCGATCGTACAGCCGCTTGAATGAGGGAACATGCAAGACGTGCGCGAGAGGACTGACAGCCTCCATGTATCGCTGAAGCAGTGCTTCTGCTTCTTTTTCAGTAGGCAGCTGTGGCGGGTCCATCTTGTGGTTCGGGTTTACAGAGAGCGTGCCGCCTAGCAGCAGGTGCTGCGATGGTGCTAGTGACGGCATTTGCTCTGCTGATAGAAGGGTTGAAGATTGCGGTGCTCTTTGGCCTGCAACTGACGAAGGAGGAGTATAGCTCTCGGCCAAGAGCTTGCCCAGCTACACAAAGCAATTCAGTTCTCGTTCAACTTGGGGTGGCATAGATGCAGCTTCAAGGCGAGCGGATAAGGGCGGACAGTACCTCTTCGGCATATTGAGGGCGAAAGAATCCGGTTACATTTTCGCAGATGATCATCCTCCCGATCCGAATGGTGAGATCAGTTGCGATCATGTCTTCGTCATCGTTCTCGTCCTCATACACATCGTCCTGCGTTTCTTCAGGCTCTGCGGGCAATCTCTCCCAGGCATCTCCATCGGCCTCGACATCTTGCTGATACGCTTCCCACTCGTAGTCTCGCGGCGGTGTCCCAGGAGTGGTGGTGTCGATTGCACTCGAGTTTTCATACTTGTCAAGCACGCTTGTGCTACTTTGCGTGCGCACCGGGAGATCCTTGGTCCAATCTGGAATCGTAACACCAGTACCACTCCTACTCGTAGCGCGTTCCCTCTCTTTCTTGCGCGCAGCGCTCTCAGGGACCGTAATGAAGATGCACTCCCGTCCGAAGGCTGTGCAATTCTGGCAGGGGTGTGTTTTGGAACATCGTGATTTACGAGTGCGGCACTCGACACACGAATTGATGGGGCGTGGATTTCTCCTGCGGACCACTCGAGACTGCAAGACTTGTCCTTGTTCTGGCATAACTCACGATCCTCATTTTCACGCCATTTGGTGAGGTTTGGAAGATGGACGACTCGGGTCGGGTGGTGGAGAAGAGTGACCGGATGTCGGCCCGTTTTGGAGTCCTTGTTCTCTTTAACATCGGTGGCCGATCGGCACGTGATCGTCGTTCTGTAAGAAAGCCCTTGCCTTGTTGCGGGCTAGTGCTGCTTCATAGCTACAGACTTTTCGCCGACGTAGACCAAATTACGGGCCCTGCTACTGATTGCCATGGCCTGAGAATGATAATGGCCAGATCACTGCGTAACCGCAGCGAAATCTGGGTCTTGTTTAGTGGGGCAAATATCATGCCACCTTCAAAGTGTCCGCTTGTGCTCAGTTTGCGCAAAAGTAGATTCACGTCGTTACGTGAGGCATTTTGTTGATTCACATATAGCCATGTTATCCAATATGCGATGATCTCATCGCTGACTGTGGGCTGCTACCCGGAAAGCTGAACGCCTAACACCCCGAACCCCAATCCATGCACCGTGTGGGAACTCTCAATCACTCGCCCAAGAAAAGCAAGGTATGCCAGAACAAAGACCACCCGTCTTGATAGGCCCCAACAGAGAAGCTATCCATGTCTACCTTCCTACTTCCCGTTTCAACCGAGTTGCAGCTGATGTCGCGGGAGGCTCCGGCCAGGAGTCAACAGCATCTTCGACCTCTTCCAAGAATGAGGTGCTATTATGCACCGTCGTGCCACCGAGCACGACGCGAATGCCAGGCGAACTTGCATTGACCTGAGCGACCATCTTGGATTCTTCGTATGTCGTTCCGCCGACCATGAAAACAATAATGTCTTGAGGCTTGTCTTTCGTCGAACCACCGCCGTCCACAAACGGATACAACTGTTGACTCAACCTGCCCTTAATCATGTCCTGCAATGTAGTTTCCAGACGTGGAGAATGCTGTGTGTAAACATTTTCAACGCCCTTGAGGCCCTTTAAGCGATCTCGTGCACCGCCAAAGAACGAGCCTGGCTGGAACAACTCGGGAACTCCACCTGCCGCGGTAATGGCTTGCAGCGAATCGTGGTAGGTTAGAAGCTTCGTGATGAGGTTTATACGATTTCTCGACAGACCACCGGAGACGCTGAGTAGGTCAAGGAGCATAGCGGTCGAGTTTGACGAAGTCTTGGAGTAACGCAGTGCGTAGATGGCAACGAGTCGGAGCTTGTTGTTGGCCGGGACTTTCGGGTCTTGAATGATCTTCTGTAATACCTTCACGTCGTTGGAGTGGTTGTCTGTACAGGCCAGGCTCTGCTCTAGTTCGCTGATGTCCAGGAGGGTCTCTTCCCCAACCCTTCGACTCAGCTCACCGACTAGCGTGACGTGCTTAGTGACATTACCGGAGAGCTTGCGGAATTCGGGAAAGTCCTCGATGAAGCGCTTCATATCTGCTATCGAATCGAGCTTCTGCGATCCTTGCTGCTTGGATGCGAACTGCTCCACATACTCTTTCGCGTTCTGACCTAAATCGCCGAAATTGAGGTACATGTTCTTTTTGAAGAAGGGATCCTGATCTGGTGAAAGAACAATCTCCTTTAGCTCAGGTCGGATGTCAGGCACGTCGCGTAGATCTACCCTTCCTTTGTTTATTCCAAGAAGCTCATGAACCATAGCTTGGTAAGTCCATTGTGTTAACAGGGGTGTGACTGGGTCATCTCTTCGGTCGACAATCAAGAGAATAGGGGGGGTGTCTGTTTTCCGAAAATCAAACAATTGGTCTTCTTGGGTCATATTATATCGGACTTCGGTTGCCAGCTTTTTCACCAAGAGGCTGTTCTTCTGATAGCGAATTAAAGGCTTCTTCTTGAGTGCCAGAAGCAACGCCATGACAGCCTCGGTCGACCTCTGTAGTGAATCTTGATTCCACGAGTCCGGGCTGGTACTCCATATTCTGCGATCTGGGAAGGCGAGGTTGAGCGACATGAGGTCTGGATTTATAACGAGGAAGTCGGCGAAATACTCCTGGACTGCGCGTACGACTTCGTGATCGTCGGCTTCCGCTAACCGCTCGAGTGACGACTTCTTAATGATGTTGCTAAAGTCTACACCAAGTCAGAGAGGGCACTGTAGTCCAAAGTCTGTCCAAAGCCTTACAAATGTTATATTCGCCATACTTGGGCTCCCGCAGCTCCTCGATCAAGCTTTGTATCGATTCCGGAGACGGGCGCACGAAGCACAGACAACGAAGATGGCGCATCTTCTCTCTTTTCTGATTGTCCAGTTGACTACCATAGCATTAGTCGTGTACCGATGGGGCGTGTCGCTAGGGAAGCGCACTCTGTGAGGTAGACCTCATGGCTCAAGAGGGCGGATTGTGTCGTTGCGGTGGATATTATCGAGACCTGGGGCGTGTTAGTTCCTGCTTCTCATTCTCCCGGAGGAGCAGACAAACCCACAGTCTCATCGTCGAGCAGGAGGATCTTCATCTTTGCCGCGGAGGTGCCTGTCGCTGCGCTGTCTCCAGCAGACACCATCTTGGTGACGTAGCCGGAGACGGCTTGTACGATATCCATGATTGCGATTGAAGATTACTCTTGGGGTCGGTGTTAGCTCATTGATTACCTGGGCATGTGTATCGTATTGCTCGCAGCTCCATGACGACGCGTTGTTGGAGAAGCTGGGACGTGGCTCGAGCTCTGGAATTGAACGTCGCTAGCGATGGTGCCAAGCGGGATCACCTTCACGACTCCCTGGGAGCCTACAGATGCTGACACGATGTAATACTTGTGAAACTTGTGCGATGAACTGCTACATGCTATGCCATTCCGCGTTGTACTGACGCCCTACTATGTCAACTCCGTCCGTAAACACCCCGCTGCGGGGTATCCTGTCTAGAGCTCCGTACCTGTTGAGTGCAATCCCGTCAGCATGTGTAGGATTAATCAGCTGAAAGCAGGTGCTGCTGCTTTACGATTGCGCTATTCGACGTCTGTGACGTATCTTTTTGCTTGGATATATATAGGCCGGAACTCGAGGGCAGCCTATCTCCAGTTTTGAGAACACGACTTGACAACCATTCAGTCCTCAGATCACAGCACAAGCTTCCTAATCCACGAAACCAAGATTACATCAATCCGTCGACAATGCCGAAGCTTTTCATGTAAGTTCAGTCAAGAGACCCATCCGCACCATAGTAACAAGCCCTTAGCACAGGCGCGACTGGTTATGTCGGAGGCGACGCCCTCTATGCTATAGCAAACACCTATCCCGACCTTGAAATCACAGCGCTCGTCCGGAACAGCGACAAAGGCGCAAAGGTTGCTGCACAGTACTCCAAGATCCGTCTCGTTTATGGCAATCTTGACAGCACTGAGCTACTTACCACCGAGGCTTCCAAAGCAGACATCGTGGTCCACGCCGCCGACTGCGACCACTTAGGTTCTGCAAACGCTCTAATTGCTGGTCTTGCTCAGAGTCAGAAGAAAGCCTTTCTAATTCACACCTCGGGCACAGGTGTGCTTGGCTTCCAAGACGCCGAAAGCAGCACGTACGGTGTCAAGCGGGAGAAGGTATATGATGACTGGGACGGCATCGGCGAGGTCACTTCTCTCCCCGATGTGGCTGCCCATCGCAATGTCGAAAAAGTTGTCCTCGCAGCTAGCGAAGCCTCTGCGGGCAACATCAAGTCTGCCATCGTTTGTCCACCATGCATCTACGGACCTGGTCGCGGTCCCGATAACCAGAGAAGCGTCCAGGTATACGACATGGCCAAAGCAACACTCAGTCGTCATAAAGGATTTGTGGTTCAGGAAGGCACCAATATCTGGACTGAGCTCCATGTTCAAGATCTCAGCGAAGTGTTCCTCGCCCTCATAACGGCTGCCCTGTCACCGGACGGCGGTAAGGCCACCTGGAACAACGAAGGCTACTACTTTGTCGAGAGCGGAGAGTTCGCCTGGGGCGATATCGGACGCAAGATTGCACAAATCGCTCGCGAGAAGAAGCTGATCAACACCGCTGATGTCGATATAGTGGACAAAGACGAGGCGGATAAGTTGCGAGGAGCCGGCAGCTATCTTTGGGGCACCAATTCTCGCTGCAAGGCTATTCGCGCGAACAAGCTGTTCGGTTGGACACCCAACCAGAAGAGCCTATCTGAGCTGCTGCCAGAGATCGTGGAGGACGAAGCAAAGAAGCTGGGCTTAATCAGAAGTCATGCTGAGGAGGCTACCAAGGGACGCATCTTGAGGTGATCAACTTGGATGGCTAAATCCACTTGCTTGGCTTAGCTTTGACTAGGATGTAGTGAGAGTCCTCTCGGTATTAAGGCAATCAGAGGGTTTAAGAGCATAGTTTTAGAGCCTACTATGTAGCTGCATACCTCCTCATTATGAGCCTCGGCAATCTAATCCACGCTTACGTCATTCGCATCGACCTTTTCCTACGATACCTTTCCCTTGTAAGGTCACCATAATTTACTTTTCAAAGCACCTTAACTTGCAAAACTAGCCCACTCATTGATTCAATTTCCATCAACATGCCGCTCTGCACCCTCCACCTGCTGGAGCTACACAACACAGCACCCATTCCTCTCCTGACCTTCCTCTCAGCTCTCAAATCTTCAAACGCATCACCTCTAGTAGTCTCCCGCGTGATAAGATGGATTATCCTCCCCACACATCTCTCAACCGAGCATCTCCTAGCCAGAAACACCAGCTGGGATATCCTACTCATCCTACCCACCACCGACCCTCTTCCCCCTTCCGTTGCGAAACTAGTGCGCCATCACTGGAGCGTAACTGCTGGCGTCCCATCACGCCTCACGCAAGCCTTTCACTCCAAAAACGTAAAACTACTACACCCCGATGCTTCTTCAGTACCCAAACTCGTTGAAGACCAGAGCGCGAACAAGACCACGAAGTCAGCGCAGAGCCTAGAGTTGAGCGCCGAGCTGAACGAATGGATCAACGAATTTGTACGGAGCAGTGGAAAAGAGGGAACAGGTGCGGTATCCATGTTCAATCTCCTCGCTTTCAAACCCGGTATGAAATCTGAATATCTCAAGTACGGTGCTGCGTTTGCGGAGTCCATTGGCTCTCGGCACGGTGGGAACGCGAAGATTGTAGGCAATGTAACGCACGTCAATGGCATTGCCAAGTCTAAGGAGGAGGAGGATAGTGTTAGGGATGATTGGGATGAGATTGCCCTGGCGCATTATCCTAGTATTCGCCATTTCAGGGAGATGTTGGTTAGCGCAGAGTATCAGGAGGTCAATAAGAGATATCGCGTACCGAGTTTGTGGGATACGTGTATTTTAATGACGAGTGAAATTGCGGTTGAAGAGTTGATGATAGGCAGTGAAGGGGCGAAATTGTGAATATGTATATCGTCTAGGGGAGATATGAGAGGGGATTGGAGATGCAAGTAGCCGTAGGATGTGAGTGGAGATAATAGTAGGAAGCGAAGCGAACATCTAGAGGCTTGAGGTTGCACAAGATGTCAAAGAATCATGTAAGCAGAAATGTCGCTCTAAAGCTATTTAGCTGCGATTTCCTGCCCATCTTAGTGAGCAAGATAGTAGGTTAGCTTGTTGCTAGAATGCCGTGGGTCTTCTATGGATCGAGTTTAGGGTCCGCTTAGCCAGCCCCGAGAGTCAGATATCGTTAAGAGGCTGTTAAGAGATGCTCGGCCAGTACTACCGGTATGCGGCAACCCCGCATTTGGTAACAACCTTCCACGCAACTACAGATAATACGTTCATTAATTTGTAACACAATTCCTCTGCAAGCTATTTAGGAGTCTTGATATTAGGAGAAAAATACCCTTATTGCTAATGTTCCTCCGTTCGAAGAATCACCATCTACAACCACGATTAAACGTCATAGGGCGCCTAGCCAGCTTCAATTGCCGCTTAGCCTCAGCCTGATACTGATACTTTAGGCAAGCTCTCGAAGCTCTCCTATCCACCTCCTTTCAATTTCATGTATTTTTCCTCCGATGTCCTTTGCCCTTTGTTGTGAAGGCTGGAGTACCCTTAGACTACGAGACACGAAACTACTTTTGCACAAGCAGTGTCAGGGAGCTACCACCTCGCTGAACTATATCGTAGTTCAAAAAGCCACCTAAATGAGGCTTCTAAACGCGAAGACATATCGACTGAAGACTCAACTAGGCAGAGACAAACCGGCATACGCCATCCTATCTCATACTTGGGAAGAAGACGAAGTTCTTTACAAAGATCTCAAATCTGCCTCCGAAACCGACTGGGGAGCGAAAAAAGGCTTCTCCAAAATCAAACATGCTTGCGACCAGGCTCTGAAAGACGGTTACGACTTCATATGGATCGACACTTGCTGCATCAATAAGGACAGCAGCGCAGGGCTCTCAGAAGCAATTAATTCGATGTTTACTTGGTATCAGGAAGCCAGTATTTGCTACGCCTACCTATCAGACGCGCAACATGGAAGCACAGAATTACTCATACATTGCCACTGGTTTGGTCGCGGCTGGACGCTGCAGGAGATGATTGCTCCAGATCATGTTCATTTCTACGACAATAACTGGATATACCTTGGGAGCCGTACATCGCTCGCACTTGATCTCAAAGAAGCTACAGGTATTGACGAGACCATTTTGGTACGGGGGCATCTTGATCAAAAGTCTCTTTCGACCTATTTTGTACACGAAGGACTTGATACAACATCACGCGTCTGCAAGTACTGTGGGTCCACAATCAAGGAGGATGTACACATCATCCTGAGCAGAGTCAGCATCGCACGGCGAATGAAGTGGGCCTCAAAACGAGCAACAACTCGCGTAGAAGACGTTGCATATTGTCTAATGGGTCTATTTGACGTGAATATGCCCCTACTCTACGGCGAAGGAGAAAAGGCTTTCTTTCGACTACAAGAGCAAATTCTCAAGAGTTCAAGAGATCATTCTATTCTCGCTTTTCGAGCCGATCCATCGAAAAGACCAACAGGAAGATATGACTCTGCTATACTAGCACCTCATCCCAGCTACTTCCGGGACGATATCCAGCGTGAGTGGATGCATGCTGGTGGAAATGCAAGATTAATTCTGTCAGAGGGTGAACTGATGATGGATATGCTCATATGTCCGCTGCTCTCAGGTTCTTCCTCTTTGAATCTATTCAGGGGCAAGCATATTGGGATTCTAGATTGCATGATAGGCAACGACTATCTGTCAAGACCTGCGATCTTATTAGAGGCAATCGACAAAAGCGCAAGAAGGTTCCGACGCTGCCCCAGGGAACCATTACTGCTTCAACTGAAAGCAACTGAGTCATCAGATTGCATACTATTGAACCAATACACTGATCGAGGTACGATACTTCCAGTCAGTGTTCCCGACTCGCTTAACAAAAACGTGAAACACAGATCCCGTAGAAAAGGTGCAATACGACGCTCGTAAAATCAGAAGACTAGGCATCACTATTAGCTTTGATAAAGTACCTGATCGTGACGGCCCTGGTCTTGGCCTCCCACTCCGCCTCAATTCTTTCTCTGCAGACTCTCCCAGATACTTCACAATGGGAATCGCATCACCCGCCTTCATCGCGGACTATATTCCCAACATCAAGTACAATCACGTCGGCATCATATCTTTTTACAGCTACAAATTCGAGCACTTCTTCATTGCATGGGGCCGCTTATCTAATAGCGGTGCCGACATCATTTGGTGCCGAATTTGGACGCTCTCACAAATCTTACGCGAAAATTTGCTAGATTTGGACTGGACACCACAAGATAAAGAAGTAGTTGAGGAAATCGTGCGGTCAGTCGAACTACGTAGACCTGGTAGTTTGCTTCTTCAACCACATCGAGCAGACATGTGTGATACAGATGATGTGTTTATTGGAACGGCGAATACGGTCAGACTGAGGGTGACGGTGAAGATATCAAAAGCGACTTTCATAAATCGTTCTGTCTACCAGATGAATGTGAGGGCGGGAATTGCCGGTATGGGGCAAAATCGTTTGACAGACTTGCCCGAGCGACTAGGGCCACAGCGTACCCGGTAGATACGGAAGGTTTAGGGGCGTGGTCCCTAAAAGCGAGGTTTTAATAGTTTCTAGCAAGGTCCCTACCAATTAACGTAGCGTTTATTATACTGCAAGACCGCCTTTACGATTTGCAGAGATCTCTCCGAGCTTTACAACTTATCCTTCTCCCTATTCTCTTCACAGATGAGGGCCTTCCGTGTTACGGTATCATCAACATCTTTGTAAAGTCTAAAAAGCTCTGCCCTAAGCTCATGTATATTCTTCAATCCGTTTCATTTAAGGCTGGCCAGATCATCTCTAGTGCAATCTCGTAGCTATATGCTTCTCTTCTTCGCTCTCGTAGCCTGGCGCACCATCCTTATAACGATAGCACCGAAGTCTTCTTTCCTTTGGAACGGGATGAACCGCCTATTACTCTTCGCGTATTTCGAAATTATAGTGGGGTCTTTTGGCTTTTCCCTCGCGCATCGAGCTAGCGCATCTGCCTTCACCGTGAATTACTATTACCCTATGTCTAGCACCTCGACACTTGTACTTTACTACCAACTAACAAAAGGCTGCACTCTATCTATTTCCAGCAAGGGCACCTTGCGATCGAGGATTTTACAGTGCGCAAAGACGGGAAGATGAACACTCCAGACCGCATCACGGGATGGCTGAAGGACGTAGATATCAGTGGTACCGACGAGAATGAGCGCAAACCGGGCGACGACTCCAGGCAACAGAGAAAGCAATACACGCCGGCTACTCCAACACGGAAAGTGTCCATATGTGAGACTCTAGACGACGTATCGCCGACCGATACTTCGTTTTCCAGGACTAGTGTCTTCGATTCACCTCTGCACAAGTATCCCCTGCGTGGGCGTTCAAGTCCCAGTGCACGTCCAGTCAGCAACAAATCCTACGACGACGACACATCTGATATCACCAGCCTCGATGAAGACGACTTGTGGAACCGCAGTCTAGACAAGGGCCAATGCAGTGGCAGTGACGAAAATATCCATCCGCCCCAGGATGCGGCGTTAGCTAGTATCACCTCCTGTGATTCACCCTTAGCCATCGATGACGAGCCTGCACATGCACAGGCAATATTATCATCATTAGACATTTCACAGCGTGATTCAGACGAACCACGCATGGTCTGGATAGTGTCGTGTCTTCAGTGTACGCTAGCTGGTCTATCATGCTCGCGCACACCGCCCGCCTGTTTGAGGTGCAAGCGCAAAGGCGCCGCACAAGTCTGCCTTCTGCAGCGTCGCTGGTTCGTCGAGGAAATTGTACAGTCTGGTAGCACGAGATACACGCTCCCGATACTACTGAAGCTTAAGAGCGACGATCCAGGCATATGGCAGCGCAAGCGGGAGTTGGAAGGAGAGGTACGTGACCATCCTCTCTCGGTTCTTTTATTCGTGTATCGGATTTGGTTTTGAAATACTAATATCTAAATAGTTGTATGAGAAGTGGCTTGCCGAACAGGATAGGAAGAATTGGGTTCTTCCCGACGTCGTTGGTAGTCGTCGGGGCGGGTACCCTGTCATTGGCCGTAGTGCGCGCGTCTTGCATCCTGGTGAAGGAAAGGGACAGGTCGTGCATGCGGAATTGTCTGTCGACATGAATGCTTAAGAATCTATCCACGGATTTTATGGGTTTAGATGTGGCGTTCGTCGCTTGGCTTTGGTGTCTCTAGAGAAAAGGAAATATTGCCGTATATTGCCATATTTTCATAATTTAGCATCTAGGACTGGGGAATTTGCGGACGGTGTCTTTATAGACGTCTGGGATTGCGTCGAGTTCAGGTGTTCGCAACGGCCAACATGGCAAGAAGGGAGGCATACTGGGTATTTAGGGCTGCCAAGAACGCCACCCAGTTCATTCATTGTATCCTACCACTTCCAATAGGCATGTGCTCTGCTAGATATCGTGTACTCGACGTCTCAAATAACGTTTTAATAAATTCATAGATATGCTCAAAAGTTGTAGCGCAAGGCTGAGACAGGTTTCTAGCAAACCCAGATCGTCTTGCACGCGCCAGGGGCTGGCCGATTGCATAAAGCGCATAGACAGTGTTCGAATTGACACGACTGGAAAATGATTTGCTCTAAGTGTGGCTTATTGCGTAGGCGCTTTGAGAATCCTCTTATAATCGCTATCTGAAACTCTGTTTAGTTCCTGCATGGCACGCTAACTGCGCCACGTTTTAGGCACCAATGAGGCTGTGTGTATTCGCGCCTTCAAGACACAACAGTTGCACCTGTAGGTATCTCGTTATTTAACAAGTAAACACTCTCTGCCCCAGGTAAATCTTACGGTGTTTCCTGTACCTAACATACACTACGAATGGCTACTTACGGGCTGCGAGTCCCCTTATTTTACCTCAGATAGTCCTAGCTAATGTTCAGCTAGTACAGGCCAAATTTCTTAAAGAAATATAGCTATTCATCGTCACCGGAGGAACATGACGTCCTCGACAGTGCATACGCGCATCACAGGAGGGAAGCGGCGTGGTTCCCCAGATAACGAGCAAAGCTTGCACACGATCAAGCGTCACAAAACCGAACTCGATTCAGCGGTACTGCTCTGTATAGATTGTCAAAAGCTTGACCTCGATACAAGCTTTGAAAAATCATTGAAGATCTTCGAACGGACGAAATCTCAGCCAAATTCTCAATTTGAAGATATACGTGAAGCCTCTGATGGAACGTATTTCTACGAGACCTCGATCCTAGTCCATCGATTCGAGAATCGGCTATCAAAGCCATCAAAATGTCCGCTATGTACGTTCTTCCGATCGCTAAGGGTCCAGCCGGAACGTCACAAACGCCACAAACTCCTTGCGTTTGTGGAACTGAAGAAAGGTGATTGTATTGATAATGTTCTATGTATAGGGGGAAGCTATGTTTATATATAAAAAGGAGTAAAACTAGAGTAAGCTAGTCCGTATATAGACTAGCGTGTTAGGCACATAATAAATTACGTGTTAGGAATCTAAACTAACAGCTTCCCTAAATCCTAATACGGGATAAAATACAAAGAAAGAGAGGATAGCAGCCTTATAGTATTGTACTATAACGTATTACACAGGCGAGTTAGTTGCTTAGTTAAGTTAGTTATAATACTAAAACCCTACTAAAATTAGTAATTTTTTACTATTAAACGCGATGCTTTAATATAATAATATACAATTTTTTTAAAAAAAAAACTAAATACAGCTTATAGTTTAGGCTTTAAAATGCAATGCAAATTTTTTTTAATAAAAAGCTGCGCAGATCTATAGCATCTTTTAAATAATATTTAGTAATTAACTAAAAGGAAAGCTTCTATAATACAATACTAGGCCTAATAAAATAAAGCTTTTTTTAATAGAAAAGAAAGTAATTACCTAGTATATACTTTATTTTAAAGACTAAAAATTTCCGCTCTAACTAGCTGCTGTAAATAATATAGCTAATACTTTGCTAGCTAAATATAGGCAACTATTTATTAGTAAGAACTAGGCTAGCACATTTATTAAATAATATTTATAGCTTAGTATTAGGATTTTTTAAAAGTATAACTACTAAAAAGCTTTATATAAAAATTTTAAGCTTATACAAGGCTAGTTTTAACTTGTAAAAAATATAAAAGCTAAGCATAGTATTTAAAATAAAAATATATATAATTTTAATAAAATAGGCTTTATAATAGGCTAAATATTATATAAAATTATTATTTTAAGTGCTAATTATTAAAAACAGCTAAAAATAGTGCAGCAGGGTAATTAAAAATAAATAATAGTAATCTAAGGCATTAACGCAATAGGGTAGGCTATTTTATTTTTTATTATTTTTATAGGCAAGAACTACTTTTTAGCCTAGTATAAAAAAAATAGCCTACTCTATAATTAAGTTATTGCAGTTTCTAAAAATAGCTAAATAATAAATAAGCTTATTTTTAAGTAGTTAAAGCACTTTAACAAGTATACTAAGGGGAAAGTTATTAGTACCTATTATTTACTTATTATTAATAGTTATAAAAGCTATATATTAGTCTAATTCTAGCAGTACTGCAAAAAATAGAAAATTATTACTTTTTATATACTTTTGCATTTATTGCACCTACTATAGCTATTTAATATAAGTTATTTTGCGCTTTTAAAAAAAGCGTATAAGTACTAAGCTAAAAAGCTAATACGCAATAGTATTAACTATATTACTAAAATTAAGTTTTTACTATACTTTAAACTAGCTTTTAATGCTGCTATTATAAAAAGTAATATTTTAAGTAGCTTTAAAAACGCTAGTCTAGTTTTTTTTAACTTTAAAGCTATAATATTAAAGCTTAATATCTAGTTATATATTCTACTACTACTTATTATTAAAGACAGTCCTTAGGAGTTAAAAATACTAAGTAATATTCTAAAATTTAGGTTTTAGTTAATGCTAGTTAAAATAAAAATTTAAAAGTATTTAAATAGTTTTTTTACTTTAATAGTTAAAGCTTTTAAAAAAATTTTAAAAAGTGCAGCTATAGTCGCGCACAAGCTTATATTAGCGCAGAAAAAAATTACTAAGCTTTAAGTAGCTAATAAAGCTACTATATAATAAAAATTATATAAAAAAAAGCAAGTATAAAAAGAAAAAACTTTTATAGTAAAAAATAGTTTTTAACTAACAATTTTAAAAAAGTTTAGGGCGCGTAGTAATAAAAAAAAGGCAAAGAAGTAAGTATATACTAAAGTAAGTAAGCTTTTTTAAAGGCGCTGTAAATACTATAGTAAAGCTAGGTATAATGCGCAAATATATAAGCAAAAAATAAAAGTAGTTTCTAAATAAATTAGCTTATTATAATTTACTATTATAGTTTTCTATAGTGCTATACTATTGTGCATAGTACTAATTTTAGTAAAGTTTTAGTATTATAACTAACTTAACTAGGCAACTAACTTGCCTGTATAATACGTTAGTAAGAGTACTTTGTATTAGAATTATAGTCTATACGCTGTTTACTATAGTAAAGCTATATAAAGTTATAGCTATACGCCTCTTCTTCGTAATTACAATAGTTGTAGATTCTAATATAGTTAAACTATACTTCTATATAATTTTCTATAATACTATAAGTAGTATAAAGCTATTTAAGCTCTAAAATTTAAATGCGCTTAGCGTTTACTTAAACTTATTCCTGCTATAGTATATAGATAAAAAAATACTGTTCTGCTTTATAGAGCTAGTAGTTATAAACAATAGTATTATTTATATTTGTATTTAGTAGGTTAAAAATAGTACTTATAGCAAGTGCTTAGCTAATAAAACTAATATTCTAGCAAACTGCTTTAAACTTAATAAAGTTTAGAGCTTTTATAAGTATATTAGCAGGATTTTCTTTACTACTAATTTATTTAACTATAATAAAGCCTTTACAAATATAGTCGCGGAAAAAATAGTAACAAATATTAATATACTTAGTTTGCTAGTAAAACTTTAGGTTTTTAGCTAGCTTAATAGCTAACTAATTATTAACATGTATAAGCACTATATTAAAGTAAATATTAACGTGCAGGTTGTTAATAAATAATTTAATTTATATAGCTTTTTTTATAGCTTTACTAAAAGTTATATATTTTGCTTTGTATATAAACTAGGCTACAACTTTCTATATAGCAGATAACTATAAAATAAGTCTTCTAGCAAAAATAAATATGTAACTAGTAATAGAGTATTAAAAATTAGAATATCTAGCTTAGTTAGCGTTAATATAGCTTAAAAGCTAAAGTTCCTGCTTTTTGTATATAATGCTAATTTTGCAAGTACTACTTATATAGGCATACGCTCTAATTATTGCGTTTATATAATACTATATTAAATTACTATTAAAGCGTTTATAAAATAAAGCAGCGTAGGCTAGGTTAACACGCATTATAACTAGTAAGTAGTTAAAAAAACTAAACTTTTAAAAATATTTTTTTTTAAAAGCAGAGGTAGTAACGTTGTTATTATTTTGCTCTAATTTAACGCAATAATTATATAAAATTTTAGTAGCAGCTATATTGCTAAAGTTATAGTAATTAAAGAATTGCTAAATATATTTAGCTTAGTAAATTTTTATTATATTTATGCTTTGTTTAATGTGCATTTTTAAATACAGAGCGTTAGAGTCTTCTAATATAATAGTAAAGGCGTTAAATAGTTTACCTTTAAATATATTAATACTATTCTAGTGCAGAGCATAGATATAAATATTATTAATATAAACTAAAATAATTAGCTTTTGCGCAATATATATATAGACGTAGCTATTATAAAGCAAAATGTAAAAGCCTATTTATATAAGCTTTATAGTAAGTATTTTATACTATATACAAGGCGCTTATATAAGCTTATAAAAAAACTTAAATAGTAGCTATATATAGCTAGGAAGTAGCATAACTAAAAGTAGCAGTATATAGTAGACTATTTCTTAAAGTATAGTATTAAAAAAAACAATAGTAATATTAATTTATACACTTATTTATTTAAATAATATATAAATAGTAAGTAGTATATATATTAACATAAAGTAAGCTGTAAGAAAAAAAGTTTCTATATAATTAATACTAGAATGCTGTTAAAAACTGCAAGCAATAAAGCAAGCTTTAAACTTAGTAATTCTGCTAGTTAGTATAAGCTTAACCTTGTAAACTATTTTAGTAGAAATAGTTTTTTTACTTTTAAGTAAAAAAACTACTTTATAAACGCCCTTTTTAAGAAGCAAATTAAGTTCCTTTATTATTATATTATACTATGCGCTTACTTTAAATATTATTATAGCTTTTTTGTAGTTGCGTAGCGTGCAAATAAAAAATATTATAATAGCTGTAAAGGCAAGCTAGTTGTATATATCCTAAAAGTTTCTATTAAATAATATATTATTTTTTATAATAAATAAGTCTGCAAAATTACTATTTAGGTAGTTGTTAATAGTAATGCTTATGTTTAGGGTCTGCCTAAAGTTATATGCGGAAAAAGCAAACTAATTAGCCTAAAAAAAGTTTTTATTAAGGATATTTTTATTAAATATATTATTATTATTACTGTTGCAAGGTTTTGTAAAAAAACCGCTTTTTATAAATACTTTAGATCTAGATTTATGTCCCTTAACGTATTACACAGGCGAGTTAGTCGCCCAGTTAAGTTAGTTACAATACTAAAACCTTACTAAAATTAGTACTATATATAATAGTACAGTACTGTAAAAGACTATAGCAGTAAATTATAATAAGCTAATTTATTTAGAAACTACTTCTACTTTTTACTTGCATATTTGCGTATTATGCCTAGCTTTACTATAGTATCTATAGCGCCTTTAAAAAGGCTTACCTGCTTTAGTATATACTTGCTTTTTTACTTTCTTTTTATTACTACGCGCTTTAAACTTCTTTAGAGTTGTTAGTTAAAAACTATTTTTTACTATAAAGGTCCCCTTTTTCTGTACTTGCTTCTTTTTATGCAATTTTTATTATATAGCAGCTTTATTAGCTACTTAAAGCTTAGTAATTTTTTTTTGTGCTAATATAAGCTTATGCGCAACTATAGCTGCACTTTTTAAAATTTTTTTAAAAGCTTTAATTATTAAAGTAGGGGAACTATTTAAGTACCTTTAAATCTTTATTTTAACTAGCGTTAACTAAAACCTAAATTTTAGGGTATTGCTTAGTATTTTTAATTTTTAGGGACTGTTTTTAACAGTAAGTAGTAGTAAAATATGCAACTAGATATTAAGCTTTAATATTATAGCTTTAGAGTTAAAAGGAACTAGACTAGCGCTTTTAAAGCTACTTAAAATATTACTTTTTATAATAGCAGCATTAAAAGCTAGTTTAAAGCATAGTAAAAACTTAATTTTAGTAATATAGTTAATACTGTTGCGCATTAGCTTTTTAGCTTAGTACTTATATGCCTTTTTTAAAAGCGCAAAATAACTTATATTAAGTAGCTATAGCAAGTGCGATAAATGCGGGGGTATATAAAAAGTAATAATTTTTTATTTTTTGCAGTACTGCTAGAATTAAACTAATATATAGCTTTTATAACTATTAATAATAAGCAGATAATAAGTACTAATAACTTTCCCTTTAGTATACTTATTAAAGTGCTTTAACTACTTAAAAGTAAGCTTATTTATTGTTTAGCTATTTTTAGAAACTGTAATAACTTAATTATAAAGCAGGCTATTTTTTTTATACTAAGCTAAAAAGTAGTTCTTACTTGTAAAAATAATAAAAAGTAAAATAGCTTACTTTATTGCGTTAATGCTTTAGATTACTGTTACCTACTCTTAATTACCCTACTGCACTATTTTTAGCTGTTTTTAATAATTAGTACTTAAAATAATAGTTTTATATAATATCTAGCTTATTATAAAGCCTGTCTTATTAAAGTTATATATGTTTTTGTCCTAGATACTATACTTAGCTTTTATATTTTTTATAAGTTAGAACTAGCTTTGTATAAGCTTAGGATTTTTATATAAAGTTTTTTAGTAATTGTACTTTTAAAAAGTTCTAGTACTAAGCTGTAAATATTATTTAATAAATATACTAGCCTAGTTTTTACTAATAAGTAGTTGCCTACATTTAGCTAGCAAAGTATTAGCTATATTATTTATAGCAGCTAGTTAAGGCAGAAATTTTTAGTTTTTAAAGTAAAATATATACTAGGTAATTACTTTTTCTTCTGTTAAAGAGAGCTTTATTTTGTTAGGCCTAGTATTGTATTATAAAAGCTTTTCTTTTAGTTAATTACTAAGTATTGTTTAAGAAATGCTGTAAATTTGTGCAGCTTTTTATTAAAAAAAATTTGCGTCGCATTTTAAAGCCTAAACTGCAAACTATATTTAGTTTTTTTTTTAAAAAAATTGTATATTATTGTGTTAAAGCATCGCGTTTAATAGTAGAAAACTACTAATTTTAGTAAAGTTTTAGTATTGTAACTAACTTAACTAAGCAACTAACTTGCCTGTATAATACGTTATATTCTAAATTATAAGTAATAATAAATATTATATATCTATAGCTATTAGGCTTTTTGTAGACTGTATATGCAGCTTTTTCTTTAGTAATAAAAATATTATTTTCTATTTTTTTTACACATACTTGTAGGCGTGCATATATATATAAATACTTTATTATTATATACTATAAGCACAGATAACTTTTTGCGCAGCTTTATTTAGTAAACGCACAAGCTGTATAAGTATTAAGTTTAAAATAATTAAGTTTTTTATTAGGGTAGTAAGCTGTTTATATAGTATTATTATTACTATAGCGTTTATATAGAATGCTGCCGTTTGTGCAATATAAGCAGAAAATAGCCTAATTATACTTATAGCCTTTTTTAATATAGCAATTGCAAAAATTATTATTTTTATTAGCAAGAGCTATGCATGTGTTGCTATTTGCAATATATATATTATATAAATATTAACTATTATATTATAATAGTTTAAGTATCTGTGCGTTTGTATAGTTTTAAGTTTTATAGTTTTAATATATAGCGTATTATTGTTTTTTAGGTAGTATTTGCCGCATATATATTTGCACTAGTGCACAGTTTAAATATTTATTAGTTGTAGTATAATAATTATATAAAAATTCTATATATATAAAGGCCTTTGCAGTTTTTCTACATTATTTGCAGTAGTTTTAAATATACTACTATTTTTCTATTATAAATAGAATGCACTTAGTATTCTTCTTAGTATACTAATTATATTTTATATTATTGCCTAAAGTTAAATATTTCCTTTGTTGTATAAAACAGCGGGTGCAGATATTATTAATAGGCTTAGTAATTCTAAGTAGCTTAAATAGATTAAATTTTTTATTATTACTACTGCTTACTAAGCTATAACTGTTTTTATTTAAAAATTATTATAGTTTTAGAAATATTTTTTAGAGCGTAGGATTAATAGGTAGTTTGTAGCTAGCTATAGTAGTATTGCTATTACTAAGCTAAAGCTATAAATTAGAAATAATATTTTTAGGCAAAGTATTATTGCTATTATTAGAAAGGCTAGACAAGCTATTTTTATTGCTTTTATTAGTAAGATTAATAGTTGCATTTTTGTTTAAGGAAGTGCTATTATTTATATTAGTAAAGTTAATAGTTATGCGTGTCTATATAGGTGCATTTAATAATTATACTATACTATTAAAATATTATATAATTAGTTATAGGTTAGATATAATGTTATGCGCTAGTTAGTTTATAGAGTAGTTTTTAAAAGTATGTGTTCCTAAAATTTAAAAAAAATCTATTTATCTATTTAAAAAACAAAATTTTATAACTTAAGTAAATTTAAAGTATAAGCTTATACTTAGCAGCTGCCTCTTTTTTGCCTAAAATTAAGTTGCCTGTTAGTAATTAGGCGTATAGAAGTAGAGTAAAATAATAGCAGGAATAAAAAGTAGTATATTTAAATATTATTAGTATACTATTTTTTTAAACTGTATTAATAGTGCTAGTACATATACTAGTAATAAGTTTAGTCTATCTAAAAAATAATTTTAGTATTGCTAGTAGTAACAGCTAGTTTAAGTAATACGCATAAAATTATATATATATATTGCTTTTTATACTTGCTCTGCAAAATCTTTGTTATTAGAAAATTTATTTATAAAAGTAGATAGCGCAAAAAAATAGCTATTAAAAGCAGATATAGTATTATTGTTGCTATTACTATTATTATTGCTATTTAAGTTAAGTACTGCATTTAGTACTTAAACAGGTTCTTATAGTATATAGTTATTAATATACTAACTATAAAAATAAGTATTATTTATACTAGTTATATTATTAACGCGAGCTATAGAGATGCGTCTAACTTATTTAATATTAAAGTACTAAACTTAGCAAATATTTTTGCTATTTATATACAGAAAATATGCAATATATTTTTATAAAGAGTAAAGCTTTTATTAGCTAATAGTAACGCAGAGTTTAGGAAGTATAGTAATATAAACTTATACTTCCTACGCATTATTTTTGCTAAAATTAAGTTTTTTACTATAAAAAGCTTTATAAAGAGTTTTCTTGTCCTATAGCGCTTTTGCAGGAGCTTAGTTCTTTTTATTAATAGCTTTCTATATAATATATATTTAGAAACTTTCTAGTAGAGTAGCACTGCGCAGTATTTCTTTAGTGCAGTTAATAATAAATTTAGTTATATTAAAAAAAAGTATAAAGTTTTTAATTATAGCTAAAGTGCGTTCGCGTATAATCTAATAAAAGTACTTAATTATACTAACTATATAGTAAGCATATAAAATGCTAAATTTAATAGTAATACTTTTGCTATTATAAAAAGCCTAAATAAAATATTATAAAAACTTATTATTGTATTGCATACAAATAATAAGTTTACTGTATTCTATAAATATGCGTGTAATAAGTGTAGTAAAAAACTTTAAAATTTTATTTTTAGTAATAAATAAAATAACTTAAGTAAATTAAGTAGTATTATTAATAAAGAATAATATGTACTTTTTGCCTTTTAGGCCTAGTACAAAATATAGTTTTTATATATTTATAGTAATAAGTTACTTAAACTTCTTATAGTAATAGTAAGCTAAATTATAAAAAATTTTGTAAAGTGCGCGAGTAGTATAGCAAATAAAATAAATATTTTTAATTTTAGCTTTAATTTGCGCATCTGTAACTTTAAATTTTTTATTTATTTTAAGTAGTATTTGCATACTATTAAGGCCTAAATAATTAAAATAGCAATATTTTAATTAAACTAGGTTATTAAAGTTAATAGTAGTAGCAGTAATAGGAAGTGCAAGTAAGCATAGAAACTAAAGTATATAAATATTTATTTAAGAATAAAGCAGGGTGTGCATAAACTCTGCTTTATTATTTTTTTTATATACTTTTATAGCGGTGCCCGTAATTATAATAATAAAGTTTAATTATATAAAAAGCAATAAAGATAATAAATTGCAGTGTATTTAAAGAGCGTAATGTATATTATATAGTTTAAAAATAATAAATTTGCTATATAAATTAGTAATAATAAACTTAATATTACTTATACTAATAATGTTAAATTAAAATTTTTATTTGCATTTTCTAATAGTTTTTCTGCAAGGCTTAAGCTTAAAGAAAAAAAAAAAATTATTAGTAATATAATAAAAAGTACTACTGTTATAGATTTAATAATTAAAAAAAATTAGTAGTATTAAGGCCGCATATGCAGTTTGTATAAATAATTTATTAATTTTATTTAAACTTTATATATTTTAGCTATTACTATTTGTAATAGCTTTTTTTGCATTTATCTCTAGCCTATATTTATAATTCTATTGTGTATTAGATATAAAAAAGCAGTTAAGAGTAAAGTATATACATTTAAAGTCTAAAATATAAAAAAAATTAAAATTAAAATTATTAATTACTGTTGCAATTATGCGCTTAAAATAGAGATTATTAGTAATAGTAAAGTTAGAATTATAACTTTTACTTGCATTTTTAATATTTTTAATATTTTTAGTGTCTTATTACTTTTTGCGACAGGTAGCTTTAATATATCTAAATTTACTATATTTAGTGCATTTAAGAGTATTAGGCTTGCTAATATAGTAATAAGTCTTAATAGTATAATTAGTATAGCTATAGTAACTGCATATAAGGCTGTTGCTTATATTGCAGTTGCTATTTTTATTATTATTATTTTTGCTTTTTTTATTGCTATTGCTTTTGCTATTGCTGTTAGTATAAGTATTGCTAGTAGTATTATTAGACTTATTTTTAGTAGTATTTTAGGCATTTTTATAATTATTAGCGTACTTAATAATAAAGTCCTAGTAGTTTACTTAGGTTTCTTAAGTAATAATTTTCTTTTTAGAGTAAAAAAAGTTCTAGATTTTAATAAAAGTATAGTACTATTATAGGGGAAGAATTTTATTAATTCTGTAAATTAAAATAGTATAAGTAAAAAAGTTTTTAATAGTATTAATATTTTTATAATAGTGCTTAAAATTAGCAAAAAGCAGGTAGATAGTAGAGAAATTTATAAATATAAGAGCGTCTAGCTTTACTTTAGTATAGTAAATAATAATTAGATTTAAAGTTTAGTATATTTTAATAATATTAGTTTAAGCTGTATAAGGCTTTTTTTTCTATTTATTATTAAGTTTATTTTAAATATAGTCTTCTATAGTATCTTTAAAAAGATAAAAGGTAGTAAGTAACTTTTTGCAATACTTATTATAAAATTAAAGCTTAAGCTTATAAATTTTAAGCTTAGCCTTGTATTTAGATTAAGTAGTATTATTATTATTATTAGGCAAAGTAATAATACTAGAAAGAAAGTATTAACTTTTAAAAGGTAGTATTATAGCTTTAAACGCAGTTTTAGTACGTAAAAAAATAAGCTTAATAAGCTTAAAGTACTAAACTGCAGAGCTATTATAGTAGTTAAGCAGGCTTTATTAAGTAGTAACTTTTTTAAAAACGCGCTCTTATTTATAAAAGTTATTAAAACTAGTTAATTTAATAAAATTTTTACTAAGCGCCTGCTTAGTATTAATTATAAGTAAAAATATATTTAATATTATACTATACTTAATATAGTAGTGCTTTAGTAAATTAGATAGACGTAATAGTCCTTAGGCAACGTAGTAGTTAAGTAACTTAAGTAAGTTAATATAAATACTATAGTTTTAAAATTAATTTTATAGTTAGAAAGTAACTAATATAGTTGCGCAATAGTAGCGCAGAAAATATAGTTTATTATAGCTAAACTGCGCGTAAGTGCGCAAAGAAGCTTATAACTTATAAAATTAAAAAAAAGTAATTATATTAATAATATTTTATATATAAAGGGAAGCTATATTTATATATAGAAGGGAGTAAAACTAGAGTAAGCTAGTCTATATGTAGACTAGCGTGTTGGGCACATAATAAATTACGTGTTAGGAATCTAAACCAACAGCGTTCCGGAGTAGTGATAGTTGGCTGTTTAGAGCAGACCGACTTCGGAATAGTGATGTACTCAGTACATTCAAAGATAATGTATTCATGGCCGTAGTACCAGATCTTGAAATGATTCCGCCACATGCGCACGAGGAAAACTGGCTAGATAGCGACATCCCAGCTATAGGGGCAATCTATCGCCTGCAGCCAGAGCAGGCAGATAGCACTGATGAGAACACTCTTCTTAGTGTACGGGAGCTTAGTGAGAAGCTTAGCTTTGATCATGTATGGCGATGGCTCGAAATTTGTCGGGACAATCACGGCAACGCTTGTATGCAGCGTACATCGAACGAACCCATCTTGCGAGGCTTTAGGCTCATCGACTGTACCAAGCATCCGCCTGTCGTAGAGGAAAAACCTTGGGGAACTACATATGCTGCTCTAAGCTATGTCTGGGGATCGAAGCCGGAGGACGCGAAAGACTGGCCCGAGACGGTGTTGGACGCGGTCGAGGCAACAAGGGAACTGGGTTTGCAGTACCTATGGGTTGATCGCCTCTGCATCAATCAGTCTGATTTAGCTGAAAGAGCATACCTCATTTCGCGCATGACGACGATTTATGAAGAAGCGCAGTTCACAGTTGTAGCAGCAGCTGGTTCTGGCGCGAGCCACGGTCTTCCCGGCGTTCGATCAACTCCCCGAATACCGCAGCCAAAGTACTATCTCGATAGTGGGAACCTACTATTATCAACACTCCCAGACCCTCGCCGCGATATCCTTGAGTCGCCATACTGGACTCGGGGTTGGACCTATCAAGAAGGCGTTCTTTCCAATCGGCACGTAGTCTTCACGGACACTCAAGTCTACTGGGAATGTCGCTGCATGGCTACTCACGAAACTGCTGATATGACGCTCTTCCACATGTTTGCATCCACCGAGGAGAATTCAGATTCTGTAATGGCAGACTTTATGTTGTCTGGGATTTTCAAGGGGGCAACGTATAGTGGCGGAAGCAATGGGAATCAGGACGATCTGGTCATCGCGAAAGACGAGGTCTATCGCGTGGACCACGGCTTCCCAACACATCAGGAAGTAACTGTCCGATCGCAGTTGAGAGGTCTCAACGAGCACATTCGTGAATTCTCTAGAAGAAACTTGTCACGCGATACGGACACTCTATTCGCTTTCCAAGGTATAGTCGGATTGTACGAGCAAACCACGTCATTGTACCTGTTTCACGGGATACCTATGTGGGTGGGCGACATTACCGGAAATGTGGCCGGTGCAAGAGTAACCTTTGCCTTGTCGATTTCATCCTGGTACAACCGATCGGGCTCACTTCCTCTCATGTTTGTGTCTGAGCCGTGTCAGCGAAAGACCCATCTACCGTCGTGGACGTGGGCAGGATGGCGCGGCACCGTTTCCTGGCGCGCTCCTCCCAACTTGGAACATTGTGCCTATATGAGCGACCTTATCAAAGCTACAAGCGAGCCTCTTGTATGGGCCGCAGATATCCTCCTTCACAAAGCCGACTGGTCGTCTTCGATTTGCCTGCAGAACACACACTCAGCCGCCAGTCTCGCAAGCGAGGCATTGACCTTGATCGAAATCAAGGTACCCTTTATCCTGAACACCTGGGAGCGAGTAGAAGACACCGATAGAACATGGAAATGGGCAAAAAAGGCCGGCAGGCCAGGTCGTGAACAGTCCACGTCCCACAGCTGCAACTGGGACACGAAATGGTACAGAATAGGCCGCCGGCTAGCTTTCATCGGCATGTCGGTTGAGATGACCGCGGCGCAGTGGACTGCTAAGCATACCTCTGGAGAATTAATCAGCGTTCTGATATTTGCGGGGAAATATCTAGACAGTGAACATGGCACTGCTCGGTACCTAACCTTGCGGAAGGTAGCGTCTACGCCTGAGCGCTGGGAGAGGATCGGCACACTCTACCTTATAATCCCTTTTCTAATAGGGAAATTGAACACTCAAGACCTCTTTAAAAAGATACCCGGCCGTGCACAAAACCGGACGATAATTATCCAATGAAGGGAGTCGGCGCTCGCAAACCCTCACAGGAAGATTCTTAGACTTTGTTGTATATCGAAAGTATTGATGGTGATATCCTATCGCAATTCATTTTAGAGCTAGTAACGAAGTACACTTAACGACCTTTTTGACAATTAAAAGCAGAGTAGAAATCAGGGCTCTCAAGTCTGATACTTTCCTTTCAACTCTTCAGATGCCGGCCATAATGTTGCTTCATTTTGTCCTTCATCTCTTCCAACGTAATCTAAACCCAAAGTAGGTGATGGAGCATATAGAGCCGTGGCCCGAAAGTTGCAAGGGACAAGATAACCGCAAAGAGCAAACGCAGTGACTCAACAATTTTGGAACTCGCGCTTCTACATTCAGCTATACAGACATTTACTTACCCAAGGCTACCGGTATAATGTTCAGGCGCGCTAGCTATGGGTATCGATCGGATCCGCCAAATATTGTCTTACTCCTCTTTTGGAAGCGTTCAATATATCATAGCACAAACCCACCCACAGTAACATCCTTCCAGCTCCGTATAGGATGCGTGTCTTCGAGCTCTACACACCACCATAGCACTTCCTTTGTCTTGTCAATCTGTCCGCTCTCCTCATACGCTCTCGCCAAAGCGTACCACGCCTCTGAGTAATCCCACCCAGCGCCTAGCTTGGTCAATGTTGATAGCAGCCCGAACGCACGATCGCGTGCTGCGAGACGGTTTAGTACCGGTGGTGAGAGTTGGTTCTCAGCAGATGGAGTGTGGGATGTTAGATACTGGGTCTTTGAGGTGGATGTATCTTTCTGAGCAGACGGTGCGGAAGGCTGCAATGAAGGCGTTGTGATATCTGTTGGCTCCGTAAGTTCTAGGGGTATTACTTCGCTGTAAATATCCAACAAGATATTCGACAGGCCCACAATGCCCTCAGGGTGGTCTGGAAAATGTAGGAGAGCACGCTCGAAGTCTGCTCGTGCTAGATGCTTGTAAGATTGGGCTACTAAAAGCTCTCCGCGCTATCGTACTGTCAGTTATGGTCACCCACATAATGAAGTGGAGAGTACTTACCATAGCAAAGACATCAGCCCATAGCTCTTCGACACTCTTTCCGCCACCCCATCCCTTATCTCCAAGAGCCTTAGCTGTCGAAGACTCCAGCGACGCCTCAGCCTCGAAAGTCTCTACTAACTTTAGCGCTTCGGTAAGCGCTTCCTTTGCGTCTTCGAACATCTGCGCTCGCGTATATAGGCCAGCAGTAAAGATCCAAATGCTGCCAAGGAGCGAAACCTTCTGTCGGCGCTCTTGTAACTTGGAGAAATGTGGGTCTGGAGGGATGAAGTCCAAATGTGGAACGGAGGTAGGTAGTCGAACGTCCTGCTTCAGCGGCTGGTTTGTGGGTCCTACCGGAGGTGACGTATGGGATAAGTTGTGTGCGATGGGACCTAGGGACCTATCGCCGCTTTCGATAGATTTTCGTGGAGTGCCTGAATTAGAGCGATGTCGTGAATGTGGGGTAGTACCTCGTGCTGGCGAATTCTTTCCGACGTTCTCTGGAAGCGGAGGCACCTCGGGAGCTTCGTCAGCTTCCGTTATCGATGCTCTGCGGAGGCTAGCGGAGCTTCGTTTTTGAAGCTTGCTAGGACTTAGCCCAATGCTTGCTTTGTTGTCCTCGTTCTTGTGGTGATGGAATAAATGGTGACGCTGATGACCATTGGCGTCAACCGCGCTATTCTCCTCGGTGACTTGAATGGCAGGAGGCGCACCAGATTGGCCAACAACACTTGTAGCTTTGGAACCGAGGATTGAGGGATTCCTGGTAGTTGTGTCCTTGTCTGTTGTTCTGACTGACCCTCGTCCGCGGAAAATACTTCCTCGAATCGTACCTACAGCGCTCTTTGGAGGTGATAATGCAGCGGTTGGCGTCTCTAACTTAGATTTATCTGCGGTAGGATCGCCGAAAAGCCTGCGGTATAGGGCGAGAAGCTCATCACAGCCATCTACAGCAGCTGTAGCGCCATCTGTTACCTCGAGCAGAGCTAGCTGTGTCATCTTTATTTGTAGTATACTGCTCTTTTCGAATGCTCCCATACGATCAACAATACCATCGCTCGGCGCGTTCTGACCTCTGGCTTGGTTGAGATGTTCGCTGCGGTAGGCATTTTCATCGTCCGTACCAAACAGTATGGTCGGGTCGCCGAACTGCTCAAAAGCTGCTTCACATGCCTTTTCAGCTGCAGTGAACTCTGACCTTGACGTCAAGAGTAAGGCGAGAAGATGCCACAGGGGGATCAGTTTGCGCTCTCGGCCATACTCGGCAGCAAATCCACCTGATAGCACGCCATCAGTGCTGATGGTGCTCTTGTTCCGCGTAGCAGGAGACAGCGCGCGCTTCACGACTTTGATCGCCCCCGGGATGTCTCGCGTCTCGGCCAGTACCAGTGCTAATGCATAAAGGGCTTCAACATTATTTGAATCACCGAGGCTTGGAGCAAGGGATTTGCGCAAGTATTGGACGGCCTTGGCCTGGATCCCGGCTCGTGCTTCCACTTCGTAGGTTAGGCGTGCCCAATGTGCCTGGCTGATGCCTATGGAACAGTAGGCTACGGCTAACGCTGTAGATTCAACCTGCGTCTCCGTCGAGGCCACGGATCCCGCATCAGATGCTGATCTGAGATGATCTGATTGTTCTAACCATTTCTCGATGGTGTGACCGATCTCTAGAGCCTTCTCCGCCTCTATTCTGGATCCAAAACGGCAAAGTAGTCTGATGGCTTCTGCGGATGTCCTCAATACTGTGCTATCATCATCAATGCCAGAGTCTGCTTCGCCCGTTTTTTCAGCTCTGTCCTTTCCCCGTGTGATGATCTCTACGTAGGATTCGTAGGCTTTGAACGCCAATTCAAATTCGGCTAGTGATGCATGAAGAATGAACAGGTGGCGCAGAATCTGAGTGGAGTGAAAAGTCTTCGTTGCTGCTCGATAGAGTATCTGGAGAAGAGCGGTTAGCAAGCTGCCATCTTTGCCTTAGACGATCAGGTGCTCACGTCAAGCACACTTCGTGCGATGCCCTCCTTTCCGCCCTCGCCAAGATCGTCGCCGCTCCATGTCGGGCCGCAAAGGAGACGCCAGTTGTCCACGACAGAAGTCACCCATGCTTCAATCTCACGATTTGTTTCGCTTGCTTTTGGAAATTGAGTCTCTTTGATCAGTAAGTTCTCATAGACTGTCTCGACTCGCTTCAGCTCTATTCGCTGTCGTAAGCGTATGCTAGACAGACTGTGTAAAGAACCCTTTTCTTGGGATGCGGGCGTAGTCGACTCGGGCTCGTATGGAAGGTTGTGTCGAAGAATGGTAGACAATGTATCGTAGTATGCTCTCCAAGCGAGGCGGCGGTACCGCGCTGCGTTGGCCGCATCAGATGCACCACTCCTGGCTGTGGCTTCCCAGAATCTTGCCCAGTAACGGTACGTGCGTAGGGCGGAGGAGGAGTCGACGTATTCGCTGGTGGTGGATGACTGGTCGGATAGCTGACACAGGCGAACGAGCACTTGCTCGCTCCACATGTTGAACTGTAGTGTTTCTGCGCCCGGGGAGGTGGTGGCTGCGAGCCAGGGAATTATCGAGGCATAGGCCGTCACTGCATCATGGATGGCACCTGTCTTTTCTAGAGCGGAGCCTGCACCTCATCAGCCTGCTAGCACATGGCGCAGAGTGGGTCACTGTCGGTACCTTTTAGATATGTAGCCTTCACAAGACAGGCCTTGGACCACGCGCTTAACGGCGCTGCTTCTTCTATCTGGGTCGCAACTGCCCCCAGATCCTTTGGCAATCGTGCGATAGCCAATCCAGGCTCGTCCAGGACGTAGTGCAGCCATCCGAGGCAGACAATGGCTTGAAACGCCTCCTGTCCTGCTTCGCTCTCATTGTCGATTGCAGTGAGCAGGGAGGGTATAATCTGTCCCAACCCAGAGGACGCGGTCGAGCTGGCGGTCGAGGGCCGCTGGGTGCTGTATGCAGCAACCTGTGCTTCGGAGCGCGCTGTGAGCGTGAGGCCTGCGGGCGCCGTTAGTCGTCGTTAGAAGGTCCAATATACGAGAGGGTCGCTGACATTGTCGATGCGGCGCATGCTTCTCGACTTTCCTACAGAGCTCCGGGACATCCGTCCAGCGCCCAGCACATCGTGCCTCGTCCAATTGCTGCAGGTAGCGCAGGGCCTTCTCGCTCTCAAGGGCCTTCTGTGTTGCGGTGGGTTAGCAATGCAGCCAGGCAATGACGTTGTTCGAGGGCCCTGAGAAATGTGTAGCAGAAGGACGACCTACCACCATGGTATTAAAGATAAACCTGTTGCGCTACACAAAGTCGCAATGTGTCTAGAATCATGTTCAAGGAGAAATATACAATGCGACGAAGCCAGCCATGACCGCTCACAAGTCGCTGACCGACACCAACACCCGGTCCCGCGCGCACCGCAACTTAACGGGCATCCCTGCCACTTTAGCGTCACACGGCCCGACTCTCGCCCCGGCATGTCAACTTTTTCTGTCCACCATCTAATCAACCCATTGCTTGTGAACCGGAACTGTTCGAGTGAAGGCTCGCACAGAGAAAAGGCGGATAAAACACCATGGCTTCTAGTACGGCCGAACTGGCGACGCTGCGAGCGCTCACTTTCCGCATCTCCTCGACGCCGACTTCACAACTACCACAACACGTGCCTGCCATAGCGGCATCCTTGACCAACTGCAGGACTCTTCTCTCTTCGACCCAATCTTCCGGCGCCAAGGCATCCTCTTCCGAAGCATCAGTAGCTATCCACAAGTTCCGCACCTTGCTTTCGACGCTCCTCCAGGACCGCACCATTCAAGGACGATGGTCAGCTATAGTCCTGATCAAGGCGAGCGTCGAGGTGGGAGGATGGGAAACCCTGCAAAAGTGCCTCCCATGGGTCCGTGGGCTTTTGGGCTTTCTGACCAAGCCGGACCCGCCAGCCTCGAAAAAGCTATGCATCATCACCTTGACGCGCATTTTCCTCCTTACCAGGGAGTACCCTACCTTGATTCGCGAGATCACCACCCCCTCGCTACCAACCTTTGTTCAATCTAGCCTGCAGATAGCCAGTTCGAGGGTACCAGCTTCCGTCCTGCAAACCATTCTCGAGAGCTTCAGTCGACTTCTACCGCGTCACCCGACCATCTTCCGGTCCTACCTCAAACAGCTCATGCCCCTGCTGGAGCGTCTAGTTGCTCCTACACCCTCTAGCAAGCTTAGCCGAGAACAAGAACCTGAGGCCAAGTTTGGTATCACGTCCGAAGTCACGGCTGCGGCACGCCAGCTCTATGTCCAGATACCATGCTGTGCTCCCAAAGGAGCCTCAAGCGAGGACTGGGGAAAGGCTTTGAAGACTGCTATCAGCAACGCCCACCGCACAGCAGACAGAGTTTTTCGTGCCGTGCTAGAGGATTGGCAGTCAACTACGCGTGAGACATCGACCCTAAATGGCCATACACTGGATGATGAAGTGCAAGATCTCGAGATTGTCAACAAAGGATTACCACCTTGGTCGGGCATCTACGCGGGGAGCGAACGCCTCACGAGCCTCTTACTACTCGTGAAAGGGTATTTGGAAAGCCCTACTGCGAACTCCGTATATCTCAACATCGGTACAATCATGGACCTAATCACGAGGATGCTATCACTTACTGTCCCTGCATCATCGGGCAAAAGCTTTCAGAACACAGTGAGGCTGAACAGTCAAGTCAGCAAGGAAGAGCGGGAGCATCTCTGGATGCTATTACCAGATGTGCACGTAGCGGCTATTGAGGTGCTGTTGACTCTATCAAGCCGGTCTCTTGAAAGCACACTAGCGCTTGACTCGCTCATCATTGACCAGGTGGTCTGGGTCTTCGGCGCAGAGAAGGACAATGCACATGTTCGGACGGCCTGCTATCTGATCATCGCTACTGTACTCGAACGATCAGGCAGGACTCTCCCAAAATCGACTATCGACTCCCTAGTCCCCATTAGCCGTACTTGCTGCGAAGACCTACTTCCTTTCGAAGTGAGCGCAGGTCCAGCGAAACAGACCCCAGGGCAGGCCAAAGCGAGCGGAAACAGTCAACCGCAGACTACTGCAAACGCCGACACGTTCCTGAACTCGTTCCCAAAGGGCATTAACGACCCCACTGCCAACTTTGCGGGGCTCAAAGGCGCTGCGCACAACCTGCTCCCGGTCCTGCTCACCAACATCCGCGCTCAATATATTTCCGACTCACTACGCGCTCGCCTAGACCGCGCTGCTATCATCAGTCAGCACAAAGATGCTATGCTGGCCAGTGTCCTGAACCCGCCTCCCAGCAAAAAGTTCGGGAAGCCGGCTGCGAGCATTTTGCCGCTCATGGCAAGATCATTCCCATTAGACAAGGACGTAGAGGGTGTGCTGAGGCCCCGGATGCCAGTCATTCGTCTGGGCGGTCAAGATTTGGAGATGGAGGACGAGGCAGAAGAGGAAGCCAACGAGGAAGAGGACGAGAGTGAAGACATGGTAGCGGATACGGAGGTAGAGCAGGAGTATATGGAAAGAGAAGATGAATCCTTTGTCGGTCACGAACTGGACACTCTTTTGGAGTCGGCAGGACCGCCAAAGACTTTAGTGAAGGACTTTGCAATGCGAAATGCTACCACTCTAGACGGGGTTGGCTCAACGCCATCCTCGCAAAACCAGTCAGTGCCCGAACCTACGCAGTTTATAGACACGGGAAAGCGGTCGATTTACAACGAAGCTACACTTTCGCCATCCAAGCGAGTGAAAATAGACCAGGAGGAGCAGCGTACAGCGCAACCCGTACAACCCCTGCCCACACTTGCTGCAGCACCTAAATCATATTTTACAGCAACGGACACAGCATCTGTGGTCCCCGAGCTTCCACAGCCAGGTGCAGCGGAACTTGGCGATGCAGATAGTGATATGGATGACATCGTTCCTCTCGTGTTTGGGCAAGACACTGATGACGAATCAGAGTAATTTGGATTACCTCGATAGACTAACTATTATCAATTTTTATAACGAAAAGAGAAACTCTTCCCCTCTAGTTGCTAATTTGGTGAAAGGTGAATGCAACCACGGAAGGTGAGCGCACGGACGGTTATTATGCGTGGATTTTTGTGAATCAACTTGCTCATTCGTAATATCTCGTTACTCAGCCCAAGCCTTACCGCGGTTTACCTACTCGCATACTTAAGCACCCTTCTTCAGTGCGGCCAGGCGACACTTATAGCCTTTATAGAAGCCTTGCAATCTCTTTGCGACGCCGCGCGGAGCGTACAATAGGTCGATAAGATGCTCCCAAACAAACGAAAAGCCACCGAGGCCATCCTGGCTACACCCAACAAGAAGCCTCGCATACCCTCCTACAAGCCTTCTAAATCTAGCATCCCGACATCCATGCGTGACCAACCGACAACATACCCTTGGGACTCGTACCAAGATGCCATCGTCGTGAACTCCGTGGAGTTCAGCGACATGCAACAGCGAGTAGGTGCTGAACACTACAGCTACATGCTCAGCTGCCAGAAACATTACAAGCACATCTGCGTGGGCTTTGACGAGTACCGGTATAACGGCTTGAAAATCGAAGACTTGCCCGAACTCGATGACAACGACGACGACGAGGAACAGGATTTAGTGCAACAAGAAAACCTGGATCCAACCATCAATACCACGCGCCCGCCCGACCCTCCGCCATCACATTACGCCTACCCACACCCCATCTACCAAGCCACAACTTCCAACCCGGCAATCCCCCTCGCCATACTCCGCATCGCTCAGAAGAATCTCTCATCTATTTCCTTCGACTCCGCGATCGCCCACCTACCGAACCTCGCGCACGCAGACCCACTACCCAAACTAACATCCAACATCTCTCCCGAAGACATCAAGTACAAAAATAGAGATAACGCCATCAGATTGAATGTTGCTTTCCTTCCAGAATTTTACAATGATGGAAGACATGCGCTGGGGTATTATACGCTTTCTCAAGCCTCTAGCTCGAACTCCAGCCCTATGAATGCAAGGCGGAGAATGGTGGGTGCGTGTCTTTTTACGCCTTGTACGATTCGGGATCTAGAAGTGTATAATCTAGTGAAGTTCATGTATGGACGGAAACACCATGGAGTGGAGGGTATTAAGAGCGTGGGTGTGAGACAGGGGAGGTGGGTTGAGAAAGATGTGGTGGAGGACTGGGATGAGTGGAGTTTAATGGTCAAGGTTGTCGGGCGAGTTTGGCAGGTGAGGTTGTTGCTTTTAATGGGTGGGCAGGAGGATGGGAACACGGCGGTAGATGATTGGGTATAGTTGGGTGTTGAGATATCAGGAGTTTGAGGATGGAATGGTTTACTGATTTGACCAGGATTTCATTAGCTTTGGTTTTATCCTTGTATTTACATTGTAGATAAGATCTATAGAGAAGGGGAAAGGAGAGATTGAAGTTCGCCCAGAGTTTAGTCAGTCTTAGAGACTGGTTTACAATCTGAACCACTGGAACTCAACTAGTGTTAGTGAGCTATTAGTAGCTAATGGAAAATAAGGCATCAAGATGCTGCCTAGAACTTCAAAACCTCCCTGCAGACTGTCTTGTGCACAAAGCAAATTATAGCGCGTTGGCGCGTTATTTCCAGATAACACGATACGCCAGACGTACAACAACCAGGAGAACAACGCCGTAATGTAGGTCAGACCATCATTCGCTAGATTATATTATCAGTTACAACCGATGGTGAAATGAAGAGTTCTAGGAAGCTAAGAAGCAAGGAGCAACCAATGCGGGGTCTTTCACTGCTAGGGCGCTATTCTGGCCAGGAGGTGAATTGGGAGCCCGCAGTGTTATAGCCAGCTCCATCCAACGTTTTGTGCCTAAATATTCTCTTGAACCTTCCAGATCGACCTCAACTGTCGAATCAACGCATCCGGATATTGCACTGAACTCGCGCTTGACACTCGAAGTGTTGTAATTGTAGCGAAGACACGAAACCACGCCGAGCGGCTCCACGGCATCATGAGCCTCTTCTTTCTCTCAGAACCGTACATGCGAACACTAGATCATTACATACCAACACCAGCACCAAAGATGGAGATATCCGACAACAAATCGGAGCCGTTCAGACTGCTGGACCTACCAAAAGACATTCGCCTCATGATATACGAGCACTTACCGTACACCGAGAATCGACACAACGTCCCGCTACAGGATCGAAACCACCACATAACCCTCGTCAACTGGTCAGTTTCTGGAATACGGATCTTGGGCACGTGCCGTCTAATCAACGAGGAAGCATCTTACATCCTCAAGCCACGAATGAATCAAGTCCTGAGATGGCCACCGAGGATTTTCGTTGAGGCGAAGCATCTCGTTGGTTTGATAGCGCTGCGCGATGGCTTCAAGTACCCATATGACATCCTGGACAAGCTTTTCCAAGCCGCAGATATGGATATATACGTGGAAGTTATTCAACGTTACCGCCAAGGTCGATATAGTAATGAAGCACTGAGGACGAAGTTGGGCATGCGAAATATCGTCGACAAAGGCGATCGCGATACCATGAGGGCAGTGGCGTCGTTCATGCTCCGAGTAGCGAAATGGGTAAGCACCAAGCCTTTCAATCTGGGCCTGTCGCATCCACCCCTGCTTGTAGTTATCGGTAAGTAAAGCTGTAGAACGCACCTTTTCTCAGGTGTAGTCTCTTCTCCCGCTATTTGCGTATTGCTAACCACCTATAGAACTCCCTTCTACATTCCGATCCGGACCGATCACAACGACTACCTCCCGAACAAAGGCCCTGTACTACCGATTGGTCAATGGAATCCATCGTCGAAGCCGGGTTCAGACTGGGACAGCGAGGCTTAACTGGCTCGTGCGACGGTTTTCCTTTGATGCGGCACTAAAGGGCAAGTTCTGGAGCACGTTGTCTATCATGATCCTGCTGCAATATACAAAAGATGGAACCGGCAGTATGATTGAGGTGCCACGGGCCACAGAGGATGGCATCCGGGCAGCTACAATTATTGGAGTGCAGGACGCAGATTTGGTGGGCTGCGGGTTCCTTGGCTATGGGGGTGTGGCTTATGAACGGTAAGTAGAGACGCGAGGATGCCACCATATTGAGTCCAGACCATCTGGTAGTGCTGGGTAGCGGAGAAGCTTGACTGTATTCGAGCAGCATTGTAGATTCACGTCTGCAGTTGCACTGTACCTGAATCAAGTCCACAAAATGACGGTGCGCCGCTGGAATTCGTTACAAATCGATGTGCATATCTAGCATCTACATGTGTTAAGTTGAAGGATTATAGGTCGTCTGACAGACCATCGTACCTCTTAGCCCGCGCAGCATTTGCAGTGCCCAGAAATATAATCCAAAATGTGTTAGCGCGTTTTGGTAGTTTGCGTATGTGATAGGGTGCTCTGTGCACCATTCTGGCAATGCCAAGGCAAATGTCTCTGTGGCTTCGTTGTCGGTCCGCGCGCTCTTCGCAAGACCTATGGGGCGCGCAATATGGAGCTGTACCTTCAGCTGGCATGGTGCGTGGTGGTGTAGGACCGATGGACGCTGGTGTACCGGTAGACCTCGGGAACGACTCTTTAGGCGCGCAAGCTAGTCCTAGAAAGGAAGGCTCCGTGAACCCCGCCATCCACGTGCAATGATTGGCAGGGGGTAAATCCGGGGACGACGTCCAATTTCATTCTGCAAAACTTCACATGCCGTCCTCGCAACTTTTGCAGGACGCTAACACATATCTAAAATGAGGCTCAGATGACGAGGGGAAGTATTATTCGTTCGACGTCGGACCGCTCCCACCTTCTAGTCATTTCCGCTTCCGTGGTAGCATGACGCTTCCATCGTGCCCGTTGCTAGTTCATTTACTTCTGGCAGTGTTTATGGGATTCGAGTAGGTTGGAACTATGGTCGCACCGAGGATCCACCAACCTGTCATGAGGATGATGGACTATATATTGTACGACGATTCCTAATTCTTCAATATTAATTAAACGCGCCATTCTCAGACTCCCAAGACTACGATGCTTCTAACATCGCTTCTTCGCGCCCTTCCGGCAACCCTGCTCCTCTTTGGTACCAATGCCATACCCGTCGACGACCACGAAAAGCGGCAGTCATCCATCGACGCCTACATCAAGAGCCAAGCCGATGTATCCATCAAAGGGGTGCTTGCTAATATTGGGGCCGATGGATCGAAAGCGCAAGGTGTACCAGCAGGTATCGTCATTGCTAGCCCATCGCGTTCAAATCCTGACTGTATGTTGTCAAGATTTCGTCCAGATACGCAATTTCTAACAAGCTGCAGACTATTACACATGGACTCGGGATGCTGCGCTAACTTATAAAGCGCTTGTCGAACGCTTCATATCAGGTGACACGTCACTTCGACAGAAGCTGGACGACTATGTCTCCGCTCAAGCATATCTGCAAGGCGTGTCGAACCCATCTGGCAGCCCTGATTCAGGAGGTTTGGGTGAGCCGAAGTTTAACGTTGATCGAACGGCATTCACTGGCGCATGGGGACGTCCGCAGCGAGATGGCCCACCTCTTCGTGCAACTGCCTTAATCATCTATGCCAACTGGCTAATCGCGAACGGTGGCCAGACCCAGGCAGCGAACACAGTGTGGCCCGTTATCGCGAAGGATCTTGCATATACTGTACGCTATTGGAACCAGACTGGCTTTGATCTTTGGGAAGAAGTCAATGGCTCCTCTTTCTTCACACTTTCCGCGTCGCACCGGGCTCTCGTTGAAGGCGCAGCCCTAGCAACCAAGCTCAGCAAAACTTGTGACGGATGTGCTGCCGCTGCACCCCAAGTCCTGTGCTTCATCCAAAGCTTCTGGACCGGTAGCTATATCGATTCAAACATCAACGTCAACGACGGCCGCACTGGAAAGGATGTCAACTCAATCATATCTTCCATACACACTTTTGATCCTGCCGCGAAGTGTACAGATGCCACATTCCAACCCTGCTCGTCTAGAGCTCTTTCGAATCACAAAGCAGTCACCGACTCTTTCCGCTCTGTATATGGCATCAATCGTGGCATCGCTCAGGGACGAGCAGTCGCCATTGGGAGATACTCCGAGGATGTTTATTTCAATGGCAATCCGTGGTATCTGGCCACACTAGCCGCAGCAGAACAGCTATATTCGGCAGCTTACCAGTGGGATCGTCAAGGCTCTATCGTAGTCGATGCTGTCTCACTACCATTCTTCCGCGATCTCTTGCCCTCCATCGCGACCGGAACGTATGCCAAAGGCTCCTCAATCTACACCTCAATACTGTCTAGTGTTCGTACTTATGCAGACGGCTACGTCGCTGTGGTGCAAAAGTACACACCCTCGAACGGAGGCCTTGCAGAGCAATTTGACAAGAACAACGGTTCACCACTTTCTGCAGTCGATCTGACTTGGTCCTATGCCGCCTTCCTTACGGCAGCCGAACGTCGTGCTGGCGTCGTGAGCCCTACCTGGGGTGAGCCATCCAACAATGTGCCACCAACTTCTTGCTCCGGCACTCCAGCCTGCAATGCACGCATCACCTTCAATGTCCGCGCGAGCACCAGCTTTGGCGAGAATGTCTTCGTTGTCGGCCAGTTGGCGCAACTCGGCAACTGGAACCCAACTGGCGCAAAGCCTTTGAGTGCGAGCAAGTACACGAGCAGTGACCCGCTTTGGTTCGCGGCGATTGATCTACCAGCGTCCACAGCATTCGAGTATAAGTATATTAGGAAGTCGTCGAGCGGACAGGTGACTTGGGAAAGTGACCCAAATAGGAGGTACACATCCTCAGCAGGTTGCGGAAGCAGTGCTAATGTGAATGATACTTGGAAGTAGATATATGGGTCACAAAATGTTTATACTCTGGTCGCTGAGACTACATGCTTACTTCAGAGATGACTTGGCTGGGCTAAAATAGACATAGTGGAACAAGTCATCACTAAACACTTTCTACTGCGCACCTCTCTATTTCTGCACATTTTGGTCGAACACGCAGCCCTACTGGTTACTAATCTTAGAGACGTTCACAGATCGCTGATAGACAATGTGGGTCGTGAGACTCGAAGAATAGCATGCAATGCGGAGCCGGTAGGTTAGCCTGCTGTTGTCTTGCAGCAGTGGCAACAGCGACTACATATGGAGACCCCTTCTGTGTCGTCACGGATCTCAAGCGCGTAATCGAACTCGACAATAAGTGAGACTTGAGTCAGACCCATTGATCATTCTACGTTGAGAGTGGCACATGGCTATGGACGGGTATATTTAAATAAAGTTGACGATCTTAGATTGACCAAGATCTGTTATCTATGGTGGAAACCCTAGCATATGGGTTATAGGTGGGATCTTGATCAAGGAATTGTTGATCTCCCCGCATACCTTGTATTTTCAAAAGTAAATTCTAATGATATGAAGCTCGGGGTATCTGTTATTTGTCTCTTCGCTAGGAGTGTGAAGATGATCTAGATTAGTATGCACTTAAGTGTGAGCGTCCTTCACATTGCTTCTACACACACAGTCGCCCACTAAAACTGATCTCAATTCTGATGGCTTCGGTTGCAGACTATGGGTGTATACTATGTGAGTTCTTGAAAAATTCATACCTGAACTCCACAACCCATCAAATATCAACTATTATCCAAAATGTCTGGATTGCCCATATTTGCCTGTCCCGCGTAAACTAGGGAATACTCCAGTGAACCTCGTCATATCCACCATTCCCACTAGTTCTTCACATCCAGTCCTTCTCCCACGTCTTCTTGTCGATGACTCCACCATAGTCCTCACTGCTCATATCTTCTTCTACCTGTGTCCCTCCTGACTCTCGATGGGCCTCGTACACAGTGATCGCTTGACCTAAAGCATCCAGACCCCGAGAATACACCCAACCATCAAGAATACTCAAAAACTCCTGAATGTTTGAGCTGGAAACTGCTTTGCCATGAAGAGCAACCTGCACACCTTGGGGTTCCCAGGGCATGAATACGTGGTCGATATACTGCGCTGTCAGATTGGCGAAGCACGCAAGGGTCTTGAAGTCTTGCTTCCGAAAGCTGGGCACCTTATCTCCTGAGAACTGCTGCGAATCGTGGGAGTTCCATATGTATTGAACTCCTCTAGCTGAGATGCCGCCGACGGTACGTGCACGCTGGCTAATTTTCAGGATCCGGATCATGAGCTCGGGTAACCTATTGAGCGCCGATTTAGAATCAACTTCCGCGATAATGCGTGGCACAGCATGTGTCAATGTCAGATTTCTTAGGAAGTCGCTGGCTTCTCCGTAGATAGATCGGCAGACTGCGTGAATTGGTGGGCTTCGATCCGGTATAAGGAGGATAGCGGAACAATAGAGTCGATCCTTGTAGCGCATTTGAACTTCATAGTGACGAGGAGTGACAAGGTGCTCGTAAACCATGAGTCGCAATTCTTTTGGTAGGTCGAGGAAGCGGAAAGGGTTCTGGTCGGATGAAGTGGTGGCGACTTCCATGGCGAGGAGAATTGATCCGTCGTAGAGAGAACTGTAGTGGAGCAGTGGTTGAGATTAGGAGAGCTTAGAGGTGGTAGATACCTAATGCAGCCCAGTAAGACGTAAATATATCTACCCTGGGAGCTGGAAATGACATGATGGTCCGGCTCTACATGATGCGTTGCTGGGGCTACATAAAAGGACCCGAGGAACAAGTAAACAAGTGAAAAGGTAAGGTCGAGACACACCAAGAAATCAGTTATCTCTATAGCAACAAAGACTTGGTCGAAGCATTCTTGATAGGTGAATTTTCCTGTTTCATGTGGATGTTCAAGGCTAATGCGAAGATAACGTTCTCACTCACGCTCGGCTCAAGTACGTTTCCAAGACTCTCCTATCCCGATAGCACTCGGTGCCGGTTCCAGGGCTCAAAGCCTCTTTCACATCCATTTCTCCGCCCACGTCCTCTCCTCCATCCCCCTTAGTACCGTACCCAACTACTCAAGAACTTCAAAGCCTCATTTGGAGACTCGAAGCTATACGCAAACGCCTTGATCCTCGAGTCCCTACATAACTTGGTGAGATGTTTCAGAAATTCTTTTTGAAGCTTTCGTGTTCGCCTACTACTGTAAAGTGTATAGCCCTAGATTTTGCCCCCGGGCCAGTTGCTAACGTGTCAGGGAACTTGGTGACTCCATGTTCTTGGCTAACGACCGAGTCGAGGTTATGGCGAACCTCATTCCACCAACTTGCATATTCCCACCTGTCGTTGGTCTTACGCAGTCGCAGCCCAGCTGCAGTGGTAAAAGCTGCTAAACGCTCATAATTGCACGCCAGAGCTTGCTGAAGTATCTCCCAACGGCCGTCGGGGGAGAACTTTTGGATCTGTCTGATATCTGGCGTTTCTGGCGAATTCATCGTTCCCCTAGTGTGGCGAAATACCACGTCGAGGAGTCCCCCCAAACGCGCAAGAGGTTTGAGAGGGCCAGCGCGGACAATTATACGAGGTGTTGCATGTGGTGCCGTCGTCCGTGTCATCTTGGCTTTCAAGAGCGGGGCAACCTATGCGCATATGAATTTGCAAATCAAGTGGACTGGGGTGATGTTAGAGATGATAAGGGTGATTTCAGCACTGTTATCATCGATTGATAGTGGGATCTTGTGATGGGTTCGATCGAGCAGATAATCGTAGACCATGAAACGCAGCTCTTTCGGCAAGTCCAGAAAGCGGAAGTACTTTAGATGATGGTCGGAGACTTGGCTAGTGGCGTTAGCCATAATGTCAAGTCGGGGAAGGTGGATAGGGGTGTTGTTGCTACTCGGAAGCTAGGGTGACAAAAGATCGAGAGAAGTGACATCGATTCCTAGTAGGACGGAGACTCCTATAATTATCAAAGCTCTAGGCAACAACCACGTGCCCTTCAAGTTTTGGTTAGGTGCTATTAAGCACTAATAATTTACAATTTGACTCTGCCTCCACGACTGAGCTTTGGGTGCTTTAATCTATTTTTTTCGCTCCCCTCGCCGTCCCCTTCTCGACGAAACAATGCCCAGAAACACTATGGCGAGACACGCTTACGTAATGCGTACCCCTCCCAGTAACATTGTGCAGGAGAATTCAAAACTCGCAACTAATGAGCTTGTTTATTATCATGTCAGATTGTGCGCTCAACAAAGCTACGTTATTGAACATATCATGACATGTCAATATAGGTGGGTTAGCTGCTCGGATAAGCCTTGCGTCACTCATTCGATTCCAGATATCGGAAAGGAAAAGAGGGATAGTTGGTATATACGCGCGAGTAGAATAGAGAGAAAACTTGTCAGAAGACAAGGGTCGGTCTGAACTACACAATACCAATGCCCTCGCCTGAGGTCTCCAAAACTCCCCCAAAAAACAAAGCAACATATCCAGTTCGCAGATGCATCAAGGGCATCTAATTATCAAACGTAGGGATATCTTTCTTTTCCCGTCCTGATCATCAGTCTCGTCATTGACACCCTCCATAAGTCGTGAGTTTTTATTCATACTGCGCTCCCAAGCCACAACAGCCGCACGACATGAAGGGTTCGCCACCTGCACAGCAGGCAGCACTCCCTTGGATTTCCTCGCAACCGATGTTTGAGGTATCCTGTCTTGACCTGGTCATGCGGCTGTCAGAGAGGTGCTGACCGCGGCTGCTTTACGAAGCATGGGGCTTGCCAGCTGAATCGGCCTTGGCGCGAAGGTTGGCAGCAGTGGAGCCGGACTCGGAGAAGTAGCGCGAGAAGACGGGCTGGAGGAAGGAGCGGAAGATGATTTGGGCACCGCTGCAGAATGTGAGCTCATGGAGGTGAGTGTGCAATGAGTGCGAAACTTACGCAGTCTGGGGAAGGGCCATCCAAAGGATAAGGACAAACTTGAAGGTGTAGTAGAAGGCTGCCAAAGTCAGTGATGCTCTTGAATGCACTGCTACAAATACTTACGGAACCAGTAGACGGCGCTAACTGCACTCTCAAAAACGGTCAAAAAGGCGTACACGACCCAGTACTATTATCGCATTAGTTTCACCACGCGACTTGAAACGGCAGATCCGAAGAGTTGGGAACACGCAGGAGGAGTGGAACATGCATACCGTCAACCACTAGAGGTATGTTAGTATGAGCCAGAAAATACGACTTTGCGGCTGCCGCAGATGATTAAGGACGTACCTGAGTGTCATCGACCTTGCTGGCACTGAAGAGAGCATTCAGCGAGTAGTAGCCGGGGATAACAAAACCGGCAATGTTGACAAGGAACTCGCCGGCAATGTTGAAGAAGATCAAGAAGAAGTACAGGCCGGCAAGACCGAGGATGGCGTAGACCTTGGGAACGGAGGTCTGCTTCTCAAAGTTGTTGAGGGCGGGGTACTTGGACAGCTGGAGAACACGACATCGTCAGTACACAGCACTCGACGTAGGGGGTCGTGGGAGTTACGGAAGCTTGAGGAAGCTTTCTTGGGTGTGGTAGAACGATAATTTGACACCTGTGCATTAGAAGCGAGGGCGCTTACCTCTTTGTCAAGCTGCGAGAGATGTGCCTGGGCTCTATCCTGGACAGACATGGTGTAGACTGGGTGTAGGGGGTGAAGCGGATTGCGTAGAGGGTGGTAGTGGATATTGGGATGATGGCGGTCGTGGAACAGAATGTGCGGCAGATGTGTCCTGTAGGTGGAAGAGGATATGTGTGGGGAGCGATTGTGGGATGAAGGAAGCGGCCGGGCGCGTCATCGCTAAATACGTCAGCGCCTTTCACGAGCCAGCCAGCCAGCAGCTACACCGCTCCAAGACATCGCGCGTGCGTGCATTCACGGCTGCAGTCAGAGGTGCGTGCGTTTTGTCTCAGTATTTTTATTTACCCGCGACTCGGTACTTCCTGTTGCGTGAATGAAAGGTCAAACTAAGTCTCGACCTGCTTGAGATGAGGAAGGTCATGTGACCGTGGTGGCCCATGCGTGCCGGTTGGCATCCGTTGCTGCAGGTGCGACCGAACGTAAACACTCCAGCCTCTCCCCACAACAGACGACAACAACGGCCGCCGTCCTCCGCCCACGACGCTTTTTCGACTTGGATATCTTTCTCCTGGTATTGATTTGAGGTGTTTGATTTTCTCCGCGAGGTCTAAGTGTGCCGGCGCCGTTCCAGTCCTAAACAAACAAAATCAACAGTAGCGGAAGACGGCTGTGACTCGAGACAAGCTCCCAAATCTTCCAGGCGGAGACGCGTTGCAGTCGCATACATTCTAAGATCCATTTAACCGTCTCTGAAGCACATCGCGCCCAGTTTACTGCCGTTCCAGCGCCGTTGCTATCGCTTTGTTTTGGTGTAAACAGAGGGAAAATCTGCCGCACCGGCACTACACAATGGCAACCGACATTCGCCGCTCGAGGTCCAACACCTCAATGTCTACTAGGAGCAATAGACCGCTTTCACGCGCTTCGACCACAAGTCTTCACTCGTTCGAACAATTCCAGCAGCAGCCGCGACCGACGCAATTCCCCCAACCGCCACAGTACAATGCGCCTTTCACTAGCGAAGCCCTCCAGCCGGCACTAATTCAGGCCGCACAGCAAGTTAGCGCACAAGACCAACTCATAAACATGTCACTCGAGAGCGTACAGCAGTATCTTGGGTACCCAGGAGACTCAACCCCAACCCCAACTCAACCGAACGGATTGGCAGCGCAACCAATCGACTCGCACGCATACCACAATTCACTGTCGCAACACCCGCAGCAACACTTCATGGCTCCGCCAATGGACGCAGAGGAGAAAAAGAAGAAGAACTCGGCGTCGGGGGCTGCTACCAATGACAAGGAGCTTCGTCAACTGTTGAACCAGAATGAGGGTCGGAACCTGAAAGACGTGGCAGCGGAAGTCATCCAGAACGACCGGACATCCAAGGCTGAAAAGTCGAAACAGCTCTTTGCCATGTTATGGTGGGTTGTGACAATCGCGTCAGAAAAATTGCTCGTTAACAAATTCCCAGGTTGAAATCTGTTTGTCGCCTTGCAAAAACCTCTGTCCCGCGCAACAGAGTCTACTCGAAATACGCAGAACGCTGCGGCACTGACCGCGTTATACCCCTTAACCCCGCCTCATTTGGCAAGCTCGTCCGAGTCATCTTCCCGGGTATTCAGACTAGACGCCTCGGTGTTCGCGGAGAGTCAAAGTATCACTATGTCGATCTGGAACTTATCAACGACAGTGGCGACAGCGAAGATATGCGTCGACCCAGCAATGGCGCCATAGCACACCATACAATGAAACGACAGCAATCCACGGGCCCTAAGCTTGACTTCAAGTACGCACCGAGACAACCACTTGCTTCGCGAAACGTGCTAACCTTACCTAGCGCTATCCCACGACTGCCTGCAGATAGCGCACAGTTTCCGCCCCGAGAGACTGCAGTACAACCACCTAGCAGTAATTACACCCCAGCCTCGTCGAAAGGTCTTCTATTCACCGACATATATGCGCCTCAGTACCGGTCATCCAACACTCGAACGAAGACATCGTACGAGAATGAGCTGAAGTTTCCCACACCAGATATCCTCGAAGCTCCAGATGCTCTGGAGATAGAACTACCGGACATCACGCCCTACCTGCCAGCACGTACTGATCCCGACTCGGCCCAGAATTTAGTAGCAATGTATCGTTCACATGTGACCTCTCTGGTAGACGCAGTGCGATATTGTAAAGAAAAGCAATTCTTCCGGCTCTTTGGCACATTCCACGGTACTTTGACCGTGCCCGTACAGAAGCTCTTCGCAGCGCCTGAGCTAGCCCCTTGGATCAAGGAGTGTGACTGGATGATGTATCAGAAGATGGTCCGCAACGTCTCGCAACTCACCCTACAAGTCGCCCCACCCGCTGTGCTTCGATTTCTCGATAACGTTGCGAAGACATTACATGCGCACATCAATGCAAAGTTCTTACCATTGCCGGTACACGTTCTTGAGGCCAAATTAGAACCCGCGACGATATTCTCGCATCTTCTACGCCAGATGTTGCGGGTCAACTCGACTGCGCATGCGGCTGCTGTGATGCTCACAGCTGAGAGCCATCGCACGCAGATGTTCGCCGACTGGCTGCAGCATGTCAACATGAAGCGAATCATTGCCAATGAGGTGCCAGGCTCATGTGCACACGAGGAGGTTTACCATATCCTCACCACGGAGATTCGATCCATGCTGGGTCCCTTGCCGCAAGAAATACAATTGCCATCAGGACAAATCTACCGTGCTGCACATCCCGATCCTCCTGCTGACCCCTCAGAATCAGTCATTGACCGCATCGCCGCTTTCCTTATGAGAGTGCCCTCTCGGTTTCCAACTGCTCCCGCTCGCACGATCTTGCATTGCATCAGTGGCCTCGGATCGGCGGCCCTACGGGAGATCACCGTTGAGAACGGCATTAGTTTCCAAGGCTGGTGGCTCACAAAGGTGTTTGTAGACGAAATGGCACAGTGGTTGGCGTCGCTAGGTGGCTTTCTAGGCCACGCTCCCCCCAATTGGAATTCACCCACTTACTCTCCGGTCATGGATGACTCGATGAATGCCGGCATGATCAACGGGGGCAGCGGCAGCAACAACGAGAGCCGATATAGCAGCATCGATGCTGACTTCGGGCCGGACCAGTCTTTCATGTCCAACACCAGTAACGTTGCGATGCAAGACCCCAACACTAACCAGGAAGGTGAGTCTCCCGATACCTTCGTTTCAACAATGGTAGTTGACTAACGCAAGATGATCAGTCAATCCTGGAAGATTTGCTCAACAACCACAATACGATATGAGCTTCAGTTTCGAGTACGATATGACCCCCTCCCAACAAGAGCAGAGTCACGATGATAGCGGTATTGGCCTCCTGGAAGACGGCATCGACGCTAAGTTCGCATCCAAGATGCAACAGTCGCTCAAGTCGCACCTCTCACAAGCTCCGCTTCCACAGGGTGTCAGCTAGGCTGTGGTACACCTATTTTCCAGGCCGCCTACCCCATATACCTCCATCGCTCCATATTTGGACCGTACCTCTCCCGCCAGTGCTCTTTGATTTTACGCGTTACGACGTCTCCGAAGTTACGACTCATCCAAAAGCGGCTGGTCCTAGGGAATGTCTTGTTAATACCTTATAATTTTGTACATTCGATGTCATCACTTGCAGGACGGCTATCTTGCGTTGTTCTGCTAGTCTTGATGTCCTGGCTAGAATTTTGTCTACTGGTATGGATGCTATTTACTTGTCAGTGTTTTAGATGTTGTATTCTTGCAGTAGTATGGAACCGGATCCTCGAACACTGGCATACTTTGGATAGAAGATGACGCAACTTGCTCTGCGGAGAAGAATTGCAATCTTACAATCTTCATGCTTGTCTAATTGACGCTTGTTCGCACTCCCACTTTTCTAGAAATTATGCCGAGCAATTGATATCCAGGACATTTTTCGACTACCGATCTTCTGCTCACCGATCAGTCCGCGCTAGCAACTCAATCTGAACACCTAAGTACATAGCCTTGAACCGCTCCAGGTCTGATATCACCAGAAATACTAAGACCTCAGGTCTGCTGACCGCTCTATAGTTTTGATTCTTGTACGGGATAACCCTAAAAATTCCAAGAAATGCTATCCTCGCGCGGTCAGGCCAATGCTGAACAGCTGGATATACCATGGCGCTTTTCGACGAGCACGACCTTGAAGTTAAATAGCCCCAAATGGTCTGATTGCGCTCTCAACGTCAGACAACGCGCTTGTGCGGGACGAAATCAAGGAGTTTGTGTAGAGCGTAAGCTTATCGTTCTTAGTGACGAGCATCTGCGCTTCGCATGCAAAATGCGACCGCCTTCCTTTAAGGGTAGATTACTGCTATCGATAAAGCTGTCTCTTTTGAATTATAGTTAGCTAATTGTCGTCAGATCAAAATGTCCGGGGATGTATTTCAATACGCATATCTCACGGACGGCGGACCACTAACTGCCACCTTCACCACGCACATCAACGAGTACTTCCACCCTCATGAACCACTGCGACGGGAAGATATCAAAGTTGCGGCTGGGGCAACAGCGCTGCATGATGTCCTTGCTTCCGCAATTCCTGTGGCTGGCATTGTTGATTGGGATGGGGGAATGTATGAGGTGTGAGGGTACTTTCCAGGGTGTTGTGAGTAGAGAAGACATAGGATTTAATCATAATGTCTGTTGCTTCGATTTATTCTGTTGGTATTGGAGGGATCTTAGCAATGGTCTAGTAGTTGCCATGCTTCTACAGCGAGTTCTCGACTTGGTTGGTCTCTCGCTGCGCTATGTTGGCAGTCACCCAGATAACAACCAAAGAGATATATATGTAAGCTATGCAATGTCGTGAACTATGCACTACCTTGTACAGGGATATGTTGGGTCAGAAATATAAAGAGGTCTTTTCGCCTGTGTGACGATTTCGTAGAGTACCTGAAATGGATACTTTCATCGCTTCTGTTCAGTCATGCTCTAGATTATGCCATTGAATCGAGATACATGAGTCGAGCAACCTAGACCTTATCGAACATATTAGAGGCGTCAGCCATCGCCTACCCCTGACCTTTGTGTGTGGTCCGCTCCCCACCATCACAGCTTGTCCGTTCGTGTGATCAACGCCACAATCTATGGGTCTGCTACCAAAGGAGAGCAACCCACGGGTCGCAAAACATCCGAGCTTTTAAGCTCGTATTTACAGGAGAGCAGCCATTGCGACACGCGTATATGGCTAATCCACAAAAACAAATAATCGCGATAAAATCTCAAGTTCTACCTCTAACAGTTTTACACGATGAGAATGAGAGAGAAGAGGAAAGAGTCGTTACTATGAGCTAGCTGTCCGAGATGCAACGGAAACGTATAGTGTTGTGAGATTGCCAAGCCAGAATATAGCTCGATTCATGAAACCCAGATGGTCCAAACTCAGCCTCGCTAGAAAACGATCATCCGCATTTCGATTTTCTTCAATCTTCAAACTTGTACTATCATTTTTCCCCACAAAAAGAGACATGCTCTTTCTCCTCTTTGGTATCTTTAGTTTTCGGTATTTGCCTGCAGAGAAAGGTCAGCTTCGTGTCAGAGAGTGTTGCACCATCCGGCTGTACCATTGTCCACGTCTTTCTGAACCTCTCGTCTAGCCCGCACATCGACCTGACCGTTTTCCGGATCAAACACAACAACTCGATCCCAGCTTCCTGTCCTGGGGATGCCTTTCGAAGGGACCTCTTCAGAATCGACCATCCTAGCCTCTCGAACTGCCATATGCGTGTTGTGTTGGAAGCCTCTACTTCTAGAGGGCAATATTGGTAGCGTAAAAGTTCAGACAAGTTGACTCTTGAACAAAAATGTGAAGACGAAAGTTCATTGCCGAAAAGGGAGCAACAGTCTTAAGTGTCGCAATTCTGACGGTTATGCGCGACTCATTACCACCCGCATGAAGGGCAACCCAGCCTGAACTGACAGGCACGGAATGCCGGCCAATGGTCAACTGGCATACGCGAGATGAGTACCAGTCCTGTCATATGCTCAGCGATGCATCCACAATATTTGCCATAGCGTGAAGTGATGCGGAAAGGGCTTTCAGAATCTCGAGTCTCGTGCCGCCAGTTTGACAGTGGCGCAAGGCCGAGGCTATCATTCTTACACGTTTCGCTTCCCATGGCTCAGCTCTAGTCTGAGACATGTTGTCTGTCCGTCAGTTGGAACATCCACTTGAGACAAAGAACATCAAGTGAATATCTTCCTTAGAGTGGTGAAAATGACTTGGTACTCCTCTTTAGCTACCGCATGCTGTCCAGTATTCCAAGGCAGAATGCGCAGCTTGCTAGGTAGTAGCTTTTTTCGATTCTCCAGCCTTCAAATAGCCACAATGATATTTAAGCCAATCCCATAAATATCTAGCCCTCCGCTTTATGCGAACGGTACTGCGGCTGACGTAAACGGTAATTCATAGCGAAGGCTTTGAGGTCAACGAATCTGAAGCGAAATGGCATGTCTTTGGCCCGGGTGTCCTTTCTTTTGCAGTTCGAGCTGCCGCCTTGATCACAGTCAACTTCCTCTTCGAGGCAGCCTTCCATCCTATCACTTACATTTATTAACGTCAATGGTTTCTAGGCAGCAGATATTTTTCCATATGTCGTGGAGGCGAAGGGGGCTTGGGACCCACACCCTCGCAGTTCCAGAACGGGCTATATGGTGGCTCTATACCGTCTCAAATTAGATTAGCTAGAAGGATATGTGCAGTCCTTGGAGTAATCGAGGGGGCTAGGGCCCGCTATAAAACACGACATGGGCAATGCTAGCTTGCCGAGACATATTGTGCAACTCATTTTCAATGACAGAAACTGTCCGACTAGTCTCGTACACCTAAAATGAACGGAACAATCTCGGAAGACTTGTCCCACGTTGCGCCAGAGTTCGGACCCTTACCTAGATATAACACTGGCTTTTCTACCATTCTTGGTAACGATCAGAACGGACATTGGAGTGAGCGCAATCTACTGAGCTTAGGTATGTCAGATATGAACTTGTCTGCGACATAATACTGACTGGTATTCACGAAGATGGCGGCGGCATCCGCGGATACTGGTCACTCCTAGTCCTGGAGAGACTGATGCAAGCTATCGGTGACGAAGAGCGGAAACAAGGGGGAGGACAGGAACGCTTCGATAGTTTTCACCCGGAACCTCTTCCAGACTATGTCACACAACGCGTTCTCGAACGCAGCAATCAGCGTCGTGAAAACGATCTAGATGCACAAAGTTTCCTACCTTGCCATTCCTTCGATGTTATCTGTGGTTCTAGTACGGGAAGGTGTGTGTTCACATGGTGGTTATTAGCCGATGCTAACACCACCTAGTTTAATAGCCATAATGCTTTGCAGATTTCGCATCACCATCAGCGACTGTCTAGACGAATACAAACGCATGAGTCAACGCATCTTTGGCAAACCTCGGTGGGTATCACAACGCAGCATTGGAATAGTGCGATGGCCAAAGTACAATGCCGTTTGTATGGAAGAGGCTTTCAAGGACGTGACTCAACGGCGCGGCGAAAAGCCTTCTCCCAACCAGCATGCTGCCACTTCGCCTTTGTTCCCCACATCCCGTGGAACCTGCTCAATGTGCGTATATTCTGTCTGCTTTTGACCTCTTCCGTCTCCAATCTCACGTACGACCAACTGCTCATGCATTTGGTACGATCAGGTCCGCTACAACAATGCTAAGAACGGAAGGCAAAAGAGGTAGTTCGAAAAAGCTACATTTATTCCGGTCTTATAATCACAAGAACCGTGACGACATATCTTATGATGGCGAAATTGTCAACTTTGGAGACGCAGAACAAATGCACATATAGCAAGTAGCCCGTGCAGCTACCGCCGCCCCCTTGTATTTCACGGAGCTCCAGTACAAATTCAACTCAGAAGATCGTACGAAGAGGTTCTTCTTTTCAGACGGAGGCTTTGGACTCACCAATAATCCTACTCTCCTTGGCATACAGGAAATCGAAAATCTTTTCGGCCAAGATAGAGTCGGAGTTATTCTTAGCGTTGGAATTGCCAGAGATAATGAAAAACCTGGAAAGAAGGGCATCCTTCATAGAGTGAAAGAAGGCTTCGCACTGGCTACTGATTCTAAGCATGTTGCGAATTCGTTGAAGCGCCAAACCCGACCTTACTATTGGCGGCTCAACGATAAGAATGGCCTTGACCTTGAACTTGACGATTGGAAACCAAATGGTTGGTTCACTCGGGAATCACTGCGCGGCCACAAACCCCTAGAGAAAATCACGAACGGGTTTAATGCTTGGGCGATGAGGTGGGAAAGCATCCAGATGATTCAACAGACTGCAGAACAGCTTGTCAAGCGCCGGAGATTACGAACCCAAGACACCGACCGATGATATCGTTATGCGACTGGCGCTTCCGAGTTCCGGTGTTTATCGAACGAGTGTCAAGATGCGTACAGCTCCCGCGGGAAATTTAACGACCATTGGCGCGAGTTTCACGAAGGTTATGAAAATGCTGATAGATATCGAGATCCCGAATTCACGGTGTGGGTATATCCAGCAGCGAACTGAGACTTTGTTTCTCTGCCCTTATTTTCATGACGGGTGGTAGCATTTCGTTTGTATGTTACCCTTGATCCTGTCGGTATATAAGTAAGGCGTTACGCCCATGTCAATCCAATAGAAGGACCATAGCTCATAGCTGTCGTATAATTGTCCCTGAGCAAACATAAATGAAGCAAGGCTGTTGTTCATCGTTTGTGTCAGCCTTGAAGAACGCCGAAAAGAGGCAACTCGTCAGCCACTTTCAAACTCCGACCAATAGGTAACGAGGCTGAAGTCTGCCTTGCCGACAGCCAATAGTGTTCTACAGTATCCGAGAAACGGCATGTGACTCCTCACCTCAGCCGACGCGTCCAGAAGTCCTCAACCTCATCACTCCGACAATCATAAAACTCGCTATCTAGTCGAAATGATGTGTAGCAATTTACGAATCTTGCACAATGCTTGAGCAGGTATCACTGCCATTTCATGTAGTTTCCAGTGTTTCGATGCCGATGCCACGCGGCCCTTTGTTGGCAGCGCTGTTGTATGTTCGGCGCACATCCAAGGTACGATCGGCAGCTGCACGTGTTCAACTCTTTTCTCTCAAGAAATTCCACACCTTTTTCGAATTGTTGTAGTCACTGAGACTCCAAGAAGAATACAGCCAATCTTCTCATCGACATGGCTGTCCGTATCGCGACCCTGCCCTACTACCGTCTCTATCACTTCAACACCATCGATCCTCTCAAAAATATAGCTACACTTGCGTCTGAAAGCCCGCCAAACGCGAAGACGCTACAGCGAGCGGTGTCATCCTGGAGATCACGCAAGCTTGGTGAATTACAGTTTATTACCATATCAGTAAGATCGCATGTCGCGTGGGGCTTCTATCTGTCTGACCACCATGTAGTGCACCGTCCTCGCGGCCGCGGTTATTGGCGCGTTCTCATGGACGACCATCGAAAACGCATATTGGCTAACCCACGCATTTTGGCATAGTAGCCTCATCCTTGCGATACTGTGTATTCTTCTCTCGGCCTCGGAAATAACGGTCTTGCACCTCCTAGGCCCGTTACAATCTATCAGCCAATCTTTTCGGGACGCCAACACGGTTGAGAGGTATAAACCGCTTCTATTATCCTTTGGAACGGACAATATCCCAAAATATGTGCCACGAAAGAAAATGGTGGTCACCTGGCAGGGACCCTTGATGTTTATGTCATATTCCGTGTGCACATTTCTGGCGGGGTTGACGATTTTGGTATGTACACCATTTATCCGACATGGTAGAAACTGGACCACTGGCCATAATGTAAGACCACCTATCACTGTAATTCGGTTGGCCGTTACGCTAACCCGCAAAGATTGCCACAATGTATTTGATGGTTTTGGCCGGAGGATTAACAGCGTTTGTTTTCTGCTCTTTCTGGGTATATTATTATGTGGATTTGGGTTTAGATGTGAATAGCGATGATGGTGGTCATGTGGAAGACCCAGAGAGCGTGGATTTCATGGGGCTTCGTGAGATGCTTGTACCGACATTTGGCGTTGAAGAAGCTACTGTTGAAAGTAATAAAGTTCCATTAACTGACTACTGTATAGGTGTACAGTCTCTTATTTATACCTAGTTTTCTACTTACTAATACTAATTTGCTTTTTTATATTTTTATATTTTTTTTTAAGCAGTGCAAATTTTTTTAAATAAATTTTTTATTGCGCTGTAATTTTTTTGCGCTAAAAATAATATTTTTATTTTAAGTTTTTTTTAATACTTTTTTTATACTTATTTTTTAGTAAAATAGCGCAAGCTTATTGCTTTATAGCAGCTTTATTATGCTATTTGCAGTATTTATTTTTATAAATATATATTATAAATTAATTAATTTTTTTTTTAATTTTTTTGCGCATAAAGTAATAGCAAATATTTATATATTTTATTTAAAAGTAAAATATAAAATTTTTAGCTAGCGCAAGCGCTTTTTAATTATTTTTATATATTTTAATAGTATTAGTGTAACAAGGTATTGTTACTAGGAGTTAGTATTGCAGTAATACTGCACTATTCCTTTTAGGAATTAGTGTGTATACAAGAATTCTGTATTTAACCTGCGCTATACCTGCAAAATAGCAGTATTAAATATTATTAACTTATTAAGCTAGAAGATAGCTTTCTATTAGCTATTTATTTTTTATTTTTTGTAGTGTAAAGCAAATACTATTGCTTAAAGCTACCCCCTAACAATTAGGGCTTTTATACTTTCTAGCAGTAGTACTGCTAAAAAATTTTATTAATTAATTAAGCTAAATAGCTTTTTTAATTGCTTTAAATTTTATAATATATTTAGCTTTATAGCTTAAAAAAATAATTATTGTTTAATACTTTAAGCTTTAGCTTATAGCTATGCTATTTAGCATAAATATATAGCTACTAGAAAAATTTTTTTTTTTTTTATATTTTTAGTTAGCATTAGTATAGCTAATAAAATTTTTTAAACTATTTAAATTAATAATAAAGTTTTAAGTAATTATTTTCTATAAATACTTAACTACTTAAATAGCAGCATTTAAGTAGTATTATAAAAAATTTAATAAAAATTTGCTAAGCTAAAATATTATATAAATAATATTTAAGTAAGTATAGAATATAAAGTATATTAAAAATTTAATTAAAAACTAGTAGAAGCGCTAATTATTAATTGAAGTTTTTTATTTATTAGCTATTAGCACTAAGTTTAAATTTATAAATATTAAAATATTTCTACTAATAAAATACTATTAGTATATTTTAATAATCTACTAGGTATATACTGCTTGCATAAAAAATAGCTTTAAGTATTTATTATTAAAATATTATTATTGCTAAATTTTAATGCTAAAGTAGTAAAATACTAGTCTAAAATTAGTTATTTAAAAATATTTGCTAAATTTTTTTTTTACTTGCTTAATAGCAGCAGTATTTTTATTAAAAAAAAGTAAGTTATTAATATAAATTATTATTAGTATACTTAGCTTTTTATTAGCAAAAATGCTATAGTTTTTTAAAATAAGTTTAAATTTTAGCTTTTTTAGCGCTGCTTTTAGCGTTTAATACTAGATTTTAAGTACTTATTTAAAATTATATAATGCTTTTTAAAGTTTATAAACTAAGCTAAATAAGTAATTATTTTTAAAATTTAATAAAAAGTTTATATAGACTTTTATATTAATATTACTATATAAAAATACTATTTTAATATTTATTTATTTAATATGCTACTTTTGCAGGCAGGCAAAAATAAATAGTGCTTTATAGCTTATTAGCTTTACTATAAAAATAAATATTTTATTAAAATTAATACTTTTTTAATATTTAAAATTATAAATTACTTATTTTAACTTATACTAAATAAGCTTTTTATTGCTATTTATTTTTACTTTGTACATATACTTACTTAATAAAATACTATAATTAATAGTTGCGCTATTAATAATATTTTAAGTGCAGTTCTTAATAAGCAATTAAATTTTTTTATTTATTAATATAATTTAAAATTTATTATTATGCCTAGTAATTACTGCTTTATATATCTTTAGTTTACTGTTATTTATTAAAAAGAAGGCTGTTTTAATAAAAATAAACTAATTATTTAATTAATATTTTTTAATAAATTTTATAACTGCAATTCTAGCAATAACTATATTAAATATTATTTTATTAATAGGCAATTAGTTAGCTAGGTCTAGCGCAAGGTTTAATTTATTTAAGTATTAATAAGTTAAGTTAATATTGCTATTTTATATAATTAAAAAAGGAAAAATAACTGCTATAATAATTAAAATAATTAATTTTTTTTTTAATTATTATAGTTGCTTTATTGTAAATGCAACATATAATAACTTTTAGATTTCTAGCTATATAAAAAATATTAATAAGTATTAAAAAAAAAAAACTTTTAAAAAATATTATATTACACGCTCTTATAATACATTTTTTAGTAATATTTTAAATTTTATAGTAGTAGGCTATATCTTAGGTAGCATATCCTAAAAAGTAATACTATTTATTTTAATTATTAAGTTTTACTAAGCTTATAGCTAGTTATAGTACTAAAATTTAGTATTTATAATTTAAAGTGCATAAATTTACAATTAAAAGCAGCTAGCCCTATAAGCATTTATAAAATATTATATTACTTAAATTAGCAGAAATTAGGCCTAAGTTAAGTAGCTAAATAATTAATTAAAAAAATTTACTATAATATAATTTTAAAAAGTTTAAATAGCGCATAATAGCTTATATAGCAAATTTAATAAATTTTATATTTTATTTAAAAATACTATTTTACTTCGTATTTTTAAATATAGTAAATTTATATCAAATGCTATAAGCGTTGCGTATTTTGTTAAAGCGCTTATTTAAAAATTTATTATTATTATTATTATAAAAAATCTAAATTACTGCATTGTAGTTAGTTTTAATTTAGTTTTTAAAATTAATAAATATAGCAATAGCTTTATTTTTTATTAATATAAGCCAAACCTAGCAGTACTAAAAAAAATTATTAGTAATTAAAAAACTAATAACTTTTTTAATATTACTGCGTTTATCTATAATATTAATAATATTAAATAAATTTAAAAATAGGCGTTTAAAGGGCTTTATAGCTTATTATATAAATTTTTAAAAATTTTATTAAAGTAGTTTTGTTTAAAGATATTTATTATACTATTTTATAAATTCTGCTATTACTTGTATATTTAGTAATATAAGCAATTTTTAAAAGTATTATTTACTTAAGTAGGCAAAGTACTAGTATTAAACAATTAATAGTATATTTTTTTAAATCGCAGTAGTAGTATATAATATTATATTTATAAAATTTAGAATAAACAAGTTTATAGTTTAATATAACGCTATAGTAATTAGGCTATCTATAAATAATTAAATAATATTTATAAAATTGCTGTAAATATAAAAGCTAATATTTATTTAAATTTTTTAGTTATTAAGCGTAAGGCTGTAAATAAATATTATATTAAAAAATATTTTAGGCAAGTAAAGTACTTTTTTAATAATAAATAACTTTAAAATAAGGCTGTTTAAGCTATTTATATTAACTAATAAGCGCACTATACTTATATTTCTATAAATAAAAGTAAAGTTAACGCAAAAGTAAATTATACAACATAGTAAGAGAAATTAGTATAAAACTATAGTTTAAGTGCTATACCTAGCACTTTAATATAGTATTAAGGCAGTAAAGTTTATACAATACTAGGCTAGCTAAATAAATTATTAAAACTAATAATTGCTATTAGCAGACGTTAGGAAAATTTAACTTAAGTATAGTAGGCTAAGTAGGCCCTAGTAGCTAGCAATCTGTGCAATTAGAATATTTGCTATATTTGCTTTATACTTACTTTTTAGTTTTAGCTTACTATTATATATTCTAGCTAGTACTACTTAACTATTTTATATAGTTTGCTTATGCTACTTGTATTACTTATATTACTAATATTACTTATATTGCTAGTATTGCTTATATTGCTAGTATTGCCTGCCTTAATAGTATTACCTGCTTTAATAAAATTGCAGAAATAGGCAAGCTTATTTATAGCACTTAATTATATTATATATTAAGTAAAAGTTATATATGCAAGTCTTGCTTAATAGCTTTTGCAGCAGTATATATTCTACTAAATTTAAATATTTATTATAGACTTTTAAGTAGAATTTAGAATTTTGCTTTATTTTATTATTCTTTATAGTTTTATACTATATACACTAGCTGTAATTATAGTATAATTAATAAAATATATTAATAATTATATTACTAAATTATTATTAAAGCAAATTATTATATATTTATACAAAGCTATTCTTAATTGCGTGCTTGTCTACCTACGCTTTATATATATTAGCCTATTTTTAATACTTAGTTAGCTTTTGCTTTTATTTATTCTTTATAAGCATAATAATTATTATATATAGTTTAGTATAGTACTTTTCTTACGCTAGTTTAGTAAAAGTATACTAGTTTGTATTTATAATAATACTTTATTTATTATTACTATTTTAAAACTAGGCTTAGGCATTATTATTTAGTTTATATATTTGCACAAAGCTTGCAGCGCTTATATTATAATTAAAGTTAACTTTAATTATATTATTAGACAAGAGGCGTACTTAGATATATATTTATATAAGTAAACTTAGTTAGCATTATTAATAGTAGTTATATATATAGTACTGTACTTTTATATTTTTTGTATATTAGGAAAATTCAATTGTATTTAGTCCGTGTTTAAGTTTTAGAAAATTAACTTAGCTAAATTATATAGTAGTAAATAGTTGCGCATAGTTATAAATGCTTATTAATAATTAAGTAGCTATTAACTTAGGCAAGTTGCCAGTATCGCGCAAGTTGCTAGTATTGCTATTAATATAAATTTTTTATATATATATACCCTGCTGCCTGCAGGCTTGTTATTTTATATTTTTATAAAAACTAGATTAATAGTACTTATTAAATAATTAGCGTCTTAGTAATAGGGTGCAGGCTAGTAATATAATTTATAAAAGTTAAATGTAGAATATATTTTTTATAAAAATTAAATTAAAGTTAAAACTAGTATATTAAGTAATTTAATTTATATACACAGTCTTATACTATTCTTTACTATTTTTTACTATTTTTTACTATTTACTTTTATTAATATTGCAGAATTAAACTTCTTTACAAACCTTTAAGCTTTATAGCTATATTTTCTGTTATATCCTAGTTAATATGCGCACTATTTATTATTTTTTTACTTTATAATTTATTTTTTAAAGCTGTTTTAATAAACTATTTATTTAATATACTAACTTTTAGCTTACTTTTTAGTATATATAAAATATAACTAACTGTTATAGACTGGCCTTAGGATTATTCTGTTCTAAGCGTAAATAATAGTATTATATACCTTAAAGAAGTACAGAGATTTCTAGCTACTTATATAAAAGTTTATTGCTAAAGTTTGCTAAAGTCCTTAGTCTGCAAATGCTAGGGCTTAAGCTAAAGCCTAAGCTATAATATACTTTTTTACTTTTAAAAAAAGTTTTCCTTTTTCTTTAGGCCTTAGGCCGGTTGCGATATTATTAGATTTTTATAGTACTTTAGTGTAGTTCTTTTTTAAAAAAGTTTTAAGTAGTTTTAAGGATTATTAGCTTTTATGTACCTATAATAGTAGCTTATATTAAATTTAAATAAATTTTTAAGCAAGAACTTATAACTTCTTTTTTTTAGTTATTTTTTTTTAGAGCTACTTCTGTACGCTTCTTTTTTGCTTTTTTCTATACTTTTATTTTATAAGCTTCCCCTTTTGTATTAGCCTTATAGCACTGCCTATTTTTTTACTATAGTAACTTGTAATTTTATTTCTAGCTTTTAATTTTTTACTTTAAGCGGTAGTAGTAGTTTACTTAATAGCAGTTATAGTAGTCTTAGCAGCTATTACTAAAATATATGCTATTTCCCTATATAGCGCTGTAGTAGAGCTAATTTTTTTTTTTAATTAGGCATTTTAGCTAAGCTAGTGCGCAAATTTAAGTAGTATATTACTAAAAGTAATTCTAATAACAAAAAACTTAAAGCAATGCTTATTTAGAGCTAGATATATACTAAATATATTAGTATTATAAAAAAGTTTAGTTACGCTAAATGCTAAAATAGGCCTAGTTAGTTATGCTCTGCTTGCTACTAAAGCAAAAAAATATATAAGTATAAAAATATTTTTTTTACTATATACTCTAACTTTTACTAGGCTTTTTAGGCTTAGTAGAACTACTATAATAAATTTAACTTTAACAACAATTCGCACATTATTATTTAAAGTATTTATAATACTAATTTAGCGCATTGTATAGCTAGTATATACTACTAGTTTAATTTATAATTTTATATACTGCGCTATTACTATAAGGATATTTGCAATACTGCTATTTGTAATACTATTACTTTATTTTTATTTTAAATTGCTTATAGCTTTAAATAGGCTGCAAGTAACCTCTCCTGCACTATTATAAAAAAAGCTTTAGTTATTATTTTTTATACTCTATTTTGTAGC